ACCTCACATCTCTTAAAAACAGTCAGAAACCACCCCTCGAAGTCAAAAACCACCCCCATAGCCTCCAAATTCCACCCCATAACCCCACACCAAACCACCTCAAGAATAGCCCCTCTTCCGTTCTTTGGGCTCGCAAAGATAAAGTGGAACAAACTACCAAATAAAAAAAGTTGTGATAAAAAAACAATCTGTGCACGCCCTCTGGCCACCAGCTGACTGACTGCCCATTGCCCCCCCCCCTCTTTTAAAAAGAATTTCCCTTTCGGCGAAAAACAGCCCGTTTGCTTTTCAAATGCATCGTCCAGCCAAAGGGAAGAAAAAAAACAAAAATATAATAAAAAACACAGGTACAAAGTAAAAAACAAACCAACCTTACATTATGGTGGGTTTTTGAAATTGAGGTAGGGGCTGATATTGTAGTAGATCTTCATATTGTGATGAGTTCCTGATATTAAAGTAGACCCCAGATATTGTATTACATCACACAGCTCAGAAAGTACATCATGGTTGTACTAAAAATAAAACTTTGTAAAAATGTTATAGCCATTAACAATCAAAAAATAAAATAAATGTAATCAAAATCCACGAAAAATTGCATTACCCACTATGATAAAATACGTACAAGCACTCCACGCAATACTAATATGCCATTTTTTTGATATATTAACCTAAAAAAACGTTTTGCTACTCCAATATATATCACTATCAATAACATCTCCAAAGCAATGGATAATGAATGGCAGTGTGGGGGTATAGCTCAGGGGTAGAGCGCTCGCTTAGCATGCGAGAGGGCTGGGGTTCAATTCCCCATACCTCCAGGACAACTTTTTGGGTTTTTTATAAATTGAACTGATGAAGTAGTTTTAGGCTAATGATATTATTTACCTTTTTGAATATTTTTTTTATTTCGAATTTGATTTTTTACTTGTATTTTAGAATGAAATAATGAATTTTTAGGTAAGAAAAATTCATATTTAAGTAACAAACCATACTATAGTTTCTGGACAAATTCAATTTAATTTTTTTGAACTTTTTATAATTAAGAACGTGATTTTCTAGCTATCTCTAATAAAAAATGTCATTAAATTTAATATTTAAAATTTAAAAAAAACTTTTTTGAAAATGACAAGAACTTTCTTTACAAAGCAAAGAATGACAACAAATTCTTTTACGAAACAAGAAATGGCAAAAACTTTCTTTACAAAACAAGAAATGACAAAAACTTTCTTTACAAAACAATCAAAAATTTTAAATTTCAAAAAATAAGATTTTTTCAGATTCTAAACCCCCTAAACCGACTACAAACCCCTGCCAAACCGTGTTTTTTAATATTTTCTGGTTTCGAGCACATTTATTGTTGTTTTTTGCCCGTTGGCCATTTAACGCCCACTAGGCCTTCGGAAGTTTTTTGCTCGGCCAAATGTCCCATGGACACTATAGCAACGAGGAGAGAAGAAAAAACAAAATAAAAACGCAAAAAAAAATGGCTGGACATTCATCAAAAGTTTTATTTATATCACTTTATCATTACACTTTTTTATAAAAATTTTGAAATTAAAAAAAATATATATTTTGCATTGTGAAGAAAGTTCTTGCCGTTTTTTATTTTGTAAAGAAAGTTCTTGCCAATTTATTGTTTTGTAAAGGAAGTTCTTGCCATTTCTTGTTTTGTAAACAAAGTTCTTGCCAATTTATTGTTTTGTAAAGGAAGTTCTTGCCATTTCTTGTTTTGTAAAGAAAGTTCTTGCCATTTTTTAATTTGTAAAGAAAGTTATCGCCATTTCTTGCTTTGTAAAGAAAGTTCTTGCCATTTTTTAATTTGTAAAGAAAGTTATTGCGATTTCTTGTTTTGTAAAGAAAGTTCTTGCCATCTCTTGCTTTGTAAGTTATTGCCATTTGTCAAACTAAAACTGTCCTTTTTAAACTATAGTACCAACAACGCTTCAAGTGTGTACCTATAACACTTTAAATGTGTACCAAAAACCGCAGGCTTAAAATTTTTGATACTTTTGTTTGATTAAACGGGCCAAATCCCCCGAAAATAATCAAACAAGATTTGAATTTAATTTGTAAAAATTTGTTTTTCGTGTTGCCAAAAGCCGATTTGATGATACGAGGGATCACAAAAACAACAAACATAAAACAAAACATAAAACAGAAGAATGGACAAAAGTCGAAAACAACTTTTTACTTTGTCGTATTTTGAGGAAATGTTGTGTACACGATTGAAAATGGCAATAAAAATCAAACATTAGGACACAAATAGCTAAATTAGGTAACGAAAAGCCCTCAAATGTTAGTACTAATTAATTACAAAATTTTGATGTAAATGGTACTAGTGGTACTGTTGGTACTCAAAAATGCCTTGTAACTATGCTTTTTTTCCTGTAAAGAAAGTTATTGCCATTTTTTTCTTTGTAAAGAAACTTATTACCAATTCAGATTTTTTTTAAATTCTTGCCATTTCTTAATTTGTAAGGAAAGTCCTTGCCATCTTTTGTTTTGTAAAGAAAGTTCTTTCTATTTTTTGTTTTGTAAAGAAAGTTTTTGCCATTTCTTTCCTTGTAAAAGACGTTATTGCCATTTTTGTAAATATCGTCATCTGTAACAAAATATTCGCCAATTCACGTAATTTACAAAAACTGCCACGCTTTTCACCTAAATTTAAGTTTGGCACGAGATTAAAAGTAATCGTTTTATTTGTTTACACTTTTTTTCGATTTGCGGATAATCCACCGGAATAATCGGAAAACTTTTGCAACGAAAATTGTACAAATTTACTATTTTTAGAATTAGAAACGTCTTATTCAGGTATTTAAAGATTTACCGGGGTTTTGAGACTACTATATCATAAGATTTTGGTCGATTATTTGAAAAATTTTTGATTTTTGTCATACAATTTTATAACATAGAGATGAAACTATGCGTCACGTTTAAAGCTAAATAAGAAAAACATTAAACATTGTCAGAAAATTAGCAGCGTTACTTCAAAAGTGCCGTATTGTACAAATAAAACCATATTTCTATCAAAAAACCCATCATTTTAACCCAAAAACCCTATTAAAACCCCACTTTTTAAATAGAAAAATTCAAAAAATATCAAAACAAACCAACAAATATATATATCACAACGTATTTTACCATACCAATTTATTAAAACCTCAAAAATTATATCTGGAGGTATGGGGAATTGAACCCCAGCCCTCTCGCATGCTAAGCGAGCGCTCTACCCCTGAGCTATACCCCCACATTTGATTTTTCGCTCGGATTTGAGCCAAATAGTGAGAGATAAACGAAACAAATAAAAAATTAGGTAATACATTCGAAATAATTTTAAAAAATTTTAAAATGCTCTGAAATCACACAAACGAAACAATACATAACATAATATTCCAAAAATGATTAAAAAAACCTCTAGTTTTTCAATTTTTTTCTTTCATTGCCTAAATCAAGGTCTAACATAATATAAATCAAGAAAAATAATAAAAAAGAAAAAAAAATTATATCAAACAGCCCAAAATACAATTAACAATCACTTCTCAATAATATAATTACCAATTTACAGTGTTAAACACCAAAAACCAATGATAAACCTCATTTATCTTATGCTACTCAAGATAACATTGCCATTTTCGATTAAAATCCCAGAAAAACTCCCCAAAATAAAAATAAAAACAAAAAATTATAAAAATAACCCATCTAAAGATATTTTACATAAATTCAATCCAAAAACATCAGTATTTGATGTAGAAGTGGTCGACAAACGACCAAAGGCTGTCAAATTTTGCTAAAATCCGTCGAGTAAAAAGTGAAACTCGGCCGAAAATTATGAAGCGAGTCAAGTGGTGTTCTTCAGTTGGTAACATTTATACTTGAGGTCAAGCTTGAGACGATTTTGAAGTGTTCTGGTATATTGATGTTGCTAACGTAAGTTAGACTATTGCAAATGTTGGCAATTTTAAAATTTCTGATGTTTAATTTTTTTCTATAATGAATGGCATTATGGATGTATGTGCTGATTCAGATGTATGTGCTGATTCAGCACATAAAGCACTGCTGTAGAAGATCAACTTTATAAGCTAATATTGTAAAATGAAGAAAATCGGTGAATCCCTTTGATAAAACCAACAAAAAATGTAGAGTTATAGGCAGACTTTCTTAATTTAAAATTTTTCGGCTGCTTTAGTTCCGCCTATTTTAAATTTTAGCTCCGACTTCGAAGCTGTAACCGCCCCGCGAAGCCGTGCCAGCTCCGTGGTCAAACATGCAATACATGAAATAATGTGTAATACAAAAAGTCTACATCTTCAAGCTTTAGATTCGGCCTCGACTTTATAAAATTCACGCTCCATCTTCAGCTTTTGAGCTGGAGGTGCCCCTATCCTTGAGAACTCTGTATATGTAAAAGAACTTTCGAACAGTAAAGTCTTAAGGTAACAAAAGATAAGGTAAAGTATAAATCTTTTCTTGAAAAACAAGTTCTTCCCGTCTCAGGATTCAAACACTACCCCGCCCCAAGGACAAAAGCTTATCCATCCTACATAAAGGTAGAATATCCACCCATTCTACTCAAAGTCAAATATTCACCCAATCTATCCAAAATTCCTATCCATGTCATAGCCAATTCATTCCAATTGAAAATTTCATTTATATTTATCCTTTTTTATGTTATAATAGGTATAAACACTTCGAATCACCAATAACGATCATATAAACAGGGTTGAGTAAGTTTGAAAGAGTAATGGCACATGGTTTAAGAATGTGAAAAAAATACTTGACATACTGTGTGAGTACAACATATTCTGTTATAAAAACTATATAATGATAGAAGATTACAAATCTTAAGAAAATTTTTTTAAATTTTGTAAATAAATGCAAAATTGTTAATGGATCCACCTAGTATAATATAGAAAAACCTTTTTCATGATTATTTTTTCCAAATTCGAGATTAAAAAATTAGTTAAACTACTATAATATACTTTAAAAATGGCAAAATAAAATTAATCACTAAATTGCATTAAAAGTGGCGAGTTCTTCTGGCTCATTTCACCATGATGAGTGAATGAGACATGAGCCATTTCATCAGATTGTCCATCCGAGTTTGAACAGAAAACACTGGCCAAAGGATAGTCGTCCATTTCAGGAATACTGTAAGGTTGGGCCTAAAGATAGTAATCAATAACAGTAAGGTCTATGTACTTTTTGACCGTTATGGTACTAAAATCTTCAAAAGATTACATTATCTTATTCGACCATTCCCTATCTTAGCATACCCTACCATTCTCTAGCCTATTATACCATGTTCTACCCTGCCACATAATACCCTACCATACCATACCCTAAACCGCCCTATCCTACATTACCCCACCCTACCTTACCCTGCCCTCACTTACTCCAATCCTACTATATAACGCCCTACCCTGCTAAACAATACTCAACTCTACAAAAACCTTACCATATTAACAAAAGTGCTGCCCGGAGTGCCTGGACTGTACTTCTGCCCATAGCCAACCATTCCACCCTCCATATATTCCATACCATATCGATAGTTAGGGCTGTTCTCCGAGTAATTCGGCGATGTTACAGTATTTTCATCAAATCCAGAATCCTGGAAATTATTTTCGAATGGAGAAATCGACCGGCTTCTGGTCGATAATTTCATTCTATCAAATGGATCGTACAAGTTCTCATACTTCATCTTCTTAACTTGCTTCAGAAGACGTTGAGCTGGCTCAGCAATGGGTGAATTTGATCTGGACCAGTGTTCCAGACAGTCCAAAGTTTCGTAGTCCGAAGCAAAGAACGCAGCGATTTCTCGGTCGATTTTCAGTCGATTCAGAAGAAGAATAGCTGATTGTTGTAGGTTAGATTGATGGACTGACATTTGGCTAGTTTGCTGGACTAGTGGGGTTCGTTGAAATTGGGTTGGGCTGTTTTGGGAAGGTGGGAAAGGGTGATTTTGGAGGTGGTTTAGACAAAGATGAGAGGAACTTGTCATTCCTTGAGCTCCTGACTGGACTAAAGTTGGTGAAGTGAAAAAACTAGTCTGGCCTGGACTTGGAAATTCAGAAAGGGTAGTCTGGGCTGAACTTAGGGCTCCATTGTGACCATTTTGACCCAGGTTTTTCGTTCCAAATCGGTTTAAATTGGTCAGATGGCTCATATTATCCATGTTTATCATTCCATTAGACATGTTATCCATCCCCAACACTCCTCTGTCCATATTCTCCATAGCCAATAGTTCGTTTTGGGCCACAGATCCTTCTAAATTAGTTGGCACAGACTGATATCCTCTATTCTTTCCTCCCTGACCGGCTACACCTTGACGGCTAGCCTTATCTTGTCGTAGAGCCAACATTGGTGGCAAGGTTTCGAGTTTGTCAAAGTCTTTGGCTAGGGATTTGAAGGCTCGGATGGTTTGACGATGAAGGTTGGGATCAGCACACAGACGATCCAATGTTAACATACATAGATGTTGGAGTTCGGTCAGGTTAATGTTCTCGACTGTTTGAGACTAAAAGAGAATGTTTTAGGTAACAAATGATTAATAAACCTAATTGTTTCTAATTTTTTATATTTATAATCACATTTTACCACAGAAATGTCATTTTAAACCAAGAAATATGTATTTTACATTAACCAAAGCCTACAACAACATTAGAGAGGTAGCTACAGATTTATAACATATATTAAACCTACATCAGCCGACTTGCTAGCTGCGACAAACAAAACATAAGCAATTCGGTCCACAAATCCACCAACATCTCCGTGTCCGGATACTGTAATTCGGGTATGACGGAAAATGGGCAAATTGGTCGGTTGAGATGCTGTTTTAGCCAAAATCTAAAAAAATCTTATTAATCTAAGAATCGATATTCGAAATCGCTTTTTCAATTTTTTTTATTTTTGAAAAATTGTTTCGTATGTTACAGTATATTACTCTACTCTGCCCTACTATACTCTACTTTGCTCTACCTTGTTACACTTTACTCCACTCTATCCTATTCTCCTCTACCCTACTCTAGCTTACCCTACCCTACCCTAACCTACCCTACCCTACTATACCCTAGTCTACTATACTCTACCTTACCCTACATCAGGTAGCTACCATGATATGAGGAACGGGATGAACAAAATTTAGATCGGACCGGGCCCAACACTCAAGTCCAGCCCGTTCCTCATGTCTAGTCTTACCCTATAATGCTTGTAACTATAACCTACCGTTGCCCTACCCTACTAAATCTCAACTTAATTTAACCCACCATACTTAAAGCGCTAAAACCTCTTTCACAGACCTACCTCTACCCTACTACCTTGTCCTATCCTAGCATATCAAAAATCTTTAAAATTTCAACCTGCAACCACCTTTTTAAAAACAAATTTTAAAACAACTTTTCGATTTTTTTTTCTAAATTTGGCTTCACCCCTTACCAGCAACGTTTTTCGCAGTAAAGCAGGCCTCATGGCGACCAATTTTCGCAAAAAGAACTCGGCTCCATTCTCTGTTAAAATGTGTTGTTGTACAGCTGTATCAAATCTGTGTCCACTGTAAAGGTTCCTCAATGCTGTTAATGCGTTTTCCTAAAACAACTTGGTTCTTTTCGAGAAAAAATATAAGTACGTTGGTTAAAAACCCCGTATTTTACTCAAAATAAACCAAAAAATAGCTTTATAACAAGATTTTTTTAATTTTTAGCCTAAAACACCTAAATTTAGCAACAGTTGATATTGTTTATAGAAACAAAGTATAATTAGCAAGATTTTTAAAAGTTTTGCCATTTTAAAATAAAAAATTCAAACCCCAAAATCAACCCTCAATTCCCCCAAAAACCAACCTGAATATCCTCCAACACCTCGGTCATCTGCTCCACCTGTTCATCAACAACTTCAAGTTGAGCTTCACTCTCAAATAACACACATTTCAAAGCCCCAACCACATTAATACTACACAAGAACTCTTTGTTCGACCGGTTATTGGCCGACAAATTGGCCAACGCTTGAACACAAAGTTGTCGAATTCGGGCATCATTAACGACTAACAGCTGGACTAGTTTGGCTAGTAATGGTGAAATATCGAGACGATCGGTTGAGACATCGCTGAGGTCTCGGACACAGACCAAGGACTCGGTGATGATACGTTGGGATGGATAGTCCAGACTCATTGGTAGAACATCAAAGGCTCCCGACGTGACCAGACGTTTTGGGTTCTGAAGGAAAGTGTGCATAGTAAAAAGTGTATTTTTGCTATTATTGAATTTACATTAATTGTGTTTGCTACCTTTGAGGCTAAATTAATGTAACTTTGCAATTATTGAAGTTACATTGCTGTAACTTTGCTATCATTAAAGCTACATTAACATTACTTAGCTTTCATTGAGACCAAATTACTTTTAATTCTGTATCATTGAAGCTACATTACTGTAAATTTGTTTATGATTGACAAGGGAAAGGCAAATAAGATGGTATCGGACCTAGAACTGGGACCTATATCATGTGAAAGAGCGTGAAAAGTTAAGTAGAAATGAAAATTTTTAGCTGTCCAATTTCATATACTAAGAAGTTACAGTAATATAAAGTTTTCTATACGATTTCTTATTAGCGAACACTGCAAGAAACCGCCGAAAAAGAAGCAAACTACAGTGTTTTGTGGTAGCCCAGTAGGTTGAAACCTCGCCTTATATTCTAAAGGGTGAGGGTTCAAATCCGACAAAAATTTTTTAATCAAAAAGCATATTAAAGACCCTTAAAAAGTTTATATTAAAATTTCGGAACAAAACACGGAAAAATTTTTTTAAACGTTTTTTCCAAAAAAATCCACAGGGGGATCCTTTGAAATAATGGAGAGTAGTAAACTTTGAATTACTGTAACTTTTTAGTATATGAAATTGGGCAACTAAAAATTTTCATTTCTACATAACTTTTCACGCTCTTTCACATCTTGTGAGGCTACATTAACATAACTTTGCTATAAATAAATCTACATCAATATAAATTTGATTTCATTTTGGCAACGTTAATGTAACTTTGCTATCATTGAGACTAAATTAATCTAACTTTTCTATTTTTGAAGTTACATTAATGTACCTCTGTTATCATTAAAGCTACATTAATATAACATCTCTATCGTTGAAGTTGCCTTGATAAAAATCTTTCAAATCCACTTAACAGACCCAAATCAATGCCAAATTCAAAAGATTCCTCAAAGTAAAATACCCCATCTCTGTCGTCATGTTATGTCACTAGACGAAACAACAGCGTCTTTTTTATTGTTTAGCGACGATTTAAATTTTTATATCGCAACGAGGTATTATAAGCCATACGTAGGGGTCAAGACGAGCCTTTTTGTTATGTTACACCTGGGTATTTTATAAGAAAGGCAAACGCCAACATATAAAAATTAGAAGAGTCTTTGGTGTCTCCGCCCAACTTTTTGCTGTTGTTTCGCGTGGGTCTTGGAAAATGTAGATTTACATTGATTTAGATCAGTCGTGTTCAAAATGGTGTTGTGACAAGCAGTCGAACATTGTTTTAGCTGTCTTCTCGTCTTTTGATTATATTGTTATTGATACTGCCTCTGTTGAAAATTATAAACTTTTAGGTTAATCTAAACCTCTACGTTTTTAAGTTGAGAAATCTTTGTTTCAGCTCCTCTAGATATCTATTTCAATGTCATTTTACTACCATATGTACTAGAATTAAATCTTTTTTATATGTTTTTAATATGTCCTAAATGTTATGCTATTGAATCCTTAAAGAACCACCAAAAACTTCTAAGCGCATTTATTGAAAAACTTTAGTTTCAAGCTATGTAACCTCTTATCCCTCCTCTCAATGTTAATCTTGACCTTTACCACCTTGAAAACTCCATAATCTACTGCTTTTACTTAATGCTTATGTCATGACAACTACGTATTTTACCACCAAATGATCAATACAGTCATTACAAAGTCATGTCTCAGTCGGTTGAAGTATAATATTGCAAATCACCGAGGAATGACTTTGTCATGGCTGGATTGGCCATAAACTGAACTATTCTTATCTTAACATACCTTCATTATAATGTCTGGACTAGTCAATATCGTACAACAACAAGATTTAAAAATCTTTCTACTATAAGATTTTTGTAGCTTTCTATTATAAAAATTATTCATTACCTACTAGATCAATATGCATATGTTATTGATCAGTCACTACTATATCACTATCCATACTGTATTTTAGCCAGTAAAGTCATTACAAAGCCATGTCTCAGTAGATTGAAATTTTTCTATTGCAAATCACCGGGGAATGACTTTGTCATGGCTGGACTGGCTTAAAAATTTATCTACTGATAACATATTTTCTACAATTTTTTATTTATTTCTTTCCTATTATTCAAATATCTTCTACGTTCTACACTACACAAAAATTTTCCAGTAGTTCCAAAATGGCCTTAAGTCCAACCCTAACTATAGCGTCAGACCGGCCTAAAAGCCTTTTAGTCCTTTAGAAGGTCATCTTTTGGTTGATTGACACAATTTTAATGCAAATCACCGGGGAGTAACTTTCTAATGGCTTGGATTGTCAGTAATTTCAATTTTACTACTACTAATTGAAACATTTGTAGCATTTCTATTGTACTATTACAACTATAACTACTTTTACGCTAACTGTCATCATGTTTCCTATACTGTAGATAAGGCTATATAACCTGTTAGAATGTCATGCCTCAGTAGATTGATCCTTTTTACTGCAAATCACCGGGGAATGACTTTCTCATGTCACAATTAGCTAGATGTATAGATTATTATATTTTATGATATCTTCAATTGTTACCTGCTATTACATGACTTTCAATGACTAAATTAAAGTTACTAATTAACAAAATCGTCAACATGTCCATTACCTTATAAATTACCGATATATTGAGTTAGTTTTGGCAAATAACCGGGAATTTATTGGGCAACGGCTGTGTTGTATGTTGTTACAATGATAGCTAAACTAAGCCTATTTTTCTTTAGTCCACTTCATTTTGAATCGAGCTGTTCTGTGCCTCCTCTCAAAGCAAATTTGCGGAGTTAGGGGCACAGAATTATGTGAACAACCTATTATTATTGTCTAAATGTTTTTCGTGTAATGATCTTTCAGTAAACTTTATGGCCAATACAAACTCATTGCTCAGTAGGTTGAAGTATAATATAGCAAATCACCGGGAAATCAGTTTGTAATGGCTAGACTAGCCAAAAATACTATAAAATTGATTTTTTCAATCTACATTCATAATATCTACTGTAATACCAAATCAATTATAGCCATCTACTACAATATCTATTCTTTTATAACTACCTACTATAATATTTATTAACTTTACTCTATATTTTCTTTCATAATAATAAAAACAAGTATTCTATAGTACAGTTATACACAAATTCTATTAAACCGTACCAACCAACGTGGTCTTCTCAGCTTTTCCCTTGTTCTCTCTAGGTTATTGTCAACTTTGATGCTACTAATAACCGGGGAAGAACAAGGCAAAAGAGGAGCTTGTATCCGGTTGGTGATTGTGATGTATAATATTTTGTTACTACGCTCTAATTTACTATTACCACCATAATAATATAGCTATGCTTAGGCCAATATACTATTTATACGGTGAAACTAATAGGTAATAGATTAGGCCAATACAGTCACTACAAAGTCATGTCTCAGTAGATTGAAATGTAATAGTGCAAATCACCGAGGAATGACTTTGTCATGGCTGAATTGGCTTAAAAGTTTATCTATTAATAACATGTTTCCTACTGTATTATTACTTCTACCTATCAGTTAAATTATACATTGAAGACAAAGTATGATCGTTAGAAAGTCAATGATCTGGTCGATTCTAGTACAATAATGTAAATCACCGAGAAGTGACTTTCTGATGACTAAAGTGGCCAGATATTTATTTACTACTATAACATTGCCATTTTCTACTAGCATATAGTATTTGCAAGATATTATTTTCTACCGTACTCTTTATATTAATCTCTACTATACCACAACATATTTACTATAACATATTTGATATACTTACTGAAAGAAACATGAGAGAATTATTCAGCTATAATATTTTCTACACACCTGCATTGTTATATTCTGTAAAACTATAATACCATGTTGCAATGTCATAATACGACTACTTTTACCTCGTTTTCTCCTTGGTTATTGACATATTATCCTTGGCAAATAACCGGAGAAAAACTGGGCGATAGATCGGATCGTATATCTTGTTATGACATATTGTATTTGCTAAAGATTTGGCAAGACGGTCTATTTCCTAGTTAGAACGAGGTGATCACATAATAATCAAAAACAACACAAAAAATGTAAAATACGTTTCGTTCACACATAACTTTAAAATTAAAGAATGTAAGCTCTTACCTGAATTGAGATCGATTTCATTAGCCGCACTGTTCTCCACAATAAGTTTTCGTATCTTGCCCATGAGAGTATATTACACAAGTGACTTGGTCCGTTTAGGTTTACAAATAGCGTCTAAAATGTCATATTTCACTAGTTTTTAATTAAGATATTTTTTAAATAAAATTCTCTTACCTTTTCCCTACTGTATAATGGCCCTCAGAGTACAGTACCTCTAACCTATTGTACTTTACCCTATCATACCCTACACTATTCTACCCTCCCTTACCCTGTCTTACCTTACTGTACCATATCGTACCCTACAATACTCTGCCATACCCTACTATACCCTACCCTACCATACCCTACCCTACCCTGCCCTACCCTACTCTACCCTACTCCACCATACTCCACCGTACCCCATACATTACCTTATAGTAACTCAACCCAACACAACCATATCCTACTCTACCCTGCTTTACATTACCCTACCCTACAAAAGCACCTGATTTCATTTATCCTACCATGCCTTAGCTTGCCATAATCTACATTATATTGAAATACCTGTACTTTAGGCTACCCTATCCTATCCACTCTAACTCTACTCTACTCTAACCTACTCTACCTTATCCTGCTTTATAATGCTCTACCCTGCCTTACCGTACCCTATCCTTTTCAACCAGCCCCCTACCTTTTGATCCGAATTTCGATCACAAAGTAGCTGCAGAATGTCCACAGTAATAGCCAACAACTTTTCATTCCGGTCCGCTAGCCAATCCACAATCACTGCCATGGCTTTTTGAGTTCGTGCAAAATCGACCACTCTTCGACCGACTGTTTTGTCGGTCATCAGGTTGTGTAGGATCAGAAGGGCATACTTAAAACAGGCATTTTCTTCCACTTGAATACATCTTATCAGGTCGGCCAGAAAATGATTTAATGAGTTTTTCTCGACTGTGTTCAGGATCAAATCCATGCCATGTTCTCGGTTTGAAATGTGGAATAAGGTGCATAAGGTCACTCTGATGGCTTTCTAAAACAAAAATAATAATTTTGGGCTTTCCTTTATATTGTTGTAGACAAAAAAAAGTAAACTTCCTTTACAAAACAAATAATGGCAAAAACTTTCTTTACAAAGCAATAAATGGCAAAAACTTTCTTTACAAAGCAATGAAAGACAAGAACTTTTTTTCAAAAACAAAAAATGGCAAGAAATTTCATTAAAAAGCAAAAAATAGCAAGAACATTCTTTACAAAAAAAAGAACTGTCAAAAAATTTCTTTACAAAAGCTTTTTTTATACTAACAGTACTATTATATAGTACCACGTGTACCAAGTTTCTAAGCCACTAACTTTCAATCAATAAGACGAATAGTACTTTTAAGTTTCAGAAAGAGATAATTTTTGTTCTGCACAGTGCAAAAAATAAAAAAATATTTAAAAACTGCACAGTGCAGCCGTTTTAACCTTTTTTTCTATGCAAAAATGCCATTTCTTATTAAAACAAAAAAGTAAAATACATTTTACTACTCCTATAGGCTCTATATATTACTATCAAAAACATTTCCAAAGCGATAGATAAAGAACGACAGATGTGAGGGTATAGCTCAAGGGTAGAGCTCTCGCTTAGCATGCGAGAGGGCTAGGGTTCAATTCCCCATACCTCCAGGACAACTTTTTGGGCTTTTATGAAATAAAGTTGTAAAATACGTCTGCAACACTAGTGTTTCATAAATGATAGTAAAAAAATCTATCAATAATTCAATTTTTCTTTAAAATTTTTAAAATTTGACTTTTTTGTTAAAAAATTGATTCTTTAGTAAAATACGAAACTTGACGCATGTTTGTAAAGTAAAAAAAAATTTAAATCTGAAAAACGCACCTTATCTTCAAACCTAGTCCTCAATACCCTCGTCAACGCTGTCACAACTCGTTGGTCATTGATAACCGGTTCGGAATAATGTTGTTGAGCGTCCAATTTGGCAATATGTGCCACCATTTCCAAGGCTCGACATGCTACTTCCTGTAAATTATAGTAGTTCAAGAAACAGCGACATATATAGCATAACTCGTATTTTATTCAACTATACCATCTCTTCTTCTCGATACGATAAGCTATACTACCTTAGTTTACTTTGCCCTACCCTGCTCTAAATTACCAGACGCTACTCTACTCTACTCTACTCCACCTTACCCTACCCTACCCTACCCTACTCTATCCTACCTATTATACCGTACCCTACCCTAACCACTCTCACCTGCCTCATTTTAAACAAAACGCATACCCCACCCCGAAAATTCACTATTTCTTATCACCCCCAACAATTTTTTGCCATTTCCTCCCCACACCCACCTCATCACAATCATCCAGTAGCGGTATCAGCTCCGGTAAAACCCTGCGGGCATTCTCCGAATCATTTGCGGGTATTTGAGTTGAGGGAGTCGGCTCCATTGGAGTCGAGTCACAAGCCGCCACTTGACATTCCGGACTTGTGATCGGCCTTTGAGGACATTTCATGGTTGGCGGTACGTTCATCGACATTATCGAAGCTGGCTGAAATTTGAAAGTAAAGTTTATCAGCCAAAAAAAGGTTTATAATATTTAAAAAATGATATTAACCATGATAGGCTGAACATAATAATGAATATTTTGATTGCAAAGTTCTTTTTAAATACCATAGTTAACAATAGGCCTTAAGAAGACCAAAAAACAGTCAATATTACTGTAAAACAACATATAAAAACTAACTTTAGTCCATAAAACATTCAAAAAACTCTAAAAACTTTAAATTTTGTTGCCTAAAATTTCAAAAAAATTGTTTTCTGCCAAAACTAACTACACCAAAACCTTCAAAATAGAATACCAGTACAACTATGCTATTACCTTGCTATTCTCCATCGATTGAAACCCACTATCAAAGTAGTAGTTCTGTTGGAACCATTGTTGTGTCTTCATACAGCCATCTTGTTGTCCCAACTCGGTCAGCTGATCCTCGGTTTGAAGTTCGCTGGCGTGGACTGGTTCATCTGGTACACCCGTGGGACCGTTACTGTCGCTGTACATGGAATTGGGGTCCATGGGGTGGACCGGCGAACAGTAAATGTCCATCTGGAAGGTGGTAACGTGAGTTTTTTAAAATTATTTAACATTTAAATTTTTAAATTTTTAAACTCAAAATAATTCTTAAAAATGAAAAAATAAAACGTCATTTTATACAATTACTTTAAAGTCCTTCAAATTTATAAGAAAAAACAGCAGCCAATTGTATTTCGCAAGCTGCGCCCGAAACCTGCAGGCTGCAAAAAACTTTATGTGTAAAAAAGAATTTAGAGTAAAATACGGGACCCAAAAAGCAGCAAAGGAACTTCACAAATTATAAAATAAGCAAAAAGTTAAATTACAAAAAAAATTCAAAATCATAAAGTTACAGTAACCAAAAAAAAATATTTTTCAATTCCACCACCCCTACTACAGTAACCCCATATAACAACAATACAAATAGAAAATTGACAATGCGCGAACGGCGTTTAAAAACGCATTTAAAAAATTACAAAGAAGATACGATCGTCACCCCTAATCCCTATTCGCGCCAAACATATGCGCAATCAAACGACTGTCACTTTCCTCAAAACTGTCGACAGTTCGCCAGGCCCGCTTTTTATGGCCGCCGTTTCGAATAATTTGAATATTTGGATTGACAAAAGGGCTTTTGAAAGACTGAAGTGAAGCCAGTATAAGAGTAAAGATCGAGTAATGGCAAGGAAAGGCATAGGCTACAACAAAGTAAAATGGTGTTAGGAAAAGGGTATGGCAAGAGTAAGGCAAGCTAACCTCACAATACCTTATGACATCCCTATTATAAGTACTCCATTCTTACTCAAATACCCACAAGCGTAGTTGAAACTCTCAAATTGAGTCACTGTTTTTCGATTCAAACAAAATTCACATGTAAATTGACATGAAGCGCAAGAAAATGGCGTAAAAAAGGGTCCCAGATGATCGATTCCAAGTCACTTATATGACCTTTTTCATGTGAAATTTCAACAAATCTTTGGAAGAAAGGTATCTATTCTATGTTGCTACAATACGTATCAGAATCTAGAGCACTTCATTCCATTTTGATGGTAAAACCGGCCAGTAAAGTATAAAGACTCCCACTATCCTCCGTATTAACTATGATTTTATATCAAAAAATGATCAATAGTAACCTACTATAATATAATAATAGAACAAGAAGATTCTGTGCCAAAATTAAAGTAGCATAAGTCCAGTTATAAACCCAAAAAACTAACAAAAACCTCCTAAAATTAAGAAAAAACACCCCAACAGAAATTACCAACAAAAAACACCTACAACCCTTCAAAATAATGTCCAAAAAATGACTTCAAAACTTTTTTTTCAAACTTTTTCATAGTTGAACATCACTTTGCGCGCGCGACATAACACTCAGAAAAACTTTTTTTTTTCACTCTAGGGTTCTGTCTGTTATCACTCCAACGATCTAAAACAATATTTTTCTTGTTCGACTTCCAAAAAAAGCGTGTGAAGAACATTGGGGAAGCGTGGCTGTTATTGGGTGTTAATTTTGTATAATTTGAAATTGAAGTAGGTTTTAAATATGACGTTTTTTAATTTTAAAAAGTTAAGCATGGTGCAGTTGTTGACTTTTCAAAAAAAATTATCCTGTCAAAATAAAAAAACGTTTTCCTCCCCCCCCCCCAAGCCAAAATCGCCATAGCCATTACTAGTGACAAGAGGGAAACTTTTGATTCGAAAAAAAAAGAGAAGAAAAAAATTTTTTAAATTTTTTTTTAAAAAGTAGAGGTTGGTTTAGAGGTAAAGATAAGTTTAAGAGTAAGGTAAGGGAAAAGGCAGGGTTAGGAAGAAGTGTAAAAATTTTTGGATTTTGCTTCTGGTGAGGAGTGTAAGGAATGTCATTATATGGAAAGTCTGCCACATCCCGGTCGGAAATTTCTAATTACAAAAATCACCCCGCCCAACTCCAAAAACTTCTATTATCACCAAATCCACCCCTAGAAACCACTAAAATCGTAACACTTATATCCAAACCCCAAAAAAAATTTTTAAATCACAATAAACCCATGCCCAGAATCCTTTCAAATCACCAAAAACCCACGCCCAAAAGCCGCTCAAATCACCATGAACCCATACCCAAAACCTTCTCAAATCAGCATAAACCCATGCCCAGACCCTTCTCAAATCACAATCAACCCAAGTTGAACTCATGCCAAAAATATCCCTAAAAACCACCAAAATCACCCCCAAACCTTTCTTAAATCACCACGAACCCATGCCGACAAATTAGCGGAAACGCGCCGAGAATCGGTTATTCCCCCTCCGGCTTTAGCTAATGAAGGAAAGGTTAGAACGGTTTGCCGACGGCCCCGATGGGGGCCTTATCACTTGGGACGAGTAAGAGAAACAGAAGACACTGCCTTAGGGGCCTGTTATGTAATCAAAACGAAATGAGTGAAAAAAGAGGGAAACGTCTTTTTAATCGCGGAGACAAGTGCCCCTGAGGCGCTTTTTCTTGTCAAAACTTGGCTTTTCACACGACGGCCAGCCGGCTGATTTTTTTTAAAACACACAACATGATTAAAAACTGCTACTGATTTGTTTTGGGCAAGATGTAAGATCTTGTTTACATGTTCAAGAAAATGACATCTTGATCATGAGTTTGGAGATTAGTGAAAAAGAAGAGATCAAGAAGGGTAAGAAAGGATAAGGTAGGGCAGGGTAGCATAGAATATGGTAGAAGAAGGTAGATCAAGGTAAAATAGGGTGAGATAGAGTAAAATAAAGGTTGGAATAAAATTAAAAATCCCATGTTCCGGTTAATCTTCTAGGTACTGAAGTAGTTTTAAGGAACCATAAAAAAAACTTTATACCCCTTATTAATCGTATTTTACCTTGTAAACCATAAACAATACTCATTACACATTCTTCAATTCTACTTGATCCTAAAATCAAGCTCTGCCCCTACTCCTAATTTAACCTTGTAAACCCCAGTTGATCCCTTATTTTTTGCCAAGAATGTGACAGCAAAAATCAAACAGCGTTCAAATCATCATCGCAAAAAAACCGACTTCAAAATGAAATAAGATGAGTATAAGACAAGCATTGGATTGACTATAACAACATTCTTTTTGACGATCCCTGTTTTGACAAGTCACAGAGATCAAAAATGTAAAACAATTCCTCAATCTAGGTGTTTGAAAATGTGCCGTTTTAGTTTTTTTTAAAAGTGCCTGGCTTATTGTAGTTTTTATTGAACTATCCTTTATACAAAAGTTCTACTGTATTTATATTCCTCTAACCCTTACACGGCACCCTGAACCAATAGAAATGAAACGCATTCCTTTTTTGACATTTCGCCGCGTCACGGTTGATTTTTTAGGAAAAAAAATACCGAAATTGTAAAAACATTTTTATGAATGGAATATGAGATAAAAAAATATAGTATATTTATTAAATATGCGTTCTGCTCGTTTTCAAATTGACCGTTTTTCATTCCATATAAATTCTGATTGATCTGAGGATGAAGTATATCAACATCAAATTCCTTACAAATTTTAGTTTACAACATCCTGAATTTACACATGCTGCATCAGTAGATTAAAATGGTGCCAAAAACGTCTATTTAAATGAAATACTTTGTCACATTGAAAAGCTTGCTTTCCGATATTATAGTAGACCATCTGATCATTTTTGTTTTAAAAAGACTTATACTTTCCCTTTCGATATATAGTCAAACCTTTTATTAAAAATTAACATTTCTTATGATCTTGCTAAATCAAACCTAAAACGTGAGAAAACAATATAAAATACTTACCAAGGATCCGCCAAACTCTATCTCTAATATAAAACATCTAACAAAGTATTATACGGTCAAATTAGCTAAATCAACATGTTTGACTGCGTAATAATTTGATAACCGTTTCTGACATAAATAGTTTTTGCCACATTTTGCACAAAATAGTAGAATAAGTTTCGACATTAGACGAAAAACCGACCGAAAAATAAAAAAACAGGGGAAAACGAAATGAAACAAATTATCGGAAAAGGGATCGATAACGATTCTCTATTTTGACTGAGCGTTCGGTTCAGGGTGCCGTGCCTTACCAGACTAAAAACCTAAATTAAAAACTACAATAATCCATGTTTATGCAAATTGAAACCCTTAACAAGGCATTTGATCAAAACATTTTTGCATTTTTATGATCCACTTTGAACTTTTAAAAAGTTTTTTCTTCGCGCATTTGCCATTTACAAGCCGAACAATGGCGTTAAAGTTCAAGTAAGGCCAAGACAGATGACAATAGTCATGATTCATATCAAAAGTGGGTAAAGATGTTTCATTTTATTAAAGTTTCAAATGATTCAAATCGAATTTATCAAATTTAAAAGTGTCTAAATTTAAAAGTATCCTATTTTTAACCTACTTTTTAATTAAAAGTGGCAATATTTTGTGGGAAAATTAACAAAAAGCTATAAAAACATGTTTAATTCGACCAAAATCAATATTTTTAAACAGTAAACCTTTTAAAACCCACAAATTCAATTTAAAAACAATCAATTCGAAACAAATTTAAATATCCGATCAAATTGCCCTCAAGCCAGAGAGTCAAAAAGCCGCTTCAATTAAAACTTTTTATGGGCCAGATCAAATATTTTTAGAATCAAAGTAGATGGCCTTAAGCAAGATTTAATTAGTCTATTAAAATGTTTTAATTTAAACTGGATTTAAATTTTTTTAGCTACTTTTTAATAAATTTATGAGTTGAAATTGTAAAAAAATAGTTTTAAAAGCCCTCAAGATAGAAAAATATGAAAAACAAAAAAATTAAATTTCAAAAACTGATGTGCATCAAAATAAAATTTGAAGGCAATAAAAAGGCTAACTGATCCAAAGCTTTAAATTTGATAAGCCTTTTCTAAAAAAGTATATTTTAATAATGTTTCAAGCAAAAATGTCTTTTGTTTTCGCGCAGCTGTCCTCGGCAGCGTCAAAGAGTAGAAAGACTAGCCACAAAAAAGTCGATTTTCACGTTTCAGACAATAAAAAAGAAAAACTAAGGATTGAGTTTGTGAAAAAATAAGTCGCAAATTTAGACCATAACGCCAAAAACCGTATTTGGCCTATACAGTAGAACTCCCGTATAAAGAATCGCTTGGGATTTTAAAATTTGTTCGTTATGAACAGGTTTCGGTATAAAGGAGTTTTAGATGCACTGCGTCGTGCTAGCCGGAGATTCAAAAGTTGTTCGTCATGAAGAATTTTCGTTATAAAAGAGTTCGTTATACAGGAGTGCTACTGTAGTTTCAACAAAAAAACCTGAAGGAGCATACAGTAAGACTTTTGTATAACAAACTCCTCTATAAAAAACAAGTTTTAAATCGCCGCCTACCACTACACAATGCATTTAAAACTACTCTACACCAAACTCCTTTATAACAAAAAAATCGAAAATCTTTTGGAAATTCATTATAAAGAAGTTCTACTGTATTTCAACCAAAAAAAATCAAAAAATTTAACCACCCCCCCCCCATTAAAACCTATCATAACACACTTGATGAACAAGTTGTAATTCAATGCGTGCAAGCCTTTTACTTTTAGTGCTTTCGAAAAGAGTAAACTCCGATGTTCGCGTGGCTCCCATAATTCACCCGGACGGGGCCGAAATCACGGCAGGTTATGATGAAAAAACAGCTGAATGTCGTTAAAGCGTGTTTGATTACCGGACCCGATTACTTTTGTAAATTTATCGATAATTTGAGAGATATTTTGAAAGTTTTGTGAACTTACAACTTTTTTAAGTTAAACTTATTAATTCATTAAAATGCAGTAAAAGCCCTGTATAACAATCTCGGGAATTTTAAATTTGTTCGTTATAAAGGAATTCCAGTATAGATAAACCTGACAAAGAGTCCACCTTGGCGCGAGTCGTCACAAGGAGTGTGTGCCTAAATCTAGGCTCCAGAGCCCCAGCTTTAGTCATGCAACGAAAGATTTGGGTTACAAAATGCGTAAGACAACTCTGACTTTAAAGATATTTACTTAAGGACTTTTTTAATAATAAAAAAAAATTTCTTCGAGTAGGACAACCTGAGTCTAAATTTCATTAAGACTTACAAGTTGACTTCTCACTGTTTTATTAATCGTTTCTTGTTCTTGTAATAAAATATGGTTACAGTACCTTACTCCTACTGTAACTGACCTCATTCTCCACGTAAATTTCGATAACTCCATCGGATTCAATTAAATTTCGCTAAATTCGCAAAAAAAACAAGGGTTTGTTCCGTTTTAGCGCAACAATTTGTCAATCTGGCTCGAGCATTCACACACAAAGCTCTGCCGAAGGTTGTTTAATAAATTACTGATCAAAGAAAGAGATGTTCGACATGACATCATTGAGAAAAAGTTTTCATTAATATTTATGGCTTTTTACTGTAAAGCCGGCCTGAAAAAGTTGAACTGATTCATAGTTTTAAAATAGAGACGAGGGTGTAGAGACAAGAGTAAGGTATAATTAAAAAACATTTTTTGTTGAACAACAACATAAAAAACCGATAGATAATCTATAGTAACATAAATAACCAGTAGATACTCTACAGTATAAAACAGAGAATCAAATGATGACTCAAAATATGACCAACATGCTACATTATGAAGCACAATCAAATAAAACGACAGTCTTGTTTACAGTATGAATCACACAGGCTACTGTACTCACCACAATTCATAATAATATGAATCACCTTTAGCTAATGTGTCCTCGCTAGTTTGCAACTTTTTTCCTTCAAGACCTCAACTTTTTGCCATGAAATCAGCGACTTTTGGCTCTCAAAGCCGCAACTCCTTGCTCTAGAAGCCGCAACTTTCAAGACAGAGAACTTTGCGTAAAGTACAAATCACAATGTCTACTATAATATACTGAGCATTATAGTAACAGCAACTTTTTGCTTTTTAAACCGCAACTTTAAAATTACAAAACATTGCTTACAATACCAATCACACTAGCTACTGTACTCACCACAATTCATAATATTATGAATCACCATCAGCTACTTTTTCCACTCAAACTTGGCATTTTTCGCCCTCAAACCCGCAACTTTTTGCCCTAAATTCCGCAACTTTTTGCCTCATAATCTCTCGAATTGCATTCCTCTCTTCCTAATCAACGTACCCTATTCGGCACACCTCATAAACGGGCCCACTAAGTACCCAATTCCCAAAAAAGTTTTACGATACCACCGGTTGCCTCCAATCCCTTCACACCGCTGGCTGACTTCGCATTCTGATTCATTCGCCTTCTGATTCGCCGCCTCCGGGCCTTTGCGGCACCGTTTCCCTTTGACAAAAAAGCCGCTTTGTATTTGATGATATTAATGTGACTGAAGAGTAGTTGAGTGATAATTTTCCCGACTTCCATTACATTTGTTTCTCTTATCATTTGGGTTATGAATGTGGATGCGTGCCAGGTTTGTTTCAATGTTTTGTTTGAAAAAGTGAAGAAAAAACTGTGGTGTACAAGATAAACTTTATCTATTGATAAGTTTTCGTTCCTTGTGTTTGCTGTTCGTGAAAAAAAAAATTAAACAGTGCTTTTAAATGACCCTTCAAATTTGTAACATTAAACTTGCAAAATTTTTCAAATTTTACAAAAATTACGGTTAATTACCATATATGACGTAATCACGCTTCAAGGCTCTAAATTGAACAACTTTTTCAATATCTAATCTCATTATATACGAATATCAACATTAGACTCCTCGAGCGTCTCTATATCTCGCCAACAGCCTCATTATTTCACCATCAGCTTGGTAATTTGACCATCGACTTCATTATCTCCCTATCGAATTCATTGTATCACCATCAGCTTCATTGTCCCATGATTAGCTAAATAAATAACCTCGACGTCAGATTCATTACCCCACCAACGGACGTATTATTTCATCAACGGCCTCATTACCAGAACATCAGCTTCATAACCCCACCATGAGCTTCATAACCTGAACACATTAGCTTCATTACCAGACTATCAATCTCAATATTTCATCATCACCTTCATCGTCCCACCATCAAACTCATTACCCCACCAACGGCCCCACAACCTCACCACCAGCTAATCAACACACCTTTCCCTCATTGTCCCCAAAATCAACCCAATAGCCACCCCTTTGGCTTCATTATCAAACAATTAAACCGCGAATCCCTTCATGTTTTCCGCAAAAAGTCAGAACACAAATCGAAGCTGTATGTTTTGGGCGCGTTTGAAGAATGAGACGGCCACAAAGCGCCATTTATCACCAACACGGCTTATTTTCAAGCCTCGGATTTCGGTGGGGGGTTCTTCGTTCGCCTCCAAAATAAAAGGCAATCGCCAAAAAAAAGTTGTGCGTGAAATATTACCCTCTGAACTTTGGGGATTAGACTGCGGGAAAAGGAAATGACAGCTTCTTGTAACACAATATTTGGAACTTGGAGAAAGATGTGAGACAATGTAAAGATAATTACAATTTACAAAAGACACTATCTAATTTTAAACACAATTAAGAACGTAAATACAAGGCGAAATAAGGGTAAGAGTAAATGTAGGCCCAACTTACAGAAGTTTCAAAAGTTGACAGTGCCTCGTCGATCTCGACATCGTTACTGGTCGCGAAATTAGCCACTTGTTCACACGTTCGCTTCTGTATTGCCAGTTCTAAAAGCTTCCTTCTGTCCCCGTTGATTTCCGTTTTGGTCTTCTTTGAACTACTCCCAGGCTTTGAATTCCGTTTTTGAGTCCAAAACCTTCATCTTGTTGAAGCAGAACATTGATTTTTATGCCTAAAATTCAAAGTTAATATACAAAATAACGAAAGAAAAATGTTTTAGACGTGTGGATAAAACAGTGAACGTAAAGTTAGATCAAGAAACGTAAGGCAATGCAAATATTTTCGTAAATTTACGCGTTTTATATTACATATGAAAAACAAGGAATATTATAGTTAAAGCCCCTTTACTTTATAGAAAAATAGATAAAAATTATTTTAAAAAATAATAAAATAAAATTTTCCCTAAGTACAAAGGTCCATATTTATACTATTTTATCAGTTGTAACATCAAAAACCTCGATTTACATTTGTTTTTTCCTTTCTTTACTCCTCAAGTTGCGCCCGCCTTATTTTATACGCTGGAACATGCCTAAATTTACCAAAAAAGTAAAAATAAATTTCAGAGCAGGGAGAATGTCGCAACCGGTTGCAACCCAACAACGCTGGCATGAACTGGTCAATTTGATAGCGGAACGACTGCCACCTGGCAATGCGAAGCTGTTGCTGACCCGCTTCCGCGTCTACGACAACATTCCGCGGAAGAAGAAGCAGTTTCTGAACTTTTTGAGGTCCTCGTTCCATTTGAACGATAACAATATCGCGGAGAGTGTTTGGGACTCGCTTCAAAAGGAGTTGGATGTTTTGAAGAGTGAAGGTAGGGAGTTTTGAATTATTTTGTTTTATTTTAGGTAATATTTGTAAGGAGGTGGATATTTGTTTGAAAGGCGACGATAAATAGTGTTGATGAGGAATTGGGACTTGTTGCTTTTAGAAACAAATTGTTTTTGAGCTGTTTCTTCAGATTTAAAGCGAATAGTTTAGAAAAAAGAAGATAAAATAATGAAAAGTCGGTTATATTACATTACACTTGACAAAAATGAAAGATAACTTTATTTTTCAATGAAAAACATTAACCTCAATATTTTAGGCGTTTCGATCCCAGCGGATCTGTTCGCCAAGCCACAGAAGAAGACCTATTTCGGCTGTCACCAACAATTTCCAACGCCAGCTCCGGCCCCAATTCCGCTTTGTGAAGTACCGTCGCTGCCGCACGTGCTTCCTAACCGTCCAGCCCACGCCACTACAAAAGGACCTCGATCCACAAGACAGCCAAAGGCCAAGAGATGGGAAGAGATTGAGGACAAGATGAAGGAAAAGGGATACATCTCCCAAAGATAATATTTGAACCGAGATTCTTATTATTTTCTAATTGTAATCAGTATTTATTATTTTGCGATACAAAAATAAAATTTTAAGTGTTTGAAAGGATTATGGGGAGAAACGCAATATTGTAGTAGGTAAGAAGCCAGAAGTAAAGATACAAAGCTATTCATAACAAATATGTTCCAAATCATTCAATCTAGCTAGTTTATTCACAAATGTATGCCTGGTTAATTGCATTCATCAGAGGGTTCAGTAAATTCGGCGTTCTGCTCCTTCCTGGATTGATCGTACTTCTTCACATACGAATCGTAGTCGTCGATGAAGATCAACAGATTCTGGCTCATTTCAATGGCGTTGTACTTCATAAAGTAGAATAATAGCACGCGGAACACGTACAGGTACTCCTGTAACAAGGTTTTATTAATATTATGGGTTTAGACGTGTTATTTATATAAAAATTGATATTGACCTTAACATTTTCAATATTCTTCCTAAAACCCTTACCATTTCATTGCGAATCGCACTTTGCCGTTTGGTCCTCAATTCCTTTGTCATGCTGAGCATATTGACCTCTTCATTCTTCTGAATCTTGGCCAACATCTGACATGTCAACACCACGACCGCGCTTCGACCAGAACCCGACGTACAGTGGACTAGAATCTTCTTCTTTGTCGTCTTTAACTGCTTCCAAATGAATGGGATTGTATTCGAGGCTTCTGGATAACCATGGGTTGGGAACCCACCCCAATAGACGTGCTTCAGCGCGGCCTCAGATTTTGGACCTTGCACTTTGAGATTGATGAACTGGAGCGATGGTTCTTCCACTGGCTGGGGATCGGCCTATAAATTAGGATTGTATGTAGCTTTTTGAGTTTCTTTAGAGCTTTTAACATATTTTAATTTTTTAGACTTAAAAGTACAACTTACTTTTAAAAAGGTCACTTTATAAGGGCCATATTCCGCGCTCTGACCTATCTTTGATGGATAATATCGGGCGCACTTTTTACCTTCATCACACGGATGTAACTGAATGATCTGTAAATCAATAGGTATAAAATTTTTTCCTTAATAATTAAAAACAATCAGCTTGTATAAAACAATCATTTTCAGACCTAAAGGCTGGTTGTATCTACTAGAACATAAAATCAGGTCCAACAACTTGATATAAACCTATTTTTTGTAGGAAAAACTCTTAACTCAAGTCAACAAAACAATATTAATGTTATATCTTACCTTCTCATAACTTTACAATCTTTTATACATTCAAAACAAACCTACAGCTTCGACCTCATTCGCCAAGACCAAGTCCCAGAAATGTGCCACCGTTCTTTCCAATGGAGACTGTGCCAAAATGAACATTGAGTCCACAATATTGGCATTGTAGTACCCTCCATCCGACAGTTTAGCCTTGGTCGCTTCAATGCACTGGATATTCTAAAAAAACAGTTTTATTAATTTATCCTGAGTCAAAATCAAGAAAAACAATAATTCCGGGCGCGTTTTTTAAATTGGCTATAAATCTTAAAATACGCAATCAACTTTTGAAAATATTTTTAAAAACATCTTAAAAACCTTAAAAATAACGAAGATAAACAATTTTTGAGTTTTCATTCACCTCCGCCGAGGTACGGCAAGATAAAGGTACGAAACTCTCGAGAAAACTCCAAGAAAAACGAAAAAGTTTGAGCCAATTCGCGCCCACATATGCGCAGGTTGCAGCTCTAATTAGCTGTTTAGCCAATGACCATTCGGAGGTGTACCGGTAATACCTTGTCTTTTATGTGATACGTTTTGAAAAATTTACGTTTTCAACTAAAAAATTGAAAAACTTCAAAATTTCAAAGATTTTTTTAAAAAAATGTTGACTTGGTCCACCCTGTGGTTTTTTGAAATTTATTGGGCATTTTTAAAAAATATATTTTTAAAAATGAACCAAAACAACGTACAATGACTACATAATACCCTGCCGTATAAAAATTTCAATATTTTCTAATATCAAACTTTAAAACATCTTAAACTCAACTTAAACCGATTCCGTTCCTCAGCCTCCTGTCCAGTCACTGTCTGAGGGGACCTAGTCTTGTCTTCTGCCTTCAGTGTATTGAATTCCTTCCTCAAGCCAGTCAACTCTTTGTCGATCGTGCTGTGGATGAAATTGAACTTGTCCATGACAATTTCGACCTGTTGATTACCTGGACTAACGGCTGGAGTAGCTGGACTGGCTGCTGGTGCGCCTGGGCTGGCTGGTGGGGCCGCGGGGCTGGCTGCTGGAGAAGATGGGCTAGCTGCTGGGGCAGCTGGACTGGGTGCTTCTTGTTCTGGTGTTTTAGCTTTTGCAATAGCTTTTGCTTTTCTTCTGAAAAAAATATTTTAAGGGGTGTTTTTGAATTTTTAAACATTTTTTATTTACAAATTTTTGCAAAAAGTTAAACTTTAGGTATAAAAAGCCAAGTCTTACCTTTTCAAACTGCCGTCCGCTTTGTCTCTGTCTCTGTCCCTGTCTGGAGCTGCCATAACAGAAGGTCCCGCATCGGCATTTGACGAAGATCTGTTGTTTCGTTTCATCGTTGGGGTGCTTCTTCGTTTATGTACCTAAAAAACTTTATGTTTAAATGAAGCTTAACATTTCCGTAATTCTAGCTTATGTTAGTCTACAGTACGTTTTACTTACTGTATTTAAACTGTTAAGCAGTAAAATACTTTTAAGCTTACTTATTCAAACTACAGTAATTTTTTGTTAATACTTATGTTAGTAAAACTACTGTACTTTTTAATCACCATAATTAAGCTACAGTACTTCTCAATCACCTCATCCAAGCTACAGTACTGTTTGCTGGATCTAGTTAAGCTACGGTACTTTTTAGTAAACCTAGTCAATATACAGTATCTTGTGACTAGCTTACAAAAAACACAGTAGTTTTTTTATCAGTACCTATTGAAAACTACCGTGCTTTTTAATTACCCTAGGCAAGCTACAGTACTTTTTTACCACTTTATTCCATATACAGTACTTTTTGTTTGGCCTAGGCAAATTACTGTAATTTTTTGACTTTTCTATTTCATTTACAGTAGTTTACCCATACCTAGTAAAAGTGAATTACGTTTCTATCTCCTATTCAAACTATAGTAAGTTCTTGACGTTTAAAGACAAATTACAGTACTATCGAAATACATCTACTTTCCGCCCTCAATAACCTGAATCATTCACTAAATAAGACCTACCCTTTTGGAGTTGTGATCGCTGGTGGTGTCATCCTGTGTTCCGGGGTTGCTCTTCTTCTTCTTGAACCATTTACTGGCCCGTTCCCTGATTTTGTCCATGAGTCTACACGGTGATACCGCTTCGGAGGGGGGGGGGCGACGACAATAATGGCAGCTACCGAACGGTAAAATGAAATTTGAAAATAAAACAAGGTCGAGAGTTTGGTGAAACAACCAGTAAATGTTTCGGATTTTTTGTAAAATTTGCATATTTTCAAAATAAAAAGATAGATTGGTTACCACGATTTGCACTTTGGCCCAGGAATTGGAAAGTTCACGCACTCGGTCCATTACCGTTAGGAATATTGAACTGAAAGCTCATGATAGTCTGAGGTAAAAATTAAAATTTTGAAAATGTAAAATCTTTTTTTGATTGAATATATAATATATACAAAAAGCTGTTTCTAATCATACACTAGGTTTTAGAGACCCACCCTTGAAGAATCACGTATCCGATAGCCTCATGCCGTAGAATTTTAGATTTATTATAAAGTTTTTTACTAGTAAGTTGAAGAAAAACCATTAAAAGTTAAAAACTCATTTACAAGCCTAAAACACAATGGCAAATTGGTGGGAAATTTAAAACTTAATTTTTGATCTTGGTTTTTGGCGTTGTAATTTTTTAGCGAGCTTTAAAAAAGCAGTGTTTGTAGGTATACGTAGAAAAAACTATATAAAAGATGAGCGAAAACTAAATGTTTCCATAATTTGTTCTTTTCCCGTCTAAACAAACCTTTTTCTTCTCATAACTTGGCTTTAATAAACTTTATTTTTGTTTCTATTAACCTTGTGAAGCCTAGCTATCAATAATCTATACTTTTTGTTGATAAAAGAAGTTATAATAGCGACGATTACTAAGTTTATAATAGTGATTAGTATTTATAACTAGTATTATATCCTTGTGAATTTACTACCTTATTATAAAGTTTAAACTGCATTTTATTGTTACCCTTGTACTTCATATTATCGTTATCAATATGGTTTCATCCTTTTTAAAATACAAACTCCCGAAGGTGCCACATGAAATAGTGACAGAGTTTTACTCAGAAAAGCTGAAAAGTAATGTGAAAATTATGAAAGCCACGGTACATGATCTGGAAGTGATCTCGGACATACGAACATACGAGCTGCTCAAGTACAATCCGATTTCAGAACATATCAGTAAGTCGTGTCATTTTTAAAGCGTTTTTGATTTTTAAAATTTAAGAACGTTTACTTTATTCTGTGCCCTCTTTGAAATATATTTTTAGCTGACATAACTTTTACTACGCATGAATACTACAAAGCAGCTGTACTGGAAGAACTTGTTGAAGGTTTATCACTGATTATGTGTATCGACTCATATGTTATTGGTTTCTTGACCGGCTTTAAAGGCGAAGTTAAAGCTGATGATGTTGGATTTACTGGATTTAAAGAGGACTATGCAGAAGGTAAACTTAAATTTTCAAAATTAAAAAAACTATGATATGTAATTAATAATAGCGTTTACTACTGTTATATTCCATAATATTTCATCCAGATTGTGCCAAAAAGCTACCATGCCCACCAGAAGTAGCCATTATCAAGGTGATAGTGGATGAAATGAGGAAATGCATCAAATATCATGTACCAGTTGGATATTACTATTCAATTAGTCGATTTTCAATTCAAAAAGATTTTTGTGGTGCTGGTCTGGGCAAAGCCTTATGGAAGGCGAGCTTGACAATTGCGAAACAGCACGGTTTCAAGTACGTTGAAGCTGAATGTTCGGCCGTCGCTTCGACTAAAGTCGCAGAAAGTGTAGGTTTTTGGGTCTTGACATAGATAGGGGGTGGTGATGACGGGAGAGGTCAAAAAATTTGTAACTTTTTATCTCTTACTCCTTAACCCCCCCCCCCTTTTTTTAAAAATTAAAATAAATATTGATAATAATAACCGTTTTTAGCTAGGCCTACGATCATTCTTTGTATTCCCATTAGAACGAGCAATCCTCAACGGAAAACCGTTCTTTCCTCCAGTCCTTAGTGACGGATTAACTGGAGCAAACTTGGTCATTGGAGAAATTGACAATTATAACACTCTCTAATCTAATTCATGATAACTTTTAATCTTATTTATTTTTTTTATTAAATTAGTCTAAAAATATAAACTGACATCGCGCTTTTGACAAGGAAGGTACCCGACCTGCAACGCTCAGATTCTATTCAAACTTTTTATGTAGCAAGAGCATGTAAATGTAAATTTTATGCAAAATTCTAAGTTGCGGTTTGCGGTCACCCTTGAGAAAATCGAGATCAAAAAACCACTTTTCAAATTTTCCGCCAAATTGGCATTGTGTTTCAAGCTTATAACTTTGTCATTTTTTGACTTTTATCTATTTTTCTTTAATATACTATTAGAAAACCTTCAAACGAACCTAAATTTTTTAATTTGTAAGCGTAGCTTGTCTGGAAAGTCGCAAAAAGCGTTTGAAACACAATGCCAAATTTGTCAAATTGGCGGAAAACCAAAATAATTTAAATTTAAAACTCTAAAGCGCGAGCTAAAATTTTTTATAGGTACTACTCGTGGTACAAAGAATCCATATAAACATTTTGAGCTGATTCTGAGCGGGGCAGGTAGAGCACTTTCCTTGTAAGTTATTGTTAAAAAACTGTCATTTTTTAAACTTTTTTTAATTTAGAGTTATAACTTGTAAAAGCCTTGTAAAGTTTATAGTTAGGATACCTAATAAAATGATTGACAATCAATTGGACAAAGTTCTAGTACGTTTGCCATGTTTTAAAGTTTAAAAGGAATTTGATTTATTAATATTTAATTAACTTTTGTTGATTCAAACTTTGAATTGAGTCCTGTAAGACCTGGACAAACCTCCAACAATCCTCAAACGAATTATACATGTGTACCGGTGCGACTCGTATCACATTGGGATACCGTTTGTCCACAGCACATCCTCGTTTCGTTAACTCTCTGTAAATTAGCGATATGTCACAATTGAATTGAAGTGAAAGCTGACATCCACGTTGAGAGGGGTCTCGTGGCGTTATGAGTGAAATCTTGATGTGTTGTTTCGAGTTTTGATCAGTTTGGGTTGAAAAATGACTGTCAACGAGGTATTCCAAATAAGCAGTAAGTTTGAGGGATTTGGCTCTCAGTTGTTGAATGTTTGTGGTTTCAATGGCCTGAAAGAGACATAATAATACGTAAGGTAGTGTGGACAAGTTTTGATGGATTTTGACTAATTTTGTTTGTTTTTTTGTTGGGAAAGTGATGTTGGTTTGGCAGGGTGTAGATTTCAAAAAATGAAAAAAAAACAGGGGGGACCAAGCTCACGTAAAGTACCCTCCCTACCTGCCTAGCTCAGAATCAGCACAAAATTTTTATATGAATTTCTTGTACTACTAATAATACTCATTAAAAATTTAGCACGCGCTTTTGAGTTTTAACCTTGAATTATTTTGGTTTTCCGCCAATTTGGCATTGTGTTTCAAGCACTTTTTTCGACTATCCAGCTAAGATACACTTACAAATTTAAAAATGTAGGTTTATTTAAAGTTATTCTTCTAGTATTTCAAAGAAAAATAGGTAAAAGTCAAAAAATGACAAAGTTTTAAGCTTGAAACACTATGTCAATTTGGCGGGAAATTCAAAACGTAATTTTAATCTAGATTTTCTCGAGATTTCCTAAAAAGACTTTCCTGAATACCTTACATTAACATGATTTTGCTATGTAAAGATTTGAAGTCAATCAGAAAGGGGCAGATCGGATACTTTCCTTGTCAATTTTTTTAAAAAATTTTTTTTATATTTTTTTAGTTTGCCATGTTTTTTTGTTCAGAGATTCTAAGCATTGCTAATCAAGTTTTAAACCTCTTCAATTTAAAAAAAGGAATAAAAAAATTTAAAAAATAAAGTTACCTTCAAAAATCCCATGACAGCACAAACCAACAAGATGGGAGGATTGCTTATCCTGTAGCCAGCCGCTCCAGATGCCAATTCCAACTCATTAGTCATTAAAAACCGCGATTTCCTCTCATGCGACCACCAACCTAACATTCGGTTCCTCTGGTCATCTTTATGTTGATTATGAACGAACAATCCAGCTAAACCACCAGCCGAAGCACAACCATATTTGTAAGAACACCAACAAGCAAAGTCAACGCTCCATTTGTGGAGCTCCAGCGGCACATTGGCAAAAGCATGGGCCAAATCCCATCCAACGATGCAGTTTTGGGCTTTGCCGGCCGCTGTGATGATTTGAATATCGAAGAGTTGGCCAGTGTAATATTGGACTCCACTGAATAGGATAAGAGCTATTGAGTCGCCTTCTGCTTTGATGTAGTCTATGATATCTTGGGTTCGTACGCAGTCTTCTCCCTGAAAATTGAAGTTGGCTTTTGGCGGGAAATATGAATTTTAAAATCTGAATAGGATTTTTGACATATCAATTTCTTTAACCGTATTTTACCCCTTACCTCTCTAGGACTCATACACACCATAGCAGTTTTCGGATCATATCCTTTCAACCTTATCTGACTCTCGATGGCATAGTGATCAGAAGGAAAAGCCTGAGATTCTAGTAGGATTTTAAACTTCTTATCAGTTGGAGTGTAGAAAGCTGTCAATAAAACATGTAGATTTACTGTGAGACCATTCATGGCTGCTACCTCATCTTCCTCTGCTCCTACTAGCTTTTGTAGGCCGTCGAGCACGGCTTCATCACAGTCGATCCATGGGAGTTCGCCTGTATGGTGACCGAATACACCCCTGAAATAAGATGTATATTATTAGATTAAACTGGAGAAAGGAACAGGAAGGGGAGAAGAGAGATAGATTATGTTAGGATAGGATACGACAATGTAAATTAAGGTAAAATACGACAATGTATAGAATTAGGATAGTAAGAATACTTTAGGGCAAAGCAGGGTTCTATAAGTTATGGTAAAGTAAGGTATGTTAGAGAAAGGTAGAGTACGATTAGGTCAAGCTAGAGACAGTAGGAATACTGAAGGGCAAAGTGGGGTTCTCTAAGGACGGTATAGTAGGGTAGTGTAGGGTAGTGTAGGGTAGGGAAGAGTAAGGTAAAATAGATTAGAGTAGAGTAGGGTAGGGTAGGGTAGAGTAGGGTAGGGTAGGGTAGGATAGGGTAGGGTAGGGTAGGGTAGGGTAGGGTAGGGTAGGGTAGGGTAGGGTAGGGTAGGGTAGGGTAGGGTAGGGTAGGGTAGGGTAGGGTAGGGTAGGGTAGGGTAGGGTAGGGTAGAATAAGTAAAGGAAGTTAGATATAAAAACGCGATTTTCACCTTACATCTCAGCCCACTTGTCCAACTGTTTGTCAACATAACTCCTAGTAGCCTTAGGCAATAGTCCCAAAGAGTTACCACACAAATAAATAGAGTCTTCTTCATCATCCACCAAACTCCTATCAACCTCGGGCAAGGTTCCCATTTTAGGCAGATGAAAATTGTGTCTCAAGTAGGCTAGCTCATCGTCTTGATCTAATTGTTTAGCCACTTCTCGTGATGTCAGTTGTTGGTTCAGTTTTGTAGCGATATCCTTTAGGAATTCCGGGGTTTTGACTTGTTTTTCCGTCATTCTCTGAAATTTATTGGGTTTAATGGATGGGTTTTGTACGAAATAATAGTTAGGAGAGGTAAATAAACACGATGTAGGTATAAATAAAGAGAAGAAATGAAATTATTTTTGAGTTTAAAGGGATGGACTTGGATCTTGGGCTTAGTTTAGCTCACTTAAAAGATTAGAATGCTCAATTTTGACTAAAAATAGCCTAGTATTGTAAGCTTTTAATATTGTTTTAGCTATTTGAAGCACTGGGCAAGGTTTGCCATACCTTCGAAAACAAGAAGGAGGTCTTTTATGCTATGGCAAAATTTTTGAAATAAAAAAAGAACGTATAAACTAGCTGAAATAATCAAAAACAGTCGACAAAAAACGAAATCAAGTACAAGTTAACCTTTCCATTGACTCATTCGCTTGTTTTAACGGTTATCGTCACGTTTGCCACACCCTTTTTTGTCGTTGAAATCCAACGACTAAAATAAAAATAATCCGCAGACGATTCGTTGAAACTTTTGTCGTCTGCGGTGGTGTTTTTAAATTTGAGTAATTGGGGTGGTTTTTTGGAAAAATGGATTTTTAAAGTTTGCGAATTTTTTTGAAGTTATAATTTTAAACTTTTTTATGCGAAGTTTATATATTATACTGCTCCTGTATAACAAGTACTTTGTGAATTTAAAATTTGTTTGTTATACAGGAGTTTTGCTGCATCTTAACCAGTCTTTTACATTACCATAAGCATAGGGTAAGCTAGACTTGGTTCCTAGGCAGTACCAGAAATCCAGGTTAAATTTAGGCCAGGATACAGCTGTGCAGTGAAAGATAAAAATAAAACTTATAAATTGCTTTTTTGGCAATATAACTCGTAAGATAAGTTGTTAGACTAGCTTTGAGAAGCTAAAATACGCGGTACTGATTGCTTGTGGCATTCAATCGCTTCTCGCTATAAGCAACATCAAGAGACAAGCATTTGGTATTTATTATAGCAAGAGTTTCCTTTATCGACCGCTTTTTTCATGCAAGGTAGGACCAAAGTGTTTGTTGAGTATAACCTTTTAATTGATTTGAATATAGCTTTACTATGGTTAGAGTTTTGGTTATGTTCAAACCCTAACCTGTCCCAGTCTGCTTTACCCTACTCTACCTTACACATTCTTTCCATACCGTATCTTACGGTACCCTACTCTTCTATACCCTACCTTGCGCTACCTGCCCTACTCACTTTACCCTATATTACGCTATCCTACAATACTTTTCTTTAATTTTTTAATTTAAATTTTTTTCTGATAAGAAACGTAGACCATGAAGTATATAATGCTTTTTTTTGAAGTTCTGCTATTTTTTAATAGTTTTAAAACTTTTGTTACAATAATTTTACTTTCTTCCGAAAACACTAACAGTTTCCGGATGAGTTGTAAGGAAAGTTCCTGTAATTTCAAAATCCAATTTAACAAAGACTGTAAAACAACTCTTGCCGTTTTGATTACTTTTTTCCTGTTAATTGCGTATTCTCGACCGTTCCGCAAATTTGGGGGGAACAAAGCGTTTTATATAATATGTGAACCGTCAAACACTACTGCGTAACTTCATTTTTATCGATTACCAACTTTCACTTTTCGAAATATTTTGTTTTGACTTTGAAAGATAAATCGCTTCTTTAACTGCCCTGAGGTGCGAAAAAAGTTTTTGACAAGATTTTTTTTTTAAATTATGATTTGAGAGAGTTTCGATGAAATAAATCGTTTGTGGAATGTGAAGGTGATAATGGATTTTGTGAGGAATGTGGGGGTGATTTTAGTTTTTTTGTTATTTTCCTCAAAAAGATAGATCAGGGTAAAGTAGAGTAAAATAATATATGGCAGAGTAGGGTATGTTAAAGTAAGGTATGATAGGATAAGGTAGAGTAGGGTAAAGTGGGGTAAACTGAGGTAGTGGAAGGCAGAGAAAGGTAGCATTGGGTGGGGTAGGGTAAGGTAGGCTACCGTAGAATAGGATAAGATAGGCTACTGTAGGGTAGAGTAAGGAATGGTAGGATAGAAAGTAATAAACCGGAGCGGGAAAAAGTGGGGTAGCGTATGATATGTAGAGTACGATAGCCTTGAATAGAGCAGGGTAAGACAGTCTGCTTTACCCTACTCTACTCTACCTACCCTAAACTACCTTAATTTACTATACCTTTCCTTAACCTATCCTATTGTACCTTATTCTATCTTACCCTATCCTTCCCTACCTTATGTTACTCTATCCGACTCAACCCTACTCTACTCTAACTTACTCTACATTATTCTGATCTACTCGTAACGTATTTTACTTTACTCAACCTTACCCAACTTACCAAAAACTTTGATTTCAGTATATAAACCTTGAGTTTAGCTGCACATTCTTTAGCTTTCTAAATTAAAATTGACCTTTTCACCTTGAACGAATGCCAAAACAAACCTTTGAACCCTTGTTTTCATCCCGAAATACTCCCCCCCCTCTCTCACCCTCCCCCCTCCCCCTCTCTCCTCCTATAGAACATACTTTATCAGTCAACTCCAATTACTATCATGTTATTGTCTGTGAATTAATATAGACATTAGGGAAAGTTTGTAAAAACACCCGGGTAATAATATTACAACCGCTTTTCATGCTTCTGCTTTGGGTTTTTGTTATCAAATCTTTAAGACTGTTAAAACGAGTCGCAATTCGCCCAAAAATAAACACTTTTTAATCATTTCTCGGTTTATCACGCAAATTGTTCGAATTTTTGAAATCGTTAGTGGGTGGGGTAGGTAAATTATTGGATTTTGAGGGTTGATTTGATATTATTTTTGTAATTTTAATTTTTGAAAAAATTTAAAAAAAAAGGTATTGATTTTCTAAAAAAATCTGAAAAAATGCGGTTTTTGAGGTTTTTTTGGTCAAAAAGTTTGTAGCAAGAGGCTCTATGTCGCTAAAAATGTTTTCTGGGGGTCCTGGTTGGAAGGGTAGGGGGATGTAAAACCTAAAGTTTTTTTGGTTCACGGGCCGCGACTTGTGGATTTTTTACGGTTTGGCTCTGACAAGGGGGTGTATCTACCCCCATTCACCCCCTTCCTCTCTCTGTAGCGATTTCCCTGCCCTGTAGCTTAAAATTTAGATAAGTACCTACTTTTTCTATAATCGAAAAGTAGACTCTTTTTATAACAAACTTTTCAACCAACAACCTTTTGGTATAGGCAAGATTAACATAAGAAAACGGCCGATTAGCTTTCAGATGGAGCGCAGGACTAATTGAACCACTTAATAGTTTATAAAACCTTATTTGAATGGGAAAAAACTTTTACTACAGGAAACATTTGTTATAGTTAACGCAAAATGTCTGTCTTTTGCTGTTGCTTATAAGTAGGTCTTGTTCATGACTAAAAATTAATTTTAAAAAATATTTTTCGATACGAAAGATAATTTTTTATTAATTTTAATATTAATTTTTGACCAAAATTTATTGTTTTGAACAAAAATTCGTTCTTTATTTACTTTTGGACAGTAAAAAACTTAATTTTTCGATTTTTTTAGACTGTAAATAAGGTTTTTCATATATTTTTAGCTATAACATAATTTACAATTCATTATTTAATCTAAAACAGTACCCAGGCTTTCCTTAACAACTAAAAATCTCAAAATAATATTAACATTCACCTATTTTCAGACCTCCAATGTCCAGAATCTAGTCAACACGCCTTCAAATTTTCACGCCATAATTGAAATCGTATAAAGATGAGTAGAATATCAGATGAACGACCAATTGATGTACCGCAAACCTTGATCGAGCCAAAGGAAATTGAGACAAAACCCACGGAAAATGCGACGAAACCGCAGAGGAACACGGCCAAATTAAAGAATTTGTACAGTTTTGCTGACAGATGGGATGTGTAAGTTGAGTTATTAGAGGCTTAAGGTTGTAAATGGAAATTTAGAACAGGCCGGTAGGTTTAAAAAAGGCTAGGAATGAGCTGGAGGTGGTACTAGACTTGAATGTAGTATAGCTAGGACCGGTTCACAAAAAATGCAATGTTTTAGGATTTAAAAAGTAATTAGAAGTAAAATACGGTACGAATAGTGTTTCTGTATTGAAAAAATTGAGATTTCAGAGTACTAGCAACATTGGGCCTTTTAACAGCACTAATACAAGCAGCTCTACCTCCATTTGTATGGCTTATCATGGGAGATTTTGTGACTTTTGCTATTCAAAGAGAAGTAAGACTTTTACGTATAACTTACTAAGAAAATGCGCAACCTGTCGTGCTCAGAATCTGCTCAAAATTTTTATATGAGTTCTTTGTACTACCAATAGTACCCATAAAAACGTTTGGCTCGCGCTTTTGAGTTTTAAATTGGAAATATTTGGGTTTCTCGCTAATTTGGCATTGTGTTTTCAAGCACTTTTTCGACTTTTCAGACAAGCTATGCTTAAAAATTTTAAAGTGTAGGTTCATTTAAAGTTTTTTAATAGTATATCAAAGAAAAATGGTTTAAAGTAAAAAAAATGACAAATTTTCAAGCTTGAAACACAACGCCAACTTGGTGGGAAATGCAAAACGTAATTCTTTGATCTCGATTTTCTCGAGATTTCCTGGAAAGCGCGATTTAGTACTTTGCCGTATATCTTACATTAACAGGTTTTTGCTATATAAAAAGTTTGAAGTCAATCAGAGCGGGGCAGGTTAGGAAACTTTGCTTGTTAAAAATAGAAGTAAATACATTAGTTTATAAAATAATATGTAAATATAGCGTCACAAGTCATTTTTTTGGAAAACTTAAAAATAAAACAAAAATATTTTAAAAAAAAGAGAAGATTCTTATATATTTAAAGAAGCCAAGCATTTTAAAAAAGCAGTTTTTTTGTCTTTTTGGCCGCTTAAAGGACCACAAAATCTCCTCACAAAACGTTGAAGTTCTGTGTTAAAAAGCAGGGAATTTTGATATACATTTATATAGCTATATAGTGAATCATCTGTAAAAGCAACTCTCCTTATAGTAAACATGAAATTTGGCCCCGCCAAGTCAATTTGCAGTGAAAAGTCTCTCTGTAAAGGCAACACCCCTTATAGTAAACACAAAATGTCGGTCCCTTAATAATTTGTCACCCCTTTGGAAAGCTAAAAATTTTAAATAAAACCACCCCTTTCAAGAAATACAAGTTTTGTATAAAACTACCCCTATTTAGGAAGTAAAATTTGACTACAACCGCCTAATCCAACTACAACAAGACGACGATGTCGAACAGTCAACCCCACTAAATCAAACCGAAATGGACACGGATTATCAAATCAGACAACAACAAGTGGATACCAAGTTCACCAACGCCGCCATGCCCGTCTTCATCGCGATGTTATCACTGTCGGTGGCGACGTTCATTGCGGCCTTTATTCAGGTAATTTCAGCGAAACATAATATGATTAATGGGCTTGCTTAGAGGTTATGTATGAGTTGTACGTATGTGAAGGGTGGGAAAATTTGAAATTTTAGGTTAGAGATTAAAAGATATTGAAATTTGAAAAAAATACAAAATTTAAAAATTTTTAAAAGGCAAACATTTAAAAAATCATTTCAGATGGTAATGGCGGGTCAATTAAAAAACAATGAAGGGGGGGGAATAAAGACCAGATATTACAAAACAACTAGTAATGTTACTATAACCTATACTACATATTTTACCCTGCTTTACGTTGTTATACCCTATCCTATCTTACTCTACCTTACCCTATTCTACCTTGCCCTACTTTATTATACGCTGCCCTATCTTACTGTACCCTACCCTAAAAACTACCTTACTCTAAAGTGCCGTGAGCTTGCAATGTTATTTTTCCCACTGAAAAGAAGAGGTTTAAAATCTGTTCCCCTCTCTACTCCTCTCAAAAAACGACTTTTAGAGGCAAATATGCATCTTCTATTCCCCAAAAAAAATTTTTTACTTTTTTTTTGAAAAACCTACCCTCTAGCCAAAAACGGTTTTTAATTACACTCTTTATTACAAGGGCGTGTAAGAACAGAGGTCAACCCGCTAAAAGATCATCGAAAACTGATCAGGTTATTAATCGGTGTTAAACTTGAAATGATTTATTTGATTTATGAAATTGATTATTGATAAAAAAAAGTATAGCAAAGTCACATTTTTATAATAAAAGTTAACATTTTAGACTGTGGATTAGTGCTTCTTTGAATTTTACTGAAAATTGAAAAATGAGGTCTAGATTGATAAGCATGGTAAACAAGAAAACAACAGCATCAGCTAAAATACTGTAGGAAAATAAGAGTATTAGGCAAAGATAACTAGTGTTACAGCTTGTGTTTTGATTCTTTTTGTTCTTGAGGTCAAAAAGTAAATAGCTTCATAAGCCTGACATCGTACAAGCTCAAAATACCTTTACATGAAGCTTAAAAGGATAATAATGATATAGGTATAGGCTTTAATACTTTACCAATGTAGGTATAGGTAGGTTATATTGAAGCTGAACTAATGTATAGTTAACAAAAAGAATACTTTCAGAGATTATCATGGGAAATTTCTGGTATTCGACAAGTCTTTCGTGCCAGAAAGACCTATATCAGCAAGTTATTACATATGGACATAGCTTGGTTGGAGTCGAGACATAGTGGACAAGTGGCTTCTATGCTTCATGAGTAAGTACCTACCTCTACTTATACCGTACCCCTACCCTTACTCTTAGCTTTATCTTAGTGTATGTTATCTTACTATATTCTACTGTACGTTACCCTATAGTTTACTGTAATATGTATTTTTATTCTATAGTGTACTGTAATGTGTAATTTACCCTATAGTTTACTGTAATGTGTAATTTTACCTTATAGTCTACTGTAATATGTAATTTCAGTCACTCAGACTCGATTTATCAAGGAATTGCCGATCATGTTCCAATGACTATCTTTATATCAGTATACCTCGTAGTGACATTGTCAGTTTGCTTTTGGATTCAATGGGATGTCACGTTAGTAATGTTACTGGCACTGCCTGTTCTTATCGGTACTCGACTTATTTTTAGCAAAGTGAGGTTTTTGTAAAATACGTGATACATTTTAAAATCATTTTTAAAATTTAAAATTTATTGTAAAATCGAAATTTGAGTGTAAAATACGTTTACCAAGGATTTCTGATACATATATTAATGTCATACCATTTCAGTGGTTTTGCAAAACAATGGACGAAGAGTTTTCATTACAAGCCAAAATGACAAATTTGGTCAGTGAGACGTTTTTATGTATACAAACTGTCATTTCATTTGCTTCACAACGACAAACTATAAATAAGTATGATTTTTTAAATTTTTTAAAAATTTTTTGGAAATTTTTTTCGAAATTAAAATAATTTTTTTAATCTTTTGCCTTTGTACTATAATGGTCTTTCCATCACAAAACCACACTTTCCAGATACGAACGCCTAGCTAACGAGCACAATCGCCTAACGGAAGAACGACTGCGAGCGTCCTCAGTATACGATGCCCTAGCTCAAGTCCTCTTCACGGAACTCATATTCACAGCCGCGTTATGCTACGGGATGTATCGGGTCGGCGGAGAGAATTCAGGGCGATTGGCAGCGTTGGCCATCAACATGTTATACGTCTGTGTCACTTCAATCAGTATTGGATTTCATTTGAATGGAATGAACACTTCAAAACAGAACGCACAGGAAGTTAAAAAGGTCCTGGAAGAGTCTCCATTAATTGAAACTGATCATAATGAAAGAAAAGTGGGTTCTTTGGCTTTTAATTTGATGTAGAGCATGTTGTAGTAGCTACTATAGTAGACATTTTTCTTGTTTTTTTCATAAATTTTCAATTTTATAACTCTAACTTAATATATTTCAGAGAAGAGATCTCGAATCATGTCCCAAATTCAGTATAATACAGGAAAGTGCTTCAATTTCGTTCAAAAACGTCCGCTTCAGTTATCCGTCTCGTCCCGATGTTGAGGTAGTTTTTTCGCATTTTTTTTTCATAATTTATCAAATAATTTTGCAGGTATTGAAAGGAATTTCATTGGAAATTCAAGCTGGAGAACATTTAGCCATCGTTGGAGCTAGTGGAAGCGGAAAAAGTACACTAACAGCTTTAATTTTAAGATTTTATGATCCTCAAACTGGATGGGTAAGGGTTTTTAATTTTTTTCATTGGTTTTTAGGTAAAAATGCAAGTGGAAGCTGTCATAATATTGAAGAAAACATCCTTACCTTTCTTTTAAGCCTATCTAGTGAATTTTATATTAAAAAAAACCAAGATATACCTAAAATTATCCAAATTTTCACTGAAAATCCAATTTCAACCTCAATTTAGATAGAATTTGATGGCTTGGACGTAAAAAAGGTCAATCCAGATCTTCTCAGAGCTCGTATCGGATTAGTTAGCCAAGAACCAACTCTGTTCGATGGCACAATCGCTGATAACATCAGGTATGGGAATCTGAACGCGACGCAAGGCGATGTTAATGACGCAGCCAGAAGAGCAGAAGCCTGGCATTTCATCAACAACTTGCCAGATCGAATGAAAACTAGAGTTGGAGATAGGTAAGATGAGTATGATTTTAAAATGGTCTTACAATTTAATTTCAAGAAGGAATGTGTTTTGAAGTTTAGGTAACAAAGTTGTGTTATAACAGAAAATGCGTTCAAAATAGAGGTTTATAGATGTAAAATAAGACCATTAAGCATTTTAAAAAATTTTTTCTCATGTTGAAGCAAAATGCTGTATAAAAGTTAAATTTTACAGCAAAAAATTATATTACACTTGATAAAATGTAAGGTCAGGGCAAAAAAACCTCGAAAAACTTTAAAATCGGAGCATTTTCGATAACAATTTTAAAAAAATATATGTAAAAAAGAATTCTCTATCATATAACATCAATTTTAAACTAGATTTTGCAAACATAGCCCTTTAAGATACGGAAACCCAAAGTAAAACTGATAATTTTCCCCTTTTTGTTTGTTTTCCCATGAATAAAAAGCTTGAAAGAACCCTTTCTCTCGCCGTTTCCGGAGGGATCAGGTGGCCGAGTGGTTAAGGCGATGGACTGCTAATCCATTGGGGTTTCCCCGCGTGAGTTCGAATCTCATCCTGATCGACATCTTTTTTGGTTGTTTTTTCGTTATAATTTCGGGTAAAAAGCGATTTTATGGTAAAATACGTCTTGAAAAATGAACCCGTTTTATTTAAAATGTTATTTTAGGTAATAAAAATACAAAATTTGTTTAAAATTCAAGTTTTTTAAGTAAAAAATAGTTTTTTTTATATTATAGTAGATTTTTCATAAAATTTTTGATTTTAGAGGTCATCAACTATCGGGAGGACAAAAGCAACGCGTTGCAATTGCAAGAGCTGTGATAAGAAACCCATCTTTGATCATTTTTGATGAAGCTACATCAGCATTGGACACGAAACATGAAGGAGAAGTTCAAACAGCTATTGACGCTGCCAGTAAAGGCATTACTACTATCACAATCGCTCATCGGTAGGAATTTAGAATGTGTTTTTGAAAGTTTTGTAAAACACAGAAGCTAATAGAACAGGTTTTAAATTTTTTAAAATTCAAATTTCCCGTCTTGTGTTTCAAGTTATTTATGATGTTCTAGCTCAAAATGATAATACTGATAACTATTTAACAAATTTTAAAATTCTATCTTCTAAAAACGCCACTTTTTAGTCTAAGCACGGTACGGAACGCCGATCGTATCATCGTTCTGGACAATGGCAAGATCATCGAAGAAGGAACGCCAGAGGAGTTGATTACGAATCAAAGCAGTCGATTCTTTAAAATGTACGCTGATCAACGCTTCGAATCATTACAAAGTACAGAAAGTTCGCGGCCAATATCGACCAGTTCCTCGGCCAAATCCCTGAGTACGAAGCCATTATTGACCGGTAAATTGTCGATGGGATCTTTCGAGATGCACAAAGTTTTTGTAAGTACTATTTTTGAAATGATTTTATTGTTTATAATGACATTTTTTGTAAAATACGGAGTTCCATCTTTATATTTTAAAGTTTTGACATTACGTTGTTTTACTATAGATTTTTTGAAATTTTGTTACATTGATATTGGTTTTTTACGTTGTTACGTTATCATTGATTTTTTGACGTTAAGTTGAACTACTATGTATTTTTTACATTATGCTACATTACTATTGATTTTTTTGGCAATAGGTTACGTTATTATTGATTTTTCCGCATTAGGTTACATTATTATTGATTTTTTGGCAATAAGTTGCATTGTAATTGATTTTTTGACACTAAGTCAACTTATTATTGATTTTTTTGGCTTTACGTTACATAACAATTGATTTTTTGACATTACGTTATATTGCTATCGATTTTTTAGTTGTAATGTTTGTTTATCATTTTACCTTGTTTTACTAACATTACTAACGTTTCAGGAGACCACGTACTGGTTTGTAAGTTTATTTTTATTATTTTTTTGTTGTTACCTAAACTTGTGAAAGGCAATGTGAAATATCATAACGTTACCTAAATTAACTTGTAATAGCAGGATTGTTACCTAAACTAATATTATGTGGTTTTTTGTTACCTAAATAACGCTTTTATGTTTATTTGTTACCTATTTTAATGTAAAATGTTCAAAATGTTACCTAAAGGCTTATGGCTTTATTACTGTTACCTGACTATAATATGTTCAAATGTTACTCAATCTAACGTGAAATGTTAAAACATGATCGTTTTTAATGTAGCCTATCCAAAATGTTACCTATTTCAACATATTAGGTGCCGACATAAAGAACCCGCCATACTTTGCCTGCAATTCCCTGTGAAAAATGGCGGGTACCTTATGTCGGCATCTAATAAAATGTTAAAATGTTACCTATTTTAACATAAAATGTCCAAACTGTTACTTATTTCAACATAAAATACCCAAAGTGTTACCTAAACCTCTATGTTTTTCCAACAGCTTGTTTTAGGACCCAGAGAAGCGTCGTCATTGGCATCGTTCCTCATTAGGAGCCAAACGATTGGGTAAATCATATTCAATGTGTGGTGCCGACAGAGCTAAGCTAGCCCTACCAGTAGTGTCACGAAAGCGAACAATTCTGAACAAATCCTTCAGACAACCGAACGTCATGGAAGTAGTTCACGAGAAGACGTTTGAAGAGGAGACCATGAGCTTAAGTGTGAGGTTTCTATCCTTTATATGTCGTTATCCTTATGTGTTTAGCCTTTATATGGTTTATCCTTTGTATGTTTGGTCTATATAGTGTACGATTTTTTGATCTATTAGTTTGTTCACATAATTCTGCGCCCCCTTACCCCACAAATTTGCTTTGAAAAAGAGGGCGCAGAATTAAGTGAACAACCTAATAGTAACATAGAGAAAACGACCGGTAATGTTTTGTAACAGAACTTTTGGCGCACTCTGTAATATGGGCTTGTATTATATATAGTGTAATATGGATATTATGGTTTATGTTATTGGTGGTTTGTCGTGTTTTTGTGTAAAATACGCGTTTTTGTTTTTTTTCTCATAAATGTCATAGGGTATTTTAGGATGTGGTTAGAGAAAGGGTACTGTAGGCTAATGGCTTAAGCGTGGAATAGAGGGTGCATCATGGTAAAGGAAGGTATGGTCTTAGGTGCCGACATAAAGAACCCGCCATACGTTGCCTGTAATTTCCTGTAAGAAATCATGTCGACACCTAATAGAATAAGTCTTGATAGATTGGGGCACGTTTAAGTGGGACAGGGCAGGATGGGACGAATTAAGGTATTATAGGGTGGTATTGGAGGTCATAAGGCATCAAACGTAGTGTAATGTATGTTGAGGCAGGATGCGATTGACTAGAGTTACTTCAGGGATGCTAGGGTAAGATTGAGTAGGGTAGGTTCGATTTGGGTAGTGTAGAGTAGGTCAGGGTAGCATACGTGAAGGCAAAGTAAAAATTGGGCAGGGTAGAGAAAGGTAAGGTACGGTAGGATAGGAATGAGTTGGGTAGGTTAAGTTTGGGTAGAGTAGAGTAGGGTAAGGTAAGACAAAGTAAAAAAACAGCGTGGCAAATGAGGATTGGGTGGGGTAGAATCAGGTAACTTATGGTAGGATAGAACAGGGCAAGTGGGGTCAGTAGTGCATGATAAGGTAAATTAGGGCATGGCAGGTAAATGTAAAATACGAGGCGACGTACGATAGTGTATGGTAAGGCTGGATTGGGCCGGGTAGTGTCAGATAAGGTATGGTAGGGTAAGCATGAGTAGGATAGAGTAGAGTATGTTAAGATAGAGGAGGGTAGCGAAGGGTATTGATTTAGGTAAGGTATGGTGGGAAAAGGTAGAGTAGGGTGCGATGCTGTTTGTAAATGTAAGGTAGAGTAGATTAGGATAAGACACGGTAAAGAAGGGTAGTTATTGTTTGGTGAGGTATATATTACCTTGTCAATAGTTTACTTTGCTCTACTGTAGGGTAAGGTGTCAGGTAGGGTAGGGTATTTTAGAGTAGGATACGATAGTCTAGAGTATAATATAGCTGTTTACATGTCTCTTACTTTATCTTTTTATAGTTATTCAATATATAAATGTTAATAAAAATGTAATGATAACATCAATCTGATCACAATCACCACTATTACAGTTACCAGGCAGGTCCACCAGTTTCAAAGCGGTATGGCACTTGATAAAACAATACCGACAAGGCTACACCTACCTCCTCTTCGCTCTACCTACTACAATATTGCGAGGCCTCTTCTTCCTACTGGTCTGTTTCGAAGTGTCATCAGTCTTGGAGATCTCAATGCTACCTCCAGAGGACGTACCACGCCAGCTGTTCATCGTCGCCGCCGTATATACGGCGTTGATCATAGTAAAGACGATATTCGAAGCGGTTGGTCGATTATTTGTGGCTTTGTACGGACATGGCTTCTGTACTCAGTTGAGGTCACAGATGTTCAAAAAGCTACTGCGACATGGAGCAGCGTACTTTGATGAGGAGTCACATACACCTGGACGGTTGGTACACAAGATGATCACTGATACGGCTAGTTTGAATAGGGTAAGGATGATATTGACAAGAAGTTGAGGCTTTTAAGGTAGGGTAAATTAGAATATAATAAATTTGAGTTGGAAAAGGCCAGGCAGGGTAACATACGGTAGTACTACGTACATTCGAGTGTAGTATTAATTGGTTAGGTTATGGTAGGGTTGGGAATGCCGAGGTAGGATAACATACGATAGCATGAGTAGAATAAAGTAAAAAATCATGCTGTTGATTAAGCCAGTGTTAGGTAACATTAGGTACTGTAGTATTCTTTAGGTACGGTAGTTAGTACTGAACACATTTCAGTTCAATAGTAGGTGGCTAGCATATGATAGGGTTGGGCATAGGCTAGGCAGAGCGATTTATATGTATAGTAGGTATATACGACAGGGTAGAGCAGAGTAAATTAATGTGCAGTAGCATGGATAGAATAAAGTAAAAAAGTTTACTTTAGGTTCATCTATTGATTGTTATGATTAGGTACTGTACTATTACTCAAGGTATCGTAGAGTGTGCAGCCCTATGTATATATAGGCACAATAGTATCGGATAGGGTATGGTACGGATGAACATAATTAGCCGGGATAATATACGATATCGTAGAATAGGTTAGCATACGGTAGCATGAATGGAATAAGTAAAGTAAAAAATATTGTTATAGAGTCACCAAGTGCTGGTTAGAATTAGCTACTGTACTAATGCTCGAAGCATAATAGGGTAACCAGAGCAATGCAAATATGGGTAAAATAGTATTGATTAGGGGAGGATTAGGGTGGTTAAGATAAGGTCGGTTGGGAAGTATTGGAAATCTTACGATAAGATTTTATGTTACAATAGGGCTTTTTTTACTGTATAATAAGTTTAGAGTTTCCGGCCGATTCGTTATATAGCGGTTATACAGCACTTGTACTAAATAGTACAACCTATTTTAACATTTAATTTGTTTTAGATAATGGGCGAAAAGCTTGACCTACTACTACCGGCTGTGATATGTTCGACCGTCTCCATCACTGTGGCTCTACTGATCAATTGGAAATTGGCATTACTTTGTGGATTCCAGTTCCCAGCTTTCTTTTTGTTCAGACTCATTGAGCTCCGAGAAACTTCCAAACGTCAACGAGAAATGGCAGAGGAGGAGAAGAAGGTGGCTAATGTAAGACACTTTATAGTTGCTGTTGATCTTTAGATCAAAAAGTTTGTAGAATTTTGATTTTTTATGATTCTATATTGAAGTAGGGGTGAGGGTATGACAGATCAGGCCAAGGTAGGGTACGGTACTGTAGGTTATACTAATCTACCTTACTCTACCTTTAGAGGTACTACTTTATCTTACCTTACTCTATCCTTAATTATTCGTCTATCTAACCCTATCTTATATCACTATGGTCTACCATGTGATCAGAAACATGTTTTCAGTTGGCAACAATCGTTTTGAGCAATATGGGAACAATCAAAGCCTACGGCCTTCAAGATCACTTTGATACCATCTTCAGGAACGCTTTAAAGCCAATGCAAAGGTGGGTAGACTTGATGTCGTGTAAGGTCAATGCAGGAAAGTCGCTACAGATTTTTTTTGGGTAGGGGGTGCCATTAATCAACCATGTTTCTTGAATATAATTTCTAAAAGTAACTTCAGTGGAACCCCTACGAACTCCTCTATAACAAGTTTTCTGTATAACGAACAACTTTCAAATCTATGTATATTACTACACAGTGGCTTTAAAAACCCACTATGTATATAACGAAGCTACTTCATAACGAACAAATTAAAAACCCTCGAGCAATCCGTTATGCAGAGGTTCCACTGTATTTGACATTTGTCTGAACTTGACTGTGAATTCCCGGGCCAGCCAGTGATAATTGGGCTAACCCGGGCTAGACATGGGGGACGGGACGGGCCTGAGCAAAATTTAGGACGGGCCGGGCTCGGCAAGCACGGCCCGTTTCCATGTAAAAAAAAATTCAGGCTTGGCCTGAGCAACACTGACTATTGTTAGATCGGGTGGGGCCCGGATCGTTTCCCATGTCTTGTCGGGCTTTGGTTTGATATCTATGTTATCTTTGAACCTACGTATGAAGGCCCGGTTTTTTCAAAATTGCGGCCGATTCTCTATCGAACCTAGTCCACCCACTTTTACTTGGAGTTTAAAATTTTTGTTGGTTTTAAATGGAAAGGCCGAGTTTGAATTTTTTTAAATTTTTTTTTAGTTTATTAAAATTTTGGCCAACTTTTAAACTTTGAGTTCTCAATTTAACGAAAATCTTTACAATTTAACCGCAACGTAACGACCGGTAAAGTTTTGTAACTGACCTTTTGGCGCACTTTTTCTATGGTAAAATACGCCTTTTTTAATGGGTCTGTTAAATTTTAAAACTTTTTTTTAGTGCAATGACCCGCCAATCGTGTATATCAGCCTTCGTGTTCGCCTGTCAATTTTCATTTACATACATTTTGATTGCCATCACATTGTATTTCGGCAAGGATATGATGATCAAGAATGAGATTGATCCTTTCGATTATTTGCGGTAAGATTATTGATTTTTTGAGGATTTTAGGTAACAAAAAATCTTTTTAATTTTAAGTAATGAAATTTGATTTTTTGGATTTTAGGTAACAAAGTGAAACTTTTCTTGAAATTTACGTTATAACAATTGGATTTTTTAAATTTTAGGTTACACAATTTTATTTTTTTTTGTAATTCAGATAATAACATCTTATTTTTTACTGTTTTTAGGAAATAAAATGTAAAAAATGTATATTAATTTTAGGTAATAAAATCTATTTTTTTCTGTGTTTTTAGGTAACAAAGTCTAACTTCTTTGAAATTTAGGTAATAAAAATGAGATTTTTTAAAGTTTTAGGTAACAAAGTCTAACTGCTTTGAAATTTAGGTAATAAAAATGGAATTTTAGGTAACAAAATTTCATTTTTTGTAATTTAGGTAATAAAAATGAGATTTTTTAAAGTTTTAGGTGACAAAATTTAAATTGTTATTTTTTGTCTTTGTAGGTTAACAACTTTGACTTTTTTAAAGTTTAGGTAATAAAAATTGCATTTTTTTTTATTTTGGGTAACAAAATTTTATTTTTTGCTATTTTTAGGTAATAAAATGTATTTTTTTGAGTTTTTGTAATAAAGTTAGATTCCGAAATTTTTTTCTCAATTTCAAATTTTCAGAGTAGTACTACTAACCCAATTCGGAGCCAACTTCATCAGTCAGCTGATAGCATCAGTGACAGACTTCAGTAAGGCGAGAGTCGCAGCCGAGAACATCCTAGGAGTAATTACTGAACCTGCCACTGATATGGACAATTTGAGCGACGAGGGACTTCGACCGGTAGGTAAAATACGTCATTGAATTTGTACGATATTAACGACTATATCTCATATCATGGTAAAACATTTGGTATGTTTTCAGAAAGTGGTCGGTCGAATCTCCTTAAGCAATGTCGAGTTCCGCTACCCAAGTCGGCCGATCATCCCCGTTCTGAAGGATATAACTATGAATGTTGGCGCTGGAATGAATGTAGCCATCGTTGGACCGTCGGGAAGTGGTAAAAGCTCTATTATAGCATTGTTACAACGAATGTACACTCCACAAAAGGGTCAAGTTGTAGGTTTATATGGCTGTAATCCTTTGTGGTTAATATAATATAAGGGGCCGGGAAAAGCCTTGTCGTCAATTTTCATTGATTTTCAAGGTAGAAGACGACAAAACTTTTTTTAACTTGGTTTTTTTGGTTGTTGGGCTTAATTTTAGGTAAAAAATACAGGAAGAATTGAAAATTTAGGTAACAAGTGTAGGTAAAAATGTTAATTTAGGTAATAAAGGCGTTAATATTTCAGTTCTTAACTTTAATTTAGATAAAAAGTTGAAGTAAAAAGTTATTTTAGGTAAAAAAATTGAGTTGAAATTGAAAATTTAGGTAACAAATGTAGGTAAAATAACAAATTTAGGTAATAAAAACCTAAATATTTAGTTTTTAGGTCTTATTTTAGGTAACAAATTTAGAATGAAATGAAACTTTAGGTAATAAGTGTAGGTAAAATCGTTAATTTTAGTGATAAAGGCTTTAATATTTGGTATTTAGACCTTAATTCAGGTAAAAGGTTTAATAAAAATGAAAATTTAGGTAACAATTTTAAGTAAAAAGCTATTTCAGGTAACAAATTTAGGTAAAAAATGTGAATTTAGATAATAAAAGCTTAAATAGTTTATTTGTCGAGCTTAATTTAGGTTACAAATTTGAGTAAAAGGCTATTTTAGGTAACGAAGTTTAGGTAAAAATGAAAATTTAAGTAATAAAAGTAGGTAAAAGTGTCAATTTAGGTAATAAAGACTTAAATAATATTATTTTTGCAAGTTTGTTTAGGTAAAAAATTAAAGTAAAGGGCCATTTCAAGTAAGAAATTTGATTGAAAGGTTATTTTAGGCAACAAATGTAGCTAAGACTATGAATCTAGGTAATAAAGGCTTAGATATTTGATTTTTAAAGTTTAATTTAGGTAACAAATTGAAAATAGTTTCGTTTTTAAGTTGAAAATATTGATTTAGAGCAAGAAAATGAACTTTTTATTAAGCTAAGGTAATATAAACTTAAGGCTCAAAGGGAGCTATTTTAACCCTAAAGATAGTCATTATTACCCAAAAAATAGTGATTTCAACTCTAATGATAGTCATTTTAATCCACCCCATCTTCAGATGCTAGACAAATACAATGTAAAAACGATAAACCCGTCGTATCTTCGTCGTATCATCGTATGTGTAGGCCAAGAACCGACCCTATTCTCATTTTCCATCAAAGAAAACATTGCCTACGGGCTGGATGAAGACGAATTCACGATGGAGAAGGTGATTGAATCAGCCAAAGTGGCCAACATCCACGACTTCATCGTCTCATTGCCTAAGGGCTACGATACTGAGGTGGGTGAGTATGGTGCTCAGCTGAGTGGAGGACAAAAACAGAGAATTGCCATAGCCAGAGCCATCATCAGGAAGCCAATGGTATTGTTGTTGGATGAGGCTACGGCCGCGTTGGATGCTACGTCAGAGAAGGCGGTACAGCAGGCGGTGGAGAGGGCTAGCGAGTACTGTACTTGTATTCATGGTAAGGGTTTTTCTTTTTGAATGGGGGGGGGGTAAAGTATTTTTCAAAAAATGGGGGAGGGGTAATGACTTTTTTTAAATTTCAAATGGGGAGGGTAATGACTTTTGTCAAATTTCAATTGAGGGGGGGGGGTAATGACTGTTTCAAAACTGGGCGGGGGTGGGGTAGTGTATTTTTAAAAAATGGGGGGGGCGGGTAGCGTTCTTACATTTTATAAAAAGTTTGTTAACAATATATATGTTACAGTAGCCCACCACCTCTCATCCATCCGCACCGTGGACAAGATCTTTGTTGTAGTAGATGGGAGGATCAGCGAACAAGGCAGTCATCAAGAGTTGATGCAGGAGAAGGGGCTTTACTACGAAATGAATCAACTTGAAAAGTAGAAACGGATGACATTGGGTCAGAAATGGCATCAGCATCAATTGAGGGGCTATAATGTTGTCATAGAGGCTACTGTAACTTTCATTGTTTTAGCAAGAGATTACTGTACTTTTTGGCTCATTTTGCCATTTTATATTGACTTTTATACTTACTTTTAGGATATTGAGTTTAAACTGTTACTATTGGTGCTATATAGTATCTTATTAGTACTATTGGTACTATATAGTATCTTATTAGTACTATATAGTATCAAAAAGACAAATTTTAGGTATAAAATCTACCTTTTTGGTTAAAAAACCAAGTTTTCAGGTATTAAAAATGACTTTTTTTAGTAATATCATACATTGTCATAATCTTCATGGTCTTGTAAATCAACTTTCACTTATCATATCACAAGATTACTATCAATTCCGGTGTAAATACTTGCATATTACTCATTATATCAGTGCCATAAACAGACTTTTTCAAGGTTTTTTGATGAAAATAGCAATAAATTTCATGTTTTTGTTACCCAAACTTCAAAAATATGGCCATTTTTAAATGAAAATGTTAACAAATTTGATCAAAGCCTTTAATTTGTTACCGAAACTTCAAAAATATGGTCATTTTTTAATGAAAACGGTACCAATTTTGACCAAAACCTTAATTTTTTACCTAAAAATCACTTTTTTCACCCAAAAACTCCATTTTAAAGCCAAAAACAAACGAAATTTACAGTAAAAACTTACAGTAATAAAGCCACAGAATCCTGGTCACATGTACCTTGTGCATAAAACACGATAGGACAAGTTCTCATTCGAGAACCACCTACTACAACTCATACGTTCCGCCATCCCGTTCCCACGACCGTTTTTCTGGAACGATACGTTAATAGAGGAGGGTGTGGAAGTGCACGCCAAGCTCAGAATCGTTACCTATGTCACTATTGTTACCTAAAAAGGAGTAGGATAAGGGTTTCAACTGCTTGTTTACGGTTATATTTGAGATTTTTTTGGGCATTTGGGGGTAGATATTGAATAAAATTTAATTTTTTTTCAATTTTTTTTTGAAATTTATATTCTAAAATTTAAAAAAAGATTCAATTTTGAAATGGCTACTACCATAACTTCGATCATTGTTACTACAACTACTACAATAGCTACGGCGGTAAATACTACAGTAAAAAAGGATTACTGGGGCTTTCCATATACCCAAAACTTGTCTAATCCTTATTCACAATATGTAAGTTACTACCTTTTAAAAATTTATAAAACTGAAAAATTTTTTAAACATTTATATATTTGTTTATTTAAAAATACTTTTAATGCCATTCCAAATCAACCCTGAAAGCTTCATCAATTTCTGTCGAGCCAAACCCGAGTTATAACCATTTTTTAAATCACCGTATGGACCCCCTACCGTCTCTTCATTCTCTTTCTCTCTCGCGCACTCCTTTTCTCTTTTTTATCACTCTCTCTAACCCCTCTCTCCTTTTTCCGCGCTCTTTCTTTCGCCGATCTCTTTGATCAAGCCGCTCTCTACTCGCGCTCCACTTTTTGCGCGCTCTCTCTGTTTCTTTCCGATTTTTTGTATGACCAAATCAGTGTCTATTTAAAAATTTATGTCTCTCAATATTTTATACTCTCTACTTTTTTGTCTAACCGAGAATTCTTTGGCCACTCTCTTCATTTCATATGATGGGTTCCTCCAAAATTTCCTTTTTCGGGTTCCGCCCTCCTTTCGCTTTCACTTTTCTTTCTCTGACTCGGCCGTCTCAAACTTCTATACAGTCTTTTTTCCGAACCGCGTGGAAAAGGCCAAAAGTGGCTCAATACTTAATGAACAAATTCGTCAAAAAATCGCGAAAAAACGCTTGAAATTTGTCGAAAAATGGTCAAATTTTTGCGGTTTTTGGCTTCAAAAGCACCATTAGTGACAGATCCTGGGTTTGGTTCATATACCATAGTGAAGCTTGGTATCTTCGCTACATTTTCAACTATACAACTTTGATTTTCTACTACGGTAACATAGAGATACGACGTTTCAAAGACACAACGGTCAGGTGAGCGCGAGTAGAGAGCGGCTTGATCAAAGAGATTGGCGAAAGAAAGAGCGCGGAAAAAGGAGAGAGGGGTTAGAGAGAGTGATAAAAAAGAGAAAAGGAGTGCGCGAGAGAGAAAGAGAATGAAGAGACGGTAGGGGGTCCATACGGTGATTTAAAAAATGGTTATAACTCGGGTTTGGCTCGACAGAAATTGATGAAGCTTTCAGGGTTGATTTGGAATGGCATTAGGAGTATTTTCCAGAGAAAAAATATAAAAATTCTTTTAAAATTTTCGGTTTTTTTAAATTCAAAGTAAACTTTTTTTGATTTTAAGTTTTAAAAAAGTTTAAAAGAACACAAAAAATCAATACAATAACCAATATATATTAAAAAAAACTTTTATTGTTTTAAATTTATAAGTTTAAATTTATAAAAGCATCGAGCAAAATCGTATTTTTTTTAAAAAATCGTTATTTATGTAACAAAAAATTTTAAAAAATGCTAAATACATTTGAAAATGATAAGAAAATCATTTTTTATTGAAAAAATGAAACAAAAATTTTTTTTATTATTAATTTGTTCAAATAATTTTGAGCCGCATAACCCCAAACATTTGCTTTGAGAAAGGACGCAAAATTGTTTGAAAGGCCTGATAATGACATTTAAAAAAATAAGTTTTAAATTAAAAAAACAAACAAAAAAATCATCATTTTTCAAATTTCAAAATCAATATTATTTATACTCAACATCAATATCAACATAATATTAGGTTGTTCAAGTAATTCTGTGCCCTCTCCAAAAAAGCAAATTTGTGAAGTTAAAAAGGAGCACATAATGATTTGAGCAAACTAACAGAACTCATTTCCAGTTGTACGACGCATATTATGGTAGAGGAGTTCAGTTCAACATCGTCCTACCGGCCGCCATCTTCTTCTCTCTTATGTGGCTCAGTTACTGTGGTAATGGGCTGATACTTGTGTGTACCATCGTGAACAAGAACCTGCATGGTTCGTACAACTACTTGATCTGTATGTCGGGTATTGGAGACATGATGCATCAGTCCTGTCATTGGGCCTACTTCATCAACATGGTGTCTGGCCAGAACTTCATACCGTACAACGTCTGCTTCAGTATTCAAGGATTCTTCGCGAACGGAGCGACCATCAGCATCTTGATGATGTTTTTTGTTGGAATCGACCGGTTGATTGGGGTTTCGATGCCTACAACGTATAGATCTTTAAATTATATACCGTATTTAGGTACGATAGCACTGATTACATTGGGTTTTTGTGCTTATACCACCTATTTGGCTTGGGTTCATGTTTATACGATCTATGGGGGAGAGTAAGTTAATGGCAAGAACTTTCTTTACAAGACTTGAAATCGCAAGAACTTTCTTTACAAAACAAAAAATAGCAAGAACTTTCTTTACAAAACAAAAAATGGCAAGAACTTTCTTTACAAAACAAAAAATAGCAAGAACTTTCTTTCCAAGCCCTAAAAATCCCCATTTCTAATGCAAACCCACCTCAAGCATGCCCTTTACCACGCCCATTCCAGGCCAGTGATGTGTGTAATCATTGACGCTCTGGGTGGTGACGCGGCCGACTTCTGGTTTACCTTGTGTGTCATAGTAAACCTGATCGACGTCGTCATCTACACAGCCGTCTGGATTCTGCTAAAGTTTAAGACTGGGGCTTCGGAAGCCATGAAGAAGGTGTTCAAGTCGTTGCTGGTGATCATGGTGATGGTGGTGTTTGGGTGGATGATGAACGCGTTCGTACGGTCGGTACTGTTCGTGTATGGTAACATACCCATTAGTCAGCAATTCTACTGGGCCACGTACTTTGGGCTTTGTGCCAACATTGCTAGTGTTATGAACGTTTTCGTACTGTACATCTTCAGGTAGGTTGACTTTTGAAGTTTTGTGGTACTATATAGTACGTTATGGTACTGGGAGGTCATACTGAAAAAAATTTACTTATTACTCTACTCTTTCAGCATTTAAAGTTTAACATTGTGCTGTTACAGTACTTTATGAGCTAGTACATACTATTTAGTACCTTCTGGTACTACATAGTACGTTATAGTACTAGAAAATCGTTCTGAAATAAATCCGTTTAGTACTCTGACCGTTGAACATTTAAAACTTCACATTTTGATAAATAATACAGTACTTTATGAGCTAGTATTATCCATACATACTATATAGTACATTATGATGCTATATAGTACAAACTCGTACTAAACATGGTAAAATAAGAATATAATTCTCTACTGAACTTTATACATCCTTACACTTTCTTGCATTGTATTATATATGCTAGCACTATAAAGTCGTACTGTATAGTACGACCTCAAACTTGACATCAAAACATACCTTATTTTCTAGCACTTTACTGTATAGCTCTACAGTAAAGTATAATACCTTCGCGCCCTTTTCGTACTGCCTTTTTTTGTCTCGTGCTCAGTTTCCGTACCATCTTCTAGTACTCAACTTCCGTACTATATAGTATCATCTAGTATTCCAAATTTCCAACATCCATATAACCTCGTCTGCCTTCCATTTCAGTGCTGAATACCGTGCCACCATTGAGCGTCTTCTGCCATTTTTGCCAAAGAGAAACGAAGCCAAGAAGCCGAATGCCTTCACCGTTTGGGCAGCACCCACCAAGAGTAGTAGCACGTAGTACTGAAACATAAATATAAATTATTTTCACAATATGGTAATACCTTTGTATTGTACTGTAACTTGAAAATTAATAAAATAGAAATTCGGTAAGAACTTCCTTTACAAAACAAGAAACGGCAAGAACTTTCTTTTCAAAACCTAAAATTGCAAATTTTTCCCCAAATTTCTACCTTTTCAATAACCGAGATCAATTCGAGAGTAGAATTGTTTACAATCGCAGTTGTTTGTTATCATCTTATAATTACCGGTAATAAATAGTAATTTCCACATTGTTATTCTTATCATTCGTCAATAACAGCGTGCTTTGCTAACGTTTTCACACGCCAGGAATGGAAGATAAACGTTTGTTGTTGTGCGGAGTTTGTTGTATTGACATTGTCAATTATGTTCAACGTTACCCCGAGGAGGATACCGACAATGTTGGGGTGGATCAGGTAAGGAAAAGAGAAGGGATGGATCATAAGCTAAACTAACAAGAAAAGTACACCTGCCCCGCTCAAAATCAGCCCAAAATTTTTATATGAATTCTTTGTACCACCAATAGTGCCCATAAAAAATTTTTTAATTCTTTGGGTTTCCCGCAAATTTGGCATTGTGTTTCAAACACTTTTTTGGGCTTTCCAGACAAAATACGCTTACAAATTTAAAAATGTAGGTTCATTTAAAGGTTTTCTACTAGTATATCAAAGTTAAATTATTAAATGTCAAAAGGTGACAAAGTTACAAGCTTGAAACACAATGCCAAGTTGCCGGGAAATTCAAAATGTCATTTTTTAATCTTGATTTTTTCGAAATTTCCTTGAAAGCGCGATTTAGTACTTTGCTGAACATCTTATATTTACATGATCTTTCTATATAAAAAGTTTGAAGTCAATCACAGCAGGGCAGGTCGGGCACTTTCCTTGTAAATAGGCTTAAACAAAAAGAGTAGTAATACTAAACTCAAAATTGCGGCAAAATGGTTCTAATTTTTAACGCAATAGTAGTACAAGCTGATAGAATAGACTATTGGCTATCGTTAAAGCCTAAAATTAAAAATCTATTAAGAAAACTTTTAGTGTTACAAAGATATTAAGTTTGACAATACCTACATCAAAGCTCATGAAAAACCAAAGTCCTACTCTGTCAAAAACTACTGATCCAAAAATAGTAAACTATAGCTCAAAAAGAAGTTGATAAAATAACCTACTAGTACTTAAAAAATTTAAGAACCCAGGTATTGCTACTACTTCATATTTTCAGATGATAACCCTAGGAGGTAACGCCACAAACAGTGGAACGATTCTAGGCCAGCTAAATAACAAAACAGATTTGTTTATGGCCATTCCTACTCATAATACCTTGTTTAATAAGTAAGTGGTTTTAAACTTCATTTTACCTATCACGCTGTACAAAGTTTATTGTTCCACTTATACCTACATCAATATAATATTTGTTTTTCTCTTACCTACATCAATATAAGTTTAAATTAGTGTAAACCTAGCTCAATAAAATTCCAGTTTGGCGAAGAAAGCCGGCCTAAACCTGAGCAAATGTGTTTCCCGAGAAACTGAAGACGTACCAGTGTCTACTGTAATTTGTAATTATGAACTTGGAACGAGAACGATTCTACATTACAATGGAGATCTGCCGGAGCCTTCAGCAGAAGAATTTAAAGACAAATTCAAAGATTTTGACGACTATGGCATTGTTCATTTTGAGGGTATGAATTCTATAAAAATCGCACCAAAATATCTAATGACGTATTTTACACTGAAAAATCGATCAAAACGACTATATTTAAAACTTTTTAAATATCGAAAAACATATTCTTTAATTTGAGCAAAATCAGGCCGCCAATACGATCAAGTGGTGGAGATGATGGACTATATTGCTGAGAAACGATCATTCAATACCACACCTTTGATTAGTGTAGAGATCGAAGTTCGAGTACCAGACAGATGGGTATCAGAGTTCGTGAAGAAGGCTGATATCGTTTTTATCAGTAAAGACTATGCGCAATGGCGTGGTATGTTGCTATGAAACAAAACTTGTAAAATTAAACAACTTGAATAGAGCCCTAGAATTTTATTACAGTACTAGCGAGTAGAGTAGTACCGTAAAGCCTTACTATAGAAATACGACACTGCAGATATTATTGTCTAGACAAATATTATGCTGTAGATACCATAGTCTAAGCAACTACAAAATATAATAAAAAGAAAAGCAAGTAGAATAGTACGGCAAGTCCTTGTTATAGCCTCCGCAAGTACAATACTATAGTAGAAAAAGCAAATTAGTACCTATAATTTCAGAATGGACTGGAATGTACGAAGTTCTGAGACAAATGCAAACCCTATATGACTGTACCAACACGACATTAATATGCCCATGGGGAGAGAAAGTAAGTCATTTAGATAAAACATAAGCAAAGTAGGATATTTATTAGAAGACTATGTTAAAGTTAGAATACTTAACTGAAAACAACTTTACTGTAGTCTAACCATCTTCAAGCTATCACACTGTGGCCTAGCATAAATTACTGTACCTACCTCTTCAAAAACCTGTACGGTGTCTTGGCCTAATCCGAGTATTATATAATGTACCATAACTGCCCTGGAGAACTCTACCTTACACCACCCTGGTTTATCGGTAGAAGTAGAAGTAAAAGTACGGATAAGAGTAAAGGTGGATGTAGTGGTAGAGTAAAGAGGAGTAAAAATAGGGAGTAGGGGTAAAGGTAGGGGTAGAAGTAGGGGTGAACATGCGGGTAGGGGTCTGCTTCATCATACCTTGCCATAAACTTCCCTACCTTACCTTTAACAATCCATACCCTACCGTACTTTACCCTAACTTAACCTATCCTACCTTTTCCTAGACTACTTTACTCTACCCTACTCTGAATTTACATACCCTGTCTTACCATACTACACCGTATATAACACACCCTCTATAGAGCCTTCCACTATTTACAATTTGTCTCCAATTCAAGTCTATATCAATAAAAACACACTAATAAAATTCCAGGGAGCCCTAGGCAAGAACACTCGAACCAATCACACAGTTGAAGTACCAGCCTATCCACCGGATCAAGTTGTCGACACTCTAGCAGCTGGAGACACTTTTATAGCTTCTGCACTACATTTTATCAACTTGAGCTATGACTTAGAAACCGTGCTTCATTCGGCTTCCAAAGTGGCTGGAAGAAAGTGTGGCCAACATGGGCTGATCAATATGAATTTAAAGGAAATTTTGTAATCTTTTTCGATTTGTTTATAAATAGAAATTGTACATATTATCCATATTGAAAGTAATTAATCAAAAACCTACATCAAAATAAATTTTGGTGTCTGACCTACCCCGCTCTAATTGACTTCAAACTTTTTATATATAAAGATCATCTAAGAGAGTAATGTGTCCCCTAAGGCGGCGGAAAAGAGCTAGTGAAGGCATATTAACCTTTTCTACCAAAGGCATATTAACCTTTTCTACTTATTAACCTTTTCTACCAATGTAAAATACAATTTATATATAGAATCAAAAGCTATTGTATTCAATGTTACTGATGTAGATTATCATACATATAAGATAGCCATGCGTTGGGAGCATGCGTCACCGCCCAATTTTGTAGTATTGTCTTCCTGAACTCGACTGTCCATCCTAGTCTGGGCCTTCGAACGGGTCCCTTGCTTAGAGTTTAAAACTTAGTTAAGCCTGCGACGCCTCTAAGGACCGCCTGTTCATGGAAAATATAGTCGCTCAACGTGCCGTGATGACACACTGCGCAAGAAAATTCGACATATGCCAAAAGTTTCGGTACGTAATATTTATTTTCAGTATTCACTCGTAAAGTTACAATAACGATAATATAATAGGTAGATAAGAAGAGACTTGTAATTGCAGTTTACAGTGATGAGCGTAAGCTATTGTCCCCTAAGTTGACGAAGTATAAAGAAGATCTTTTTTTTAACAAAATTTTAAAAAAAAGTTTTTAAAAACTATTCCACTGCAGAGTTGGCTGTTCGTCGTCGTCCTGGTCACCTTCGCCTACGATCTCATCCAGTACTTCGATTGGGTGCTATGGAATTTGAAGTTTTGGAAGACGGCGTAGTCTCCCCTGAGACAGTGGCGGTGTGGTCTCCCTTGAGCCTTCCACGCAACTATTGTCGGACAGTACGACCTCAACGTTGTCCTCCGGAGCTTCACCTGAGAAAAATAAATAAAAACCTACGTTCTGCCCGAATGCTGTTAAGTTGACGACAAACAATTCTGATCCGCTGATCGTCATTACGGTCCGTCTTACACGGCCATATAACGTTGCTATACTCGATACCAAAATTACGTTGAGACCTTTCTTCTTCCCTTCAGTAATTACGTCTTGTTTGCCAGTAAGTTGATCGTCGATTCGAAAATTCCATAACAGCATAAGAAAAAATAAATCATGAATAAAAGGATTGTGTTTTTTCTTGTCGTGTGGGCACTAAGACAGCCCACACGACAAGAACAAAAAACTTACAACCATTGTAAAGCAGTGTAGTACCAGTAATAAAAGCTACTAGTCATAACTTTAGTACCAGTAGTAAAAGCTACTAGTCACAACTGGTTCTACGACAAATTGGAAGATGTCCACAACTCGCATCGTAGGACTACGTCTCCACCCAGACTGAAGGCACGGTCGATAATTTTTCTCCAACAATTGGCCAGACAAAACCGCAACAAACAAATAAACCACCTTCTTAAACATAACGGAATACAGGAATGAATCGCTGGGACTCGATTTTCTTAAACATTATTATATGGCCTTATCTCTTTAGATCGAAATACTTTTCTCTTTAGTCGCTTATTTTTTACAGCATCTGATCACATTGCAACTTTAAACGCATAGAAGTCTGAAAAGCTTTTGCCTTTCTTAAATTTAAAAAACGGATCTTCGTTTTTATTTTTTAAATCTTCACATTCGTACCTTCAAACCTCCTTTTGACACTTTTTAGTAATTTTATTCATTATTTTATTTTAAACTTTATTAAATCGTTTCTTAAGTATATAAAACGAATTTCGTCTACCTGTACCTATGTCAAAACTAGCAGCATGCTTATCAACGGATGCAACAGTATTTAAAAGACCGGCAACACCCATGCTTCATCCCTTATCAAAAACCTTCTTTTTTCCAAAAAAAAGTTATCATTTTAAAAACTTTTATTTACTCGAATCAAACATTAGTTAAAAAATGAAAGTGCTGAGATCAAGGATAATATCATAGAGTCAAAGTTAAAAGTAGTTAGCACTGATAGACAAATCGAATTGTAAAAAATCAAATCAAAGTAAATTAAACAGAGAATCTCAAGATGAATCGACATACACACTTAGTTTCAAAAATAAAAAAAAAGCTCGTACTGATAAGAGACAAAGGTACTATAATTAAGTTTTCTTAAGTTTCGACTTTAGTAAGATGAGAAACAAAAAGTTACATGTAGGCTTCAGAAGTCTTCACAAGAAAGCTTCAGAATCTTCTTTAGAAGCTCCAGAATCAACTTCTAAGACTAGAAACAAGAATCTAAATAAAAGCTTCAGAATTCTTTCTAAAAAACTTCAGAATCCTCTTTAGAAGGCTTCAGAACCCACATTTAAGACTGGACTTAAAAAACTACATAAAAAATGCATATTGAAAAGCTCCAGAATCTACTAAATAAACGCTTTAAAATTCACTCCAAACGCCTCCAAAAAAAAGAGAAAAAAGAAACCCATAGCCTTCAGAATCCCTACTCCAAGTCCTCCTGCTCATCATACTCTCCTTCATCATCAGCCGTCGCGTCTTGATACTGTTGATACTCAGATACCAAGTCGTTCATGTTACTTTCAGCTTCAGTAAACTCCATCTCATCCATTCCCTCGCCCGTATACCAATGTAAGAAGGCTTTGCGACGGAACATGGATGTGAATTGTTCACTGATTCTCTTGAACAGCTCTTGAATCGAGGTCGAATTGCCAATGAACGTGGCCGCCATTTTCACTCCACGAGGTGGAATGTCACAAACCGCGGTTTTCACGTTGTTTGGAATCCATTCGACAAAGTAGGACGAGTTTTTGTTTTGAACATTCAGCATTTGCTCGTCCACTTCCTACAATGTTTTATGGTCATTTATTTAAACATAATACTTAGCATTCTTGTTGTGTTTGATTTTCAATTTGATAAGAAAAACCTTGTTCATAAGCTTGAAACCAAAGCTATGGTGATTTAAAAATTCTTTTTGTGTTTTTTAAGATCTGTTCAATTTTTCAAATAAAAAATCTTGTGAGTGTGTAAAGCTTGTTCTGACAAGTGGTAAGTGTATGTGCATTTAAATGTGATCAATAGTCAACAAAAGGGACGTCGCTACAAATTTTTTTCAAAAAAGAAAGCCAAAAAAAACATTTTTGGTCCACAGGTACGTACATGCCACCTTCTGAATTTTTTTTCAGATCGGCTCGAAGAAAGAAAAGGAGGATGAATCCATCCCCATTAACCCTATCCTCTCCATCGCGACGTCCCTAGTCAACAAGAAAACAAGAACGACACCTTGTAAAAAGAAAAAACATCAAAATCAAACAAGACAAACCAAGAACAACATCCACAAAAAGAAGAAAAACAAGAAGAAAAACCAAACTAAACCAACGACAATCAAATTAAAAACAAAGAAACCACAAAGACATTATCCAAATCAACACAAAACAACCATTAAGTTAGATCTTCCTCATCCTTGTCAACGACAAGCACATATATCAACAACAAGCACTCAGAACGATGAACGATCTACCACATTAATCCCCTCCTCTTTGAAATCCCTGTACCACAAAAGACCAACCCAACAAAACGTAAATTCAGAAAGGCATAATCAAGCACGCCAAAACAAAGTTTGATCAGAAACTTGATCGAACAAAGCTATTAGCCACACAATAATAAAATGAAAACATAAAAATAAAAATCAGAAACAACAAAATTACCGTGGTACTTTCGTGCACTGCAAAATATACTAACAAAAACCACATAAAATCATATAAAACAAAGAACCTCTACTTAAAATTTAAAAAATTCAATTTTTCATGTTGAAAATGCCTTTTACTATATTATTTTTGCCTTTAAACTTTGAAATATCAATTTAAAAACATCAAAAAATGCCATTCTTTATCGTATCTCTGCCTTACAAACTTAAAAAATTAAAATTTTAACAGTGCCATTTTCCGTGCTATATCCACCAAACAACTCAAAAAATGCCATTTTTAATATTATACTCAAATTCAAATTTTAAAAATTCAATTTTTAAAGTTAAAAAATGTCATTTTAAATACTATATTCACCACCAAATTTCCTAAAATACTTCAAAAATGACACTCTTTATCGTATCTTCGCGTGTAAACTTTAAAAATGCCATTCCTCTACTACATCCACCCCAAACCCCCAAAATAACTTCAGAACTTCCCCTACCTTCATGCTCATTCGTCCTCGGAAGATGGCAGCCACAGTCAGGTATCGGCCATGTCTCGGGTCACAAGCGGCCATCATATTCTTGGCATCGAACATTTGTTGAGTTAGCTCGGGCACGGTGAGAGCACGATACTGTTGAGAGCCTCGCGACGTGAGTGGGGCAAATCCGGGCATGAAAAAGTGTAACCGAGGAAATGGCACCAGATTGGTGGCTAGCTTGCGAAGGTCCGAGTTTAGCTGACCTGGGAAGCGGAGACAGGTTGTTACACCGGACATGGTCATGGATACTGTAACAAAATGCTTGTGATTAAAAAATGTTTTTAAATACGGTATCCAAACTCATACATACTGTAATAAAAAATCTTTTTAAATACTGTAATAAAAATTTACTTCACATACTGTATCCAAAACGCATTCTGAATACTGTAACTGAAAATCATTTTCGATAATGTAACAAAAAGTCTTTTTAGATACTGTAATCAAAATATACGTTAAATACTGTTACCAAAATTCATCGTATATACTGTAACAAAAATGCATTTTGGATACTGTAACAAAATTTTATTTTTGATACAGTAGCTAAAAACTCACTTTGTATACTGTAAAAAAAATTCATTTTATATACTGTAACCAAAAATGATTTTAGATACAATAACAAAAAGTCATTTTAAATACTGTAACCAAACTCCAATAAAACCCAACTTAAAAATCACCACCCCCTTACCAAGATGATTAAGATCGCCATAAGTTGGAGTCATCAGCTTCAATGTTCTAAAGCAGATATCATACAGAGCTTCGTTGTCGATGCAGAAAGTTTCGTCCGTGTTTTCGACCAGTTGATGTACACTCAAAGTGGCATTGTATGGCTCAACCACAGTGTCCGAGACTTTTGGAGATGGTACTACAGAGTATGTGGCCATGATACGATCCGGGTATTCTTCGCGGATTTTTGAGATCAGAAGGGTACCCATGCCTGAGCCGGTACCACCGCCCAGAGAGTGGGCCATTTGAAAGCCCTGAAAATAAAAATTCGTTAAAAATTGAAAAATGCAAAAACTTTCTTTACAGTACAAAAGTTTTGAAAAAAATTCGTAAAAAACCTTGCAAAAATTTTGTTTACAACTTAAAAAAAACTATTAAAATAAAAAAAACTAAAACGCCAAAAAATGCAAAAACTTTCTTTACAGCCTCAAAAAGTCCAAAAAATGCCATAAAATCCCTATGAAATCCTAAAAAAGCGCAAAAACATTCTATACAACTTAAAAAATTTTAAAATTGAATTTCAAATACCCATTATTTCAAAAAAGCGCGAAAACTTTATTTACAAACAAAAACTTGAAAAAAAAATTTTAGATACTTAAAAATGCAGTTTCAAAAAAAAATGCAACAACTTCCTTTACAACCCCAAAAAGTCCAAAAAATGCCGATAAATCACTATAAAATCCCTAAAGAGCGCAGAAACTTTCTTTACAAACAAAAACTGAAAAAATTCTAAAAACTCAAAAAAAATGCAGAATTTTTTTACTTTGTACATAAAGTTTTGTCATATTATGCTCTGTAAATAAAGTTCCTGCCATTTTTAGTTTTGTAAAGAACGTTCTTACCATTTCATATTCTGTAAAGAAAGTTATTGCCATTTCTTGTTTTGCTAAGTTCTTGTTATTTTTAAGTTTGTAAAGAATGTTATTGCAAATTTATGTTTTATCAAGAAAGTTCTTACCATTTATTGTTTTATAAAGAAAGTTGTTGCAATTTTAAAATTTATAAAATTTTTAACAATTTTTAAAAATCCCTATAAAATCATTAAAAAAATGCAATAACTTTCTTTACAACTCACAAGTTGTCAGAAAAAATTAAAATCTTCAAGCGCCTAAGATACTTACCTGAAGACAATCACAAGCTTCAGCTTCTTTCCTCACCACATCCAGCACATTATCGACCAGCTCAGCGCCTTCAGTATAATGTCCTTTGGCCCAGTTGTTGCCGGCTCCACTTTGGCCTACAAAAGCAAAAATTATTAGGCCTAGTAACGCATAGTACTATATAAAGTTCAATGTCAGAGTGAATAAGCTAAGTAAAGAAGAGTAATTACTACAGTAAAAGCCTGTATTCAAAGTTACTACAGTAAAAATGCCTGGAAACAAAATTCCTACCAAAGATAAAGTTGTCCGGTCGAAAGAGTTGACCAAACGCTCCAGCTCGTACCGAATCCATAGTGCCCGGCTCCAAGTCAACCAGCACAGCACGTGGAACGTACTTTCCTCCACTCGCTTCGTTGTAGTAGACATTGATTCGCTCCAATTGCAAATCAGAATCCCCATTGTAGACGCCGGTTGGCTCGATTCCGTGCTCATCCGAAATCACTTCCCAGAACTGAAAATAAAATAAATAAATGATAAGAACTAACAACAGTATATGAAAAAAGGTATGTGATACACTGGCAAGTAAGAATTTAACAAAAAAATTAAAACAATGTCAAAACAAGTAAACATAGTCCATATTAATCAATGTTTTAGTAATATTAACCTAAATATCGATCAGTTTTATAAAAAAAGTTTAAAAATGTAAAAAAGGGCGATAGATACCTAAAATAATATAAAAAAAATAAAATTTTCCTCGTTTTAAGCCGATGATAAACAGTTCGAAGAAAAGTTTACCATTACACGACATACACAAGCGAAATACATTATTTTAGGTAAAAAATAATAAATTTTAGGTAATAAATCAGAAAATTCGAATAAAGATGTAAAAAAATAAGATCCTTTATTATAAAAGCCAAATATTTTTAAAATTTTTATGAACATAAAGATAAATTCACTTTTCATATTACTTTAGGAAAGTTCAAGCCGTTTTTAACAGTTAGGAAAAGAAATATAAATCTGTTGATAAAATAAGTAAACAGACGTTCAGATTCCTAGTTTTTACCTTATTTTAAAACCAAAAATCCCTTTTTTTATTAAATTTCGAGCAAGAATAACGATAAAATATAAAAACAATTTCCCATCTTTTTAATAAAACGCGCTGCAACTATTGATATCAACAAAATATCAATGCCTTCAAAGAACTTTTTTTCAATATAAAACAATTGAAACCACCACTCCTTAAAATGAGCCTAAAGTAATGTAAACAATAAAAAGCAGAAAACTTGCTTTAGCACCAATTTGATTTCCACATTGGCCAGCTTGAATGTGAACGATCTCACGCATTTTCGAGAGGAAAAGTAGTAGGTGTAGTAGGAGTAGAGAGCTGGGAAAGAGTTGAATTCACACTGAAATTTCAAAATTTAAAATTTAATGTTTTCTGCGACATATTACTAACCGAACACGTTGTATATAAATACCCCTCCGCAATTAAAATTTACCCTGAAAGTACCAATGCCAAAACAAAAATTATGCTAAAAACTAATAGCACTTCCTAAAACTTTTTCTTAAAAGTACACGTCCCCAACTAATTTCTTCTAAAAATACCCTCGTCAAAATTTCTTTCCTATAAATACCCCACCGCACAAAATTTATTCCAAAATTACCCCTCCCCGACAATTTTTTGTTTAAAGTATCTCTCTTTGCACAAAAGTAGTCCTAGCTTTTAAGACCACCCCTCCGGCCCGAAACTACCCTCCGGGCAAACAACCACCCTTCCTGACCCAAAAAAACCCTCCCAACCCAAAACCACCCCTCCCGGCCCAAAATTACCCTTCCAGCCCAAAACCACCCATCCCGGCCAAAAACCACCCCTCCCAACTCAAAACCACTCCTCTCGGCCCAAAACCACCCCTCCTAACCCAAAACCCTCCCTAAAAAATAACACTAAACTAATACTCATATCCAAAAGCGCGAGTATTACCGGCTTTTTTACCTGGCCAGTCAAATCCCCACGGCGCTTTTGGCCCGCACTTATTGCAACCAGTTTGGAAGGGCATTCGGCCGAAGATCCGGCCCCAAACGTTTGTGGTGGCTTTGCCATGGAAACGTTCGCAACGTCCGCATTTTCGCCCTCAGGGTCTCTGGTGGGGTTTCTTCTTGAAAAAAGGCGAAGAATGGCACCAGTGACACTGTTTTAGGCTATAATAACCGATGACGAATGGTTTGGGTTTGAGGGAATTGGCTTTGGGTCTTAGTAGGTTGTACAAAAAAAATTTTAAAAATAAAAAAAAAGTTTTTTTGAAAATTTAAATTTTAAAAAAATTTTTAAAAAATCGACCATAGGGTAACTAAGTATATATTGAGCTAGAAAACAGTAAAAAATAACAGTAATTTAGTACACGAAAGGTAAAAAATGTCAAATCTTCTTCTTGGCCACACAAAAAACGGCCATATTTTGAGTACAGTGAAACCTCTTTAGTATGATACTCAAGGGACTGGTCCCTGTCCTTATAAACAGGATGTCACTCTACCCAGGTACTTTTGATAAATGTTCTATTACAAAGGGCGGTCAAAAAGCTGTCATTACAAGGAAGGTGTCACACTATTGAGGATCATACTGAAGAGATTTCACTGTACTATAGAAAGAGGTACCTATTATAGTATATATAGTATTTTGTATCAAGAATATCATTATATAGCAATATATCTTTGTCTAAACAGCTCATATAGACCATGCATGATAAAGTAATCAAAATACGACCGTTTTTGGTGCTGTTCTTAACAAAAGTCGACTGTTTTCACTTTTTCTTGCTTACATTACCACTACCTTTTAATAGCTAAAATACCTTAAAGTACAATAGTCATCTGTTTTTTAATTTTTTTTTCCTTTTTTGGGCTTTCTAAACACCAATATACGCCAAAACAGTTTTAATATAAGCCTAAAACCAAAAAAAAGCCCAATATAACCCAAAAGGTCTTAACAAAAGTCCAAAGCCCAAATATCAACCCCAAAAAAGGAATACTATATAAGCCAAAACAGTACCATTTTAAACTAACAAGCCTCAAATGTCAAATATCAAACCCAAAATAACAAATAATAAGCCAAACCGACCACCTTAATCCCAATTCGTCAAAACCCACCTGTTAACCACCTTTTGTTCGGCTTGTTTTCCAAATGACCGCGCAACGGAAACATTATGTTGTGGACGGAAGTCTGGGGGCTTAATCCGGCCGCATTTCGCATGGGTCAGTTGGCCATGAACCGGCGTTAATTATTACCCAAAATCAGGTTTTAAAAATTTCAGAAAATTTTTTTATATAGGTAATTCCTAAGGGCATTTTTTCAAAAATCAACAGTGAGGACCAAGTTCAGCTTTCAGCTATACTCAGTGCCGGGCGGGGACTTTTGGTCTGGGGGCGGGAATCAAAAAAATTTGCCAAAAATCCACAGGGGGGACCAAGTTCAACTTTTTTCGAAATTTTTTTTTCTGGGGGGGGGGAGGTGTTCCGCCGCCCCAGCGCCCGGCCCTGGTTATACTAATACAAAAAAGAGCCCGCTTTATCATGTTATACTAAGTTTATGCCCTAATTTTTAAATATTGAGATAGCCAAATAACACTATTACAATAGATATCGAAAAATTTAAAAAAAGTAAAACCAAAAACCATCTTCTTGCCATTTTAAAACATCCGTTCCGTTTTGAAAAGAAAGTCTGTCCCTCCAGGTGTTCTGCTCCTATAGGTCATCCTAAAAAACAACTAACAACTATAATTGACCTCGGCTTCTGCTTTCTGATTTTAAAGGCTTTTTTAACAATTTTGTAAAAAAATGACAATTTTTAAAAGTAACACAAAACCAGACAAATTTAAAAATATTCAAAGTCGTGATTGCATCTTATTTTATTAACATTAATTGTAATATTTTTCTCATTTCTGGATATTGTTAAAAGTCATTGAAACCAAAAAACACAACTTAAGAAGTAGCACACAATCCATTGTCACAAGTTGTACCGCTAGGACATTGGGAACAAGAGTCACCTTGAGTATAGATAGGCTGGCCTGCGATATCGCCGGCTCCCTGGTAGAAACATACGACCATGTAAGCGTAGAATCCAGTAGAGTCATAGTTTGGGCAAGCTTGTACTCCACAACCAAGGCTGGAGGTGTTGGCCCAGATTACCTAAAAATATAATGTTATCTTTGTACAAAACACTACTAATTTCATGAATTTAAACAAAATCATTTTTAAAAATTTGTTGGCCGTTTGATAAAGGATTGTTTGAAACCCTTACTTGACTGAACAAGCTGCCTGCGTCTGATGAATAGTCGGCAACGTAGCTGGTGTTGAAGCTGCTGGCTTGGCTGACAAACTCATCAACGGCCGCTTTGAGAAGAACGGTGTAATTTTGAGAGCTGCTGCTACTGGTTTCGTAAAGAATCATATTTTGACCTCCAGCATAGCTTGAGTAACCGAAACTGCAGTTGTTAGCCCAAGCCTGGGCATCAGCCTCAATGTCAGTATCGTACACAAGTTCCAGCATGTTAGCAGCGCTTGGCAAATTACCATTAGAACCAGCTTGTTCGCCCAACGCTACGGTACGTCTGTAGTCGTTGTGGTAATCGACGACAAAAGTACGATCACTGTCGTACATTTCAGTTTGAGGCGCTGCAGTGGTAGTTGTTGTGGTTGTGGTCGAAGTGGCTTCAGTGGTGGTTGCGTTAGGGTTAATAGCGCACAATGAGTCGACGCAGTATCTATCACTTGGACATTGAGAGCATGCATCGCCGGTAAGGTATACTGGCTCACTTATTATGTTTCCTTGTGTTTGGTAGTTGCAAACAACAATGTATCCATTGTCATAACCATCCATGTTAGTAAATGTTGCACATTGCGTGATACCACATCCAACTAGGTAGGAGGTGGCCCAGATTACCTAAAACAAAGTAACAATACATCTCATTGACTTTGTGTTCATTAAACTGTTTTTCTCTGTGTTATGTACAAAGCCTTAAAGGATACATAAACATACCTGAGTAAAATGTCCAGTTACTAAGTTAGGGTCTACTTCAAAGTCGTTGACGTTGCTGATATTGAAGTTGGCAATTTCACTATACCAACTGTTGACAGAGTTCTGAAGAAGTTCAGTGTAGTTGCCATCAGATGCCGAGACGGCGTATAAGTTCTGTCCTCCAGCGTAACCATTATGTTCAAAAGTGCAGTTGTTGGCCCAGGCTTGAGCAGAAGCTTCAACCGTTGCATCGTAGCCATATTCATACATGTTCGCCGCGGCTGGTAATACGCCATTTAAGGCCGCTTGTTGTCCCGCGGCTATCAGACGTTTCTTCTCATTGTGGAACTCGACAGTGGCTGTTCTTTCATCATCGGTCAAACCGAAGGCTGTTGTAGCCAGGCAAGCGATGTACAGTAGAACTTTCATTGTATGATACAGTAGAGTACGATGTTGTCACAAAGGAAAGTGTTGTGAAAAACTGTGATTGATTGTTGTGAACGGTTTGCTTATATACCTTTTGCACGATTAAAGGCATGATCATAAGCCTCAAAACTTGCGTGGTAATAATTTTGAATATAGATCAGTCTCCACAGCTAATCACACAGGCAATAGAATTAAAATGCAAATTTTTGATAGTTTGATTTCGGATTAAAAAGTAAATATTTTGATAAAATTGGGAAGTTGCACTTAGTTTCTGCGAACAGATACAGTTTAAACGTATTTGCATAGACAGAAGCTATTAAAATAACTTTTTTGGGATTATTTGTGTGGTTAGCTGGAAACTGTTTCCGATTTTAATAGCGTTCCCACGCAAAAGTTTTCAGGCTTGTGATCATGCCTTTAATCGTGCAAAAGGTATATAAGCAAACCGTTCACAACAATCAATCACAGTTTTTCACAACACTTTCCTTTGTGACAACATCGTACTCTACTGTATCATACAATGAAAGTTCTACTGTACATCGCTTGCCTGGCTACAACAGCCTTCGGTTTGACCGATGATGAAAGAACAGCCACTGTCGAGTTCCACAATGAGAAGAAACGTCTGATAGCCGCGGGACAACAAGCGGCCTTAAATGGCGTATTACCAGCCGCGGCGAACATGTATGAATATGGCTACGATGCAACGGTTGAAGCTTCTGCTCAAGCCTGGGCCAACAACTGCACTTTTGAACATAATGGTTACGCTGGAGGACAGAACTTATACGCCGTCTCGGCATCTGATGGCAACTACACTGAACTTCTTCAGAACTCTGTCAACAGTTGGTATAGTGAAATTGCCAACTTCAATATCAGCAACGTCAACGACTTTGAAGTAGACCCTAACTTAGTAACTGGACATTTTACTCAGGTATGTTTATGTATCCTTTAAGGCTTTGTACATAACACAGAGAAAAACAGTTTAATGAACACAAAGTCAATGAGATGTATTGTTACTTTGTTTTAGGTAATCTGGGCCACCTCCTACCTAGTTGGATGTGGTATCACGCAATGTGCAACATTTACTAACATGGATGGTTATGACAATGGATACATTGTTGTTTGCAACTACCAAACACAAGGAAACATAATAAGTGAGCCAGTATACCTTACCGGCGATGCATGCTCTCAATGTCCAAGTGATAGATACTGCGTCGACTCATTGTGCGCTATTAACCCTAACGCAACCACCACTGAAGCCACTTCGACCACAACCACAACAACTACCACTGCAGCGCCTCAAACTGAAATGTACGACAGTGATCGTACTTTTGTCGTCGATTACCACAACGACTACAGACGTACCGTAGCGTTGGGCGAACAAGCTGGTTCTAATGGTAATTTGCCAAGCGCTGCTAACATGCTGGAACTTGTGTACGATACTGTCATTGAGGCTGATGCCCAGGCTTGGGCTAACAACTGCAGTTTCGGTTACTCAAGCTATGCTGGAGGTCAAAATATGATTCTTTACGAAACCAGTAGCAGCAGCTCTCAAAATTACACCGTTCTTCTCAAAGCGGCCGTTGATGAGTTTGTCAGCCAAGCCAGCAGCTTCAACACCAGCTACGTTGCCGACTATTCATCAGACGCAGGCAGCTTGTTCAGTCAAGTAAGGGTTTCAAACAATCCTTTATCAAACGGCCAACAAATTTTTAAAAATGATTTTGTTTAAATTCATGAAATTAGTAGTGTTTTGTACAAAGATAACATTATATTTTTAGGTAATCTGGGCCAACACCTCCAGCCTTGGTTGTGGAGTACAAGCTTGCCCAAACTATGACTCTACTGGATTCTACGCTTACATGGTCGTATGTTTCTACCAGGGAGCCGGCGATATCGCAGGCCAGCCTATCTATACTCAAGGTGACTCTTGTTCCCAATGTCCTAGCGGTACAACTTGTGACAATGGATTGTGTGCTACTTCATAACTTGTCTTTTTTAGTCTTCATGACTTGTAAAAAAGTTTTAAAATTCGAAAAATAATTAATGTCAATAAAATAAGTTGCAATTACGACTGAATATATATATTTATTTACATTTGTACTCAACAATCAAAAACATAATCCTAAAATTATCATTACAATCATATAAATCACTCATGATCATCTCCAGCTGAAATTTCATTTTGAAACAATCGAAAAGGAAACACAGCCCATCTAGCAAATGTAGGAAACTTTAACGGCCAAACCCTCGGTTTCTTCTCCGGTATTGGCGGAGTAAACTTGAGCCATGATTTAAAAGCATCTTTACTAGGATTGACAGCATAAGGATGATATCCATCTGTGCCACTCCCTTTAATTGTTGTACTTTGAGTATTTGTTGCATCCAAAGAAGTTAGTTCTTTGTGATGTCTACTTCTTGCTCCATAGTATCTTATCAAAAACTCAAACATAAGATAAATGCCATGGCAGCCACTGGAGAGGTTGAACATGTAATGAGATATTGTTGATTTTGGCGTGAATAGCGATAGGTATTGGAAGATCTAAAGGTTGAAACGTATTTCACGGGCAATATCTTATGGAATGTCGTTTTGAGGACATATTACATATAAGGTTGTATAAAAACTAATGAGCTAACAATTGTAATTCTCATAACTCATATGGAATTTAATAGCTCATTACTTTTTATACAAAATAATAATATGTTTTTAAAATGACATTGCATAAACCATATAAATTTTCAAAACCGTAAAAAGTTAAAAACCTTACCCAAGGCAATCCAATCATGAACTGTAGAGCAAATAGAACCCCCAACTTCTTTTGTACATCACGTTTTGCAGTTATGTTTCGTCGATCAATTCTATCAAAACTTTGTTTGAATCGTATCCTTCTTTGAATATTCTCCACGAATTTGTAGTTTCCCAATAAGGTGATAAACACAATAAACAAACAAAACAGCGCATTTAAAATCAACAATGTTAAGGGTAACACCACGGCCATAAATACGAAGGTTGGGTTGACCCAGCAGCTAAAATTATCAATATCTCAGCTTGTTATCAATAAAACAAAGCAAAATTCAAAATAGAATATCGCGAAAAAATAATTTTAAAATTCGTTATAAAATACCTTGTTTTAGTTAAAACTTACTAATCATCTTTGCGCTGTAAAAACTGCGGAGTGAATAATGCAACAAAAAGAGTAACAAGCGTACCCAAAACTGAAAATGATGTTTTCTTTATAAATACGTTTACAAGGTAGAAGTGTAAAAGAGCCAGGCCAAGCCCAAGATTTCGGCCGGCTTCTACAGTAAGAGAAAATGCTAAGATTTGAAACAAAAATTAAGTAAAAATATTTTTTACCTATGCTAGTTGATAAATTGAAAAAGTTACTTGTTATACTGGGCAGTAGCACCCTTGATCTAGTCCACCTCTTAATTTTGTCCTGAATCGAACGTTCGCTAACACAACTCCGTAAAACACGCCACGATTGAGCTACGGTAAACATTATGCAACTGAAAGCACATAATTTTAATTTCTTCAAACATTCAGGATCTTTAAATAAAGGCGAAAAATTATATACAGGGAGATCTAAAAAGGAACCATTAGGCCCGGATCAGCCAATTCGAAGCAAATTTGAAAAGGACAGAGCCGGCCGACTCATGTAAACCCAACAAAGACCGCGGCCCGAACTAGAGCCCGGCCGTGGGCCAAGATAAAAAACTTGGACTCTTCACAAGTCTATACACTAACCAATCACAAAATAAAAAACAAAGGTTGTAAAAAAGAACTTACCATAACAACAAAAAGTAATTGAAACCCGCAACAAATGAACAAAACCCTTCTCCAGACACATCTTCATCCACAAAAAAAGTAAAGAAAAAGTAAAACACAAGATAAAAGAAGTAATAAGATATCCTTACCGAATCGACTGTAATCTAAAAATCAAATCATACTTTACCTACTGTCAGTAAAGAACTTTACTATATGTAAAAATTTACTGTACTTTCAAAAAAGTCTGAGCTCACATAAGAAAAGTTCCGCTTGTAGAAAGCGATTTTGTATGAGTAACTGCGTGTCAACGGTGATAAGTTCATCAAATGTATGATAAATAAGAATGCCAAACATAAAGTAGATCCAATTGTAGTAATAAGACCGATAGCCCTCAAAAATGAGTCACATAACAAGGGGTCTGTCGCGCAACCGTCCTATAACATAAAACTCATGTTTAAAAACATAAAGTACCTTAGTACACCAACGTATAACCGACGTACTTCAAGTGTAGTGTTAAGAACATAGAGTAATAAAAGACCCTTTCTTTCCTGGATATTAAGACTTAATTTTGTAAAGTAAACACCATGTAATCAAAGCCTTACCACTAGTATAGTAAAATCAGTCAAATGATTACACTCGCCAATATAATACTCATCATCTTCTGTCAAATTACATTCTCGTCCTCTTTGCCAATCACCACCTTCAAATGAGGTTATAGCTAAAAACCCGTGTAAAGGTATACCCACATCATTTTTACGGTATTTTATAAACACAACTGGCGTATTGGTATCATCATAAGAGTGTTCAATCACCTTCCCCGACAGCACTGGATTGTCTTGTTTGTTTAATGCTACTCGACATCGGTTGCCATCATCACTGATAAACAAACTGTTTATACGATAAGCAGTTAAATACACAGGCTTGTTACCTTCATCTTTAATATTAAAATTCTTTCCATCAGTGTTTTCTTGAGCACAAACAATATCTTTGTTAAACTCAATTGAAGCTATTGCATTATCTCTACTACTCGTCCAATCAAAGGTGTCAGAATACATAGAAACACCTATTATATCTTGGCTACATTCCACATTTAGCAATTTAAACATGGCTAAACTTGTACCATTATTCAATGTCAAATCATATTTTGATTTTGATAAAATTTGATCAATACTTCTGATAAACTTGGCAGTAGAATCAGCGTGTTCAGTGTTTGCTTCCCTCATAACTTCTTCCGGGATTTCTAAACTCTTATCAAAGAGTTTGTAGATGATACCAAAGTCCTGAAACAATATGTAGTTTTTTGTGTTCGTAAAGTCTCTATAGTTCTTTCAACTTATTAAGGCATTGCTTTTTTCAATTACTGATTTTTGAATTACTTATCAGTGTTCTATTCAACTTTCTTTATCAATGTTTAGTAGCTATTGTTCATAAATTTCAATAGATTATCGTTTTTATAGCGTTCAGAAGCGTATGACTTTTATGGAGTATCAACTATTGAATGGTTTTGAGTATCAATTATTGAATAAGTATTACCTCATATTTAATATCGTCCAGTCCACCTATTCTGTCGACAATTCCAGATAACATAAAGAATTCATCGCTTGTTGCTGAAGTGTTAAAATTCTCGATAGTCTGATTCACAACATCGCCTACATTATCGTCCGTTATAGTGGTCTAAAATCAAGGTATTGTCATTTTTTGGCTTTTCTTTGCAAAGCTATGTGTTATACTTGGTTTAATCGTTATATGGTACTAAATTCCAAAAAATCAATATAAATTCTACTCACATTGCAATAAATCTTTTCCAATAGTGTTTCAGGGTTGTCGCAGCCTTCAAAATGACTACAGTGAAACCTCTTTAATACGACCCTCAATAGTATGACACTACCTTTATAATGACAGCTTTTTGACCGCCCTTTATAATAGAAACCCTATCAAAAAGTACCTGGATATTGTGACATCCTACTTATAAGGACAGGTTTAAACCAGTCCATTGAGTGTCATAATAAAGAGGTTTGACTGTATATTATAGTATTTTCTAAATTTTGATGACCTCACCATCCCAATATTCCGTTGTAGTAGCAGCAGCTGTTGTAGTTCCCGATACCTCTTCGCAATACTGTTTAGAACTACTACTGTCTGGACATCGACAATAAACGATGTATCCTAATATTGACTCTTCTTTCTTTTGGAAACAAGTCTCGTTTTTATCAAAATCTAGTTCATCAATAAAGCGCGAGTAATTTGCATATTCTGTGTTTTTAAAAATCAACTGAAATTTGGGTTTATCAGAAGTCGAGTAGTAATAATCACATTGATTGTTCAGTATTTCTTCACACCTAAAATTTTAGGCTATTGCGTAGTAAACGAAGGTTATTGTAAAGTAAAGCATATACGATTATAAAAAAACAAAATCTTACCGAAAATCATTGTAACTGTCATTGTTTTCAGCAACCCTTAAAACTAGGTAAAAAGATTGGCTTCCATTATCATTCTCCTTGTAAACTGACAGCCGAAAAGGCTTTTCCAAGGTACCATCATAAGTATTGTAAATCTTATATTCTGTATAACCATCGTTGATCTGTAGTACAGCATTGTAACTGTCCGTTTCTAAACATTCAATCATATAAAAGCACGAATAACTCAATAACTTACTTAATGTATCGTAAACAGTTACTTTTTATTAGATTGCTCACATAATTCTGTGCCCCCGTCAACGCCAATTTAGGCGATTAAGAGGTACAGAAGTGTGTAAACAAACTAATAGTAAAATACAACAAATCACATATATAATAATAATAAATAAACAATTAAAAAAACCAACCTGAAAATAAAATACAGTAACCAAGTTGAGCCAAAATAAATAAAATCACAGAAAAACAAAATAAGTGTGCCATAAGTGAGCAGCCATTAAACTACAATCTAATGAGAATAACTTTCCTTATCATTTGTTGATTTTCTATGTACTTAAAAAAACTTTACTCTCATTATCATAAACAATAGAAGTTTTAATGATAAGTTTTGCAAAGAGTGATTTGCGACTGACTTTACGATTGTCAATCAGTTTGTGTGGTTAATGTTTTTAGAGATCTTAAAATTAAATTTATTATATTTCTTATTTATTTGGTCGTTTTACAAATTGATATATGTATGTTATGACTTCTGTCGTCTCATCTATTAATATCATTTAGGTTTCATCTCACCCATTAACATTGTTAAGATAACTATATTTGACATACAAAATCCCTTTTATTTACAATTGTTATCTAAAAATATCAATTTTCTGTAAAAATCGACTTTGTTTTAACAGTGGTAATTTGAGTACTTGGGACGGCCGAAGATGTTGGAGTAACAACCTTATGGTACTTTTTTCGGGCTCCAAAGTATCTTATCAAAAACTCAAACATCAGATAAATGCCATGACAACCACTTGATAAATTGAAAAAATAATGTGATACTGTAGCATGAGCCGTAAATAGTGATAAGTATTGAAAGACCTAAAAAAATACTGTTGATCGTCTAAAAAAACTTAACTTGAATTAAACATATTTATACCACCGTCATGACGCGAAAATTATAAATACACCACGATCATTTTACCAAAACTCCTGACCTACCCATGGCATTCCAATCATAAACTGTAGAGCAAATAAAACTCCTAATTTGCTTCGAACTTCTCGTTTTTTGGCCGAATTCCGTCGATCAATTCGATTAAAATCTTGTTTGAACCTCATTGCTCTTTGCAAATTCTCCACAAATTTGTAGTTTCCAAACAAAGTGATAAAAACGATAAACAAACAAAATACCGCATTTAGGATTAACAATGTTAACGGTAACACCACGGCCAGAAATACAAACGTTGGGTTGATCCAGCAGCTAAAATAACATGATACATTGGCGATAATAAGTTTTGTTTTGTAAATAAACAAGGTCTTTCTACTTGCTATTAGTCATCAAGTATAAAAACGTGAATAAACAGACGCATTAAAAAACGTTCGAAATCAAACATTGTAATGCTTATCATTTAATACTCTACTTACGAAAGAGTATTATACTGATCTACTTACTAGTCATCTTTCCGCCGGAAGAAACTTGGCACTGATAGTCCAACAGTGAGTGTTATAAGCGTTCCCAACGCTAAAATTCAAAATTTTAGTTTTTAAATTTCCAACTCGTCCGTGTCAAATTTAAAATAAATTTTAATGTATTACTATAATCCATGAGCTAAAAAAGCTCAATTTTAATAGTTGCTTACCAGTTACACTTGGGAGTAAAATTCGAGATCTTGTCCATCTCTTAATTTTATCTTGGATAGATCGTTCGCTCACACAAGTTCGTAAAACACGCCACGATTGAGCAATTGTAAACATTATGCAACTATAACAACAAAAGTTCAAAATAGTGCCGAAAAGTGACATGCAAGGCAAATAAAAACAAATTAAAGTAATGTTAACTTACCACAACAACAAAAAGTAATTGAAACCCGCAATGAATGAGCAAAAACCTTCGCCACTAACAGTTTCATCAGCAAAAATGGTAAAAGAAAGGTAAAACATAAAGTAGAAGAAGTAGTAAAACAATCGAACTGTGTCCACAGTAATCTAGAAACTTAATTTTAACGTACGTAAGTATACAAATCAGTATTATAAATAGAATGAACGCAACAAACTCCTTACATATGAAAAGTTTTGCTTGTATAAGCCAATTTTATAAGAATATTTCCTTGTAATTGATGATAAATTCATCAAATGTATAATGAACAAAAATGCTAAACATAATGTAGATCCTATTGTAGTAACGAGTCCAATGATTCTCAATACTGGATCACATAAAGATGGATCTGTCGCGCAACCGTCCTATAACGTCAAAGTTTATTGTTACTTCTTGTCAAGAGTGCGACGTTAATGAAGTTTAACATGAGCATATTATATTCCACCTAGATATTCAAAGTTACGTTTTTATAAAGTAAACACCATATAATCAAAACCTTACCACGAGTATAGTAAAGTCGGTCAAATGATTACATTCGCCAATATAATAACCATCTCTTTCTGTTAGCTTACATTCTCTTCCCTTTTGCCAATCACCATCTTCAAAAGATGATATAGCCAAAGTGCCATGTAACGGAGTACTAACATGACTTTTACGGTAACGTATAGCTGCGACTGGAGTGTCAGTCATATTTACATCTCTTCCAATAACCTTTGCTGACATTACTGGATAGTCCAGCTTTATCATTGCATTACGACATCGGTCATAGTCATCGTTTATAAATAAACTATTTTTACGGTAGGCCACAAAGTATAACGATGGTTTCGTATCTTCTTGTTCTCCTAACTTTCCAGCCTTTTTTAAATTCTCATCATGTTGCCCTTTACGACAAACAACTTCCTTGTTTAATTCAATAGAAGCCATTGGCTCTTCATTATCATTTGTAAAACCAAAATTATTGTCGTATACAGATATTCCTGGAACATCTTTGCTACAATAATGATCTTTTATTTTGTACATGGCTAGGCTGTTGCCGTCTTGCAAGTCTAGGTTAGAGTTGGCGTTTGTTAAAAGCTTATCAACACTAGTGATGAATTTTTGTGTAGTACCTTCATGCACAGCATTAGCATCCCACATTACTGATTCAGATATGCCAATACTTTTGTCAAAAAGTTTGTAAATGACTTCGTAGTCCTAAAACTTTGAAAGATAACTTGAGCATTTCGATTTAAATTTAAAAATTGTTCATCATTCAATTTATCTTGACAACAAAGAATGTTAACAGATTAACACTAAGTGTATTAAAAATTGTAATAGTGCCCTACTTCTGCTTTAATGCCATCCAATTTGGATATTTTATCAACAATGTCGGTTAACAATGTAAAGTCGTGACTTGTTGCTTTATCTTCATCAAAGCTGTCAGCCGTCTTCTCAGCTACATCTCGAACCGTGTCGTTAGTAATTGTGTCCTTAATATATATTTTTTAAAGTTTAAATTATTTTTTATATAGATCAGCTCTGTAATAGTAATTCCGTTTTTAAAGCTTACTTTTTCTTCACAATAAACATATTCTAGATCTGATTGTGGATTGTCGCAATCTGAGAGCAAATCTGTAGTAGTAGTAGTGGTAGTAGTAGTAGTAGTAGTAGTGGTAGTAGTAGTAGTAGTAGTAGTAGTAGTAGTAGTAGTAGAGGCGTAAGTGGTGGTAGTAGTTATAGGATTGTCATTCCTTGTAGTAGTTGTTGGACCAAGAGAAGTAGTTGTTGAATCAACAACTTCTTCCCAACTTGGGCAACGGATGTTTGGTTTAGGATCATAATTTGTATGGCAGCGACAATAATTCACATCTCCAATTGCTTCGTCCTTTCCTTTATTGTTTGTACATTTTTCTTCCTTACTATCATCAAAACTAATAATTTGTATTAAGTAGGTATGATTGATACTTCTTCTTATGTTCGCTAAAACCAATCCAAATTTCACATCATCTGATTTTCCATAAACGTAATAGCAAGGTGTTGTATTGCAGCTGTAAAATGTTTTTACAAATTTTAGTTCAATTATACTAGCATTTTAAAGTGACATCATGTCTCTAAAATCTTACGGCAAAATTATCTCGCTGTCACGCCCGAAAACTTGTAGACTAACTACAAAGTCCTGGCTCCCTTCATGGTAAATTTTACGCACTGTCACATTATATGACGCTTCCATGTCTTTAGCTTCTGTTCGTGAAATTTCGTACTGAAGGTGTGAATACTGGTGTGAATCGTCAGCGTGTAAAGCAACCAAATAGTTATCATCTAAACATTGTAAAATTCAACACGATGTAGAGAAATAAAACACGAAAGAATGTAAAAGGTCTTTAAACTATTTAGCAAAATGACCAAAAAATAAAAACCAAAATTAAAAATTTTAAAACCAACATACCATCAAAAAAGGCATCATTGTCGCTCTTTCCATAACAAATTAAAGCCAACAAAATTACAGCAGAAAAAAAATTGAATGCCATTGAGAAGCATGAATAAAAATCCTTTCAAACGAAATCGTCGAATTGTATTATTATCATTCCCAACTTTCCGCCAAGTTTAAGACCTCACCTTTTTAAAGTTGAATAAATAATGGAACGAAAGAGATTAGTGTGACAATACGTTTTGCTCAAAACTCTTTTTCATCGTCTTTCAGTTTTAAGAGTTTAGTATATTTATTGCCGTTTTTAAACTAAATTTTTGTTTATAGGTATCACATATATTTTTATGTTAATATAAGCTGAGTTTCATTGTAATTCATATTTATTTACACGTGTGTTCTCAAAAAATCTCTTTTTTTAATGTCGATTCATATTCTTATTAGTAAGTCGATTTAGACTTCATTGTTGTGGATTGTGTATTAGGTAAAGCCGAAGATGTCGGAGTAACAATCTTATGGTATTTGCCTCGCGCTCCAAAGTATCTTATCAAAAATTCAAACATTAAGTATATTCCATGACAACCACTTGACAAATTAAACAAATAGTGAGATACTGTTGCATGGGCCGAAAACAATGATAAATATTGAAAGATCTAAAAGTATCAACTTTAATGACATTCCTTTAATGATTATTTTATATTTGTAAAATTTGTAACGCATTCATATTGCACTGTCCTAAAAATAGTGGGACACCTACCCATGGCAATCCAATCATAAACTGTAGAGCGAATAAAACTCCTAATTTGCTTCGAACTTCTCGTTTTTTGGCCGAATTCCGTCGATCAATTCGATTAAAATCTTGTTTGAACCTCATTGCTCTTTGCAAATTCTCCACAAATTTGTAGTTTCCAAACAAAGTGATAAAAACGATAAACAAACAAAATACCGCATTTAGGATTAACAATGTTAACGGTAACACCACGGCCAGAAATACAAACGTTGGGTTGATCCAGCAGCTAAAATAACATGATACATTGGCGATAATAAGTTTTGTTTTGTAAATAAACAAGGTCTTTCTACTTGCTATTAGTCATCAAGTATAAAAACGTGAATAAACAGACGCATTAAAAAACGTTCGAAATCAAACATTGTAATGCTTATCATTTAATACTCTACTTACTAGTCATCTTTCCGTCGGAAGAAACTTGGCATTGACAATCCAACAATGAGTGTAACAAGAGTTCCCATCACTAGAATTTAATAAAGTACTTACCAAGTATTAAATTTCGAAAAACTTTAGTACTTTTAAAACTTGTTACATAAAATTACCTGTAATACTTGGCAGTAAAATTCGTGACCTTGTCCATCGTTTAATTTTGTCCTGAATCGACCGTTCGCTCACACAAGTCCGTAAAACACGCCACGATTGAGCAATTGTAAACATTATGCAACTATAACAACAAAAGTACAAAGTAGTACCATAATATGCGGTGCAAATAAAAGTCAAAGCTAAAGTAATGTTAACTTACCACAACAACAAAAAGTAATTGAAACCCGCAATAAATGAGCAAAAATCTTCATCAGTAACACTTTCATCGGCAAAAATGGTAAAAGAAAGGTAAAACATAAAGTAGAAAAAGTAATAAAACAATCGTACTGTGTCCACATTGATCTGAAGTAAAAAAGTATAGAACTTAAGGCGTATAAGGCGTTATTGCCTCTGCATAAAAAATTTAAAAGTACGCAACCTTACATAAGAAAAGTTTAGCTTGTAGAAAGCAATTCTGTATGAGTATCTTCTTGTAAGTGGTGATAAATTCATCAAATGTATGATAAATAAGAATGCCAAACTAAATGTAGATCCAACAGTAGTAACAAAGCCAATCGCTCGCAATACTGGATCACATAGCGATGGGTCTGCCGCACAACTGTCCTAAGACATAAAAATTTAATGTAAAACCTTAACTGTCTTGACAACAATAGAAATACCTTGTCTTGACCACAGAGAAGTGAAAAGTATATTAAAAAGCTGCTTAGTACGCAGTATTTAACGTAGAATGATATACAAAAGCTAATTTTTGCGGAGTAAGCGCTGTAACCTGAATCTTACCACTAATAACGTAAAGTCGGTCAAGTGCTGACATTTTCCAGTAATATAACCATCGCTTTCTGTTATATTACATTTTAGTTTCCTTTGCCATTCTCCGTTTTCATATGATGTTATAATAAACGACCCATGTAACGGAGTACTTATATTGCCTTTACGGAAACGCATAATCACAACTGGCGCGTTTGTCATGCCTGTATTTGTTCCAATAATCGTTGCTGACATTACCGGTGAGCCATGCATATTCATTGTAACATCACATCTGTCATCATTCCTTTCGTATTCCGCGTTTTTAAATAAACTATTTTTACGGAATGCTACCTGGACTACCGATGGATTAGGATTTAGTTCGCAAACAATTTTTGTGTTTAACTCAATCGATGCCATTGGATTATTAGTACCAGTATCACTAGTTAGGTTAAACTTGTCATCGTTCACATTTATACCTGGAATGTTTACATTGCAATCAACCTTCATTATTTTATACATAGCAATTCTGGCTCCATGTAGCAAGTTTAAATCATAATTTGCGTTAGCCAAAAGTCGATGAACACTTTCAATAACTTTCGTTGAGGCTACGGCTTTAGCTTCCAATATCACTGATTCAGGTATTCCAAGAATCTTGTCGTACAAGTGGTAAATAATGTCAAAGTCCTAAAGCATAACTACGTGTGCCTTTTAAAAACTATTAACTATAAGAAACTTGGAATTGAATATAGTTATATATACTACATGTATATATACACAGAATATATATTTGAATATAGTAAATGGTCTCCTTACTGCTTCGCTGATATTATGTAATTCCGATATTCTATAGACAATGTCAGCCAAGATAATAAAGTCTTGACTAGTAGAGTTGTTTTCATCAAAACTATGGATTGTATTGTTAGCGATATCATAAACCGTTTCATCAGTGATGTTGTCCTAAAAATTTTTTTATTTAACTTAAAGATATTATCTAAAGCTTACCTTTTCGTCGCAGTAAACATGTTCCAAGTCTGATTGTGCTGTCTCGCAGACTGCAAAAAATGGTTTTCAAAAAAATATTTTTTAAATCCCAAAACTCCGTATCAGTACTGCATATTTCCTTACATATAAACTCTTACCAAATATCGGTGCAGCAGTAGTGATAATTATTGTCGTTGTGGTTACAATATCAGTAGTTGTAGTAGTAGATTCATATGTAGTAGTAGTCGTTGGATTATTTGCTGTAGTTGTTGTCGTTGTTGGCACTATAGGATGAGTAGTTGTTGTTGGCCCTGAAGGTACTGTAGTTGTTGTTGTTTCTATGGAACGCTTAGTGGTTGTGTCAACAGGAGGAAAAGAAGTTGTTGTTTTATCCGGCAATTCCGGAGGCGGACATCCCCGTGAAGGTTTAGGATTGTAAACTGAAACGCAGCGACAATAATTAACGTGACCAAGTCGTCCTGCATTTTCTTCAAAGTGTTGACATTCACCGTCATCATCGTAATCCACATTCGTCGGAATTCCATCCAGTGTATAATAACCTAGATTTTTTTTCGTGTCACTCAAAACTAGCTCTAACGTAACGTAATCTGTTTCGGAATATGTGTAATAACATGGTTCATGAGTACATCTAAAATGCAGTTTTATTCTTTATTGAATTGACAGTAACGTCTCTATAGCTCAAAGTTTATTAATACAATACAGTTTGCGTCCATCCTAAAAAGCATCAAGCCTAAAAAACTTACGGATAATACTTTGGTTCCGAACCTTCAATAACGACTTTTAAACTAACAACAAGGTTTTCATTATTTCGATGATAAGTTTCATGTACCGTCAAGGAGTAAGATGCTGCCAAGTTTTTGGCTTCGATTTGAGAAATTTGCAATTCAAGATGTGCATCTGGAGTACTTAAAACCGCAAAGTAAATGTTCTCTGTAAATTAAAACACACACGTAGGAAAGCTTAAACACGTTTTAAAATAGTTTTTATCTTCAAAAGCTAGAAAAAATGACTAACAAAAGCGCCAGAACGTTAAACATTACAAAAAATATCTAAAATCTATGTAAACAAAAAATAAGGAAAAAATAAAATACCTGTAAAAACGTAGCATTCATTGTCACTGCCTCCATGACGCGCCAAAACCAACAAAATCACGAAAAAATAAACATAACATGCCATCAGTGAGAAGCATTCATAACAATTGGGTCAAATTTAAACGTGCAAATAAGTTTTGTTATCATTTGACAATTTTTTTCCATAACTTCGAGACCTCGCCTTTTTTAAAAGTGAATAATAGAGCAATGAAATGGTGATAAGTTTTGTGGAGCAAGTCTTCTTGATTGTCATGTCCAGAGGGAATTATTTAATCGAGTGTTATTGAGGGTTTGGTATATTGATTAATCACTTTTTAATTAAAAGTTTTATTGTAGTGTTAGTTAAGTTTCTACTGCCGTGTTAGTTGAGTATTATTGTTTGTGGTTTTTGAGATTTCTGCTTATCTTTTTTATATCTTGTACTTTGAAAAAGTTTCATAAATATGAAAGTTCAAAACACAAAAATTTGAAAACAAAACAACTAACAAAGTAATAATAAGACATTTTTATGCCTTTAAAGATTTTTTTAACCAATTACAGCTTTTAAAACTTTAAAAATCTCTTTCGAATTTAAAAACTTGAATTTTAAAAATGTCAATTTTTAACATTATTTATATAAATTTAATTACTTTTATATATTTTTAAGATTTTTTTAAGTTTTACCGTAGCCATTTTTCACGATCATGTTTTAAAAACCCTGAATTTCGTCAGCGCACGTTCTGTACCCGACCATATCTATACATCACTTACGTCAACACTTTTACGACTTTCGTTAAACCTTAGTTATTTTTACAAATTTATCAGTTTTATGCGTTTTCCCAAAAACAATTCATTAATTTTTGATTTTGTAAAAAAAACATTAAATTCCATGACTAAGGCTATCTACAGGGCCAGGCGGGGACTTTTGGTCTAGGGGCGGGGGTCGAAAAAATCGGCACAGGTAAGCTATCTGTGCCGATTTTTCGCAAAAAATTTTTTTCTAAAATCCACAGAGGGACCATGTTCAACATTTTTTAATTTTTTTTCTAGGGGAAGGGCTCTTAACAAGACCTAAATAGGTTGAAAGAGCATAGTTTGCAGGAAAACCATTTTCAAAAACTGCTAAATGACATTGGCTGTTATGGTAGGCTCAACATTGTCTAAATTCAAAAAAATATATTTTTTGATAAATATTTTTTGTGAAAGTAACAATTATGACTAAAAAATAGTAGCCAACAGTTTTTAAAATAATTTTACCGGTAACGTTTTATGCTCTTTCATCTTACTCAGGAATTGTTCTAAAACCCGAGAGACTTTTAGTGCAACTCTACTGCAAGGCTAACTTCTTCTTTTTTATTTATTTTTAACATTTTTTGATGTCTTTACCTCTACAAAGTACTAAATTCACCTTAAAACTCATTATATTAATCTTAAAATTCAAGAATTCACTTTAAAATCAATACTCTGCCTATAAAAAACCTCATTTTGCACCAACTTTTTCATTATAAACGCATTTTCACTCCAAACTAAAAAAAAATTTGTTTTTATCAAATTTATTAAAATTAGAAGTTTGTCGAAAATCCAATACCTGTATGAAAAACGGTGGAATATCACAATATGTTTTTGTGGCGGCAAAATAAGACACAATACATTAATTTTGAGGCACAATAAATACTAACGTTTTCTTTAGACAACCGGCGACATTTTTTAGTAAGTCGTTTAAAAAGTGACACTATGTGATCAATTCACAAAATGACCGCAAAAAAATCATTTTTAATTTGAAAAAAGACAAAATAACTTATAATACTTTAGAATTCGTATAATACATTTAGCCATACCCAAACTTGACTTTATTTTACAATTTTTGGGTATTTTTGAGTTGACAGACCTACAACAAATTTGTCATTATTTTTAATATGCTAACGTAGACTATATTGGCATTAGTTGTCTTTAGCCAACGAGCAGACAAATTTACAAATTTTTAACATTTTAAAAATTTAAATAGCATAAATTATCGATAAAATTTGAGCAAAACGGCCCATTTTTGGCCTTTATCACTAACATTATGACCTAATACTTCACACAAAACATAATACGTCTTTTTAAAATCAATCTCAAGGTGGCGAATTTGCGCCATATGCACTATCCTCAATACTGTATAATATTATACATGACAAATCTCATTTTTGACAAGACATGACCATCTTTTTTAGTTTTTAATCTTATCGGTAAACAAGGCTAGGCTTAAAAATCTTATTAGTAGGCATAGTAAATACAGATTAATCAAAAGTTCATTATATAGGTATAACCTATAATAACAGGTATACCTACATCGCCTTGCCTTACTATCTCTCCCAGACTCTCTAAGCCCAAAAAATCCAAAAAACTTTAAAATTAAAAAAAAAACTATTTTCGAGACTTTACGTTAAACGAGACAGTTGGTACGATCAGTTCCTCCATGTAGTGCTCCAGTCCAGTGCCAATTTCAATTTGTGGTCGAATTTTGAAGACACCTTCTGATCGGAATAGGAAAGAGAATTTGGTCTTGAATACCTTGCTTTCTTCGGCCGTTTTCAAGCTGAATGGTTGTTTCCTTACGCCACAAACCACCAGGAAGTCGGTTCGATCGATGATTTCGGCCGCGTTTTGCACGTCTTGAATGCAGTGGAGTTGGAGGTGGCCGTGAAAGTTTAATGGCACTAAAATTGACAATATATAAGCTTATCAAATCATTTTTTGAAAAGGAAATTGTAAAAGACAATACTTATGTATTAGAACCAAGAAATATAATTTAAAATGTCAAAAATATTAATTTCAATATGAAAAACTAATATTTTTGTATCTAAAATCACACTTTTTTCAAAAAAAGCCAAATTAAAAAAAATATTTAAATTTATAATCCTGACACTTTAGAGTTACCCTACCTTTAGTTGAGCTAACCAATTCTATCTCCAACTGTTGTATATGCCCAACAATGGTAGGTAAGTCATCTTCGCTGAGGTATTGCTTGCCATTTACATGTACAACTACAAAAATATGTATCAAACACAACTATATATACTCTTAACATATTTTTAAAATTATCGCCTTAAAAACCCCCCGCCCAAATCCCCCCCCCCCCCCCTCATAATAAAAAAAATAAAAAGTTACCCGACCCTGAAGCCACTACTACCCTCAAAAAATTTAAAAAAACCCCTTACCTATAGAAATCACAGGAACGACCAACTGTTTCAAAAACCCAACCGATGATAGCAGTGGTCCTACTGGTACTAGTCCGTCCAAATTCAGCGCTTTGACCCGCCAGCGGATTTCCAAATGCTGAGAAAAATGGGACTCTAACCGCCGCCTTAGAGCTTCCATCTCCTGCATTTGCATCATATGCGAAGCTCGTTGAGCTGCACGATGAAAGTCTGACGTGTGGATTAGATTTGAGCATGGGCATAGAAGAGGGACTCTGGAAAGGGTAAATGTTTGGCTTGTATCCTCCTACCATCCCCTGCTTCAACATACCCTTTTATACCATTACCACAGTCAACTTGTCCACTTTACTACCATATACCCCTCCTACTACTGTAGTACCCTTACAAACCCCTACCAAAATATTTTCTTACCTACCCCTCCCAAAATATCTTCCTACCACAACATCCCTTGATTACCTGCAAGCCTCCTTTGGTTGCACCGAAATCTGTCTTCCATCAGAACCAAAGCTTAATTCAGCATCAAAATCGGTCGTGTTGGTAACATCAACCACAACAAATCGATTCGTAGGTGAATCGCCAGCTAAAACTTGCCAGTGGGAAACTGTAATAGCGGGTATGATAGTAATTGCCATTTTCAATGTCTCCTGCCGTTCGTATGTTTCTCCTGATTCTGTTTCTATGTCCGCCACGTATTCGAATATGAACTCCGATGTTAGTAGACGCTGAAAGTTAGGCAATAAAGTTATGTATTGGTTAAGTAAAACAACCAAATCAAGCCTTATACCTTTAAAAATCCCTGAAAAACCTACTCCAATATAAGGGATCAGATCATGTTCTCGTTTTTCCTTAACTTTCGTGTCTGAAACCGACTTTTTGATGGTTGATTTCAGTAGTCGTTCTTCTTCTTTGTCATCCTCTACTGTGTCTTCTCTTATAATTCCTGAAGCTGATCGTTCTGGTTCTGTTGCCACTTCTTCTATACTCTTTTTAGCTTTATCAACGCCGTTTAGAACTGCTTTTTCTTTTCGAATGTATACCTATAAAAAGAGCATTAGTAAAAAGACTTTGGAATAGTTTATTTCACTACATTCAAAGCACAGATTCATTTTTTTTATTTAAACCCCCTTAATCTTCCTTTCACCTCATTTTAGACCAAAAACAACCTCCTAATAAAGGTACCCGCCAGACCCGATCCAAGCTAGGCAATAACAAATTTAAAAGGGACGGGGCTATCACGTTAGCCCAAAAGGCGGGATCCAAACCGAGGTCCCAATGTCCCACCTTACCCTTTACAGCTATATCGCTTACAATTCACCCCCCCCCCCCCAACCAAAAATATCCTCCTAGCACTACCACCGCCAAAATCAACCCGTTCCCCGTCAAAATTTACCTCATTTAATGGATTCTTATCAGAAGCCGAAGCACTTGGATCGATTCCAAAGATTCTAAACCTTAATTCTCGTTCTTCTCCCGGCTTTAAGCTCATCAGTTTCAAACAATTCTTTTGTTTCTCATCTTTTTCCCCGTCTTCTTGTTCCAACCCAACAAACTCTAGTAATGGTGGTCCTCCGTATACTTTGGGCTGGTCGATTCGTATCCTCACTTCCTTGATCCCTATTTTCTCGTCAATGTTTTTGATGTTGATTGTATGTAGAAATCTAAAATTAGGTAAAGTTTTTGTACGTATTTTACAATTTTCTTTTAAAAAATCAAAAAATTCTCTTCCCACCCACCAAAAAAAATTTTTTTTACCCCGCCCAGCAAAAAAAAATCTGAAAAATAAACGTACGTTTGTCCCGAAAACACCGTAGTTTCTGCCACTCCCATCGTATCCTCCAGTATTGGCGCTCTTTTCAAGTCCACATTGACCTGTAGCTTCGGAAGAGGTGGCAATATCCTCACTTTCACCGGCGGTGCTTCTGGCAACTCATTCAAGCTACACACATTCTCCACATCAAACACAGTGCAACTGTAGCCGGTTAAAGTCATCCAACCGGCTGTTTTCGGAATTCCTAGTAGCGATACTGTAGTTTCGGTCACTTCTGAATCGTTATCGTTTGCATTGAGGTTTAGTTGAATAGGTACTGGATCAAATTCTACTCCATCCACGTGAAGGATCATGTTTTCGACCATCAAATCCATTGGCAGTAAATTTAAAACTTTGGCTGTGACTTGGCAGGCTGTGTTCACTACCCATACAGTGTCTGAAAAAAAGTATTGTTACCACAAAATCAATTTGAACACTTTCATTATATAAACCACGTTGAAACAAAAAATCCCCTTACAGCTTATCACAAATTTAGATATAAAAAGCCGTTTATGGCTTGAAATACCTAGTATTAGGTTAGCAGTAGGCAGGTTACAAAAAAAAGTTGCCAATCTAAGATAATATAAAAAAAATATTGCCATAACAAACATAAGAGGACCAACACCTAAACCTTACCTTTAACAACCGTATTGTTTTGGAAAGGAGAATATATGAAAACCCGTCCATCGGCACTGTCAACTTGACAAATCGATGGTGCTAGATTGCTGGCCAGAGGTTGGACTTTGAAAGCACTGAAAAAAGACCATTTTTAACTTAAAATCATGCTTTTTTGACTCTAATAAAGCTTTAAAAATATACTTATGCTATTATATTACTCATAAAAATCACTTTTTAAACTTGTAGTACCATATAAAATATTTTTGCAAAATTTCTGCGTCCCAACACGAAACCCCTGAATTTCAGGGTGTCATCAAAAAATATCAAAATAATTTATAATATCGTCAAAATTAACATTACATAGGTAGAATATTGTTGCTAAGTAACCATGATAACATCTTTTTAATATTTTTTTTTCATTTTCACAATTTTTCAACCATAATATTCCTTTAATATTCAAATTTTAAAATTTTTTTTGAAATTTCCAAGCCCAAGTCTATCTTCAATCCATGTCAATGCCTTTCATATCAAAACTCACCTAACAACCGGTATTTTACTCATCTGAAGCGGCGGTAATATGACCGAACATTGATCTAGGGCTATGGGTTGAGCTAGGGAGATTTTGGTTTTGTGCAAAACGACCAGTCGTTTTAGCTCGTTCACCAGTTGTAGCTTGTTTGTGTTGTCTATGTGGTAAAAGTAGGTCTGAAATTGATGTCCTTTTACAATATTTACAGAAAGTTTCTATCAAATTTCGTTTTTTTAACGTAAAATACGAGTCTGCGACATAAGGTAGAATATTACCAGCTTTTTAAGCCTAAAACCTTCATTGCTTTATTTGAATTCATAAAACATACCCCACTTGTTATCTAAAAACCTAATATTTCCCAACTAACCTGTAGTATATAGCACAAATGCCTAACAGCCGCTTCAGCCAATCCAGCCCTCTGAGCGCTCATGAACACTTCATGAAGAGCTTTAACCTGCACACTAACGTGTCCTAGCTTTCTTTTCGATGACTTTAGTGTATCGTCAATCCCGTAGCCTTTTAATGATGAATATAATACAGGGTAGACTATTTTATAGTCGGCTTCTGACCGATATTCATCATCATCAACATGTAGTCGAAAGAGGACTGCCAGACGGGAAAAGAAGGCGTTCTTCCTTCGAAACCCCATCGATTTGTAGATTGAGGCGCAAATCATGCAGATTTGGGATTTGGTTTGATTTGAGAACAAAGTGAAAGTGTCGGCCAGGTATTTGCCTACTCTATCTCGGAGGAAAACCTAAAACAATATTGTGTTAAGTAGTGATATCTACAATAATATTGAGTTAGATAGTGATCTCTACAGTAATATTTATTTACATAATGATATCTAAAATGAAATGAATTTAGTTATCTTTAACAGGGTTATATCGTGACTTTTTGCTTATTTTATTTACGTTTGGGCCAAAATGTAATGTTTTTATCTACTACAATATACAAAATTCATACGATTTTCCCTCACCTCCGTATCAATATACTGCCTCTGCAGCCTGTAAACATTCACTGCTCTTATCACACATTCAAATTCGATGTAGGCGATGAACGAGAACCTTTCGTAATTCTTCAGTGCTGACTTGAACCTCTCTATGATGTCTTTTATGTCGATTTCTCGTGGGTCGACAGTTCGCTCTAGATTCAGCATTGCTAGGGCTTTTTTGAACGGTTTTTTGGTGCTGAGGGATGAGTTTGTAGACGATGAAGATATACTTAACGTGTCTTTTGAATTGATAAAGTTTGTGTCGTCCGAACGGTGACGTTGGTGACCTAGGGTTGATCTGAAAGGCATTTTACTATAGCAAACAGCCTAAAATACTATTTTGAACTAACTATAGATCCCCCAAAGCAATTTCTAAAATAAAATTTAGTCTTACGATAATCTGTCAGCCTCTTCCGAAGTCCTTATCATTTCCACCGGTTGCATTGAGACGGTACGTTGAATTTGTGTTCGTTCTTCGTCCATTTGACTAGAAAATCGTGTAGCTAGCGCTGCTACTGCCCAGCCTTCGTATGTTGCTAAAAAATATTGCTTTAGTGGTCTATTATCAAGTTTACGATTTAGCTTGTAAATTTTTTTTCAAAAAAGTCATTTGACAGCCTAAAACTCTTCAACATTTGTTAATTCTAAACCCGCAAAAGTCATTTCCTGATTCAAAATAACCTTACCAGCAAGCCAAAGCAGATCCCCAGCTGACTTCAACGGATCAATTGCATTCTGATACCCTTCTAAAGCATTCACGAATTGACCGGTCAACAAAGCATAATCAGCACATTGTTTCCGCAATCTTCCCACGCACTTTTTCCTATACGTTTTTGAAGTTTTGTCCTCCAATCCGGCTCGATATCGTTCTTCTTGTTGTAATGAAGGATAGTTTGGCAAGATTTCGGCTCGTTCAAAGGCTACATCTAGCCGTCTACTCTCTAATACGTAGTATATTGTCCTTAGGAAGTCGCGAATTTGATTCTCCAGGTTTGAAGATTGATCCAGAGTCTCGTGGGCATGTAATTCGGACGAGGGAAAGAGGGATTCTATCTGAAAATACAGAAAAACTTGAGATTTATGACTTTATAAAGGCTTCTTTTGACGTTTTCTAAAATGTAACATCTAAACTCGTTTCATCTTTTTTTACCAATAGCCTTTATCAGTGTCTTTACTTTAATATAAAACCATTTCTTTTTATAAGAACATCAAATGCAACTAAATTTTAATAATATTATCCATGTCCCACCTACCAATCTAGCATTTCCAAAAGACACACATCGTGATGAAATCAAGTCCTCGTTTATATTGTTTTTGTACTGATCATACGATACCCTAGCTGATCCTAACACTGCTAACCCATCTGAATCGTCTTTGATGTTATTCAACGATATTATTGTTACCAAACCAAATGTCTTCCTATGAGGTTGTAAAACAGAAAACTGATCGGTTTCTGCATTTGTTTGTGTCACGAAGATCGGCCTGATGTATCTCACAGGATCTCCAACTAAAAAATGGCTTTAGAAAAAAATCATTAAATTTTATTAAAAACGAACCATTTTTGGCCAAAAAGACAGCTAAATCTATCATAAAGTTGTTCAATACCTATATAAAATTAGGTGTAACATAACGAAAAGCGTAATTATAAAGCTCCTCTTACCATCAATCGTCGTGATTCTTGACAAACGAGTCAAGACACTGTTGAACAATATATTATCCTTGCGTCCCAATTGTTTAACCAAGATCTAAACACAGAAAATACAAATAGAAGATTAACTTACTTTGATTCGACAATGGTCATCGCTACCAGGAACTTTCTCTTCCATTATACCTTCATGACCTGCAAAAAACAACTAATTTACATTACAATAGGCTAAATTTATAATGTAATGATAATATAAGCCAAAAAGCACGTTTAGAATAAGCTTAAACATCTAAAACACATGTTAAAACTTTCAAAGTTCATATAAAAACATAACGACGTTTAAAACTAGTTCAGAACCACATGAGACAAAAATTTTATAAACAAAAAGTTTAAACGGATGAATCAGATCAATACATATCAATGGCCAAGTCATTAATAACAAAATTTGATGCAAAAAACCTTGAAAAAATTCAGAAGCTATAAAAAGTATAATCACAATGCGATCAGATCGAATTTGTCAATTGAAACGATGTTATCCATGAGGAATTAAAACTGCAAAAAATAAAAAGAGCAACACTTGACACATAACATTTATTGGCGTCAAGAGTTTCTTTATAATATAAAATTGATAAACTGTGTTAGTCCGGACTAGTATAATAATAATTAAAAAGCCCTATTTGTGTGATGATAATTTACAACAATATAATTCAAAAAAAATTAAAAGCACGCCTTTTATTTAATATTTATTCATCAAGGTCATTGTACAAGTCTATTGATGACAACCTATCATTATGCTCGCTGAATTTTATAAATTTATCAGTGACTTCGTTTGGTGTATTCAATTTAAAATCCCATTTGAACAGTCGTAGCACAGATCCTGGTTTCAATGTCTCCAAACTGAAAGTTTCATATTAATGATTCATATTACTTTATTTAAGTGATTAATAAAGAAAAATCTCTTTATAGTCAGTTTGGACCTCTTGCTTATGTTTTTTTCTATGATCAAGAGCTATCTTCATGTAAAAATCTATATATTATATACATATAAAATAGCAATATATAACAAAGCGTTATTAATAATAGTAAGAACACCTACCTCATGCTGGTAGCATCAATGTCAAGAAGGAATGTTCGTCCTTTAGCCCATTCTTTGAGCCGGCTTTCTTCAAAAATGTCTATTTTCCGATTGTTTACATCGTAAGTTATTAAAAATTTTACTCCTGGGAACTCGTCCTGAAATATCGTTTTTAAACTTAACTGATAAGCACTATTGCTCTGGCCAGAGCTCTGGTTTAGTACTGATTTCGCCGTTACCTATACAACTTGATCTTCTTTTGTTAACTGTACTTCCTTCGATAGCTATATAACTCTTTCTTCTTTAGTTACGTATACTTCTTTTGTTAACTACACTTCATTTGATAATTATACAATCTAAAAAACCTACATTACTAGCCTTGAACATAAGTTCATTAGGTAAAATCTCAAATTGTTCAGCTGGTGGTCCCTTTTCCAATATGTCCATATGAAGTGTACCGTACGAAATGGTTCCAAACTGTTGCCTCACGTAAGCCTTTGTAGCTTCACCTTCACAATCGTATATATACATTGGCCGTTTGAAAACATCAATCCATATTCCTGGCCGAAAGTTGGCTACACGGTAGAAGCGATTGATCTTGTCTGGAAAATTTTATTTAAAAGTGTAAAATACGTCGATTCAGCGTACGTTGTAAAATGAAAAATATCACTTTTGATTCATTTTACAATATAACGTAGGTTAATTATGAAAAACCTTATGTTTAATAGACTAATGTACCCTTATTCATGTAGTTTAGCCGCATTCCTTTCAAAAACAGTTGGTTATTAAAGCCAGGTGTAGTCTCAATCAATGTCACTGTATCATCAGCCGGGGTAGCCAATAAACGAAAGGTTCTTTTCACTTTTGTTCCATGAAAATCATTCTTTGAGTCAAGCCAAGCCGCGTGGTATATCAACGTTTGTGGGAGGCCTTCCCACGATGGTAGGTCCTCCTATAACAGTAAAATGATAAGTAAATCATTAATATTGTGAACTTGCTGTGCCGTGTTAACTATTTAGTTTTTTGTGCAGTGGTAGATCAGAGTTTGTGTCAACTATTCAAAATTTTTTAAAAATTTTTTTGGTGAGGGATTATATTAGATAATTTTAAAAGTGGTGACAAAAACTGACCTCAACCTCTTGCTTATGAATTATCTGTTTAAGTCGGTCGTCTCGATACACTTTTTGAGGCTGAAAATGCCTGAAGACACTCCAAGCGTCAGTTGGAATGGGTTCTTCTGAATCCACGTGGATTCCACGGTCTTCCAGGAAACTCTAAACTGATTTGGTACAATAATTATTAGGTTGTTCACTTAACTCTGCGCCCTCTCTCAAAGAAAATTTGTGGGGTAAGGGGGCGCAGAATTATGTGAACAACCTAATAGCAATAGATAGTCTATTTATAACTAAATTTTTTTAAAGTTTATTGCTGGTGATTAGAACTGATTTTATCTCCTTCTTCTTTCAAGATAAAAATATTACCTTTGTAAACTCATCACATCCAACAATACGGTATTTTTTGCCGAATAAGGTAAGGTCTTGTCCAATATGTACATCCTTCCAATCCACGTAATCCGTACCAACCATTTTTGGATTTCGTGGCACTTTTTGTCGATGAAATTGTCGTCCCTGTATATGTCCCGAATTTTTAGTAGTAGGTTCGAATAAAGAAAAGGTTTCGTCGTCGAGATGATAAGACAATTTCATTGGCCGTATCTTTAGCAAATCTCCAGATTCTCCATCGGACTCATTCAAGTAACAATAGTAACACAATGCCGCTTTATATATCGGATCAAAGAATTCTGGTCTTAAAATACCGTTTATTTGTTACAGTGGGACTTAATTCAGACGTTTATATAATAGACTCAATACGGTTATAAGCATTATTAAAAGGCATCTTTTTTACCCACCCATGAGACTCTCTTGGCTGCCATTTTGGTGGTACCTTCTTGGATAACTTAAACATACTTGAGTCGTCAACTCTAGTAAGGACTTGGGGCTTTGCCTGTAAGTTTTTTAATTTTAGCAATATCAAACATTTTTTCAATATCATAATAATAGCACTTTGAAATTTTATATCACCTAACACATTTCGTGTCTTCTTACATTTTTTCGCTCAAAAGCCTTTTGAAAGAACCGAATATCATCGTCAAAGCAATCACAATGTCGATCTAGAAAACTCGGTGGAGTGTCCATTTTAAAGTTTTTATGCAAGAATAAAATTCAGCTAAAACTGAGGTAAAAATGACCAACGAAATGTTTAAAAAGCCAGGGCAATTTCCAAAAAACGGCGTTTTAATCAGCCGGAAGTCCGCTTTTTACTTTGAAATTTGAATACGTGGGGTTAAAATGTTTCCAAATGCGTCTGGATTTGTCATTTTGGACAAAAATTATACCATATAAAAGTATACACAACTTGCTAGCATTAAATAAATTTACATATATTTACATACAACAAGTAATAAGCGATTGTTATTAAAATAATCATTCACCTATAAATTGAAAATGCCATTATAATTTATAAAATCATACTGTAAATAATAATAATACGTTTATTATAAAAATAGAATTTTGTATTTTTCTTTATTTGTTGATTATGGAGTCGTGGATTCAAGTGTGCTGATAATAAAGTTGTCAGCAGTGACATTATATATATTTCTATACTTTAAAGTAATATTGTCACTGTTTGTTGGCTTCAATTTAGCTAGTAATGTATTTGAACTTCCTGTAATAAAAAAGTAAATTTAAGTTATAAGCCCAGTGGGCTATGGTTGTAGTACACTTAAATAACACATGATTTTTAAGTTTAAAAGAGTACAGAGAACTGTTATTTATTGTTGATCAATTGTATCTAAATTTGAAAGCGACTTACTTCTCTTAAACTGTATACCGTCATCATTTTTGATGTTGGGAATCTTATGGAATGGGTCCAGACTTTCAAAAACGCATTCCTTGGTTACAATATTACAAACTTGTACCATTTGATCTGAAAAAATGTTAAATTACTAGCTGAAAAATCAAAATACAAAACTTTGAACAAAAGATTCTTTACTTATAAATAATATAAATCTGTAAGATTGAAAAACCAAAAAGCGTTATTTTTAAATATTTGACATACCTCTATACGATACAAGCTCCATATTGTCGACAATTTTTATCTTATTGTCACAGTAAAATAGCCTGACTGGCGCAAAGATAACTTTTGCTTCGCCAGTATCATTGTTTATCAAAACAAATTCCTTTCGATTATTGACGTAGCCAACATATCTTCGGTGACCATACAAATCCGCGTTGCATATGTGCACTTTATGAACCCCAACTGTCTTAGTAGCTTCAACTTGGTACTCCTTCTGATTGTACAAATCCACCAATGTACCGTCGCGGTAGTACAAAGTAAAGCTGCTGTAACGTTCTTCAGGCAGCGCAGAGAAGATTTTTTTCACTGTTTTGCTTACCAAGTCAAAAACAACATATGTTTTACCCATGTCAATTAAAAGTTTTGTTGATCTTTTAAGGAAAAGTCTAACAGGTCGTGCAACTTCTTTCCAAAATCTATGTTGGTCAGCAGAATTTGTTTACTGTTTAAAATCACTCGTAGTGTACCGGTGTACGGACAACACTTTGAGTCTTTTACAAACATTTTACCAAATTCTGCTTTGTAAGTCTGTTCCATGGGACGACTTGGTGCACTAAAAAGAAGATTTTAAAATTGTAGAAGTTAATTTTGTAAGTTACTTGATTTACAAGGAAGGTACCTGACCTGCAACGCTCAGATTTTGTTCAAATTTTCTGCATTGAAAAATCATATAATTTTAAGATCTTCTGCTAAATTCTAAGTTGCGGTTTGCGGCCAGACATAAGAAATCTAGGTTAAAAATATCGTTTTGAATTTTCCGCAAAATTGGCATATGGTCTCAAGATTTTAACTATTGTTTGATAGAAAGTTCAAATGAACCTGCAATTTTCAATTTGTAAGCCTTTCTTATATGAAAAATCAAAACAAGTGATTACAACACAAAGCCAAAGTTGCCAAACTGGCGGAAAATAGGGTATTTTTCTTATTAGCTGTAAGCGCTATACTCCCGAATAAAATTAAAATCAACCGCAAAATGGTCAGTTCACAAAGCTTTTGTATATTAAGGTCTTAAAGCATAAAAAAACAATACACCACACATTTTTCTTAACTCGAATTTTTGAGTGTACTAATTAAACATATACTTACTTCAAGAAAGCCTCAGCCCATGTTTCGCCATCATAACGGCATACCGAGCTTCTGTAACACAGACTTTTAAAATCCATGTTAGTTGTAAGTACTGCTAACCGATAACAGTACTTGTTAATTTGTGCAAAGCTGCACTTATCCTCCACATCTGTCGTGTGGTTCAACATTTTTGTCCAAAACTGAAAATATCAAAGTGTAAAACGGGTTAGTAATGAGACTAAGAAAGCTAGGATAGGCATTATTAGACCTAAAAGGACAGAGTAGGCTGAGTTAGAGCAAGAAAAATAGAGTAGACAAATAATGCCAAAATAAAGTAGAGTAGGCTTGAGCCGCGTTAAAGAAAGCGCTGGACTTGGATTGGTCAAAAAAAGATAGAGCTCAAACCAGAAGGAGAAGGCTTAAGAAGAACAAGAAATGGGGAGCAAGTTATTACTGTATAATTTACTTAATTGGCCATCTCTATTGACTCTGTTTTATAATATAACTTTTAAAAAAATCAAAGTTTTATTTTACCACAATAATTGTTAACAATTTTCCTAAGCAAAACAGTATAAGTCACTAGTTTTATACCGTCTGGCTCCGTGCTGTTCCTTATTAGACACATAATTACAACGCCTACCTGTGGGCACATTCCATAAACCACGTTCGTCTTCATTGTAAAACAAATTTACTATTTGAGACAAAGTTTGCCTTACACCTAACAGATCTTCCAAAAGGAATGATTTTATCGGGATTTACTTTAATATCCATAACTAACGCTTAATTTTAGGCGTGGTTTTTTTCTGCGAGTTGGTTTTATCTAGGTATGATCGCGGATTACATAATAAATATGGTTTTGATTTAAAAAGTTTTTTTTATAACTACAAGCTAATTATTGATTATGGCAATACTCCATTAAATATAGTTTGAACTTCAAAGTCTTGTGCGTAAAACAAATCTCCTTGTCAACGCTTCCAGCCGAATGCCTTATGAAGTGAATTTTTATTATTATTAAAAATGTCAGACTAAAAATCAAAATTTTGATCTGATAAACTTGTTCATAATATCCTTTCAGCTCCTCATTTCCACAAAGTTAAAATCAGCTACAGAATTTTTTAAAATGTCAGTTCATTTTTACAAATATTAATCAACCGGTATTTTGCTTTCTGATTCTAATTTTTACCTTCAATTCCAATAAACGCGCTCAAAATTTTTATATATTTGTCGAAAATTTTAAAATCTTACGAATGTACAAGTATAATGTTAATGAGAAGCAAGAGAAGATCGTTTTACACATGCATCGTATACATATTTATTCAAAAACAGCCCGAAAAGTGCCAAAAATAAAGTTAAACAAATGAATAGTCCGTAAAAATTACCTGAAAATGTTTATTTAACTTGAAATTTCAATTTTTAAGCCTGATATTGTCTTTTTTAAAACCTTTACAATTTTTATTGCTAAAAGCTTTTCTTTTTTTCAATAACTTCAATTTTTTCTCCATTTTCCTTCAAAAATTATTTTATTCTTTACAATTAGCACTTGGCCAAAAACGAGAATTTCGTGCCGGGACTCAGGACTTGGCGCGCTGTTGCTGCGCAAACTGGCCAAAAGGCAATTTGCCGATTTCGCAATCTTCACTCTTTCGTCATGTTGTTGACATCAACAACCTTGTTTTCATGATGTTGATTCTGGGTCAATGAGGCTGATTTTACAGTTATCGTACAGTTTTCTTCGTCTTAACGAACGTTTATCAAGTGTAATATTAGTTTTTGCTTGTACAATTCCTTATTTTTCATTTATTCGACAATATTTACCGTGTTAGACAATATTTGCCGTATTTTGTAAAGATATCGATGCAAAACTATGTGGAGCATTATTATTTTATGTATTTTCAGATATTTTACTGATTTAACTGCTAAAAGATGGAATCGCGCACTACTTATGCTGATGTTGCGGCCGGAGTCCCTCCACTTCGTATTGGAGACGAAAAAATTCACTCTATTGCCACTGTTCAAAAGTGTACCAAGTTCAATTATCACGTAAGTTTGGTTTTTATTCTAGTTTTTCATGGTTTAGGTATCGAATTTATTTATGAGGTGAACCTGTGTGTTTTTGATACTGACGTGATAGAGACATGAATTTGGGTTGGCCTTTTGTTTAATTTGATTAAAACAAGACGACTACTTTATTAACATTGTCCTTGATAACTACTCCAGATATTTTGTTTATCTTAATGTCATTTCAGCGCTTGACTCCGTTGATGTTCCTTGCATTTATGGTTCTCACTCAAGGATTTCAAGTCCTGCTGTACTTCTTCGCCAACAGGATTGAAAACTTCTTCCAGAATTGGCAGTTCATCACCATCAATTGCTTCGTCTTTGCCTTCATGCTGATCACCTTTGGTATTTTGGCTGTGGCTGCGGTAAAGAAAGACAAAAACCTTTACGACATTGCTATCAAGCTCATGGTAAATTTTTTTTTTGTTTTTGACATTTTATTTTAGTGTTTTAGATGAAAAGAAATGGTTAAAAGATTGTTTTTCAATAGTTAGGTCTAAATTTTCTAGAGTAGTGTGGAAAAAGCTTTATAGAGCTAGCATGTTAAAGTTAGGTAATGTTAAAATTAAAAATAATATCAAATTTTTCAGGCAATCTTTGTCCTCCTTCACACCATCATTTTTGTCGTTTTCTTGATCTTCTCCGTGATCGTCTACGTTGAGGACTCAACTCCCACCCGTCATCAAGCGTACATCAACATGGTTACCTTGGAGATCGTCGGCTACGCGTTGTTCCACTTGGTTGTGGCTACCTTCTTAAGTGCTTTGGTCGTCATCACGGTCAGAGACAAGGATCATTTGTCGCAGTGCCCATTGGTCAGCGTCGATCGCATTTGAATTCCATTTGACTATTTCAATGTTATATTGCTTTAGCTGATATGTCTATATCATATTGATAAGGCATATGTGTTAACGTCAATTTATTTGATACTTGTTACCTTTTTTAGTGTCATATTGCTCTATTTGTTATGGTATTGATCTCATATTGTCTTTATTGTCAATGTTTTGATCTTTATTCGTTATCCTTTTTGTCCCATATATTCTTATTTGATAGTCATGACTCCAGCGACTCTGTCGTAAAGCTCACGACCTTCATGTTGATGTATTTCCGGTGTTACATCTTAATTTTCAGTATTGTTAATATTAATAATTTAAACGACAACTCAAAGCTATATTATTACAGCTAATGTGCTTTCTCTATATTGTTTTATTGTCCATCGTTATTTTCAATCGTTTCTCTCATATAATGTTACCGAAAAGTTGTTGTTTTTGTGTACATAGCAGTAATAAATTGTTCTGAACTTATATATTGGATATTGATTTCAAGAAGTTGATATTAGCATAATCTGAGTATATTTCGCTGTTGAAGGAGATGTGACTTTGAGGGTGTCATGATGGCATAAAGGAAGGGTTTGAATCATGGTTCACCGAACGTGACCAGCGAGACCTTCGATAAGATAATATTCATTAGTCCAGCCGCAACGATCCTTATTTTATAATGAACAGGTTAAAGTTAAGACTGACTTTTACGTTTAACTTTTTTGCTCCAATTTAAAAATCGTTTTTGATTCTGAACATGTGATTCCGGATACAAGATCCGCTTCTTTTTACTATCAAAAGAAACGACGTTCAATTTGCTTGGCAAATTTTAACAAAGGACTAACGTTATTTTCCTTGCCGATTGAATCGTTTTATTGACAGTTTATAATTTTTAATATGATAGTTCAGTACTTACGTAATTTTTTGATGTCATTTATTTATTATTTTGTATTTTATATGTGAAAATTACGGTAACATACCATTTATATTCTTTATCGCAACGAAAACATTTATTTGGCATTGCGTTTTACGGCCAGAATTCGCGCGTTCGATTTCTTGGCCGTTCGCTTTTTTTGCTTGCAACTCTCTCAATCGTTCGTTTCCAGTAAAGAAGAAGAAGCAAATATGAATCGATCAAAGTTAATGGATTCGTTTACATTGGAGTGAGTTTATCAATGTTTTGTAAAGTTTCGACTAAAATCAAGGTTTCTACAAGTTGTGAAGACAATGACTTCGTTTTGCTAAAAAACCAAAGTTTCAGCAATTTGAGTCGGATCAGTCGAATGAAAAGGTACTACATGGACGAGAACAACATGAACAACACCGAGTTGGACCCGTGTTTAGCAGCAAAAGTTCGTCTGAAGCATCCCAGTGATTGCAGGTATGTAACATAATATACTTCTCGTTATAAGTCTAGTTTTAGCTTCTGGAACTTTGCCAAATTTTGCACAGCATTGACAGTGGCATTGCTGATTGTGATCTTATTGATCGTTTTGTTGTTTGCTTTGTCCGGGTCATCTCCTGAGACATCTACGACGACTAGTACCACTACAACAACGCGGATGCCGTTCAACAATATTGTGCTTCGGCCTGGTATGGATGCAGTTGAAATACGTGGGGAAGCTTACATTGTACGGATTTATTTTGTTTTTGTGGTAATATAGCTTGGGGTTTGTGGTTGGTTTCATACGTAATAATGTTATGTTAGGTCTAATATTGGCTGATTTGTTGAAAACTTTGTATTTTTCGATAGGGAATGAAAGAAAATTGAAGTTTTTTAAAGTTCTTAGTTAAAGTAGAAGTTTCTACACAAAATAAAAGATAGTGTAACAATATATAAAGTTATATACTTCTTGAAATAACGTTTAGTCAAGTGTAACGTAATATTGCTTATATGACGTTTTTAACGAATATTTTTAGCCAAGAAAAGATTTGACAACCTCAACTACCAGGATGCCTTTTACACCACGAACAAGAACGATCGTTTATACTGAACGTTACAACTTTCGCATTGGATTCACTGAACCTACCACAACATCTACTACAACTTCGACCACAACAACCACTTCTACCACGACAATTACGACCACTACAACAACTCAGGCAACTACTGTTGCGACTACGACGAAGGCTGCGGATGTTTTTGAGGTGAGGGCTTTGCTGAGGAAGGGGATTCATATTGTTTGAGGGGAAAAACATGGGTCTGGTTTGATATTGAGCAAGTTAATTTTAATAAAAATTGATGGAAAATACATTTTAGATAATATTTTTGAAAAGTTGTTGTATTTTACATCTATTTTTTCTTAAACTATTAATTTTACATCAATCTTTGACCTAAAATATTAAATTTTATCATTTACAGACCTGCGAGACCTACATGAACCGCGGACTTCACACTTCAGCTGTCTACAATCTGAACATTTCTCCAATTGGCAAGTTCCAAGCAAAATGCGAGTTCAACCAAGCTGACAGAGATGCATGGATGGTGTTCCAAGAACGCAATGTTATCGACGACAGTTTTGTGAAGAGGTCATTCGACGAATACGGTAATGGATTTGGCGATCCGAAGGGCAATCATTGGTTGGGATTGGAGAAGCTTCACGCTATTCTTCAGCACGACCGCAAATTGATCATGAGAGTTGAGATAGAGGTGGAGAAGTGCAACAAGTCGAATAGTGTTACTGAGGGAGCGGATTTGTTTTTGATTGGAGATTTTGAATTTAATGTAAGTTGGCATTAGTAGTTATCTTTAATTTAAGGTTCTTTTACAAGTTTGATTGAAAGGCAACTTGTTTTTGAATATTTCTTTTGTAAATATTGTAGTAAGTAGTTGGTTTTAGTCATAACTTTTTTCAAATGCTAACTAGCTGCTTTAAATTTTCTGCGGTTATACACCGTAGATTGGATCAATTAATAAAATTTAAAAAACTTTAAAATTTATGGTTTTAGTAAAGTTACAGTAATATTACAGTACTTACTTTTGAATGTGTTGTTCTCCTATTTAAAAATGTAACTAAAATTAAATGTTTTGGCATTTTCAGATCTCGGACAAAGAAACCTTTTACAAATTGGACTCTACATACATTAGCGGAAACTTTACCACCCCATTTGATAGTTTGGTCGATAATAATGGTCAACCGTTTGCGACGTCTGATATCCAACATGACAGTCCTGTTGATTGTGCCACTCGCTACATGTTGGGGTATATTTCTTATCTGTTGTTGATTAAGGTTTTTATGGGGAAGAGTTTGCAATAATATTGGTCATGGGTTTAGAAAATTTGTAATCGAGTTTAAAATTTGGAGACTTTGGACTGAGTTATATTTTTTAAAATTTATTTGTTTTAAAAAACTATTTTATGTCGTTATGTTGTAAATTAGGTATAAATTAGTTTTTGAAACAATATATCAATTTTTTTCTTTCAGAGGCTGGTGGCTTGGCAAAGGCGCCCAATGCTCATGGTTAGCTTTGAACGGTGATTGGAACCCTTCATATTGCGCTATCTACAAGGGAGCTAACGTCCATGAATTGAGACAAAATCCGGGCAGAGGAAAACGCAAGGACTTTTACCACCACCCAAAGAGCACCAAAATGATGGTCAAACTGGTTTGAACATATTAAGCCCCAATTTTGATGCTTTTCAAGGACCAAATCCTTGAAATCAATGTTTTTCAAGAATTCAATTCCAATATCAGATGTTTTCTCCAGAAGTTATGTCCAAATCAGATGCCTTTTCAAATGTTTTAAGTCTATATTCCAACATTTTCTCCCTCGACGAATCTCGAATTGTCATATGTAACAAGTCTACACACATTGATGTGTATTGAAGAAGATTGAGAACACTCTTCAGTAATTAAGGACACCATCAACCTCCGTCACGTGAGTGGATCACGTTTTTAATAATAATATTCTGCTTTTTTTGTGTAATAATATTTTTGTTTGGGTAATATATCTCTTGGTTCTCAAGTTTTAGTTTTTTATTTTTGAAAATTTTGAAAAAGTTTTAAAATTTAGTTATACCGTTTTAGATTGTATAATATTAGGGTGCTATTTTTCAATTTGTTAAAACTTTAATTTACGGTCTTTTAGAACTCTTTTAAGAGTTCTAAAAGAAAAAAGGTCTGTTATACTATTTTTAAAATTGTTGAAAAATTAAGCGTTTAGTAAATTTTGATAAAAATTCACTTGAATATGCCATTTTAAAAAAAATTGTAGAGGAAAGGATGCTTTTTAATTATTATTGGAAAAACAAGGCAATTTTGATGCAAATTGTAGAAAAAAGAGTGCAATTCGGGCGGCAAAATAAATTGTAGGTGTTAAAAACTAATTGTAACAGTAATTTTGAACAATTACAATTTGATAAAATTGGGGTTTAAATTATTTATTGTGGTAAAATTTTGAGAAAGAAGTATATAAAAAAGCTTAAAATGTACAACAACAAAAGAAAGAACTAAAGATATAGGAAAAAAGTACAATAACAATGAAAATAGTTTAAAAAAAGTGTAAAATAACAATAAAATTGATATAAATCAAGAAAATAAGCAATAAATCACAATAATTATTGATGATAAGATCAGTTCATGCCCGCTTTGTTGAGATTATTTTGCAAAATGATATCGCACGCCGCGCCAAACACAAAGTCAATGTTCCCGCGGTCGGTGGCATTTGTAAAATGCAAGTAGATATGCCTGGTATCATCGACTTCGGCCTGAAATTTGTGCATGTTATAATAGTATGAGGAGCATAATTGTAAACAGGAGATTAAAAAGATGATAAATTTTAAAATTTTAATGATTATTTCAAGATCTTATGCAGAAAAGTCTAATAAAGGTTATGGTCTGAAAATATGTCTATTTTGACGTAAAATCCAATGCCAATAACAGAAAATGTTTTAAAACTAATTGGAATCAATAAGAGTACTTTGCACTATTATGTATGTGAGGGTGTGAAATTTACTTAGCTATTGCGTATGAAAATAACCTGGCGGTCGGCCTAAACTTGTAAATTGAGTTTGGCTGCCGGCCTAGGCTATAAAATGAGCCAGTCTCTTGGCCTGACCCATAAGGTGAGCCAACCTGTTGGCCTAAGCCATAAAGTGTAAAAAGATTAGAGTTATTAGTCAAAAAAAGTTACTCACCTCTGTGAATAGTTCTTTGATGTAATCCCGTACTTCCTCGTACTTTTCCTTCTCTGAATAGTTGGGAAAGTACTTGCTGAAGGAGGAATGCTCAACTTTTCGTTCCAAAATGTCCGTTTTATTCAAAAACAGAATAAAGTTGCATTTTCGGAGATACTCGTTGTTGTACATGCAGTTGAATAGTTCCACAGAGTCTTCTAGACAGTTCTGAAAGTAAATTTGTATTTAGTTCAATAGACAAAAAAATGAATATTGTGTGCTTGGATATAAACAGTATTTTATTTGAAAACTCAGCTGTTTTTAGTACACTTAATAAGTTTTAAAACTTGTGCGTGCATTTTGAAGCCTTACAGTTAATTTTCAAGTCTTTCAATATTAAAAAGCTTTATTATGGCAGACAGTATTTGCATGTTTAAAATAAGGTCTGTTTACGGTAGCGCCCTTTAAACTTTAAAGAAAAAACAAAATTATGTAAAAACGCATAGAAAGAACTTTCTCACAAGAATGTAGGTGTGAAAGCGTAGGTTAAAGCTCACCTTTGTTGGCTCTTCTTCCAAAAATTGATCATAACACGACAATGCTGTTACAAACAACACAGCTGTCACATTTTCAAAACAGTGAATCCACTTTCGTCGTTCGGTCTTCTGACCACCGACGTCGATTAACCTGGAGTTTTGGAAATATTAGAATTGTAAAAAGAAATTAAAAAGCTCAGTCAGAAGCGTATAAAGAAAAATAAGCTCAAAACATGGCATGATTTATTAGCTAGCCTCTTGTCATTAATCTTTTCGTAATTTGAGGTTAAGATTATGTGGCTAGTGTTATTATGGATCAAAGCGGTATTTAGACTAACCTGATATAAAAGTTTCGGAATTGAAATCCAATTTCGTATACGCCAGTCGTTGAAGCGCGGGCATGAATAATATCGATCTCTGTTGGGTGGTAGTTCTGATCCAAAATGCGGTGAGCGTTGGCAAAGAGGCTGAAATTGATACAACTTTAGACAATATTTTTCGGGAATTTTTATGTTTATCGTTAGTTTTGGCACCTTTTGAAGGTCTGAAACAGTTTTTCATTATCTTGGCTACAGTATGTTAGTTTTTATGTTTGGCTGATTTTATAAAATTATTTTTGAAGCCAGATCTAATTTACGACTTACTATAGAGAGTTATCGGGCATGTAGAACTTTTCCACATGTTTAAGGCCTTCTTTCGTGAATTGTGAATTCCTCATTTGAGCCAACGAAACGATTATGTCGTCGTCGAGAAAGTCCAAGATTTTCAAGTGTTTGTTCAAAAACTTTTCGTACAAATCTTGTTCGTCCTCATTCACTGGCACATTTAAGGCTTGACATCCACGGCACAAATGATGGTATATTACGACCATGTTTGTGAAAATCATATATCGGTAATTGATAAGTTCACTTTCATTAAAACCATGAGCGTGTAGTATTCGCATCTGCTTTGCTATCGTCGATTTTCCTGAGTCCGCACTGCCTATAAACATGGTGGATAGTTTTTAGTTTAGTTTATTTTTTTGCCATTAGTAGTACAAGATACAGTTTTTAAAATTTACGGATTTGAATACCATTTGGCCTTAAAACATAGCTATTAAGGTTAGTTATAAGTATTTGCCATTTTGTTAAGAATCGTAACAAAAACCTACCTAACAGCAGAACTTTTATTGTTTTCCTTTCTTGAATTCGGTCTTTCTTCAACTCTTTTTCGATTGTTTTGTTGGCGATTTCAGCCACTTCATCGACTATTTTTTCTCGTTTACACAAGGCCGACCCCATGGTTGGCCAGCCTGATGGGCGTACCGTGTTCAATTTGGATTGGGTCTACAATATGTAATGGCTGAAAAAAGTATTGTTATATGGTTTATTACTTTGCTTTTCTTCAGCACGCGACAAAAGTTTATAAATTTAAAAAATTCAACGCTAACGACAAGACGTCATTTTTTCAAAATAAATTTAAAAACTAACACTTCTACCAAAGAATGGCACGACTTCTCCATACAATCATAAAAATCTCTACTATAAGAACGAAGGAAAGTAAAAAACAATAATTTAAGTAAATTGTAGCATACGCGACTACAAACAGGATATCAAAACATGTAGTAATCATCATGCGATTACAAGAAATGTCAACCTAGTTAACGAGTTACGACAATAATGAGCATAAACGAAAAGATTAGTTAAAATAAATTGGCAGCTCACTACTGTAAACGAAACGCATCAAAAATCCCTGGGGCATGGCAATTAATTAAAATACCTTTATAGCACCGATACTGATTTCAAAAGAATCTGTGATACAGAGATACTAATACCAAAAATGAGGAGATAATGATACCAACCCACCTATTATATATGGTGAGCGACGTAGAGTTGGACAATTATAAAATTGAATCGGTGACAGGGCACATTTTTTTGTTTTGAGGTTATTAGTAACAATTTGTCGCAATTTAAGTTGTAACACTGTAAATGAGGGATAAATATAAACAATCTTGTTGAATCTTGATTTAAGATCGTCTGATGTTGTACAATTTTTAAGTTATTATAGTCGTAAAAATAAATACAGCTAAAAACACGGCGCTACAAACTATAGTCGATTAGTTTTGCAGAATATTGAAGGCAATATCAAAAATTAACACTTTGTAGACTTTAGATTTTTTACAGTCTAATATTATAAGGAAAATTTTTGTTGTAGTCAGCAGACGGACTGGCCTAGAAATCATTTGATCCAAAGAAAAAGAGCTTGATAAAAATTCGCTTTAATAAACACAACAATAACGTGGCTTTTAAGCTATTAGAAATCAGGAAAGCGATATAATTCATAAAAATAAGTAGTATAAGAAACCAAATAAAATTTACCTCAAAAAGCAACAAAGCGGATTTTAACAGTCTATAATGACGAACATTCAAATGACTGTTGGCCAAAAAATATACCCAGTAAGGCATTAACCGACGTTTTTACGTACGCGTTTACTTAAACGGGTTAAATATTGTCTAAAGAATTCCCTCAGGGTATAAACGGTTTTATATTAGAGGTTTGGCAAATATTAATCTTGACTAATGAACAAACTGAACCCTTTTGTATTGCGAAGGGCTCCTAACACGATTTTTTGAACGAAAATAAGAAAAAATTAGATTTGAAATATCAAAAAAGCTTTTTAATTACAGTAATCTTACAACAGTTATATTAATTTCGAGGAAAGATGTCACCAAACAACAAATTTATATACTACCAAAGTCCCCCAAAGTAAGATTAAAAACAGAAAAGCAGCCACTTAGCAAATGTTTTTATAGTGTAAAACAGGAAACGTGCCCTTGAAAGTACTAGGTAAAACATTACGTTAGGTTCATTAAGTAAGTGTTAGGATTAGAGAAGAGGGACAGAGGGTGTCAAAATAATATAATATAAAAATACATTTATGTCCTGGTTACTAGCTATGATCTAAGAACTCCAGTGGGATTTGAAAAAGGCATTACGAGACGTGCGATGCAAGTTTTGACTTGTTAAAAAAGTTTGTTTGAAAAGCTTAATTTTGATTACTATGGCCTATAGAGTCATGAATAAGTAAACAATAGGAAGTCTGCAATCACAGAACTAATAACGACAATAGAACATGAATCTTCCAGTGTAAATTTCGAAAATTAAACACCAAGACCGTTTATAAAATTAAAATATGTCATAGACAACTCAAACAGCTGTAATTTTACAAAACTTGCTTAGAATTTGCACGTCACGCAGACAAACGTGCAAAATATATTCACACAGAATAAAAGACAAAAATATCAAAAACATGATTTTAAACACTAATATAGCTAACAAGAAACATTCTTCATAAAGCAAGGCTTGTCAAAGTTAAAGTTACTAAAAATGAGTTGTACCTGCATTTAAAGTATAAATGTATTAAAAGTCAAAGAAAACATGCTGTTGCATTACAATAGTTAAAAAAATGGAAAATAGGTAACAGATGAACAATATATTGAAATATTGAAATATGTCTGGAAAAACATAATAGGTTTTAGACACGGAACACGTTCTTCCTTAATGAGTTTTTACTTTCATTACTAAAAACAAATACTACGCCCTAGGTTATGGGTTTACATATTTAGTGGGTAAAAAACGTAGAAAATGTTATTTGGTTTACATTCCATTCAATTACATTTACAATAAAGAAAGGGCATATGCACTGTCTAACTTTTATTATTAGTTTCATACAAATGACAGTTATTAAAAGACGACGAGGAAAAATTTTTCGTATCTTTCGAAAAAAATGTCCAGATATTATAAAGGTACGTCTTCATTTTTACAATAATCAACGTTCCTACGTTTAAATTAATCCTAAAACTAAACTTGAGCCATTTTAAAATTTACTTTTAAACCTATAGCTGTTTTTCAATACGTTAATTCAAAACAAGCATGATGTCAAGCTATAATAATACTATAAAACATATACTATAATTATAGTAAAAATAACAGTGAAGTGCCACTTTATTGTTGTCTGTATAATCATGACGTTCAACACTTGAAGTATAGTCTGATTAGCATAACGGCGGACCTTGTTATACATTGCAACCAATTCAAGTGGTCATTCCTAGTATTAGTTCATTAAATTGCCTTCTTAGAACGAATGTTTAACACATGAAAGGAGTTTTTTCTAAACAGTTGGCACTAAAACAGCCTGCACTTTGTAGGTAACGTGCTCTATAAGTGCTCATAACAAAGTTACAAGGTTGTGAATGGAAAAAAGTTGTTTTTAAACGCCTTGGGGGTAAAAGAATGGAAATGCGTCTGAAATATAAGAAGAATGTCAGGTGCAATGCAAAAAAGGTACATCCACATAGGTTAGTCATTAACAAAATATGATAATTAAATAAGAAATGAAAGAATTTTTAAAACAATTTAAATTTGCACAAAATAAGGTAATGCTACCAACAAGACAATAGTAAAGAAAGCAAAAACCATTTGAGGTTTGGAAATGTTACTTTGAGCCTAACTTTACTCTTGGTATTAGTATTGGCCGTAAACACTGTGCTTTGGAAGCGTAAACACTTCCTTCTTTATTCTTTCTGGAAATTAAACAAACTACAATATTTGATAAACGTTTCATTTAAAACGAAGTAATTTATGAAATTGTGATTTATGAAAAATTGGGACTTTAGGCACAAAATCTAACCAAAATTGTAGCTAAAAAATATGAAATTATAATGAGCGAAAACAAGGAAAATGCATTTCGTGTGACAACTCACGATCACCATAGCTTTTATAGACCAAAACTTCAATTTTCCTTATTGGTATCTAAAGTTTATTTTCTTCAAACACGCAGCAAGCTTGTTATTAACCTTCCTTTTAATTTTAAAAATGCGTAAATGCCCAATATAGACTAAGACGGCAAAGTTCGTATTATCAAGGATATGATGACATCCTTTGTATAACCACACAGGCGCAACCTTTCGTGTAACCCCAATTTTAGAGGTTTTTCGAATTTTGGGCTGTTTAAACCTTCAATTAAATTTAAAACTAAAAAACGGGACAGGTGGCACTGTATGTAGTGTCATGCAAGTAGGATAATATTTTTGTTTTTGTTCGTACTGTATAATTAATCACTGAGGAAGACAAAATTGTACATGCGTTTTTAGTTAAGGAAAAGATTTTGTGTAAGGTAAATATTGCATTCCAACAACTTTTTTTTTCAATTGTAACAAAATCGTAAAATACGGCATAAATTTCATCTTATGCATAAATGAAAAAGGGTTCCTATTTTCTATCACTACTGTTATTTTCGGACTAAGAAACGTCATCACAACGCGTTGGCGTCCTGTGTCAAGAATCAGGCAATTTTGATATTCTTTTTTTCTTAAAAAACATAACGGATCAGTATCCAATTGAATTTACCAATTTGGTATCGACCAGGTTTTTTGCGAAAAAATGAGTGTTGAAATTGCCTGATTTTTGACACAGAACGCCAACGTTTTCCGAGGACGTTTCATCGTTCATGAGAGTCCTTTTTGGTACTTGCATATTACGTAAATTGTAATTATTTTTAAAAATATGTAATTGAAAAAAGTTTGAATTTTATTTTGCAAAAAGATTGCACACAAGTTCTGGACTTTGTGCTACTACAACTAAAATACCTAAAGCAGAAAATTAGTGTTTATTTACACTGTAAGTTATTAGTTTCCTACAAAATTTTGTGGCGTGACTTTTTACGTCGCAAAAAACAATTATAAGATTTTTTATATGTAAATGACTTGGTTACGTCAAACGATGATTTTTGCAAAAAAAGCTTTTAAGAATTTTTGCCAAAATATCATTAAAATGACTTCAGCCAATTTTGCTGACAGTGACTTATTTTCAAATTTCAAATAAAATGAAAATAATAACAAGACACATTAAAAAATACAAATAATCATAAAATGGCGTATGTTATGACTTTGTGCACATAGTGTGGGCTGGTTTAAGGTTAAGCACTCTTAAAACGCAAATTAACGTTCAGTTTTTCCTGTCCCAAAAAATCATAAGTCACGAATTTGATTAAAAACCGAGTGTAATAGGAAATGCGGAATGGTAAAAGTTGTCTCAGTTGCGAAAGAATAAATAAGTCGTTCTTTAAATGTTATGGAATTTATAAACCTAGTTTTATAAATGGCAGGAATGCAAAGTTTGAATTTTGTGCCATAAAAAAGGTTACTGCTAATAGGGGTGATAAACGGGCCATGTAGGCAGTGCCGGGCGGTGACTTTTGGTCTGGGGGCGGGGGTCAAAGAAATCGGCACAGGTAGCCGATTTTTTGCGAAAAATTTTTTTCCAAAAATCCACAGGGGGGACCACGTTCAACTTTTTTCGAAAATTTTTTTTCTGGGGGGGGGGAGTCCCTCCCCCAGCGCCCGGCCCTGCATGTAGGCTTTGTCTTGAGCTAAAACTGAAACTGGCAAAGCCTAAAATTTGGATCCGGCCTACGAGCATTGGAAACTAGGCCCAGGTCCAAAAAGTATTTATTAGTTTTTTAAATTACTTCAAATTGGGACACACGTCATACCGAGAGGTGAAATAGAACCAACGTGGCGTTTAACAAAACGGCGCGTAGTGTCACATTTTTAAAAATTGATTGCTTTTTTTATTTTATTATTTTCAATCGATATTTGAAGCGCAGTGATTTCCGTTCCTGCGTTGGCGAAACGCCACAACCGCTTTATTTCACAAATTTGTTTTATTTCGGTTTGACGTGGGACAGGCTGGATGGAGAAAAAATAAAAAGACGCCTGGCCCGTTGCTCCCCCTTACATTAGCAGCTAGTTATATAAAGAAAGCAGAGTTAAATAAAGGTAAAATATTATTTTCAGTAGAAGCTGGCGCAGTAAAGAGCGAAAGATTTGTCTAATTAAGGGCGAAAACACCTGCTAGGAGTAAAACTTGGTAGTAAGGTTGGTTTCCAGAAATTTTGCAAGGAATTATGGACGCAATTATAAGTTTAATACTTACACGTATGAGTTATTCCTTTGAATTTAAAAGTTTTAAAGTGAACCTTAAGGAGAATGTTTACCAAAAGAATGACAGTAGAAGGAAATTTATGACGATAGAGGAAAAATGAAGTAGGACAGATGACAATATGCTTATGCTCAAAATTTTGGATTAAATTTACTTGTTTTGGGCTAAGCTAGTATGGCAGTCTTGACTAATGATGGATTTAAAACACTATATTAAAAATGTGATACCGTAATCTTCATAAAGGGTCATTTTCAAAACATAAAACGCTAAAATATTCGAATTGAATGCAAAAAGATAATAACCAGACACCTAGACTTTATCAGAACCCATAGAACCGAATAAAGAACTATGACAGGATTGTATGTAACTTTAGAACTTACTCTGTAAAATCAATTTCCATGACAACGGCTGTTCGAAATTAATGTGCCTTTCGCTTTATAATGGCGGTTCAAATTCAATGTAATAATACGTTAAGACTATGCTAAGCTTTTAAGAACTAATGGCATTTACCAGCCTTAAAAATTTGAGAAAGAAAGGGAACGCATAATTTACTGCATTCTTTAGATAGTATTAGGTTGTTCAAATAATTCTGTGCTCCCTAACTTTGCAAATTTTTTTTGAGAGGAGGCACAGAATTATTTGAACAATTTAATACTTATTAATATTCAGATTTTGTCGATGAATTTTAAAATACGAGAATTAGTTCAAGCACAGGAACGAAAAATAATTTTAATAGGCTATATTATTCTGTTTATGGTTTTAAAAATTATGGTAAATTTATATTTTATGAGGAAGCATGATTTAGGTTTCAAAGCTTAAATACTTTTGTCATAGTGCACGTATGTATGTCATCTTATGTAGTCCAGATGTTAAACAGTTACTCTGTTTGTACCAGGTGATATTAAGCTATCACTTTTTTCGAATAATGATTGTAGGTGCTGAAAAATTGATAGACACATTTGCATTAACAATTTTACAAAAAATGGCTTTGATTTATGTAAAAAAAAACTTGGTAACATGTGAAAGTGTAATATCCCACAAGAGTTCGCAAGGGCAAAGTTAATTTTTAAAACTTGTTACATTGAGCATATTTCAACGAACAGCAATTGTATGACACTATATAATGTGATATTGTTTATACAAAAAAAATTGTTGTTGTGTGTAGATATTTGAATTTTCTATTTTGTCAAAAACATGGGTTGTATGCGTTTACATGTATAGAATGAAGTGTGTTTTGATTCCATTACTTTGTGTGAGCTGCGTTGCTATAATAAAGAGTGTGACTTGAAAAAATAACTGAAATATTTTGTATTTTGGGCAAGTTGTCAAAACTGAATGGTCATACTCTTCAAATTGTATCGCTTTGTACATGTGATAATTAGTACAATTAGGAGCGGATTTTTTGGCGTTGAGTCAAGGTGTGACTTAGGAAAAAGTTGGCATTGATGTTTTACTGAAGTACTCTTACAATTGTTAGTATCTAACTCCACATATCAAGTAAGGTAACGTACTGTTCTTACAGTTACCTTACTTATTGTTAGGCAACGAAAGTCAAAAGTAAAGTACGTTTTATGATATATCCCTTGAATTATATACATTCAAGAAAAAGTCGGAACGAACAAGACGTTTTCCTGTCTCGAGCCCAATTGGGGCAAGAATCGTGGATTGTTGTCTTTGCGAGGACAAGAATCAACAAATTTGAAAATCAAATTTTTTCGGGGACAAAAGTACAAGAGGTCGGGCCCCGAAATATTTCGCGGACAAGAAATCAACAAAAAAACCAAATTTCCAATTTGGTGGACAGAATTTGCTCACTTTTTTCGAGTGACGATTTCGTTGACAAAAACCGCAAAATTCTGTCCCCCAAATTGTAATTTAAAAAAAAATTTTTTTTTCGCGGAATTTAGCTACAGATAAGTTTACGATACTTATAATAATATATAAAATGCCGAAATTCAATATGTTCTACAAACATTTATACGAAACCTAGACAAATATATGGATGGTGAGTAATAACAAATAACAATATTCTAATATTCAACAAATTAAAACTGTTAGTACTTGCGTTATCTCGAAGGTGAAAATCGCGTGCGCTTAACAATTCGGCGACCACGGGAAGATACTGAAGTAGCTTGCGATGTAGCGGGAACGGCGGACAGTGTAGTTGTTCGGCGAACAGTTTGTAACGTTGGTGCTTCATCTAGTAATTGTTCGAGTCCTTGTTCGTCAGCTGGCGGAGGCATGAGGTTTTCCTAAAAATTAGTTATTACTAATTAGACAATGAGGTAAAAAACATAAATTATTAAGAGGAAAAAACTTTTACTTCATTGCCTAGCTGTTGTTCCTCTACTTCTGCGGATTCTGCGTTGTTTGCGGTTGTCAACTTCCTGAACTTCACAATCATGACGTTGCATTCGTCGGATGCTTTAACAATGGGGGCGGGTAAAGTAACAACTTTTTCATTAATTTTGCGACAAGTTTCGGAAAAACTTTCAACTGGCATATTGGGAACGGCTTCCAAGTGATCTTGCAGTGACTTGAATGTGTCTTCAGACAAATATTTTATGATATCCTTTTTGAACTTTTGTAGGCGGAGCTGTTACTTATTCATGACGTATGTTTCACAGCCAACTTCTCCAATTTCCTCATCTTTCTAAATTTTACAATTGTATCTTATTATGAACTTACCTTTAAGATTAAGCGGCTAAATTGGTCGGTGTCTTCAGGATACAATGGTCTTATTTTGTTCAACTTCAAGTAGTCATTGCACCGAATAAATTGCTTGAATTTAGCGCGGATTCCATCTTCAGCTTGGTAGATCTCAAAATAGTGATAGTTATAAACTCCATCAAGTAATGCGGTTTCCGGAGCAATGTACAAATCCCATAAACAATAAGAATCATAGATACTTTTGACTCCTTGAACGTTGCGGACAAATTCAGTCATTTCTGAAGGGGTTTCTAAGCGGTGGCCAATCATCTTTTCCGCTAGACAGCCAAAGAAAGCGTCTACCTAAATAACAATGGTTAAGTTATAATAAAATAGTTGTTATAATAAAAACCAAACAAAAATACAAACTTAAAGTTAAAATTTAGACTTACATTATTATGAGTGTGGCCTGCTTCATGAAACGCGAATATGATCTTGGATATTTTCGGACAGAATTTCAGCAAAAGCCGAGCAAAATGTATTGTTGATTTAGACTTGTTGCTACGAGCGTTGTCTGTGTTGATAACAATAACTGGCGGAAGTACATCGAGTTCTGATAAGACGGACAAAATATTAGAATAAACAGAGCTACTGCAAGCGGAAGCGGGATGAAAGAATCCAATGACATATCCGCGGAATGATTGACTTAGATGCCCTAAAAAATGAAAGTAATTGTAAATCACCAAACAAAACACTTACTATGTCTTGCAACAATGCAGGCGTTTAGTTGAAATGGTACAATTTTGTTACAATTACTCAATGCCTTCGGTATTCTGTCTCCTAAGAACGGTAGCGATGTTTTGTGTCCAGACATACCGTCATACTTCAAAAGTAAAAGTTCGTGAGGAAAACTGATAGATTGGTTCATAAAAGCGTCTATTACATTGCGGTCATTACTCGTGTTTTGATAATGTGCTTCAAGAAGTTGGCGGCCATTATACGGAGTACCATCAATAAAACGGATTTCTTTGACCTTCTAAAAGCAAAATAAACTTTATAAAAAGTTATACTTACTTTAGTCAGTTCGCAACAAATGTTACACCGCGGTAGTAAAGATGTTTTTTTGAACGAAAGCGGAAAATTATGCTTCTCTACCAAGTCAAGTGCGTAATCTACAACAGCATCTCCCAAAGCATTTCCAGACAGCGGCATTAATGTAGAATCATTGGCGTCTTTTAATGTGTCCATGACAAATGTTCTTCGGGAAAACTGCGGAGGAACCATGTATTTGCCACACATCGGTGATGGTTCAAGTCGAAGTTTAATGAACTTTGTAATGGCTTCGACTCTTCTGGCGGTTATGGTGTGAAGTTTCGCTTTCGACACCGTTCTTAGGTCTACATTTGGTACAGTTCCTCCATTCTTGATTGCTTTCTGGCTTTGGTAAACACTAAAAACATCACTAAACCAACAATATAAACTTACAATGACTTTGGTAGACAATATACATCGCTGTAAAACACTCGGCATACTGTTTCGTTAGCTATCTTCAAAACATGGCGGCTGTTTTCAAACGCTATTTTGTGAGTAATGTACGTTTTGCGGTCTTCTATGTTGAGCGGCATTGTGTTACGTTCATTGATAACATCCAGAATTGTGTAGAACGAAGAACAGTAGCGGTGGCAGCAATAATAGTTGGTGCTGAGCAATGTACTGATCGGATGAGAGGGTAAATTTGGTTCGATTGCTTTGCGGTAGTCTTCTAACACGGAAGCAATTACTAAAAATAATATTAAAGGAATAAAAACTTGAAAAATAGTGAGAAAAATAGTAAAGCAATCCTTACCCTGCTTCTTCCTCGAATTTCCGCTTCTAATATCGCTATATAGCACGGCATTTCCAGTCCAGTTCACCGGTAGCTCCATTTCCATTCGGCGGACACAATCAACAACATCAAATTCAGAATCTTCATCCTCGTGCGGAAGCATTTCTTCTTTTTTTGGCGGAAAAGGAAAATAAATAAAACAAATTTTTATTGGAAAAGAAACGAACGCGCGCGCTTTTTTTGTCTCGAAACGAAAACAAGTGAGAGGAATGCGCGCTCCTTTTTTCTGAATAGACTCCGCATTTCCGAGTGGACTTTGGAACTGGCAAAGTGACCTACTGTTGTTTTTATATGTTTTTACTTCTGATTTTGTTTTAGATTTAAATATTTTACTTTTTTTATGCATAACCGTGTTTTTTAGAAAATTTTGGCGGGTAAATTTATGTTTTTTGTTTTTACATTAAACTGATTTTAGAAATGGAGAGACCGCCAACTCCCGCTCAAGGGCCCGTGCCAGACATTAACTCAACTCCGCCATTACAATCGCCGCATACTCCCGCTCATCGAGACGTGAGAACTAACAATGGGACTCCACCGGTACGATCACCGCCCATAAGCCAATCAAGCTCGTCTTCGCGCAGAACTACCACATCAGACTCTGGAGCTGGAGAGTTTGGACGTTCTCAACCGGATTCTCCCGCGACACCTCCCGCACGGAATGTACGACGTGGAAGCCGTTCCCGCCAACATTACGTTAGGAATTTTATAGATGTAAATCCAAATTTGGATTCTATTAAAAGCAACATGTTCAGTGAGTTTAAAAGTTTATTATCTTTTTTATAAATTTTAGTATATGTTTAAAATAGGTATTTCATTCTTAACGTTTCAGAATGTATCAAAAATGCCGAACCTAGAAAAATATAAATTTTTGATATTCCCCGCCAAGATATTGAAGACAAACTAGATGAAAAATGTTTGCACTTGCTGGAGCAGTACCAAAGAGAAGGAATAATTGATTTGGCAGACAACCCGATCTTGGTCTACATTTCGGATTCCGCTGAAGGTCAAATCATAGAGGTTTTGGATGGAAGACATCGAGTTGAAGCATTTCGCGCTTGGTTCGTCAAAACTTATGGACCAAGAAAAATTGTCAACGCTGAGTTCGATCTGCTTTCCGCTCGCTGCATTGTTACGGTTCTCAACAAGGGTGAGAAAGTGTTGTGTGGGTGGCTAAATCACGGAAAATCGGAAACTGCACATCAAACTACACGTGCCGCACAAAAAAATGTAAGTTGCACTTTATGTTTTTTAATTTTATCACATTTTTAGGTAACGGATCTCATCAACATGAAAAGCCTTCTCTTTCCGGATAATACATCAAACACAACAGCCTCGAGAACACTCAGCGGCAAGATCAGAAGCCGCCTTGCTTCCGCATTGACCTGTAAACTGGCTGAGCACCACGTGTACATAGCGTTCCGCACAGATAAAGAACGTCTGCTGTTGTTGAGATTAGCAAGAGCTGTTGAGACGAGGAAAATTTGCAATAACGAGAAAAATGCGGACAAAACAACATTCTGGAGAACATTAATTCCGCTTCTCAAAAATGGACATAAGCAATGCCTGGTCGAACTAGAAAGATACCTGGACATGTCAGAGCGACAAAGCGGAAATGCTGCGGAACTGTTAGAAGTGAGTTATATATATTTTCAACATTTATGTTTAGACTCTTCGCCACAACCGCTCCGAAATGTCGATGTTCTTGTACAAGTACTATCGTGAATTGCCAACGTCTTGCAGCCTTTACAGGAGCGACCGTTTTTTGTTATCAGATTGCTTCAACTTGATGAGATATTGGTATGTTTTAATGGTATTTTTGCCACATATTTTATAGTTTTTATGTTTGTATCAAAATGTTTAATGGAACAATTGCATTATTTGCAGTAAAACAACGTTCCGCCTTGACGAACTGATTGCTAAGCATCAAAAGCCGTGTCATCTACGGATGTTAAAAGCCGCAGCTTTGTTTTTGGGTGTTGGAAAAGAAGAGAATCCGCTAATTACCACATTGAATGATCTTTGCACACCTGATTGGGGTAGTGAATTGCTAGTTAATCATTGCTTTTACACCGTTATTGACACACATTATGTAAGTTAAATGTTTAAATTAATACATTTTGTTTTAAGCTTGCCAATTGCTCAACAACCGTCATGAGAGAATTGATAAAAATGGAAGATTCAATCCGCTCCGTGCTTATATTAGCTCCAAGCAATCTGGAGGACCTCGAAGATGAATTCTGGCTGTCGCTGAAACAGTTTATACAGGGGTGGTTTTACGATACCGCTTGGGATGTCTTGCACTCTGATGTTCAGTTTGGCTCACCGCTCCGCCACAGTCGCCTTTTACATTTCAAAAAAGACGAAAGCTTCATGATCACCGACCGTACTGAAAGATCCGTTGTTATGAACCAGATCAGCGCGATGTATCCTACAAATTGCGGAGGTGCCTACTTTGTTGGAAACCGTGATTGTAAGTTTCAACCTTTATTTTTGAACTTTATTCTATTTCAATGTACATATTGTCTAATACAGGTCGTTTCGTTGGCCGCCACACCGTCCCCAAGACAGAAAACAATGTTATTGTTTACCGCTACATCGAGGATTTGCGCGCCGCCCACAAGGAGACCAGCCTGTACACGAAGTCACAATACTTCGACATGGAACGTGTGTTGGATGACGATCTGAATCCCGAAGATCCCGCTTAATTACCTTGATGTTTTTTTCTTATTCCGCTTTTTGTTGACTAAGATTGTTTCTTGCACTAAGATTCTTACTCTTTTTACTCACTAACTACGTTGTTACTATTTCTCGTTGTTATCATTACTGTTACTATAATGTTACGGTTTATTCCACATTTTTTTCTGTTTGTTTTAGATTATGTTACTGTTCTCATTGTTGTTTTACTTAATGCGGTTTTACTTTTTTATATTACTTTATTTATAGCGATAAATAAACCTGTTACCATCCAAGAGTATTCGGAAGTTGAAGATACGTTATAACATTGTAATATTTACAATAATATTAAGGTTAAAAAGTAATAATATTGTTAGATTTTGGTGGACTAAATTTGAGGTTTTGGTCCACCAAATATTTTTTTTCGTGGACAAAATTTTTATAATTTTATGATCGCAAATTTTCGTGGACGAGATTATAATAAAACTTGTCCACCAATATTTTCGTAAAATTTTTTACGTAGTTTCTGTCCCGCAAATGGTTTGGCGGACAGGAATTCCCACTTTTTTTTTAAGATCACTTTCGGGGACTTTTTAACGGTAAATTGGGCCACCAAAAGGTGTGGACAGGAAAACGTCTCGTTCGTTCCGACTTTTTCTTGAATGTATATAATTCAAGGGATATATATAGCACTACTGAGTGCAAACCAACAAAAAAGTGAATTGCTCTGTTGATTCAGGTACGTACCTTATACCTAGGTACTATTTAGAATATTTCTGTAAAACACCTTATAGTCGATTTTATCCTAATAAAAAGTTTAACTACAAATTTTAAAGTTTGTACCACACTTTAATCAGTGTTGTAGTATTTTTTAATATAGAATGAGAGTAACAGTCTATGTATAGAGTAAAAAATAAAATACGTGTCAGGCAAAGAATAAGTTTATTCATATTTCGGATTCAGCGAAATCGAAAGGGTTATTTGAGATGACGGAAATCGGTCCGGTTGATTCTATTGGTACTCTTGAGTCAAAAATAAGTTCTTCTGCTGTAGCAAAGAAACCACATTCTGTTAAAATGGAATCGGTTTTTAGCATTTGTGATTTTACGGCATCTGAAATCGATTTGAAAGTAATTTATATGAAATGTCATATATATGATAACATGTACATATATGATTGCTATCAGTGTAATTAGGTTATTCGATCTAAAGTTACAGTCAATTTTTGTTGTGGAGGTTAATAAGGCTTTTAAGAACTAAAAGTCTAGTTAAATAGTTGTGTGCAGCGTACCTGAGGCTTCCACAAAGTCTACAGAAGCTGCTGAGTTTCTGATGACATGAACGGTCTCTTCTAGGACTTTCAATCCAGATGTGTCGATGTGAGAGATACCAGAGAAATCGAAAATGAACATCCTTGCTGTCTATAAATGGTTTTTTTAAGTATGATGCTCGTTTTACATAGTCTTAACTATAAGCTCACCCTCCCCAATCCTTGTGAATTCCATTTCTTTAGTGTTTTAAGCACAGATCTCTTGAAGTAACGCGCATTTGAAAATATTAACATTGAGTCGAATCTGAATATACACAAGTCCATTTTGGTTTTTCGTTTCGAGAAGCAAGCTTCCCATCGTGGAAATTGGGTTCGAAATGTGACGATTAAAAGTTGGAAACAAAGGGCTATCATTAGGCCAGTGATAACATCGGTTAGTACTGTTCCTAGGAAGGCGACTACCCATAAGAACTGAAATGTTTGTGTGAGGTCCCTTTATATTTGATATAGGTTTAATTAGGGCGTAATGTTAAATCTTTTTCATGTTTCTAGTTATTTTTAGGCAATAGTTGTGAGATTAACAGATACATGATATTAGACAACACTTTTGAGCTTTAAAAACTTACAAAATCGTATTTAGATATGCGATAGTAGGTGACAATGTCTTTGAAACCTCGTAAGATGTTTCTCAGGGCTACCAAAATAATGGCCGTCAATACTGTCATAGGAAGACAGTAAAAGAAAGAGGCGAAAAACATGACGACGACAAATATGAATGCACATGCAATCAAGTTGGCCATCTGAAAAATGTCATTTTGATGTTTTAAAGCGAGTTTTCTCTATTTTTAACCAATGTAGGGTGTGAGATCTAGATCCGGGGCTAGAAGGTCAGGGCTAGGAACAGTCAGACTCCTAGGAATAATTGTAGGTATTGTAGTCAATTTTAATGTAATTTCTTTGAGAGGTAAGAAATCTTGTTGCAGAAAGCCCTACCTGACTAACAGCGCCACATTCATGTAGCAGCAAAGGTCTTCCTAAGCCATTAGCGGCCGGAAAGACTGGAAAAAGTCCACTGATAGTCAAAGTCGCTCCAACAGCGTAAATCTCCTGATTATCATCTACCGTATACCCTTTCTTTTCACTCATTACAGTCGCCATACTTAAATGCACAGCTACCATTACTATTGTAATCGCTACTGCATCACTTATGACGTGTTCAAACAGTTGAATACTAGGCAGTATTGGCGTAGGCACTCCCTGTGGAATCTCTCCAACGATTTTTACTGCGTAGCGTTTGTTGAATTGGAGAAAGTAGGATAAGATAGTGGCTATTATCACTAGAATTAGTTCATATGGTACCATGATCTTCTTTTTGAAGGTTCGGATGAGCAAAGGGGTTATTATTAACTTGCCGACCAGTAGAAATAAGACTGATAGTATGCCTATGGTTAGTGTGACCAGGTTGGTATTGGGTATCTGCATTATTATTTCGAATAAGTTCTGAAAATTTAGTTAATTTTATGAGGGCCAAAGATATTGGAAAAGGAAAGTTTTGAATTGAGATAAGGCTTTGAAATTATTTAACATTACAATTTGACCTGATTTTGTGATTCAGATTACTCATTCATTTGATAGTTACGTTATATTATAATATAAACTTTCATTTCATAGCCTAAATTCTCAAAATCAGTAATACATCTTACCTTAAACAAATACAAGACCCCAGTATTTCGAATTTTCATGATTCCCATAAACGAATCAAACTGAGAAATGAGTACGTGAATCGCAGCACCAGTAACAAATCCGCCAACTAATGCTCCAGAAAAATATTCAGTGATAAAAGTGATACGAAGACATGCTAAAGCAATATGACATATTCCAATCAAGAAAGTTAGGGTTGACACAATTTCAGTTGGGTTTGTATGAAGACCAAGTTTTGTATCATTCATTAGTTTTCTTACTAACGCTCCACACATTAATTCGACCACGGCAAATGGTCCTGAAATAAGGGGATTTTGGTGTTGTTTTTGTATGTTATAGATGATTTTCGGCAAAAATTTTGTTTTTTTTTATGTTTTTGAAAAAAAATTATATTTTCATTCAATTTCAAAACGAAAATACGAAGAGATATCACTATAAATCTAAATATAGCAAATACAAAGCACAATATCTAAAGTACAAAATTTTGTAAAGCAAACTTGTAGAGTCAGCTTATCCTTAATTTTTAATAATAAGCATTTTAAGGATAAGCCTGTTCTAATAAAAATGTCATAAAGTTAAGCTAGTTGGCATGCCGATATTATGTTCAATAATAAACAATAATAATAGACTTACCCAAAGAGCCATGTGGCCATGAAGACAAAAACGGAAAGATTAAACAAGAAAGTAGCACTGTGTAAAGCCCATTCACCGGTGGGAGTTCTGCCAACACTGCGTAGGCAATTCCTGAAGTAATATTGAAAAGTTAGTAAAAGTCATGACAATATTTATAATAACCAACATAGTTCAAGGATTAGATATGTTTTTAAAGAGACTTGAATTTTAAAACATTAATATGCCTAAATTCAATATGATAATAAATTTTGGGCTAATTATGAAGATAAAACTCTTAAAACTCGTATTTTTATCATTAGCTGGCTAAATTTATAAGAAACAGAGTGATTGACAACCTTGTGCTTACTATAGCAAAAGTTTCTTTTATCATTTTTTGCATTTAATTAGGGCTGTTGGGACTAGATTTGTTGTTGACTATAACTGAAGTTTACATATAAAAGGGTTGATGACTGCCTTGAGAGTTTGCTTTATTTTATAGACTTACCGAGTAAACTTGTTATAGTCAACATAATTTAAAAAAAGCTTTTGTTCAAGTCAACAATTTCAATTGTAATAGTTCCATCAACCCTGTTTGAATGTATAAAACGACCAATAAAGGAAACTTTTGTTATAATAAACACAAAATACCTTCCTTAGTATTTCTCATAACGGCATCCTACCTTTTAAACCTAAAAACGCCAAAAAATTACTAAAGCAAAAAAAATGGAGGAATTGTAATATATTTTACCCTGTGGCACATTCATGATGCCGACGGTCAGCCCGCCGGACAAATCTTGAAAAAACTTTGCCAAGCTATAGCCGGGAAGCCAGTTAATCGACGGACAAAAGCTGACCAACGACTTGACAAACACATTTTTGGACTGAAACGGTTTCTTGTAATTATTGACCGACTTTTGGAACAAATTTTTACGCTTGGTTTCCAAATCAACAAACTCGAGGTTCGGATCCATATCGAATGAAAACAAATTTCGATGGAATTTTGTTGCAGTTCATTGGTATTCAAATACCTTTTTGGTCTATTTTTTGGCGAGAAAAGTGTTTTTTGATGATATTGAATAGTCAAGGTTAATTTAACTTTTAAATTCAAACTACATATAAGTGTGAATCATACTGTGGTACAATAGAATTAAAAATTTGAAAAAAAGGCATATTTTGCTCAAAAAATCTAACGGAAATCTTTAGTATGATACAATTACATATATAAGCCCTATTGAAAACTACAATTTTATTCAAGAAGTCCAAAGCAAATCTTTGTTAAATCTTTTATTAGATCAACAAAATATTTACAAGGAATGTAAATTCATGAATTCAAGAAATTAGTTTGAATCTTTCAAAGCTTCAGGTCCAATTCCAGCAGCTCGTTTGCCGTAGTAACCGTAGCCATAGCCGTATCCGGGGTATCCGTAGCCATAACCAGCATATCCGGGGTATCCATAACCATACCCGCCATAATATTGAGCGGTCGATTCTTCGACAACAAAGCCCATCAAGAGAATAGCAAAGAGGCAGAAGGCCAAGTTTCTTTGGAAAGCCATTGTGAACTTATGATGTGATTTCTGGAAGTAGTCTTGGTTTATATACTAATTTTTAGGCTGTGAATGTTGGTAAAGGGTAGGCAAACGTTTACGAAAAGATTAGACAAACTTTTTTTTTAAGGAGGTTGGTTCTGCGATAATTTTTTTAGCGACAAAATGATCTTTCTATATTATTTGTCTTACAACAATTAATAGCAAACAAATTTTAAAAAGTTTTTTGTTTATTTAACCCGTAGCAACAAATTGTATAGGCCCAGAAGCTATTCCCAGCGGCCCGCAGTTTACCTTCAGCTCATAAAAACTACAATAAAACCAGCTTTTGTTCATCAAAATTAGAACCTGATTTAAAAAAAAAGTATGACAAACAAATTGTTGATCACTACAAAAGCTAGATGAAAACTTATTTGTTTTTATGTATGTTTAGTTTTCTTGTAGCGAAAGCCTAATACAGAACATGTTATACAAGTTATTAAGTCGCTCGTTTGTGCAAATATTAGTGTTTGTGAAACTAAAAGTACGTAAACCGTTTTTTCCTAATGACACGCGTTCGTTGCCTCAGGTTAAATAAACAATAAACGTCCCAGGAAAAGTATAAACTAATATACAAACATCACGCTGCCGCTAAAAAATTGTTGCAGAGCCAACCTCCTTACAAAAAAGTTTGCCTACTTTTTACGTGAAAGTTTGCCTATTCTTTGCCAACGTTTACATCCTAAAAATCAGTATATAAATCATGAATCCCTCCAGAAAACGCATCGTAAGTTCACAATGACTTTCCAAAGAAACTTGGCTTTCTGTCTCTTCGCCATCCTCTTGATCGGCTTTGTTGTCGAAGAAACGACCGCTCAATACTACGGCGGGTATGGTTACGGGTACCCCGGATATGCTGGTTATGGCTACGGATACCCCGGATACGGTTATGGCTACGGTTACTACGGAAAACGAGCTGCTGGATTTGGAACTGAAGCTTTGAAAGATTCAAACTGATTTCTTGGATTCATGAATTTACATTCCTTGTAAATATTTTGTTGATCTAATAAAAGATGTGACAAAGATTTGATTTGGACTCTTTAACTAAAAATACTATTTTACGTTTTTTCAAAATGAAAATTCAAAATAAAACAAAATTTTATAAAATTATAAAATTAAAAGCCATATTGTATTGAAATTACTTTCTTATAAAAAAATAGATTCCAATTTCTCTACTCTAGGCCAAAATATCTGACCTTATCAGCACTGGCCACAGCAAAATAAAAGAAAAGTTTAGAAAAATAAAAAAATTTTTAACAGAAAAGTTCATTTTTGTTTCATGCAAATTTTCACGTTTTGAAAGCCCAAAAAGTCACAAACTCACAATTGCCATTTTCGAACCATTCCAAGGTCTGTCATTTTGAAAGTTTGCCCAGACGCAGCGCTGTCGGTTCTGAAGATCTTCAGCCGCACTAGGAATTCATCGTAACCTTGGTGTGATCCACAACAAATAGACAGCGGAAATGTCACAAGAAGACGAATTTGATGAAGATATTGGATTGAAAAAAGTTAGTTTTGGATTATGTTGTAGTAGGTTGGAAAAATGTGAAGATTAGGCATTATTTGGTTGAATTTTTAGCTGAAACAAGCTTAATTTAGTTTTTCGACGTCAAAAAGTAAGTAGAAAAATAAACTTTAAAGATGTTTTCACTTTCCTCACTTTATACCTAAAATTTGTTTTGGAGACTTCAAATCCGCCGAAAAGCCCAAAGTTGACATTTTATACGCGGGCGCAGGTCGCGAGGTATTTTTTTCTGAAAAATTATTTTTCGAGCGAAGAATGGCCGATTTTGGGTCATTTTCGATGAAAACGGAACAAAAAAAATTATGATATTTGCCCATATTTAATAATTTATTTTTAATTTAGGGCTCGACAGTCAAGGGAAGAGTAGAGTATGTGATCTTGAAGGTGCTAGGCGAAGGGGGTTTCGGATCAGTCTTCCTCGTCCACGACGGTAATAAGGAATGCGCGATGAAAGTGGAAAAGAAAATTGAAACTCGTCGGCACAGTAAACTAAAAATGGAGGTGAGTTTTATTTTCTTATTTGTTTTCGGTTTTTAGGTAACAATTTGGATTATGAAGAGAAATTGAGGTTTTCTCAGGTATATTATTGTAGGATCTTGCAATGTCTTTGTTTCTAATGATGAATTGCAGAGATTATGCAATGTGGCATGTTTTACGTAGTTTTTAGGCTACGTGACGTCTTTTACATGGTAGTTTTATGAGATAATTTTAGATCAGCATCCTGAAAACCATCGCTAACTTGAAGAAAGGGAGCACGGAGAAATCAGTCGCAGAAAAAAAAGTACGTAAAGTAGGTTTTTGAGCTATGGATAATATAAAAAAAGCTTTGATTTTTGATAAACTTTAGATTTTGAACGTTTTTTAAGTTCCAAAACTTATAATAGACATTACTTTAGAAAGCCTAAATAAGCTTCGAAGTTGAATAACAGTTCCAATATTTTCAGCCAAAACGCGAATACCACTTCACAGACATTATAGACCGCGGCCGCGAAGCCAATTTCTACTTTATGGTCATTGACTTGGTCGGTAAATGTTTGGCCGACCTGAAGCTGGTCCGCCCCGAAAAGACGATGAGTTTGGCTACGGGCTTGGGCGTGGGAATTCAAAGTCTGGAAGCCATCGAAGATTTACACGAAATTCAATTCATTCACAGAGACATCAAACCCGCGAACTACGCCTGTGGCAAAGCACCGAACACACATGTTGTGAGTTTGATTTTTTTGAAGTTTTGTATGTTTAGGTAACAAGTTTTGGATAAATTGAGGTTGTATGGAACAGAACGGGATTGCTTCGGAGTTTCGTTAGTTTAGTTAACAAAAATTTGTTTTTTATGTTTAGGTAATAAATCGATTTTTGTTATTTTAGGTAACAAAGTTTTATTTTATGGAGGTTTAGATACACAGTTCGAATTTTTGATAATTTTGTTAATGCATGATATTTTGAAAATTTTAGTTAGCAAAATTGTATAATTTAGCTTTTTTTAAGTAATAACTTTATATTTTTTGATATTAATGTTTTATTTAAAACGTAATTTTTACACTTTGCAGATTTATATACTAGATTTTGGAATCGCGCGTAAGGTAATGAACAAGGACAACTGCTTGAAGACGCCGCGAGAACGGGTCGGGTTTAAGGGGACCGTGAGGTTCGCCTCCTTGGCGTGCCACAGGAATCAAGAACTGGGCCGAAAGGACGATGTAGAGTGTTGGCTGTACATGATGATGGATATATTGATTCGTCAAGGTAAGGTTTTACTTTTTTTGGTTTGGTTTAGGACGCTTTGGCAGATTTTTGTTCGGTTTTAATGAAAACTTAAAAAATTTTTTTTTGAATGAATAGGTGCAAATTCGGAAGTTTGTTTCTTTTTAAGTTACTGTAATTTTACCATAATCTAGTTTTCAAAATTTTGAAGAAAGGGAATGTTCACCTTTTTTAATGTTTTTCATGTATTATTGATAATTTATTATTTCATATTTTTATGTATTTGCTTAATTGATGTCTACAAAATTACTTTTGTATAATTCTTTTATAAATTATGTTATTCTAGGCCTGCCATGGCGCAAAGAAAGCGAGAAGGACGTAGTTGGCGAGATGAAGACCAAAGCCCGCGATGAAAAGTCCTCAGTTCACAAGGAATTCTACGGCGATCTGATAGGCAAGGACAAATTCCACGCGATATTGAAGTACCTGGAAGGCCTACAGTATGTGGACACACCCGACTACAAATACATCTACAACTTATTACGAGAAATTGGCAAGGAAGCGAACGCTGACCCAGATGCTCTGTTTGATTGGGAAGAAGCGAAGAAGAAGGATTGATCTTAGTTTGCAACCGGAATAAATTAGCATTGAATCTTGTATTGGATTTTTTTGATTTTGGGTGGAGGAAAAGTTGAAAAGCTTGAAGTTATCTATGTGGTCATGAGTTTTTGTTTTATAAGGTAAAGTCAATATGAAAGAGTGGTTTTATTTTACTGCCATACCCTACCATACTTTATACTACCTACTATATTGTACCATATCATACCCTATACTATCTTATATCTATAACCACACCCACGCCCATATTTATTTCCGTACCCTCACCCCTGCCCATATTTACACCCCTACCCATACCTATACCCATGCCCATATCTATACCCCTACCCATGCCCATATTTGTAGCCATACCCACGCCCATATTTATATCCATACCCACGCCCATATTTATACTCATACCCTTACACAACGTTTAGTATCATACTCAAAATAATGTCAGAAAACATGCTTACATCTCTTTTTCGCATCGTATCTTGAAAAAAATATTCGCACACCGACCGCTCTCCACCAAAAAATTAACAGCAACTGATCGCTTTTCACTTTCATTTTCAAATTTCAAATTTTTACAATTTTCATTTTCAAATTCCGACCGCTCATTTTCGACCAATTTTTTTACAATAAAATAGAATGCTTCATTTTCAAATGCTTCATTTTTTTGTCACAACACGCCACGCTCTCCATTTAGAAAGGCGGTTTATTCATTTTCTATTCTGCACAAATTGGTTGTGACCTATGTACGTCGAGTTTCCACGAAACGCGCTCCGAAAATAGTAATCTTTATAATTTATAAATGTACTGGCATTTTTTGTACTGTAAATAAAGTTTTTGAAAATTTTTCTAAAATAATCTTTTGTAGTGGTAGATTATGACACGGTAAAGCTTAAGATTATTTTTTTACAAAATGAAAATTTCAGTTGGAGGAAAGACCAGATGAAGCGCCAACGACATTCGAACGAGTTCGGAACCAAAAACCAGCAAAAACGAAGATGAGAAGGCATAAAGCTAAAAACGGACTCCAAGACAAAGTCAGTTACAAAAGACAACCCTAAAACCACAAAGAAAGTACATAAAGGAAAAGCGAAGAATGAAACGAATGTGAAGAATCAAACTCATAGAAAGGACAACAATTTGTCGCAAACCAAAGAACTCGCGGAGCAGCCAGACACAACTCCCAATTTAGAAGAAAGGTAGGACAAAACATTTTTAAAGGATTTGGTTCTAACGGCATTTAGAATAGGGCTGTTTCATGTCAGCATCATAGTCGGTAGCGGGGAGAGGAAGTAATACACGCATATATTTTAATGAGCAGGGCAATTAAAATTTAAAATACACAAAATAGAAAAAACTTTCTTTACAAAATAAGAAACGACTGATTTAAAAATATTGAATTGTAATTCGCACTAAAAATAATTTTTACGCTAAAATTTTAGCCTTACCTTGACATCACCATCAGTTAATCAATCCAGCCGGACCAAAATCTGTAATGACGTTATAGATTCAGCAAACAATCAGATTGGTCAAAGTAAAAGCGGCGAGATAAGTAAGAATTTTTGTACTAATTTTTTTGTATACATATATTAGAATTATTTACCAGAGTTTAAAGAAAAATCAAAAATTTAAAACTATAAAGTGGATATGACTTTTTTTATAAATTACGTTTACTCCTCCTATTACCACATTTTTAATTTTATTAATTTTAGTACAAATACAACACAACAGCAAGGACGAACAAAAAGGCGAGCTAAAACAAAGCGACAAAAAAAAACGGACACATTGTCAACTACGTCTGGAGATGAGAAGATCAGAAGGAACGTAAAAGAGTCCGAAACAGAAGACTCATCATCAGAATAAGAGAACTGTTTTATCATATGAACTAGATACTTTTTCTCGTGATATTTATAGTTGACGGGAAACCGTAATTACTATACGACTAAATTGAATAAAGGTATAAAAAAGTATTGTCGTTTTTCAGCGTGAAAGGCAAGGCACGTCAAAATGAAACAAAAGAAAAAACTTGAAAACGCGTGTGACATTTCGCAGAATGTTAGAAGAGTTTAATTATAACTAAAGTTTTTTAAAAATTATTAAGAAGAACCTTAGCTACGAGTAAAAGACAATCTAAACCGGTTTTATTTAAAAAGTAATTTAACTAAAACTGGATAAATAAATTTCAAATTTCAAAATTATAATAATTTTCCAAAGCCCTAAACCTAGTCGAACCTCCCGTTCTCAGTTCATATTTGCCAACACAGTCGATTGATGCCATTTGCCATTGCGTCCGTCACCACCAATGTATTATAGGTGCCTTTGTTGAAGTTTCTGGTTGAGTTTGCTGCGAATTGATCACACCAGCCAAAAAAACGTACTGAACTAGCGCGCTGTGTGTGATTCGAATTCTGAAATGAAGAAAGATTAAAGTTTATGCAACTCTAGACCTTATAGTAAAAGGCCCAACCTTCCTTAACCTTCCTCTCACCCTACTATAAGATTTAAAAGCTAGATGTGAGAAACCGTCCGGGATTAAAAGTATCCTTATGTGTTTGAGGTAAAACTGTGCTTGTACTTTAGTCTATATTGTAATTCATTTAGGCAAATTCTTTACAGGCTAGAGTTAATTACTTTATATTTTGGTTATTTTTTTAGTCTAGAGTAAGCTAGAGTACATTACTTTATTTTTGATAGTTGAGAGATCATATTATATTTAAACTTAATATAAATATATTGTTGTATGTATGTAAGTGTGCATAGAAGATTCATCTAATAAAAAATTATATATGTGATAAAAGAGATACGAAGGCATGCTAAAGCAATATGACATATTCCAATCAAGAAAGTTAGGTGACACAACTTCAGTTGGGTTTGTATGTAGGCCAAGCTTTGTATCATTCATTAGTTTTCTTACTAACGCTCCACACATTAACTCTACAACGGCAAATGGTCCTGAAGTAAGAGGGTTTAGGTAATTTGTATGTTATACGTGCTGCGTGGCCAAAAGATTGTTTTTCTTTATTTTATCATACCAAACGCTATTTTCATTCAATTTCAAAACGAAAATACGAAAAGATATCAATACAATTCTAAATATAACAACTTACTACAAAGCACAATATCTAAAGTACAAAATGTTATAAAACAAACTTGTAGAATCAGCATATCCTTAATTTTTAATAATAAGCATTTTAAGGATAAGCCAGTTCTAATAGAAATGTTAGAAAGTTAAGCTAATTGGCATGACGTTATAATATCGGAAAATAAAATATATTTTTTCACTTCCCTTACTTCATTTGCAAAATTTGGTTTGGAGGCTTCAAAGCTTTGCAAAGCGGCCGAAAGTTGACATTTCATACGCGGGCGCGGGTCGCAAATTATTTTTTCTAAAAAATCGTTTTTTAAGTGGAAGACGGCCAATTTTTGGCCATTTTCGATAGAAACTAGACCAAAAGCAATATAACTTACAATATTTATTCATATATATTAATTTTAGGGCTCGGCAGTCAAGGGAAGACTAGAATATGTGATTTTGAAGGTGCTAGGCGAAGGTGGTTTCGGATTTGTCTTTCTGGTCCACGATGCTAATAAGGAATGTGCGATGAAAGTGGAAAAGAAAATTGAAACTCGCCGGCACAGTAAACTAAAAATGGAGGTTTGTTTTGTTTTTTATTTGTTTTTGGTTTTTTGATAACAATTCGGATTTTGGAAGGGAATTTAAGGTTCTTGAGGTATTATATGAGGAGGGTCTTGGTTTCAAATGAAAAGTTTTGAGGTTTTATGCAATGTGACATGTTTTAAGTGACTTTATGAGATAATTTCAGATCAGCATCTTGAAAATCATGGCTAACTTGAATAGGAGCACGGAGAAAAATCAGTTGCTGAAAAAAAGTACGTAAAGTATGTTTTTGGGCCATGGATAATATAAGAAATGCTTTAATTTTTGATAAAATTTAGTTTTTGAACGTTTGTTTTAACTTTTAAAACTTATTTTAAGCATTAATATATTTTAAAAAACGTAAAAAACTTGTAACTGAATAATAATTATAATGTTTCCAGCCAAAACGCGAATACCACTTCACAGACATTATAGACCGCGGCTGCGTAGCCAATTTTTACTTTATGGTCATTGATTTGGTTGGTAAATGTCTGGCCGACCTGAAGCTGGTCCGCCCCGAAAAGACGATGAGTTTGGCTACGGGCTTGGGCGTGGGAATTCAAAGTCCGGAAGACATCGAAGATTTACACGAAATTCAATTCATTCACAGAGACATCAAACCCGCGAACTACGCCTGTGGCAAAGCACCGAACACACATGTTGTGAGTTTGATTTTTTTGAAGTTTTGTATGTTTAGGTAACAAGTTTTGGATAAATTGGGGTTGTATGGAACAGAACGGGATTGCTTCTTATTTTCGTTGGTTCAGTTAACAAAAATTTGTTTTTTATGTTTAGGTAATAAATCGATTTTTGTTATTTTCGGTAACAAAGTTTTATTTTTTGGAGGTTTAGATACACTGTTTGGAATTTTTGATAATTTTGTTAACAATGCATGATAATATCAAATATTATTTTGAAAATTTTAGTTAGCAAAATTGTATACTTTAGCTTTTTTTAAGTAATAACTTTATATTTTTTGATATTAATGTTTTATTTAAAACGTAATTTTTACACTTTGCAGATTTATAGACTAGATTTTGGAATCGCGCGTAAGGTAATGAACAAGGACAACTGCTTGAAGACGCCGCGAGAACGGGTCGGGTTTAAGGGGACCGTGAGGTTCGCCTCCTTGGCGTGCCACAGGAATCAAGAACTGGGCCGAAAGGACGATGTAGAGTGTTGGCTGTACATGATGATGGATATATTGATTCGTCAAGGTAAGGTTTTACTTTTTTTGTTTTTTAGTAAGTTTTAGCAGGTTTTTCTTCAGTTTTAGGGAAAATTAAAAAAATTTTGGTTTTTTAATCAATTTTTGAAAATTATTTTATTATAGGTCTGCCATGGCGCTAAGAAAGCGAGAAGGACGTAGTTGGCGAGATGAAGACCAAAGCCCGCGATGAAAAGTCCTCAGTTCACAAGGAATTCTACGGCGATCTGATAGGCAAGGACAAATTCCACGCGATATTGAAGTACCTGGAAGGCCTACAGTATGTGGACACACCCGACTACAAATACATCTACAACTTATTACGAGAAATTGGCAAGGAAGCGAACGCTGACCCAGATGCTCTGTTTGATTGGGAAGAAGCGAAGAAGAAGGATTGATCTTAGTTTGTAACCGGAATAAATTAGCATTGAATCTTGTATTGGATTTTTTTTGATTTTGGGTGGAGGAAAAGTTGAAAAGCTTGAAGTTATCTATGTGGTCATGAGTTTTTGTTTTATAAGGTTAAGTCAATATGAAAGAGTGGTTTTATTTTACTGTGCATGATTCGAGGCTAGGGCCAAAAGTTTTGCTCATATTTTTTTCATGGTTATCTAGACCTGTAAAGATTCCGGGCGTAATTTTTTGGTCCAGCTCACGGGAGCTAACGTCAGATTTGTTTTTTACTTTTTTCAAATCAAATTTTTCGTTGCGGAACTTAGGCTGTGCCTTGGTTTTCGCCGGAATCACATGTTGCGGGCCGGGCTTAGGCTAGGGTTCTATAGGGTGCATCGGAAAAGGTTTTGTGCACTGGGCGGGAAAAAATTGATTTTTTTTAATTTTAAAGCATTTTGTTTTAGTTTTGGTACTATTTTTGGATATCAAATGACAATATTATAGTTCTCGACTAGTACAACTCGTAAAAGAGGATTGAACACAAGTAGACTACGTCAACTGAATTCATATAACACTCAATAGCAGGTGGGTTATTAATCAATAACTTTAAATTGTTTAATTTAGTTTTTTATTATTGGTGGACATCGTGCATGACATATAGGAACGGATGGAAGAGAATTGAACTTTGGGAGTACGTCAACTTGGATTCGTTTTGACCTTTGGTAGAGGTAGCAGGTGGGTTAACGTTTTTTTAAAGATAGATCGGCAATTTTTTTAAATTTTTTATGTTTTTATTTAAAAATGAAATTTTGAGCCATTTTTGATTAAAAAATAGGTATGAACCGATTTTGAGGATTTATTTTAATTTTTTATTCAAAAACATAAATTAATGAAAATGGAAAAAAGGTAAAAATAGATGGCTAGTACTGATATTGCATTATATTTACAAAAAAATTTAAAATACGATAACTAATATCATTTGGTTGCAATTTCAACGAAGTTTTCTTTAATTTTTCGTCTTAAAATTTTTCCATTTGCATTTCGAGGAATGGCGTCCATAAAGTGGATTCCGCCAGTGATTTGCTTGAACTCGCTTACTTTGGCTGAAAATTAGTAAAATATTAGGTATGAAGTTTTGTACTAAACACTGAAGTAAAAATTTTAAAGGTTGTTAAAAATTATCAAAATTTTAATTCAATGGGTTGAAAAGTAAAATTTCTGCCGTGTTTGCTGCAAAATGTTCGTCATGTTATATGTTCTGTTACTTTTTCTGTTGTTCTTGATCGTACCTTAGTTATAAAGACTGTCATAATGAAAGCAATTGATTAAGCTGGATATCAACTGTTTGTTTTTCTTATGTGGACATTTTTCTGAACAACGTAAGTTCTTTGACTATTCATCTACCTTTATATTGGCATATAAATTTGTTTGCTTTATGAAATGGCTGGTCTCAAATCTATGAAATGTCTTGCTTAGAATTGAGATAGCCTTCATATGCCTCACTAAACTTTTCGTACAACTTACAATTAACCAACTTCAAGCACTCCTCTTCAGTCAAACTATGATCTCTTCTAACAACAAAGCCAGTAATTCTCTGATCAGTCAATGGATCAGGCATACCAACAATGGCACAATCCTGAACCAAAGGATGCGTCATTAGAATATCTTCGAGTTCAGAAGGCGAAGCTTGACGTCCACCAACTTTGAGCATCTCCTTTTTACGATCAACCAGGTATAGAAAGCCTTTCTCATCAATGTAGCCGACATCTCCGATATCAAGGAAGCCATCCGAAGTGTACAACTCTTTGTTGGCTTCAGGATTGTTGATATAACCTGGAGCAGAGCTCGACACTTTTACTTGAATGTCGCCTGGTTCGTTGATGCCTAATTCGGTATTGGTGTTGGAGTCGATTATCTGGAATTTTAGGTATGATTTATACATTTATGTATGTTTTTGAAGTAAATTTTTAGAAAACAGGATAGTCGGAGGTAAAAAAGGCTTTTTAGTTATGTTTTTTAATATTTTTTTTAGTTTTTACTTTATTTTTGGCCAAAGAACGCCTTTATATTGCTGTAGGACCTTCATATTGCTAGGCAAGACAAATATTTATGGTCTTTATAAAGCATCTTACCCTAAGCTCCACATTTGGCATAAGTCTCCCCACAGAAGCCAAGGGATTCTTATCCCTAGCGTCATGAGATGCTATGCACATTGTTTCGGTAGTACCATAGAGTTGACCAACGAATGGGACATAGTAAAAGTATTTTTCAATGGCAGTAGCTACTTGTTCTTTTATTGGACCACCGGCTGATACAACAATTTTTAAACTCTTCAAACTGTCTGGATTCTGTTTTTTGTGATGCAGTAGACCGATTAGCATCATCGGAGCCATGAAGTAGATGGAGACCTAAAATGGTTGAGTAGTACAAAGCAAAACTCACATTATACTTATCGATAGCATCAGCAACATCTTTAGTATTTGCGCCTTTAATCATAATGCCTCTAGTACCATTCATCATACAACAACTGGCAACACATTGTCCATAGCCAAATCCCATTGGCAGTGCCAGCAAACAGGTTTCATTCCTCCAATCCCAGTCTTTTTCTATCTTCTTTCCTACTTCTTCAGTCAAGAACCGACCAAAGTTTTCAACGGCAAACACGTTGGCATAATGTGTCAGTTTGACACCTTTAGGTAGACCAGTAGTACCACTTGATGTTGGCAGGGAAAATACGTCTTCTGTTAGGTTTATATTGACTTGGGGGAGATCATTGTCGTTGATATATGTTTCGTCGGCTATTATGGCATGTATTGAAATTAGGGTGACGTTTTTGTTGGTTTTGGGGACGTTTTTACCAATCTGGACGATTGTCTAAAATTTTTAAGGTAAAATTTGATATTTTTTGAATACTAGTCTTTTTGGTTTTAAAGCTGACTTACGTGTATATCAGGACAGTCGTCTAGTATATTGAGTATTTTTTGAACTACATAGTCTTGGCATAGTACGATTTTACATGATGACAGACGAGCTTGATGCGTAAGTTCATCTTAAAAATTATTGTAAAATACGGAATTTTATTTCAATAATTCAAGTTTGCAATTTTGACTTTAACTTGCAACGTAAAAAAGGCTTTTTTTATAAATTTGATTAGAATGTATCTTACGTTCAGTATAAGCCACATTAGCACCACTAATAGCGCCACCAATCGCAGCTGTGGCCAAATTCATACAAATATATTCCCAGCCATTTTCAACTGCTGCCATTATGCTATCGCCTTTGTTAAAGTTTCTAGAAACCAAAAATTTGGCTAGTATTTTAGTACGGTCAATAATGTCTTGGGGGTATGTTTCTTCTTTGGTGTAGTAGTCGATAAACATTGGCTGATCTGGTCGTTCTTCTTGGTTTTTCTTCAAGTAGTCGAACATCCATTCATGAACTGGCTTGGTTGGTGAGGGAGTAGGGGCACAAGGTGAGGTGAACACCATAGTTAATTTTAACGTTATAAAGTTTGGAATGGTAGATCTTGAAGTTCAGTGAGTAGGTAATACCTGACGTTAGTAGTATTCAAAAGCAATAGAAACGGTTTTTTGGTAGTATTTGAGGATAGTAGATCGTTTGATACCTTTTATATTATTGTTTCTGGAAAGTAGGTAACAATTATTCTTGAGTAACCTTAGTCTTTCCTTTTACTTTTTAGACTACAAACGCCTATCACAACTAAATAACCTTCAGTCTTTCTACACCAGATTGATCACCTTTTTATACTCAGCTGGTTGAAAGTTGTTGTCGCGTAGATAGAACAGAATTTTGCAACGATAGATCAAAGAAAAACCTCTTAAAATCATGTTCAATCTTGTTTCAGAACATTGATCTTTGTAACCGGAAAGCCCGGTGTTTGTGATCGATACCTGCTTCATGGTCAGAGTTAAGTGCGGGAAAACCCACAAAAAGTCATCATTTAGTTAGTTGATAATTGTGTTTTAGAGGCATTAGAACGTCGAAAAAACAACGTGGAGAAAGTAATAATAGGAAATGTTTGTGATAGTCGAAGTAAACACACTATAACTTAAATAGCTTGAGTGATACAGGTTATTAACATAGTTATTGAAAAAAAACAGTTATTGACATGATATACGTATATGAATGCATTTCCTGTAGATTTCAGACGATTCGATTAAATTCTTTTTTCAACGCTTTACACAGAATACCTTGTATTGTTGACTGCCTTGCAGTAAAGTTGTCTACGATAGAGTTTAAGATTTAAAATACTTTTAAGACTACTCGGACTTGAAAGATCACGTTAAACATATATCGTTCAAAATGTTATTCAGACCGTGGTATTCAGGTTCAAAATAGTGAATAGCACGTGAGGAACGTTGACCTTGACTACGTTATTTTTGATGGGTTATTTTGTACTCAAACGTTTCTATTGTCTAGTAGTACATCATCTTTCTTGATAAGAATAGTAATTGAATGTTGAAGCTTTGGTCGTTAAATTACAATTTTTAACATTATATTATGTATTTTTGACTTTTAAATTCACTCATTATCAATTTGAAGTCATAATTTATAATACATAATCAATTGAGATTTATTGTTAGTACATTACGGTTAACATAATCAGATTGAAATAACCATAATAATACAGACATTCTGAATATTCGCAGAGTTTGTAGTGTAGGTTCTGAGCTTATTTAGTGGCAATTTCATTAAAGTTTTCCTTAATTTTTCGTCTCATAATTTTGCCATTTGGATTTCGAGGAATGGCGTCCATAAAGTGGATTCCACCAGTGATTTGTTTGAACTCGCTTACTTTGGCTGAAAATTTCTTTGATTAATCATCTATCTTTATACTGGTTTATTGGTTTGTTTTCTTTACGAATGCCGTATTTCTTATAGCTTTCATATGGCATACCAAACCTTTCGTATAACTTACAATTAACCAACGTTAAGCACTCTTCTTCAGTCAAACTATGATCTCTTCTAACAACAAAGCCAGTAATTCTCTGATCAGTCAATGGATCAGGCATACCAACAATGGCACAATCCTGAACCAAAGGATGTGTCATGAGAATGTCTTCGAGTTCAGAAGGTGAAGCTTGACGTCCACCAACTTTGAGCATCTCTTTTTTACGGTCGACCAGGTATAAGAAGCCTTTCGCATCAATGTAGCCGACATCTCCGATATCAAGGAATCCGTCTGAAGTGTATAAGTCTTTGTTAGCTTCTGGGTTGTTGATATATCCGGGAGAACAACTTGGAACTTTGATTTGTATATCACCGATTTCGTTTATTCCTAGCTCAGCATTGGTTTCTGAGTTTATCTGGAATTTTGAGGGTTAACATGGCTGTTTATACCTTTGGTACATTGTTTTGTATACGTTTAGGACATCATTTATAGAACATTAGTACTATTTTTTTGTACTTGTACAAGGACTGAAATGTTACGTTGGTTATACTTAATTTGGCTTTTCTTTATTTTCATTATCTATCCCCGTATATAAACGGAGAGTCGGTGGATGTTGCGGGCCAAAGAAAAGTACACTTTAAAATTATTTTTTTACATGCAAGTTTATGGGAAAATCAATTTAAAATAAAAAATTTTATGAAATTTAAAAAAAAGAAACCGGTCAGTCCCATGAATTTTTTCGAAGAGAGCGGTCGAGTTTCAACTATTTTGATGAAGATACGATGGCAAACGAAGATGTAGGTATGTTTTCTGATTCTATTTTGAGTATGATACTAAATATTATGGGTTTAATTTTTTAAATATATCAATTTTATGTTAAAAAGTAGAGGTAGGGGTAAAAATATGGGGTTGGGTAGGGGTGTGGGTAAGACTAGGGGTAGGGGTATATAAAAAAAGGTATTGGAATTGATATGGGTAAGGTAAATTAAAATTAATAATTAAATTCAAAAAAACAACCGGTTTACAAAAAAAGTAATTTTATAAAATGTTTGTTTTCAAGAATAAAAATAAGCAAATCACTCATACTCAAAGTAGTTTCAGAATTCATGCTGCATTAGCAGAAAGTTATAAAAACAAAAACATTACATTTTAAAGTTAAAATTAAAGACGCGCGAGGGCCGCAGGCCCGAGCCTTTTTTTACAGATTCTAACATTTCAAGTTATTATAAAATAATTTTATACTAAAACAAAACTAAGATATCCAGACCATAGGAGGCCCTCAGGGCCTCCGTTGGTCTGGTAATATATTATTCCTTACCTTAACTTCGACATTTGGCATCAGTTTCCCAACGGACGATGAAGGATTGTTGTCTTTAGCATCATGCGCAGCGATACACAAGGTTTCGGTTGTACCGTAAAACTGACCCACGTACGGAACATAGTTAAAGTATTCTTTGACAGCTGCAGCTACTTGTTTTTTTACTGGTCCTCCACCCGCTAGTATTACTTTTAAGCTTTTTAAACTGTCTGGATTCTTTTTTTTTGTGGCGTAGTAGGTCGATCAGCATCATCGGTGACACGAAGTACAGAGACCCTTCAATAGGTACCTTTGAGTATGGTTGTTTAACTTTTTGAGAGTTCAGTATCTAGTATTGTTTTCTCTATTAGAATTGTAAAGGGGCCGGGCTTTAGTGGGCTGAGCCGGGGCCAGGCTCTCTTTTAAGTATATTATCTAAGGGCTTTGTAAGATAAAAAATATTTTAAAAACTCTGGATAAACTCACCTTATACTTGTCAATAGCATCAGCGACCTTTTTTACATTGCCAGATTTTATCAGTACACCTCTAGCGCCTGTCATCATACAACAACTGGCCACACATTGGCCATAAACGAAGCCCATTGGTAATGTCATCAAAATTGTTTCATTCCTCCAATCCCAGTCTTTTTCAATTTGCTTTCCGACGTTATCAGTGAAAAATCGAGTAAAGTTTTCATTTGAAAACACATTGGTATAGTGTGTAACTTTGACACCTTTTGGTAGACCAGTAGTACCACTTGAAGTTGATAAAGAGAAAATGTCTTCTTTTAGGTGTATATTGACATGGGGGAGCTCGTTGTTGTTAATATAGTTCTTGTTGGTTATTATGGCATGTATTGAAGTTAGGGTGACGTTGCTGGTCGTTTTTGGTACGTTGTTACCAATATATTAGGTATCCTAACTATAAACTTCCATTTTTTAACAAACTTATTTTTATTATAACAACCGAAACAAAACTAATTGTTCTGAGATATATACTCTAACATTGTCTATGCCTTCTCTACAACGTTCCTTCAAAACGTGAATGCCAGAACTGTGGAACTACCTCAGCTGTGTCTTAAAGAAATCTTCACCCTATAACATGACTTCAGCGCCATTTTTGAAATGGATTCCAGCAATGCGACCTTTCAGCCTTCTGAATACATGATAATCAGAAAGAGCAATGTCGGGACTGTAGGGCGGTATAGGCATTACAGTCCAGCTCAATTCACCAAGAACTTATGACGTCATCTTCGCACTGTGAGTTCGAGCGGCATCTTGTCAAAGTTTCACAGTGGAAATATCAATACCCAGAAAGTAGAGAGCAAGGTTGATTCGTTTCAATTGTTCATTGTAGACATCTGCCGTAATTATTTATCCAGGTTTCAGAAACCCGTAGTACACTATTCCCGTGGTAGACCACCATACGCAACGGAAGGTTTCGTTTACCATGAAGGTCAGGTTTCGGAGTAGATACAGCTTTTGAACCAATATCAATCTATTGTCTTTTGACCTTCTTTATATCGTACAGTATCCAGCTTTCATCCGAAGTAATAATTGGCTGAAAAAAAACTCGGGTTTTGGACAAGCGAAACAAAATATCACAAGTATTGACCCTTAGCGCCATGTTGGAATCACTGAGTTCGTGGAGCACCCGCCTGCCACTTTTGTTGAGCTTTCCTAGTTTGTGAAGATGATTGGCGATGGTTTGCGAGGTACGGGGAAGAATATGCGACAACTCCACTGTTGCTAAATTAGTATTTAACTCAATCAGTTGATGGCATCTGCCACTTCATGACCTCGTTTGTGGTGTTTGTCCACAAGGTCAAAGTTCACAGTATGAAACTTTGAAAACCACGTCTGCACATGTCTAACACTTATAACGTCTTCTCTAAAAACTTCTGCAAACGTACGATGGCATCCAATAGCACTTTTACCTTGTTTAAATACATAGTCGCATGCGATATCGCACCTCCAAACTGAGCTTAGTCAACTTTTACCCAGATTTTTCTAAGTAGACGAAGACAAACAGACAAGTATTATATGTCGTTCGATTTGCATTGATACAAGCTACAAAACAAAACAAATCTTGTCAAATAATATTAATTTTCACAAAAGTTATAGCTTGTAAAAGTCAGCGGAAGTTTATAGTTAGGATACCTAATAAATGATTGACTGAATTTTTTTGTTATTATGATCATTGTGAACTTATGGCTTTTTACTGATGTCTTACTATTTTAAAAAATAGTATTTTTTCTATTTAAAAATTTTGATTATGTCTAAAAACTTACATGAATATCTGGGCAGTCGTCTAGTATGTTGATTATTCTTGACACAACATAATCTTGGCATAGTACGATTTTACAGGATGATAAGCGGGCTTGGTGTGTTAATTCATCTAAAGGAGTATTGTAAAATACGCGGCTTTTGAAAGTTTTATAATTTTTTTAAAATTTTTCAAATGCTAAGTAAAAAATATATGCGACAATTTTAAATTTAGGACAAAAATACATATAATATATGAATTTATATTTCAATTTAAAAAAGCATGAAAATATATTACGGTTAAATAATTGGTAAACTTACATTCAGTATAAGCCACATTCGCACCACTAACAGCGCCACCAAGCGCAGCTGTAGCCAAATTCATACAAATATATTCCCAGCCATTTTCAACTGCTGCCATTATGCTATCGCCTTTGTGAAAGTTTTTAGAAACCAAAAATTTGGCTAGGATTTTAGTACGGTCAGTAATGTCTTGAGAGTATGTCTCTTCTTTCGTATAGTAGTCGATCAACAGTGGCTGATTTGGTCGTTCTTCTTGGTTTTTCTTCAAGTAGTCGAAAATCCATTCATGAACTGGCTTGGTTGGTAAGGGAGTAGGGCACAAGATGAGGTGAACACCATAGCTTTGATGTTATAGGCTTTGAGTAGTAGATTTCGAAGTTTAGTAGGAAGCAATGTCGAATGTAGTATTTGAAGGTCGATATAAAAGTTTTTTCTTTTAGTACGGGCACCTGGCTACTGGCGTTAATATTTTGCAGACTACAACCGCTTGTACCAGCCTTTTTTAGTTGTGTTTATATACCTAGATCGAAGTTTGTAGCCGCGATAGGTCAAAGAAAACCCTCTCAATATCATAGTCAATTTCACTGCCGACGAGTGATCGGCATAACCGGGAAAACCTTTTTGAGCGATAGATGCTTTTTGGTCAATTCCAAGTGCGGGAAAACCTAACAATGTCATCATTTAGTCAATTGATTAGTTGTATTTTATGGTTTTCTAAAGGTAATATAAATTTTTAAAAAATACTCGGAGAAGTTAAAATGTAAAAAACGGGCACGACAGAATTTTTAAATTCATGGTAAATATAATAGACATGATATAAGTTTTAAGATAAATCAAATTATGTATTGAATCATTGTGCGCTTTGTGATCTTCATTTTAATTTTTGTCTACAGTTAAAATGCTTCATCTTACAAGAAAACTACCCAACCTGCCCCACTCAGAATCAGCTAAAAAATTTTATATAAAATTGTTGTACATAGTACTCATAAAAAATTTTAGCTTGCGTTTTTGAGTTTTAAAATTTAAATATGTGAATTTTTCGCTAATTTGGCAAATTTGGCATTCTGTTTTAAGCACTTTTTTCGACTTTACAGTCAAGCTACGCTTACAAATTTAAAAATGTAGGTTTATTTGAAGTTATTCTACTAGTATATTAAAGAAAAATCCCTAAAAGTCAAAAAATGACAAAGTTATAAGCTTGAAACACAATGCCAATTTGGCGGGATTTCAACACGTAATTTTTTTATCTCGATATTTATTGAGATTTCCTGGATGGCGCGCTTTAGTACTTTGTTGAAGATCTCATTTTTACGTCATCTTTCTGTATAAAAAGTTTGAAGTCAACCAGAGCAGGACAGGGCGGGTACTTTTTTCGTAAGCGGCAATTTTCACAAATTTTGCTACTACTTTCAATCTTCTTTTCTCTACTAAAATACCCCAGTTTGTATACCGAAAAGTTGTGAAATGCTAAATAAACACGCCTTCAGGAGTTGCGCTAAACAAAGGATTATGCAAACAATCAAGTTCAACATAACTTTGTCAATAACTTGTTGTATATAAACGGCCAAGTCTCCAACAAATTCAATCATAAGTTCACAATGGCTTTCCAAAGAAACTTGGCTTTCTGCCTCTTCGCTATCCTCTTGATCGGCTTTGTTGTCGAAGAAACGACCGCTCAATACTACGGCGGATATGGTTACGGATACCCCGGATATGCTGGTTATGGCTACGGTTACTATGGCAAACGAGCTGCTGGATTTGGGCCTGAAGCTTTGAAAGATTCAAACTGATTTCTTGGAGACATGAATTTACATTCCTTGTTAATATTTTTGTCGATTTAATAAAAGATAATACAAAAATTTTGGTTTAGTAGGATATAAAGTTTTGTAATATGTTAATGATAAATGATTTCTTTTATCAAGTTTTGTAAAATACGGTTTTGGGTTGTTTGCCGTCAAACAGTTTTAAAAATATTTGAATTTTGGTAACATTTTTTAACGCTTAAAATCGATTTTTTCTAAAATGGGTTTTGAACTAAAAAATTCTTATTATCAGCATAAAAAAACAGTTTTTTGTTTAAAAACAGTAATGAAATAATATACGGAGGAACTCATGTATAACAAATAGCCCGAAGACTTAAGATTTGTTCTTTGTAAAGGAATTTTGGAATAGAGAAGTTTGTTATGCACTGTGTAGTGGTCGACGAGGATTTAAAAGTCTTTTTTATATTAAACTTTTTATAGAGAAATTTGTTATAAAAGAGTTTTTTTAATGTATTTGACTTTACAATTCAAAAAAAGTAATTTACAGAGATTTACTTTGACAAACGAATTTTATTTTTTGAAACTTTGATGGTTTTTCAAACGGTCGTAAGCTTATCTTCAACGTCTGTATTTTTACAAACTTTAAAATTGTTTCTTAAAGTAGCAAGCATCAACAAAGTCCGTGTTTTTCAGAAAGAAAAGCATTTTGTCATTAACATATATTAATACTTTATATTCTACTAAACCAACATTTTTGTAATATCTTTTATTAGATCGACAAAATATCAAAAAGGAATGTAAATTCATGAATCCAAGAAATCAGTTTGAATCTTTCAAAGCTTCAGGTCCAAATCCAGCAGCTCGTTTGCCGTAGTAACCGTAGCCATAACCGTATCCAGGGTATCCGTAGCCATAACCAGCATACCCGGGGTATCCATAACCATACCCGCCGTAGTATTGAGCGGTCGTTTCTTCGACTACAAAGCCGATCAAGAGGATGGCGAAGAGACAGAAAGCCAAGTTTCTTTGGAAAGCCATTGCAAACTTATGATATGCAATTCAGTAAAATGAACTGCTTATATAGTACATTTGACGGCGGTAGTGATTAGAGGCGTGGGTTATGTGAATTGTTTGCTTAGTCATATGTTTGATTTGAGCTCACAAACCTGAGGTTATGTTTGTTTGGTGTTTCAAAAAACGTTTGTATACGGAACAGGAATTTTGTTATTTATAATCTAGTAAACGGTAGTTAAAGTACATTTTAAAGCAGTCGGTATATTTGAAAGTCTCCGCAATTTACTGTATCTTGAAAAAAATATATAATCACATAGAAGTATGATCAAATGATAAGGACTAAAAGAAAAAGTTTAAAAAAAGTTTACAAGGAAAGTACCCTACCTGCCCCGCTCAGAGTCGGCTTAAAATTTTTATATGAGTTCTTTGTCCTGCTTTAAATTATTTGGGTTTTCCGCCAATTTGGCAAATTTGGCATTTTGTTTCAAGCACTTTTTTTTACTTTCAAGACAAGCTACGCTTACAAATTTAAAAATGTAGGTTCATTTAAAGGTATTTTACTAGTATATCAAAAAAAAATTTAAAAAAGTCAAAAAATGACAAAGTTACAATTCAAAATGTCATTTTTTAATCTCGATTTTCTTGAGATTTCCTGGAAAGCGCGATATAGTACTTTGCTGAAGATCTCATATTTACATGATCTTTCTTTATAAAAAGTTTGAATTCAATCAGAGCGGGGCAGGTCGGGTACTTTCCTTGTTAGCTACATATTAATTTTTATCGAATAAAATACTTTATTCACAATGAAAGTGCCCGACCTGCCCCTTTCTGATTGACTTCAAACTTGTTATATAGAAAGAACATGTAAACATAAAATCATCACCAAAGTATTAAATCGCGCTTTCGAGGAAATCTCGAGAAAACCGAGATTAAAAAATTACGTTTCGAATTTTCCGCCAAGTTGGCATTGTGTTTGAAGCTTGTAACTTTGCCATTTTTTGGCTTTTACGAATTTTTCTTTGATATGCTAGTAGATTACCTTTAAATAAATCTACATTTTTAAACTTGTAAGTGTAGCTTATCTGGAAAGTCGAAAAAAGTGCTTGAAACACAATGCCAAATTTGCCAAATTGGCGGGAAACTAAAATAATTCAAATTTAAAATTCAAAAGCGTGAGCTAATATTTTTATAGGTACTATTGGTAGTACAAGGAATTCATATAAAAATTTTGAGCTGATTCTGAGCGGGGCAGGTAGGGTACTTTCTTTGTCAGTACGGCCAAACAACTGCAGTGGCCCATGTGTATCACAAACCGCGTGGGCATTTTAATTTTGTTTATTATATTTGATTTTCTTATGGAATTTTAAATGCAATATGTAGTGTTGGATGGAATTTAAAATCATTTTTTTAACAGGATTTTTGCTGTAGAAGAGTTTGTTATACAGGGTTTCCACTGTAGTTAATTTTTGATTGCTGGTAAGAACTCAGGCATAGTATACTTCTTTAATATTATATGTGTTAACGTTGATCAAAAAGATAATTTTCATGTGAACAGACGGTATGACTTAATCATGATGAAAAGACTTTTCTAATGAAAGCCTACTATACGTCACTATGGCTTAGTTTGCTGTGGTTTGAGAAGGGCAGAAGAAGTTTTTGATCAATGATCTAACAATATTTGTGGCTTTAAATTGCTTTATTCTTTTTTTAGTACGTTTTGGGGTTTAAACCATGACTTTTAGTCTACGTTCTCAACCTTCTACAATTACAATTTTGGAAGATATAGATTAGATTAGTTGATGATTTGATGCCATAGATTTTAAATTACTATGCTGATGTGCAAGGGTCAAGGTCTGGATGAAGGCCAGCGGAGCTATCCGTGTATTGACGTTTTTCATAATTGGGCTTTAATTTTTTAGTCGTTAAAAAATTTTTTTTAAATTGTTTGTGGACATTACTTTACAGTATGGCAATATATTTTTAAATTTATTAATACACAAAAACATTTTTTTTGTTATCTTTTATTAGATCAGCAAAATATTAACAAGGAATGTAAATTTTTAAACCCAAGAAATCAGTTAGAATCTTTCAAAGCTTCAGGCCCAAATCCAGCAGCTCGTTTGCCATAGTAACCGTAGCCATAACTGTATCCGGGGTATCCGTAGCCATAACCAGCATATCCGGGGTATCCATAACCATACCCGCCGTAGTACTGCGCGGTCGTTTCTTCGACAACATAGCCGATCAAGAGGATAGCGAAGAGATAGAAAGCCAAGTTTCTTTGGAAAGCCATTGGGAATTTATGATATGACTTCTAGGATATTCAAAGGTTTATATACTAAAATTGGGGACGGTAGTGATTAGAGGCGTGGGTTATGGGAATTGTTTGCCAAGTTATTGTTTGATTTGAGCTCACAAACCTGAGGTTATGTTTGTTTGGTGTTTCAAAAAAGTGATTTTTGTAAACAGAACTGGATTTTAGAACTTGGTAATTTGTCAAGGCTTGTAATAAGTAAAGTTTTACTTGATTTTTTTAAACATAAGCATAAAAAACGAGAGAATTGTAATTATTCACAGAGTGATGTTTCAATCGAAAATTAAATTTTTAAAACTTTTATTGATAATCATAGTAACTTTCATAATCAATGTAAACAATAATATTTTTACTAAAAATATGTGAAGATAGTCACGTACGCATCTATAACGTTAGTTTGGAATAGTCACGTAGAAAACACAGCGTTCTTTACTGTATTGTTTTTAGCGCAGTTTACTAATTTGAACTTGCTTGTTTATGTAAAATTGAATTTGTCACGCATGGTAGTAGGTTTTGACTTTGGCACGTAGGCTTAGAGTGTGATACCACGTAGGCACAGTAGTTAGCATCTCGTATAACGAAACTCTTTCATAAAAACAAATTTAAAATTTTATAGCCATTCGTTATACAGGAGTTGTACCGTAAAATTTATTAATTTTTTTTTTAGTTAGGTTTGGTCGATCCGTTTTTTATCGACCTAACAAGTTATCTCGAGTGTGGCAAAGAACTAAAATCTTCTATGTTGCTTCAAGGTTTTTTGAGTATAAAGGATGTTTATGGTTGGGTCTCGCTAAGTTACGGTTTTTGTGTTAAGCCGTACCTTAGCGAGGCTAATAGAGTAGAGTAGGACAGATGTAACTAGTAGGATAAACTAGGATGTGTTTGGGAAGTGTGAAAAGATTTAACTAACTTCGTAGAGTAGTAGTTAGTTTTCTATTTTTTTGAATTTTTTCTTAACGATTTGGCGTTTTTCAAGAAATTTACATTTTTTCAATGTGTAGAAGGTATTCATTTTACAGGTTGTGGTTTAAAATTTGTACTTCTGAACTTGTCTACGATTTTTTACACTATTAGGGTGTGCCAAGAAAGTTTAATACCTATTTTTAACATTTAGTTTAAGTGAATAGTTTAATATGTGTTTTTAGCTTAAAAACTACTTTAATTCATTATAAGTTGTTGTAACCTAACCGCTATTAATAGCCGTCTTTTTGTTTGTTATTTACACTTTTTTTGTTTCAAATTGTTTTCGATCGTGTCTTCTTCCGATGAGCGCAATTGATATTTTTAGAAACCGAAAACGACTCCGAAGGTGGTAATCAACGTTGATGAGCGATTTTTGAAGAACAGTTTGATTTTTCAGGCGTTGATGAAACCAGACATCAAATGACCAAAAATAGACAAAACTTGTTAATGACTTGGTGAAAAGTATTACTTTTGACGACGGTGGAAAAAAGTATAACTTTTGAAGATGATCGAAGCAGGATGGGTTTTAAAAAGTGATAAAAAATGAAGTTGTCACTTGAAAATGATTAAAAAAAGACTGTTCTTTAAAGATGACGCTTTAGAGACAAAAAAATAAAATAAGAATTCTAAAAAAAGAAGTCATAAAAGCTAGTTGTGTTACAACGTACGAAAAAGAAGTCTGAAGTAGACCTAAATAGTCTGTAGTAATGATAGCACGTATTGCACCGTTTTTCTGTAGTCAATATAGTAAATGTGTAGACATTCGTATATGATGTGGCATGACCTGACATTACGAAATGTTGTAGGATGGTACGACCAAGAGACAAAACTAAAAAAAACTAATTATGTCTTTTAAGGTAAGTTACTGGTACGGTGACTCTTCTTATAGTCAGAATGCAGTAAAAATGCGCAGTATAAACAACAGAGGAATATACACACTTTTGTTACAATTAAAAATTGATAAAAGACGATATGATACCAGTCTGGTTCAGTAGAAACTGAATGCTAGACCTGTTCTAACTCTAGTTCAACCCTAGTTCTGCTCTAACTCTCTGGTAACTACCCTACCTACCCTAGATAAGAATAGCTTATAGAATGGAGCTTGCGGACTCCTGTGGCCATTACAAACAAATCATGAATCATTGCGTCAAAATTCACGGTTTAGAACATTCTACGTACATTGAACAAACCAATGTACCTAGAACTTTCTAAAGTACCTAACTCAAACAATTAAACAAAGACACTTTTTACAAAATTAGAAGCTATTTTGATTGTTCAAACAAGACCTGTTGTTAGCTCTTCCAAAGAACAATGTTAGCCTATCTAAAGCACACAGTCTAAAGCTCAATTAAATCTACTAAAGCTGTTAACAAACTACGTCAAATGACTCAAAAATTCCGGAAAAAAACTGAACTGTTCTGATCCCGCAATTGTTTGCTAGCCGAACAAACACTTTGCCTATTCTAGAACAGGGTTAAGCAAACAGTAGGGCACGGAAAACGTGAACGGAGCCGAGGATTACTATCAGGATGTTCGCATACTTTGCATTTGCTTCGAAGTATATAAACAGGTAGTCATGCCCAATTGACAATTGAAATCGGTATTCAATTCTAAAACTTCGAAATGGCTTTCCAAAGAAACTTGGCCTTCTGCCTCTTCGCTATCCTCTTGATCGGTTTTGTTGTTGAACAATCGACCGCTCAGTACTACTATCCAGGATATGCTGGCTACTACGGTGGTTACGGTTACGGATATGGCTACCCATCGTACGGTTATGGTTACGGTTACTACGGCAAAAGAGCAGCTGGCTTTGGACCTGAGGCAGTGCAGGACGCTTGATCTGATTCATAGTACTTTACATTCCAGTTGATCTTGTTGACTAAATAAAGTATTATGAACTCAATTTGAGATGGTTTTGAGGGACAGATTAGCTAGTGTTTATACTATAGTACTGTAGCGTATTGATGGATTTACCAGGGTTTTTTCTGAAGAGTTGAGCTTAACATCAATATTTTTTAAGTGAAAAAGTCAAAATTTGAAAAATAGTTTGTTATTGCTAAGGTTTGGTCGATTAACTCGAAATTCCAAGGTTTGTAACTTTTTTTCCGATGTTTGTATCATAACATCGCTCGATCATTCGATTTATGCTCTACGAACAAAACTTCGGATCCCGCTTTACACTGTTTCTCTCATTACAACATCGGTGTAAACTGTTTTTTGTTTTAGAAATAATTTTCGAATTCAATCAAAACACTTTGAAACTATTTTAAAATTAATTTTTGGTACTTTAGAGAGGAGTATTTGGCACTACCTGTACTGTAAGGCTATGGAGTCTTTACCTATATGTACTTGAGATCATTGTAGTGGATTGGGTGAATTAAAAAACAAGAAAAAAGTTGGTTGAGCTCACTGTAAAGCGAATAAATTACTTTTCTGTCCAATAAAAGTCGTTTTTTATAGTAATTACAGTAGCACATCAGTACGAATATAAAATGAAAAAGTGGTCTACTTACTACCTCTCACATGTCCTACGTACACACACAATATAAAAAATTGTTTTGACTGCTTTCAAGCTGAACAATATTAATTGCCATATCTTAAAGAAAGATGTAAAATATTAAAGTTCAGTAGGAAGTTTAACGATTTTGTGACGTTATTGAAAGAAGTAATTTCTCAAAATTGCGGGTGTAATACGTTCGAATGATACGACGCGTACATTCAAAACAAAGTTTCTAGGGTTTTCAGTTCATTTTACGATGGTTAATTAAATGTTTGTAAGCGAAAACGGCATTAGAAACTAATAAAAGAATTACAAAATTAAAAAATAATTTTTTAATTTAAAATTTTTGAAAAAATTATCAGATTTCAAGGTTTGAAAAATTAAAAAAAGTTATTTTAAATACTAAAAAAATTTTTAAATCAACTGCAAAATCACTTGTTTATTTTTTCAAACGACGCCAAAGAATAATGGTTTGGTTCCGAAAAAGAGCTAGTGTGTACGCCCATAGCCCGTTGAACGCACGCCATCCCGTCCGATCTGGCAAGTTAAGCAACGGTGCGCTTGATTAGTACTTGGATCGGAGACGTCCTTGGAATCTCAAGTGGCGTACGCATTTTGGCATTTTATAACAGTTGACGTTTTACAATACTAAAGTATTTTGAGTTCATTAGTTTTTACTTTATTTTAAATTTACTATTAGGTTAACAAAAGTCATGTCTAAATTTTTTGGAGCTATTTGTAATATTATGGACTTAAAACTAAAATATTAGTAATGTCATTATTATTTCCTTCTGATGACGCGCTAAGTCCCATCGACATATAAATCGCTTTGCGCTTTGTTTGTGAGACATCAGAGAACGTTTTCATCAGTTGAAAACGATGACATAAGATCTTGTTCAGCTTCATGAAATTCATAGTCTTGCCTATAGTTTATAGGCTGCTTATTGTGTTCTCAAGTACTTTGGTCAGTAAGATGAGTTGTAATTCTAGTGTTGGTTTGTTCATGAGTAAGCAAAGATCTAGACTTATTTGATTTTACTGAAACTTTTAGGTAATAACTTAAATTAAAAAATCAGTGCAATGCTTAAGACTTAAACGTCTTAAAAACCTCAAAATTTTAGTTTAATTGTTAATGATTAATAAATGAGTTTTTTTTATCAAATAAACTTTTAAAGTTTAACAATTTTGGAACAAAGCCAACGAGTTTTTACTTCAATTTGACAATGAAAATGTTAAATATAAGTTTAATGACATAAAGTGCATTTATTTCCATCAAATTTCGTTTTATAAGACCTGAAACGTTTAATATGACTTACTTATTTAAAAATTTTTGTAAAATACGGAGCGCGAGAACGCCGTAATTGGGTAATAATGATTTTTTTTTCAAAAATGACTTTTAGTTTTTTCGGAATTTTAGTCAGAGATCACTGGGTACTTTGATAGCGTGATGTATATTTTCAGCAATTTTGTAGATGTAAACCCATTTGTGTTTGTTTCATATGAGGAGATTTCGGCGTTCTTGAAGTGATCTTTGTTTTACCCACAGATCAGTTGTTCATAACACTGGTCATTACTATCCTGTAATGATGATTCATAGATCACTAGCAGTTTTTTTTTGTGTTACTGTGCTTTGAATTAGAGTTAGGGGCTTCTGGTATAAACAGCAGTACGTTGATTGCTTATTCACTATAATGATAGTGCAAAATAGGGTTGTTGTGTTTGAGTTACAGTGTAATTCTTTTTACAAAACTTCTGCAAAACAACGAAAACACTTTTGTTGCACTGTTTGTTGTAGTCAGATGACAACTTGACCTTATTTATGCGATCGGTTACTTGTAACCTTAATTTTTGCAACCATCCAAAGACTTTTTCGTCAACAATCGCAGCGATTGGTCGGTTGGGATTTCGAAATTGTGTTCAAATTGCAACGTCACTAACAGATTTTGTAAGCGAATAAAATTTGCAGCAAATTTCGAAAACCAACAATGCAAACCGAAAAAAAATCTTGCGTTGGCAATTTGAAGAAAGGTTATTACACTACAATATTAACCATATGAACATTTGTGCATTTGAGCGTTACAAAGTTAAGAATGCATGTTCAAGTGTACAAAAACCCACGAAATTTCAAAATATTTTAAATTTGTGACTCATCTATGAATGTCTTAAAAAACACAGTCGAAATTCCGAATACAGTAGAAATTATGCCAGGAGAAACTTACTCTGTACAAAAAAAAGCAGCTAAAGTAAAATGGGTACACAAGCCTTAATTATCCGACGTTACCGATGACGGATGGGTCGAAAATTCAACAAATTTTTCCAAAAACACATGACGCGCCCGCTAGCTGAACGTTGAAACATTATCAATCAACTCGGTTTAGCGGTTAAACTATACCTTAAATGAAAGACAATGAAGTTGAGTTTGCAAAATTGTCAAATTTAAATTTTTTAGTTAAAAATTCATTTTTTAATTTTTTAAAGATTGAAATATTTTTAAAAAACCGATTTTTTATTCTTAAAAGCCTACTTTTATTCATACAAAGCAAACCAAAGAATAATAGTTTAGTTCCGAGATAGATCAAGTGTGTACGCCCATAGCCCGTTGAACGCACGCCATCCCGTCCGATCTGGCAAGTTAAGCAACGGTGCGCTTGATTAGTACTTGGATCGGAGACGTCCTTGGAATCTCAGGTGGCGTACGCGTTTTTGCATTTTTTGATCATCAGAATTGCTCGTAGTAAACTGTATTTTGATTTTACTACATTCAAAGTGTTATTTTTGATAATTTTTTGCATTTTTGTTGTTGTGTTACGATATTTTTTGTTTCCTAATTTTGTTTGCACCAGGAGAGCTGTTATTCGCCATTATTTTTTAATCTTTTATAGCTCTGCTATACCAAACACACTGAAAACATTAAGTATACGTTAACTTATATTTCATATAATCCAAACGACAAAACTGATCAAAACAAGTTGATACATTAGTTTCTCATCAAGTGCATCGAAAAAAGTCACAATCCTACAGACGCCTCGATAAACCACAACACATGTGTGTAACGGGGTTTGATAGATGATAGCTGAACACAAATGTTTGTTACAACGCGCATTTTGTTACAACTTACTTTGTTTTTCCAGAACTAAACAAGGCGGAGCGGTTTTTGGGAATGAAACATCATCGTTTAGAAGCTTAGAAAGTATGATGAATTGGAGAAATTAGAGAAATATACAAAATTGGTAGCAATAGTGTAGTAGAATTAGAGAGAGAAAGAGAAACCATAATGACACGTCATGTAAAATAGAAGAAGGTTAACAAAGATGGATAAAGAAACAGAGATAACTAGGTAATTTGAATGGGCGGACGTGACATTTTGAGGGGCGTGCGTGACTTTTCGAGAATAGTCATCGTACGTACCCAACGTAGCATATAAACCCCCGAACAGCTTGCTACAATCATGGTCACTGCTTGTTTGGACTTTCAGGGTACAGTGGAGTCTCTTGTGAGTTGTTGGGCTTGTTAAGAGATACTCGTTCAGGTTATGACTTGTTTTGGAAAGCAATTTTGTTATATAGGTCCATGGAGTCATACTAGTTTAACATTTTTCTTTGTATAGGCTTCATAATAAACATGGTGACTTACTTATAATGTAAGTCCGAAAGGCTGTTACTTTATGTCACTCAGATCTCTGACTTACGTTTTCAAATTCGCGAACATTCGCTTAGGTTTCAGTGATATGTGATTAATCAGTTTAACTATTCGAAGATCACTAGAGTTTTTTCGTACGACAACTTCCTTCGGAACGTTCGAGAGGGAACGCCGCAGGGGTTTTTTTTAAAGATTTTGGGATTTCAAGGTTACTGTAACTGATTGAACGTTAAACGATCATTTCCATCATCGGTCATTGTTATTTCCGTGCTATATCACGTGCCATTACCACTGTTGCGCTATTGCCTTTTGACGTATGTTAACATTGCCAAATTTCAGCTTTTAAAAGACTTTTCAATTCTTCCATATCACATTTAAAATGGCCGTTCAGCAAATTCAAAGGTTGTTCTTCATCGTCGCCGTGTTGATTATCAGCCTGGTCAATGTATCAGCTCAAGGAATTCTTGGTGCTGACCCAACCGCCAGCGGTACCGTACTATTGGCTCATGGAGGTGAATTGCCACCAATGAGCGTATACAACAGCCAACCAGCTGCTCCATACTACAACTACGGATTCTTCGGTTAAATACCGAGCTTTAAGAATCTCACACTTGCAAGTTTTACTGATTGCAACTTGCTACGTCACCAAAATCTCTCATATACATATACCTATCAACTTTAACTGTAACGCTACGCGCTTTGATGGCTACGTTGTGTACAGAAATTCTTTTTTATAACCAAGACTGAATCTCATTGTTCTTTATAATTCTAATATTGATGTGACTGTACAAAGCTTGTTATGAATTTTATTTGTTAATAAACATACATATTATAGTTTTATTGGGAGTATTTATACAAAAATATTTTTTAAATAGTCATGTTTTACAAATGGTTATCTTTACCATGAGTTTTCTGTATGAAAGCTTTTGTATAAAGGTGTAAAATGAATCATAAATATCTTGACAAGGGTAATTGCGCTAAAGACGGTTTTGCCATCTTCAATATAGTAAGCATAAAATAAATTCTGTTGGACCATTTTTTACAAAGAACGTTTAATTTTTCATCTCATTTCATTTCATTTATTCCTCTTTTCAAAGTTACAACTGTTGACAAAAGATAAAAGTAATCAGAGAGTATAAAATCAAATCATGTCTCCATCTCTGTCTCCGAGATATTGATCTCGCCAGTTGCCAATGGAGGTAACCAAGGCAGTGTTCCATCCAATTCCGTCTGCACCTATTCAGCCAGTCTCTTCCACACAGCTCCACGAACTCGTCCTCCCATCTCATTCTAGGTCGTCCAACTCTTCTTTTTCCTTCAGGAATCCAGTTTAGCACCTTCCAGTCCAGCCGTTCATTACCTGCTCTTGCAATTTTTGCCGCCATCTTCCATTTTATTGTGATTGCCACTTCAACCACATCCTTCAGTTTAGTCCGAGCCCTGATTTGTCTGCTTCTCACTTCATCCCGTAGTGTCAGTCCCAACATCGCTCGCTCCATTCTTCTTTGACACCGTTCGAGCTTCCATTTCATGCTTAGAAATACAATAACTTAAAAAATATTTAAAATAAAGTAAATTTTTAATTGCAATGAAAGTACATTCTGTTTTATACAGACTTCTAAAGGGGCTAGGCTTGGCTGAACTTTTTTTTACTTTTCCTTCCGGCCCTGAAAAATTGTATTGTAATGCTTCTGTGCCTCAACTAACTAATAAGTTAAAAATTTTAATTTTTAATCACAATTCAAAGATTATTTATAAGAATTACAGTGGAACTACTGCATAACGAATCACTCGGCGACGTGAAATTTGTTCGTTATAAAGGAGTTTCGTTATACAGGAGTTTAAAATGCACTGTGTAGTGTTATAGACGGGAATTCAAAAGTTGCTCGTTATAAAGGAATTCCATTGTATTTTTAAAAGCATATTCGTTTTGCTTTTCTCACAAGTCAAATCTTTCGTTGCGGGACCCAACTGGAGCCCCTAGTGCCTTTATTCAGGCCCGGCTCTTGAGAACGGACGATCCAGCCCTAATCGGCTTCTTTCAAATTGGTTTGACTCCTAGTAAGACACCTCTTGGGTTTATTTGATTTAAGTTTCATGACGTTGACCATGACCCAAATAATGATCAGTTCAAGTGTCCGTCAACTACTTTCGTTACTTTTTGTTTTTCCACAAAACTACCGTAACTGAGGGTAAGTGAAAACACTTTTTTCAGTGAATCTCCGCCCTCTTTCATTGAGGAATGTGATCACTTGATTCAATGATCAACAACAACATTGATCAATTCACGGGTATAAATAAGCGAGCTGCGGTTGAAAATGACAACATATAGCTAGCGAGCTTTTTTGTGGCGGTTTATATTTTAAGAGCTACGGAGACTACAAAGGCTACTGTGTTTTAAAATTACAGAAGTTACTGCCATTTTAAGAGGCTAGAACTTCGGTACTTTGGCCACTATTTCTACGGTACATTGGCTACATTCGCATCGTACTTTTTCTAATATACGATCTGAGTTTACTACAAGTACTTTTCAAGTGCACCATACAACATCAAATTCTACAGTATGCAGCTTCTACGAGTAGTAATCATCGTTTGCACCATCGTACAATACGTAGCAGCTCAAGGGATCCTTGGAGCTGATGGTACGGCAAGTGGTACAGTTTTAATGGCTCATGGTGGCGAACTACCACCAATGGGGTCTTTTTACAACAGCTACAACAGTCGACCATCTCCATACTACTCGTACGGATTCTTCGGTTAAACTACTACGATTACTTATGACTTTAAAGTTACGATTGGTATGTGTATGGTACTGTTAGTTCTATGAGTGCATATTGGCTTTATTTGTATAATGATTAGAATATGGGACTACTGGTACTGTTAAGCATACTAAAATCATCTTGAATCTCAATTTTCTTGCAATATAATGCAGTTGTTTGTACATATTTGACTTATAAACTTATAATACTACTTTTGTTTAATTTCTTGTTTAAAGGACCAGTTTGGATAAGTCTTTTGTCAGGCTTTTCTGCAACAGATCAGGCAATCAGGGAAGCGCGAACTTTTTTGGCGCAAAACGTGAGCGAGTCGATTTGGAATAAAGGAAATCATTTATCCAGTGTACCCGCTCACGTTTGGCGCAAAAAAAGTTCAACAGCCAAAACGAAAAAATCTTTGCGACAAAAGAAGTTATCCGGACTGGTCCTTTAACTATTGATATCTTTAAAATGGGCATTGAGTTTACAGCTGAACTTAACAGTGATACCGCTGCTTCATTATGTTAGCAAGTTTAAAAACTTGAAATGAATCGTTTTGTTTTGGGCAAAGTTATAGCCAAATGAATATTAGCTACTATATAAAGTGTTAAATAAACTTAGAAGACGTATATCTCGAAAATTGCTATCGGATTTTGTTAAAATTTAGGGTACTAAAAGGGTGTAATAAGGGTTTACTTACTGTAAAACGGCTAAAAATGTAATTGTTTGAAAAAAAAGTTATGGCGATATTACACTAGATATAGGTAATCACCTACTACTATAATTTTATAAGCTGATGGCAGAAAATGGATTGACGGTTTCTTTTTGTAATTGTATCTCTGTAGTTAGTACAGTTCACAAACTTTGTAATTTTACAAAAAAAGCTACAAAAAATACAGCTTTGAGTCTATAAATGATTAGCTTTGCCGTTTCAGTGAAAAACATTGTTATAATACAAGTACGTGGACATAACAAGTTAAAATTCGGTATGTTGAAAGCTAATAAGCTTATAGATTTGCTTGGACTAAGCTTATATCATTTCAAGTCTCCATAAGCTCTTTATGTCTTATTAAACCTTTAGGTATTGGTTGATCTAAAAAACATTGCTATCCTTCTAGGTTTTTCTTATAATATAGCATATAGAGTTGTCCTTCAGTCTTCAAAAGCGTAGTAAAAAGCCCTTACGATCATATGTCATCTTTTCTAACCACTGACCCTTCACTGTCCTCTCTCCTTTTCGCACACTCTCTGTCTAACCCACGTGTTTCTTGCCCTTTGCCCACTTCACTCGCCAACTAACAGCCCACATGTCGCGCTAAACAATGCATGAACGGCTACTTTTGTCGCTATACATACGGTAAAAACTTCTTTTTACGGTTCGAACGCATTTCTTATATTATATAAATATATTATAATTGGCATCCCAGCGGCTTTTTTATATTATACATGACATTTTCCGAACAGAATGCCCATTTCGCCTTTGTTTACCACTTGAAACGACTTCTATTCCACAACTTTATAGGCTTTCCAATCCAATGTATTTACGCATTTGCGACACTTATAAAGACGTTTTCAGTACAAGAAAAGCGAAAAACTTGGCCAAATCCTTCAGTTTTATCTCCGTTCATGGTGAATATAATTTTTGAAGAGGTGCTCAATATAAAGCCGATTTTTCATGAATAATCGAAGAAATTAAGATAGTTTCAAAAAGAAGATTGAGATACAGATCTGTGTGTTCCTTTTTATGTCAACTTAAGTTGCTATCGATTTACGGACTTCCGCAGCTCCGACTTTTCGCGATATTAACCATGACACATTGTGATGGATGTTTCGCTAGATCGTTGGGGTTTTTTGAATAAATCTAAAGGAAATTTATATTTTTCTGGTGTAAATGATGAAATATATCATGAAAAACTTTCGTAATGCGTATTTTACAAAACTGACTGCTTTTTAAATTTAAAAAAAATTTGAATTTCCAAAAAATCTGTCATTTGAGTAGCGTTAAAAGACATTTTTTGTAGTTGATCTATTTTTATAAGTTATAAGTCGGCTTTTACATTATTTTTTCAATTTTAAATTTTGATTATTTTTTGTAAACTTTAAAGTCACGATGACACATTTTCTGGACAGTATTTGAACTTTTATAAAATCAGTCGTCTTTTTGGGGTTTTAAAACCTTATCATTATCTTTTATATTTTTAAAAATATAGCTTAAATTACCTTTTATTTTTTAAATATTTTTAATTTTGCGTATCTGTCAATTTTAAAATGTCACAATGACACATTTTCGAAACAAATTATTTTGTTAATTTATATCATTTACAGGGCTGAATAGCGGTCGTCAAACTTGTAAATTTTTGTATAGAATGTCGTATGGTAACAAAGGTCCCATATCTCCAAGCGAATGCTCGGACATGATTCGCCGCGCGGTGGAGATCGGGATGATGGGTAACAAACTTTCCAGCGGGTTTCCTCGAGAGTGGCTCAACAGAGTAAGTTGATTTTGGTTTTAAAACATGCACAAGACTTTAATCTATTATAATATTATAGCTTTTTAACTTTTTATAATATTTACTTTGAGAAAAATCAAATTATATTGACTTAGCATATCTAATCTAACCTTGTTTTAGATCTGTGCTCATGTAGCGGTCTTGTTAATGAAAGAGGGAAATGTTGTGAACTTGAAAGTGTCGAGCAGGCCCCGATATGTGTATACTGACTTGCACGGTGATCTACGGCAGTTTTTGTTGTGGATCAACGACATTTTGGACGGAGAGGCTGATCTACTGTTTTTGGGTAAGAATTTTGATTTTTCTTTGTAATTTTAGGTATAAAATCATGTTCATTGGTTGGAAAAAGGTAGTTAAAAGATAGCCTCATGTTTTCTGAAGGTTTTTGTTTAAAAATTTTGGGGTAGAACCTTTGAAATTCAAGTTTATTCCATTTTTTAAGCCATTGATCAAGTGTAATATACCTTTTACTCAATTTGACATAAATGCTTTCTGCTATTTTGTGAAATCTTATAACTTTACTTCAGGAGACTACGTAGACCGTGGAGAAAACGCTATTGAAATCTTGGTGATCTTGTTCTTGTTGAAAATTGCCTTTCCCGACCATATTCACCTTCTTCGAGGAAATCACGAAACACCGGATCTTGGAAATCAATTTGGACAAGATGTAAGTTTCTATCTTTATATTAAGTATGCTTTTAGTGTCATATTCAATTTGGCAAGGACTTTGATGGACTTTTCAACTGCGTTTTCGATCGAATGCCGTTGGTGGCTTTGTTGGATGGTGAAGGTTGTTTTAAAGGAGGTAAGCAGATGAGTTTTAGGCTTATTCTTGGAAGATTTAGGTTTTGTTAGAAAGCTAATAGACTGGGAAATATTTTTGTGCACGAGTTTGGGTGTTTTAGATTTGGTTTTTGGTTAGAAATTAAAATTATATTATTATAGGTCATAAAAGTATGTGTTTAAGACAAAACTTAATGGAAATAGACTTTATCTAGAAAATTGGTTACTTTGTTCAGTATTGTGAAAAAGCCGATTTTCTTGTGAACATTTTGCCATATAACATGTTATATAAAGATTGTCATTTTGTGTCAAAAATTTAAATCATCTTACACAATGTATAACGAAAAATATTGTTTTAGAGAAGATCTACTGTGCTCATGCCGGAATCTCGCCGTGGTTTGAAGTTTGTCCAGAAAAACTTCAAACCTTGTCGAAGTATCCTGATAAGAACAGTTTAATTGAGCAGTTGATGGTATCGGATATAATTTGGTCGGATCCAAATCTGAATGATCCTGGAGAGAAGGATGGAGGGTAAGGGAATTTTTTATGGCTTCGGGGTTTTAGAAGCTCATTTGTTTTAAAACTGGGGTTTTTGTGGTAAAAGTAGAAGAAGTTTTAGATTTTGAAATTTTGAATTTTTTAAAAATACCGTATTTTTAGCTTCGATGTCAACTATGGCGTCTCTGCTCGAGGAGTTGGCCTCGCATTCAAAGCTGAAGGCGCAAAACGCGCCCTAGCCGCCCTCGGCTGCAATCGAATGATCCGCGGCCACACCCAGCCACCAGGCCAAGGCTACAGAGACTGTTTCCAGGAAAGGCACCTCTGCCTCAACATCCACTCCTCGTCGTTGGGCCGAAAAGGCCTCTTCAACAAACCTGCCACCTCCTCAATGGCCAGAGTCGCGGTTTCGACGGAGAACGGCCGGACTAGCCTTAAAATCACGATAAAAACTTCAATTCATCAGCCAGAGGAACATGAACAAGCTACTGCCATTTTGTGGAATGGGTTGATGGTATTTTATGAAAATTTGAAGGAAAAGATACCTGAATTGCCCGGGAAGATTGATCCAATCGCTTTCTATTTGGTACCAATGGAAACTGCCAGACGCAATTATATTGACATGGACAGGACCATTTCACATCGACAGTTGGTCCGAATGTTTGAGGTGGGTTTGGTTTGGGGAGGGGCGATTTTTCAAAGGTAGGATGATTTTTTCGTCTGGGAGGGGTGATTTTTAGGCACGTTTTACGTTTTAAAAGCAAAAATGTTAAAGGTTTAGGTAACAAAATGGAACTTTTGTCAATTTTAGGTAATAACATAGGATTTGTGGCTTGTTTTAGGTAATAAAATTGAAGTTTTGGCAATTTAGGTAACAAAAGTGAACTTATGAATTAAATTGAACTTTGTCAATATTAGTCAATAAACAGGGCTTCTACCTTGTTTTAGATAATAGTGACATTTCTAATTGTAGGATGCTCCAAAATCGAAGAGAATTTCGTTATCAAAAGAGAACCAAGCCATGAGGGCGGTTTGGATCATGAGAGGCCTTCTCAATATCTACCAGAACCTGCCCAAAATCGACCTCAGCTTCGTCAACGGATCGCCGGAAGACTTTGATTACTACGTCAGACTCTTGAGACTACTCCAAGTTGACTACAACATTTCGGTGGATAACGTGATGGTTATTAGGTAGGATTTGGCGGGTTTAGAGGTAAAGTGGGAAAATGTTTTAGGTAACAAAATAGAGTTTCAGGTAATAAAATTTGAAGTTTTATGGTTTTAAATAGGGCTTTTGTTTTATTTTAGGTAACAAAATCGAATTTTTAATCCATTTTGTTTTATAAAATGTCATTTTTTGGTAGATTTTGAAGAAGAAAGCTTATTTTTTGTAAATTTTAGGTAACAAAATTGAATTTTTTTAATATGATTTTGGCTATAAAATGGTTTTTTTAACTAATTTCAGATATTAAAGTTACTTTTTTTGTTATTTATATGGGGTAAAATAGCATTTTTCTTTGATTTTATGTAATAAAATTGAAATTTTAGTCGATTTAAGAGACGTAAATAGCATTTTTGGTCGATTTTGGGTAGTAAAATACATTTTTAGCCGATTGTAGAGAAGAAAATTTATTTTTTTGTAAATTTTAGGTGATATTTTTAACAATTTTTGTTTGCAGAGACCTGACCGTGAAGAACAACGCCCTCCGTGAAAGCCCAGAAGCCCTGAGGAAGTTTTTGGAAGAAACTAGTCTAAAGAAGAAGTCTAGTCGTCGCAAACGCAGCTGGTCTACTATCTCGTCTTGAATGCCTTACTGTGATACTAACTAATTTTTTTAACTAACACTTGGAACCTTGTATAAATACGGGTCGATTCTTGTACTGTCGTGCTGTATACTCTAGTAATAAATTTTTTTTTGAATTTCGAGGTTTTTTGGTGAGAAATTTGCGTTTTTTAAATTTTGACAACATAGAACCTTAAAAATATTGTTAAAAAAATTTTCATGGTAAAGCCTTAACCTTTTTACCATTAAAATATGTAAAATCTTATTTTCTACCAAGCCTAAAAATTTTATAAAATTTTATCAACCCATCCGCGAGTTATAACGATATACCTACCATAAATTTTGTCATTATTTGTTCATATTGCACCCAAAACATAAATTTTATATTTTTGTAATTTTATAATAAATTTGCTACTTATTTACATTTCATTATACGTAGAATATAATTTTCTACCATTCCTGAAAATTTCATAAAATTCTATCGGCCCAAACTTGAGTTATAACGACTTACCTATCCCACCGTATGGACTCCCTGCCGTCTCTCCGTTCCCTTTCTCTCTCGCGCATTTGTTTCCTCTTTTTTCGCACTATCTCTAACCCCTCTCTTGTTTTCGCGCGCTCTCTTTTTCGCCGCCCCCCTTTGATCGAGCCGCTCTCTAACCGCACTCCACTTTTTACGCGCTCTCTCTTTCTTTTTCCGATTTTTTGTCTGATCAAATCATTGTCTAATTAAAAATTTATGTTTCTCAAATAGTTGTACTATCTGATTTTTGTCTGATCGAGAGTTCTCTGTCACTCTCTTCATTTCATATCATGAGTTCCCCAAAAATTTCCTTTTTCGGTTTCCGCCCTCTTTTCGCATTCACTTTTCTTTCTCTGACTCGGTTGTCTCTCACTTTTATAAAGTCTTTTTTCCAAACCTCGTGAAAAAGGCCAAAAATGGCTCAATACTTAATGAACAAATTCCTCTAAAAATCGCTGAAAAACGAGAAAATTTTGTCGAAAAAACGTCAAAATTTCGCGGTTTTTGGTTCCAAAAGTACCATTAATGGCCGGTTTCAAGCTTGGTTCATATGCCATAGTAAAGCTTGGTATCTTGCGCATTTTTTAAGCTATTCAAATTGTTATAGATACCACAGTAACACAGAGATACGACGCTTCAAAGACACAACAGTCAGGCAGTCACGACTTTACCTGTACTTTTCGACCAGTCGATAATGATGAAAATGTGAAATATGATCATATTATCGTATTTCATGGTATTCTTCAGAGAGCACTTTCAGGAATTTTTAAAATTTTGAGTTTAACATGGTAAAATACGACACTAAAGTTTATATGTACATCTTTGACTGTACATATTTCAACGTATCATAAAATAGTTCACAGTAGCGTCTCCTCATGACGAAACATACTGTAATGTAGAGAATAAACAACGGTATCATATTATACGAATTATATTTCTTACCTTTTCAAGATACGATACATATGACATGGTAAAGTTGTACTGAACTTCAAGGTTTTTTTTTGAGAAAAGCGAAGACTATGTCTATTTCAAAGTACTATAATGTACTTTACAGTAACTGCTCCTCATAGCGGAACATATCATAATGTAGACAATGACGCACGGTATCACTATATATAAAAGTTTTGCTTACCTTATTACTGTAAAGTAAGTTATTACTGTTTAAATGTGGCATGATCTTCGTTTTTCTCTTGAGAAACTGGATATATGGTATATGTTTAAAGTGTCGTAGCTGTCGTATCACATAACAGTCAATAACAAACTTTTTATATTATGATACTGCAATTTATCTTCTACATTATACTACGTTTCGCTATGAGGAGACGTTACTGTGAAGTAAGTTATAGCACTTTAAAATAAACATAGTCTTCGCTTTTCCCGAAAAAACTTTTGAAACACAGTACATTTTTACCATGTCATAACTATCGTATCTTGAAAAGGTAAAAAATATTCTTTCTATATTATGATACTGTAGTTTATTCTCTACATAATGGTATGTTTTGCTATGAGGAGACGCTACTGTGAACTAAGTTATGACACTTTCAAATATGCACGGTCAAAGATGTACATGTAAACTTTACTATAGTATTTTACCATGTTAAACCCAAAATTTTAAAAATTCCTGGAAGTGCTCTCTGGAGAATACCATGACATACGATAATATGATCGTATTTTACATTTTCATCATCATCGACCGGTCGAAAAGTACCTGTAAAGTCGTGACCGCCTGACTGTTGTGTTTTTGAAGCGTCGTATCTCCATGTTACCGTGGTATATAAAACAATTTGAATAGCTTAAAAAATGCGCAAGATACCAAGCTTTACTATGGTATATGAACCAAGATTGAATTCGGCCATTAACGGTGCTTATGGAGCCAAAAACTGCAAAAATTTGACCATTTTTCGACAAATTTCAACCGTTTTTCAGCGATTTTTTGACGATTTTGTTCATTAAGTATTGAGCCATTTTTGGCCTTTTTCACGCGGTTCGGAAAAAAGACTTTATAAAAGTGAGAGACGGTCGAGTCAGAGAAAGAAAAGTGAATGTAAAAAGCGGGTGGAACCCGAAAAAGGAAATTTTGGAGGAACCCATCGTGTAAAATGAAGAGAGTGGCAGAGAAATCTCGATCAGACAAAAATTAGATAGTACAACTATTTGAGAGACATAAATTTTTAATTAGACAATGATTTGATCAGACAAAAAATCGGAAAGAGAAAGAGAGAGCGCGTAAAAAGTGGAGAGCGGTTAGAGAGCGGCTCGATCAAAGGGATCGGCGAAAGAGAGAGCGCGCGAAAATAAGAGAGAGGTTAGAGAGAGTGGTAAAGAAGGGAAAAGGAGCGCGCGAGAGAGAAAGGGAACAGAGAGACGGCAGGGGGTCCATACGGCGGGGTAAATAAGTCGTTATAACTCGAGGTTGGGTCGATAGAATCTTACGAAATTTTCAGAAATGGTAGAAAATTATATTTCACATATAATGAAATGTAAATAATTAGCAAATTCATTATAAAGTTACAAAAATATAAAATTTAAAGTGTGGAGTGTAATATCAAAAAATAATGACAAAATTTACTTTGATAATTAATTTACAGTATGTTTTTTACATTTTATAACATTTTTTATTGATGTTTCTCAATGTTAATAAATTTTTAATGATTTTTTGTCCAAGGTGAATGAAGTTATGTTGTCCAAGTCATCACAAGTTGTTCAAGTTCATCCAATATTGTGATTGATATTCGTAGTTTGGCAAAAAATTTCTATAGCTTTTCATAATGTAATGTAAGTTTTTAAATCTGTATGTAGTGTCTTTATATTGTCTGCTTTTGTGTTTTGTTGCCTTCCTTTTTCGTTTTCAATAACATTATTTTAATTTTAAAAAATTTTCAATGCTAAAATTCAAGCTTTATTCTCATTTTCGTATCAATACTAGTCAATATTATCACCATACAGTTTCGTATAAGGACGTGAACAGCAAAAAACTGTTAGAAAAAGTCGTTTTTGATAATTTTTATATGTAAAAAAAGTTTTTTCGACTAATGCTTTATATGTAAAATGACGTTTTTCGACTAATATTAATATCTAAATTCAATTTTATATCAATTTCTATCTAAAAAAGGCAATTTTACATAAACTTTCTAATAAAAAAAGATGTTTCGTACTAACTACAACATCTCTAGTTGCTTATATGTAGTTGATATCGTTAGAAAATGAAGGGGAAATCGATGAACAATTAAGTTTACTATTATACTTTGGCACTTTTTTACTACATTTTACATGTTTTGTTACCTAAATTCTTGAAAACAACTTGTTTTTGGCCTAATAGTAGCTTCTTAACCTAGTTACTACATCTTAGCCTAATAGTTACGTTTTCTTGGCCTAGCTAATTTTTCTTGGCTTAGTGAATACTTCTTGGCCTAGCTACTTCTCCTTAGCCTATTACTTACCTCTTGGCCTACTAGTTACTACTTCTTGGCCTAATAGTTACGTTTTCTTGGCCTAGCTAATTTTTCTTGGCGGAGTTAATCCTTCTCAATCTAGCCAATTTTTCTTTGCCTAGTTAATTCTTATTGGCCCAGTTACTTTACCTTATCATCTACTTCATTACTGCCCTATAGCTGCCTAAAACAATGTCCAAAAATGAAAAAAGAGGAGTTCAAGAAGATATTGTCAAAATCTTTGAAAACTTTTTCAATTTGACTGAAGTTGACGGTCATTTTACGTATGTTCTTGCCATTAAACTGTAAAATATGACATTTTTAATGTACTAATAAGCAAAAAAAATTAAGTTTTTTCTATTACGTTGTTCATTAAATTCTGAGCCTTCTCAAAGAAAGTTTTCAGGGGGCACAGAATTATTTGAAGAACAAATTTACAACTTTAAAACTTTCAGAGCCACTCCACCCCACCACGGTGGAGCCTTCAACCCGATCCGCTTGTTCGGCGGCCAAGCCATTGGTCAAGCCTATTTGGCCGCCACTAAAATACGACCCGACTTCTTGCCATTACGAATGGATTTCACTTTTTTGAGGCCTGGTACAACCAAAGATGACATTGATTATATGGCTACTAGTTCCGGCGTTGGGTCGCACTATTTAGCATTGGAAAGTCGGCAGGGAGAGAAGGTGCTGAACACCGCCAAATTTAGGGTTAGTTTTTTGGGGGGTTTAAATTTACCCTGCAAGAACCGAATAACCCATATTAGCCCTTTACTCCCCACCACAGTAAAACCCTTCATATTATCCTAATCTTTCAGCTAGCCCGCCTCAAATACTTTGAAAAAGAAGCCCTTCAACCGGTCGATTTCATCGACACATCCAACCTACCCTGCCCATACCAAACCAAACCTAGTAGCCCCTTCATAGCTACCACAGTCATCGACAAATGGCTAAAACGGCATGGATTCGAAACTAGATTCGCTAATTTCAATCGAAATCGACCGACCTTGTTCGAAGGTCGATTAATTCGATTTTACGACTTTGAAAACGACCAAAAACAGTCCAGTCTAATGTGGATGAGGTTGTCTAAGATCGTTAAAGGTCAGTGTAAACAAAGTTTTTGCAAAATATAGCTTTTTTGACCAAAATTTTGAAACTAAAAATTTCAAAAAAAATTTTTTTAATTTCAAAATATCGAAATTATTTTTCAAATTCCAAACCAAAAAATCCTTTCAGACTCCCCAATACCAATAAATGTGATCATCCCCCTGGTATTCTCCGACTTTATCCTTGCTTTACCCTCCAATGTTATACTAGACCAAGAGCCCAGCCAAAAGTCGCCCGTCATGTCTTCACTCGAACATCAGGTCGTATTTCATTCCAATGACTTTGATGTAAGCTCGTATGGCTTTTGTATCCGTATTTTACAATTAAAACCCAAAAAATTTCAAAAATTCATTTAAAAAAATTTCAAATTTCAAAATTTTAAAATTTCAAAAACCCTCCAAATCACTTTTACAACCTTTGTAAACAAAGTTCTTTCCATCTTATACCCCAAAACCCTTTTAAACCCACATTCACCTCGATATTGCTTTAGGCGAAAGACTTCTTCCTAGTCGAACAACAAATCGAGTGTTCGACGGAAATGGTCAAAATTAATGGAAAAATCGCGACACGCCACGGCCGACCCGTAATGAGTTTTACACAACAAGCCTTCTTCCAGGAACTCATACCCAATCAATTTGTTGAACCTTCACCTAAGCTATGATAATATAAAACAGGGAAATTGATGAAATAAAATGAAAAAGACTGAAATGTGACAAACTTTTTAATGCAAAAAACACTATTTTAATTAATTGTCATTTTAAAACCATCTTTACTTACCTTTATCAAGCCATTTATCTAAAAGCCCGAAAAATATCGACCGCTTCTAAAATTCCCGCAAATCGGAATGCCCGGGCGCAACCGTACGCGGTTCCTTTTTTGGAGCTGAACGCGCCCAGGTAAACGGCTCCCTCTTTGATAAAAACCTAATTTCCTCGATGAAATCGCAATGTTTTAGGTATGAAAAAGAGTTCAAAATGTTCGTAAAACCCTACAGAATGTGTATTTATACCTCATTTCCCCATTCGATGTTGTTTTAATTAAAATTTACCTATTTTCTTCATTAAAAGTTTCCAAAAGACAAATTTTAATGATTCTGGTTTCGTTCTCAAAAGTTTCATAAAAGTGTTCTCTATCAGTTTACTAAACTCATTTAACTAATTCCAAGCTGACCCATCTACTACAACATCGAAAAGCGACGTATTACCTAAAAACCAAGAAAAGAAATTGAAGGTTTACCATGAAAGAAGGTGACAACGTGCCCAGGACAGAAGAAAACAGCATCAAAAGAGTGTACAAGAACATCCAGAGCTTGGTTCCAATCGACGACTTTTACAGGTAAGACACTTATATAAAAAGACCTTGTTTTAGGTGACTCTGACCTAAATTATACATAAATTTGATGATTTTTTAGAATTAAAATAACATTTAAAGACTTTAAAACCTAAGTAAAGCCGTAATATAGATAAAAACGAGTTGATTTTACTAAAAGCAAGTTAATAGTACGACAAAATACGAAAAAGAAACAAAATTACGAAATAAAACAGAATGCCAAGAAATTGCAAACTTTCATTAGCAACTCAAATTTTTCGTGGTGGGACTTAACTCATAACTGATGTTAGATTATGAGTAAATTAGTAAAAACAGGTAATGAAAAAGGTGTTAAAATTATCTCAAGTTTATTTTTAGACCAGTAATTTTATTATAATCAACTTTTTTCATTAAAAACTTAAAATAAGGCCCACGTGTGATTACATCTACTGTGACATTAAAAATGTTAAAAAATGTATTTAAAGAGAATAAAAGAGTAAAGTAAAATACGTCTTTTTCCTCTCCCTCATTTTAGAAGCACAGCAAAACACTACGGTGGAGCATTTGACGACAAACGTCTGTTCGGCGGCCAAGCCGTAGCCCAAATGTATTTGGCAGCCAGGAAATTAAAGCCCAATTTCACCGTAAGCCGAATAGATGTAAAATTCCTTCGACCAGGCTCAACAGTAGACCCTATTGATTATCGACCGGTCGATTTTGCCGACGATACAGCTCATTTAACCTTGGTGGCAAAGCAAAACGGAAAAGTTCTTAATAAAAGCCATGTTAGGGTAAGATGAAAAGTGCTGTAACTTTGTGAATCTTGATTATTATACTGTATAATTTGGGTTGGTTATAAGAAACGTAATGAGGTTTATGATAGTATATTAAAAACTTCAAAATTTTTGTTCAAAATTTCAACAATTCATCAGAAAGTGAAATTTTGGTGCTGCTCAGAAAAATGGCAATAACTTTCTTTCGAAAATAGCAGTGTCATCAAAATTTTTAAAAATAGTCAAAAATAGATCATTTTTGACATAACCAATTTTTTCTTTGTCATAAAATTGTAAAACTTTTAAAATTTGCCAAAAACTTTAAAATTATTTCAAACTTGACAAAAAGGCCAGACCGGGCTCAGGAAAATCGCAATAACTTTCTTTCCAGCTTTTTTGGTATTGTGATAAAATTTGGGAAAATTGTAGGCAAGACCTCATGGCATCTAGATTTACTGTCATTTTGTCAAGAATATTTTTTTAATTTTTAAAAATTGATTAAATTTCAAAAAAAAATTTTCGAATTTTTCAAAATTGCATTTTCTAGATAAAAACCGTTTTAAAAACCTTAATGAATAACCACACTTACTATAACAAAACCCAACAACACCGTATTTTAGCTAATAAACAAAGCCTATGCAGCATTCGACCTAGTCCAGCCAACAAAACCCATCGATACCTCTACCCTCCCCAACCCACTTTCCTGCCCCATAGGTCCGCCTATGGTAGCCCCACTCTACATTGATCGATGGCTAGACAAACATGGTTACCAAGCCGTATACGGTAACAATTCCGAGCATCGTACCTCGCTTTTTGAAATTCGACCGATCCAGCTATACGACTTTCGACCTGTCGATAAACGACAAAAACCCACATTACTGTGGATTCGTTTGTCTGATATGGTTCGAGATGAAGCCATTGTGGAGCCGATTTTTGCTCCCTTGATCTTTTCCGACTTTTTGGTGGCTTTACCGGTCGATGTGATCTTTGACCTGAAGCCAGAGGGTAAGGCTCCAAATCTGGCTTCAATGGATCATAAAATCACGTTTCATAAATATGAAGACCTTGATGTAAGTTAAAATGGCATTTTTATATGGTTTTGAAAAAAATGTTACCTAAAATATTACAAAATGTCATTTCCAACCATTTTTCTTACCTAAAACCCACAAAATGAGAAATAGTAGCTTACCACAAACTCACAAAAGCAAAAATACATCATTTTAAACAAAGTTCCTTCCATTTTCAGCCACGGGACTTCTTCTTTGTGATGCAACAGATGGAGATCGCAGCTGACCGTAACCTCATTGTACATAGTCGGATTCACACCAGAGATGGCATACCAGTTATCAGCATCCTCCAACAGTCCGTTTACCAGAATATCTTGCCATTGTTACCTAAATTATAAAATTTCGTTTGAATTTAAAGCTTTTGTACATACTGTGCAATCACAATATCGGGCTGTATCTGTTCGATTACGAGGTCAAAAGTCATGAAATTGATAAATTTAGATTGATACGTTAATGATTTACCTTGTGCATACAAAATCTGATTTAATAACGTACGTTTTCTATTGAAAAACAGCGAAAACATAACCATTAACATCAGTTTTTTCGATAAAAATCAAAGCTTTTCACTTTTCAGCTGATTTTATATGCTGTAAAAACCTAAAACCGTAAAATATAAACATTAAAAGTAGTAAAAAATATTCAGGACAACATTTGTAACGTCAAAACACAAAAATATTACACAAAAACTATTCAAAACACCGCAAAAAGTTTCCTTCCCATGCCGGGAATCGAACCCGGGCCGCGTGGGTGAAAGCCACGAATCCTAACCACTAGACCACATGGGAGACAGCGAAGGGCTGGTTATTTCGCTACATACTCCTTCGTTATTCTCAAAAAGACGTAACAGATATCACATAAAGTGAAAATAAATGTTAAAAAATTAAAAAAAGTTATAAAAAAGCATTTAAAACAACAAATAAACAGTAATGTAACATAAAAATAAGTTGCAAAAGAAAAAGCAAAAGAACGAGAGAAAAAGGAAGTGTTGTCACGCCAAAAATCGGGCCAACTGTTTTCTTTTATTTATTTTTCTTGATTTTCTTGGTAAATTTTGTTTTTATCCTCAGCTTTCCGTAACCATTCTTTTGATAACATAACAATGTCTTCCAGCACTAAATCTGAACTCAGTAAGTCCTTTTACTTACGATTTTTTCGCTCTAAATATTGAGTTTGATCTAATAAAGTTTTTTTTAAAGTTAGCATTATTATAGCCGTTTCTTTTAGCTGAAGACGAATGGAAACCGATTATAAATCCAAAGAAACGACGAGCTTGTACAGCAAATGGTAATGGAGAATGGTAAGGAATGAATTTCACAGCTTATTATTGAGTTTTTGTTTTTAGTTTATCAATTCCGGGTACATCGAAGCCAAAGCCTGAGGGTCGATTTGCACACACAGTAATGTCATTGGAAATGCTTGGAGAGTGAGTTTACCTTGTTTTTGTTATGCTTTTTAAGTTTAGTGAGCACCTGGCGCCGTACAATGAAGTAGAGTCGTCCAGCAACTTGTCCTACCACAACAAACCTTATAAGGATGAATATGATCCGGTGATGCCGAATGTGATAGAACAGGAGATTGTGATAGCTGACGAGTTTATTGATGTGGAATCTGCTGCGTGAGTTTCATTCTAAGGTTCAATACAGCTTTGTTTTTATATCAAGTTTAAATTTTCCGTACCCTAAAGCTGTTGAACAATATAATTTTGATGTTTCTGACAAAACCTTTGAGAATTTTAGCAAATCGCCGCCTAGAGAAGATCAAGAAGAACAACAAGTGTCTCCAGTTCGACGAGTCGTGTCAATTCATCGTAACAGAGAGATGCAGCAGATCTATAACTTGAACAAGCTGAATCTTGACCTGAAGGTGGAAAATCAAAGACTTCGTGATGCGTAAGTTAAATATTAGTTTGTTTTATGTAAAAATGCTTTTAAGCTTCTCTACAAATCATTTTGAAGCTAAGAAGTATCTTTTTCAGAAATACAAGACTAAAAGGAGCTCTGGATGAACGTGCGATAAGGTTGAAGAACATATTGGCGGAGAACGCGCGATATTGTGTTAAACTAAAGCTGCTGGAAAAGGAGTTTGGTGTAGATGCTGTTAAAGATGTTATTGGTAGTACATAGATTTAATAAATAGTTGATTTTATATTGATGTTGTTGTATACGTTGATGTAAAGGTTTATTCCTTTTGAGACATGAATTTACTATGATTTTAGGTATTATTTTAATTGAATTGATACTTTTACTTTTTATTGACTCATTTTAGCTTGGTTTAATCCAGTCAATTATGGTCGAAGGGGACAAGAAAGGTACGTTATTCAAAGTTTAGTACTGGATTTTGACTTTATTACCTATAAGTACGATAAATTGACTTTATTACCTACAAGTACCGAAAATAAATTTTAAGTACCAAATTTCAAATCCCAGTACTAAATATCCATCTTTTTCAGAAGCCACGGTATGCGGTGAGAACTCGACCTATGTGAAGCTAATTTCCAGCGATGGACACGAATTCATCGTACGACGGGATTTGGTAACGACCAGTGGTACCATTAAGGCCATGCTGTCTGGTCCGGGACAATTTACGGAAAACGAGAGTAATGAGGTCAACTTTAGGGAAATACCGTGAGTTTTCGTACCTTTTTGCAATTTTAACAGTTAAAATTGAAATTTAAAAAAAATTTTTTTTAATTTTTGAAATTTTGAAGGATTAAAATGCCAATGCCTTCAGATCACACGTAATCCGCAAAGTGTGCCATTACTTCGCGTACAAAGTCCGCTACACGAACAGTGCCACCGAGATCCCCGAGTTCACCATCACACCCGAAGTGGCACTCGAACTGTTGATGGCCGCCAACTTCCTCGACTGCTAATTATCACATTGTAATGGATCTGTTTTCTTATTGTGCAGCGATTACTGATCTTCACCTTTACTATTATATTTTGTTTTAAATCAATACAATTTATAATTGACATTACCTAGTCATATAAAACCTGATCGTAGGTATACGGAGATCATATAAAACCAAGTGGTATATCTGATAAACCAACGTCAAAATAATTGTTTACTTCGGCAAGACCGTTTCCAAACAAACAAATACAAAAAAATCACGATATTACTGTAACAAGGCATATACGAACCCATTTTTCGTGGTTTATGCCCTCGTTGCAGCTGTTTTGTCAGTTCGAACCAAATTCGGCTAACAAAATGCGATAAAACTGGTTGTTATCATGGAAGAAACCGGAGCCGGTTTTTCGAAAAAACTGAATTTTCGAGACGGCGGATTCATCGGTTTAATCGCTAAAACATTTGGTTTCAACCTTTTTACAAGTTCATGATCAATTAGGCTTTCAGGAATTGGCTTTTTCATTTTGTAGAAGGAGTTAGCGTTAGCTAGGGTTAGGGCTGATTTTACCGTTGGCTACATCAAGATTTGGGTTAGTTTTACCTTTATCTACCTTACTTTTGGGCTAACTTTAGAGTTAGCTAAATTAGTTTTTGCTCTAAATTATCTTGGCAAATTCAAGTCGAGCACTAGAACTGGGCAGGGGGACCGGTTCACAAAAAAAAACAAAAAAACCTCGCCGGGCTCGATTTGCAAGCATTTTTTAAAGTTCAGGCAATTTCAATTTATTTTTATATAGGCAACCTAAACGGTTTAAAAATCCAATTTCGATAAAAGAATATGGATATACAGTATTCTCTCTATATAAGCAACCCGAAGGGAACGATATTTTGTGTTTACTATAAGGGGTGTTGTCTTTACAGAGACGTTTTAGTGCGAATTGACTTGGCAAGGCCAAATTTATTGTTTACTATAAGGAGAGTTGCTTATACAGATGGTTCACTATATAGAGAGACCACTGTACAGTGAAACTCCTGTATAACGAATCGCTCAGAGACTTTAAAGTTTTTCGTTAAAAAGAGATTTTGGTACACATAGATTGCAAATGCATTGTGTAATGTTGACCAGGAATTTCAAGCTATTCGATATACAGGAGTTCCACTGCATCAACTTAAAACTATCAAAAACGCCATTCTTACAATTATTAGTCGTATCTTCGCATTTAGACTTTAAATATTTTACGTTTAAACTTTAAAAATGCCATTTTGTCTACTATATCCACCATAAAATCCCCGGAACTTAATTAAAATCAGTCACCACTTACTATACCCCCTCATTTTTTCATTTTTAAAATACTGCAAAATTATAAAAATGTTTTTAAAATTGAAAATTCTACTTCCAGGTTAAACATTAGTGGCATGATGACAAACTGCAGGCCACATGCCATACTAATCCTATTCTTTGGATTAATTCAAGTAAGTTTTACCTTTGTATTATTGCTGTGGTTTATATGTTATATCAGTTTTAACATTACAGTAGGCCTACTCTACCCTACCTTGCTTTACCCATCCCTATTTTACCCTCACCGTACCCTACCTTACTCTACCCTAGCTTGCCTTACCCTACTCCCCTACCTTACCCTAGCATACCACACCCTACAGCCTCTCTAAACTCAAGAATTTTCAGCTCTCCTCAGCCGACCCCTGTCAGAAATTGGCAATTTGTGCCCTAGACAAGTGTATTCCTCAAGCCAGCGCTTATCCGCCGGTGTTCCAGACCGTGGAGAAAATGCTACAGTCCGCCAATTTCGGGTGTATTTTGGGTCCAATGTGTTTCAATGAGTGTGCCGCATGTGATTCTTGTAAATATGCTCAAGATCAAATCAAAAAATTGCTTTTGAGGGAAGAAACTGGTAAGTTTTTCCTGATTTCTTGACTTTTTCAACTAAAAATCGTACTTAATTTGATCCAAATGGTACTTCAACTGCAGTACGTGCTATGTAATACCAACTGTAAAGTACGTACTACGTAGCACTTACTACCTATTTAGTTATAACGCTCAAAAATGCCAGTTTTAAGTACAAGAATGGCCCTTTAAAATTGACGTATCAGCCTGTTCAAATAATTCTGAGCCCTCTCTCAAAACAAATTTTTGTGGTTAGGAGACATAGAATTATTTGAACAACCTAATACAATAAAAAACAGCTCTTTTACGCCTAAAAATGACAACTTTCCGCCGTATTCGCTATGATATACCTAGTATATAGTACATACAATGCAGTACTTAGTATGTTATGTATCTACTATGTAGTACATAATTTGCAGTTACTATGCATTATCTATTCAAAAATGGCACTTTAATGTACAAAAAACGCATTTTTCCTTCAAAAACCTGATTTTAAAGGCCTTTTATCGCAGTATTCGCTATGATATACCTAGTATATAACACCTACTATGCACTTATTCAGTACTGACTATGTACCTACTATGTAATAGTTATTACTTACTAAGTTTTTATATTCAAAAACGGCATTTTAAGACATAAAAATCGCATTTTAGTTGGTCGCTGCCCCAAACTGGAGAGTTGCGCCCGCACTTGTCTTGATGACAACGTTCTAGACCCATTCAATTGTGTCTTCAAGAGTCGCTGCGCTCATCACTGTTTGAATGAGGACGACTGTCCGCCGTGCCGGGACGTTGTGAAGCGGGTATTTACCGGTTTTTGCTATCGGAATGGGTTTATCGACCATTATCAGCGGAAATGTAAGCCCATGTTCGATGAGGTTAGTCTCGAGTTTGTCAAGGGGAGGGTGTGATTTACTGTGACATTTGTGCTTACTGGGTATTACATCATATGTGCTATGTATTATATAGTGCACAGCAAGTAGTATGAACTATATAGTACGTGTTCGGTATCACATTGTTCGTGATTAGATGCTTGTTACTATGTAGCACATACCACTGGCCATAATATCATAATACTATTATAATATAAGTATAATAGTATTATATGTTATTTAATATTGTAATTAATCCTTTTTTCCTTAATAACCATGAATAATATTGTAAAGGCCTTGTTATACTCAAGTATACCTTATCAGTACCACTCAAGTACGTTAATAAACATTTAAACAGTATAAAAAGTCCATACCGTGCTTAGATAAAGACGTTACAAAAATTTTGTCATCAAAGTACCCTAAGTGATGCGCAAGGCATCAATCCTGGTTTAGGACCAAAGTCCAAACCAAGAAACAACATAATTTAATGGCTCCGGCCAGAACACAAATCATATCAAGACGCGGAAACCCGCATGGGCCGAGGAATGTGTGTCTCATCGCGGCCATGATCAGTCGTGGGAACGGGGCCCGATCGGGGCAACTATTAAAGCCAGGGATTGTTGGATATCGGGATCGATCGATCGATCCGGCCGCCGACTCACCGCGAGTGACGGTCGACAGACTTTCTGTGCCAACCCGGGTTGAGGAGTACGGTAGATGTAGCTACCAAGGAATACGGCCAGGGAATACGGCCAGAGAATACGGCCAGGGAATACGGCCAGGGAATACGGCCAAGGATTAAGGCCAGGGATATGCCAAGGGAAGGCATTCACGCGCGCGCCAGTACTGATCAGATCGCGGGTCTCAGGACCAACAACCAAACGTACAAACCCCTCTGAGTCTCAGACGGAAGTTAGAGCTTTCATAAAGCCCCAACTGACAAGACAAGTGGCCAGAACCGTTCCTGAGGGAGGATAGGTCTTGGTCCTCACCGGGAGCGGGTCCACCGCACAGAAAGGTGCCGAGGGGGCTAGCCAACCACAGACCGGGCCCCCCGCCACGCTTTCACTCCTATACCTTTAAGAGTTCAACTAATAATCTCCTTTCCATCGACTGACTTTATCAAAACTACGCTCCTTTATATTAACTATACCTTGACCTAATTGATTTTCTGTGAAATTTCTTTGATTTGTCTTCTCTTCGCGATTCTGGCCGATTTGAAGAGTTTTCCAAACTGCTCCAGCACCACGGCGCAAGTCACACAGTAGATCATGACAACGCTCAATATGACAACAAACATTGGCAGGAACAAGTACCAGAGATGGGAGAGGGCGGAGAACCTAAAAAGAATAGGTTTTATAAGCTTGTAAAATACGTTTTTGCCAACTTAAATTTAAAAATTTTTTTAGGCTAATGTAATTCAGCCCCTCTCACAATACTTTTAAGTTCTGTAAAGACGTTTCTTGCTATATTTTATTATGTAAAGCAGGGACGTCGCTACCGATTTTCTCTGGGAGAGGGGGAAAATCGAAAAAATTTTTTTCGTCCACAGGTCCTACCTGTGGACCGATTTTTCAAAATTTTTATTTTTCGTTTGTTCACGTACAGGTACCTACCTGTGGAATTTTTTTCGGATTGGCTCTGGGGGGAGGTAGTACCCCCCCCTACCCCCTCCCCCAAACGACGTCCCTGATGTAAAGCAAGTTCTTGACATTCCTTGTTTTGTAAAGAAAGTTATTGTCAATTTTAGTTTTGTAAAGAAATTTTTTGCCATTTCTGAGTATTTAAAGAAATTTTTTTCCATTTTATGTCTTGTAAAGAAAGTTCTTGCCAATTGACTTTAAAAACCATTTTTTGTGTTACGCAGTCTGCGGTTGAAAAGTTATACGGTGAACTAAAATATTCACTCATTTCATTTTCTAAAAAAGGAAGCTTCCGCCATTTTGTTAAAATTGAAAAGAAAGTCATTGCCGATTTGAATATCTTAGCCCAAGATTAACCCTAAGTGTCATCATTTAGTAATTCAAACTGTAAACTTACATATCCTTCTCGACAATATTCCGTCGTTTCTTACAATTGCCAAAGAGGTCGCACGGTCTGAGCTTTTGTCTCTGAAAATAAACCATTTTTAACAGTTTATGAACCAAAAATAACAAGAATTTTCTTTACAATATGTGAAATGGCAAGTAATTTCTTTACAAAACAAAAAATGACAACAATTTTCTTTACAAAACATAAAATGGCAAAAACTTTCTTTACAAAACAAGAAATAACAAGAACTTTCTTTACAAAACAAAAAATGGCAACAACTTTCTTTACAAAATGAAAAATGGCAAAAACGTTCTGTACAATATGTGAAATGGCAAGTAGTTTCTTTACAAATCAAAAAATGATAAGAAATTAGGTTCTAACAAAATTCAACTTCATACCATGGTCACAAAAGTGTCGTTTACAAAATCATTCGGTTGCCGGAACGGGAAGTCGTTCAGGTACATCCAATGTGATTTTGTGTAGCCATTCCACTTAATAGAGCAAGCACTGTAAAAAAACTTTCTTTACAACAGGTAAAATGGCAAGAACTTTCTTTACAAATCTAGAAATCGCAAAAACTTTCTTTACAAAAAATAAAATAGCAAAAAATATCTTTATAAAACTAAAAAAGCAAGAACTTTCTTTACAAAACTCTCTAGTACTAAATACCCTACCACAACATGTCCTTAATCACTTACTCTGAAGTCAATGTAAAGCCATTATGTTTGCGTCCGACAATATCAGAAGCGTTGAATGTGCTGTGATCGTTTAGATCTTTAAAGTCTTTGGTTCCGCCAATATACTCAGTCTCATTACTGACTTGTAGCTCCACTTTTATCGCTGTGCCATTCTCATAGGATGTAACCTGAAATTCAATAAAAACGATTTTTTTCAGGGTTGCAGTTCGCGAGAGACACGTTATACGCAAAAAAAACAAAAAATCATTTTTAGTTTTGTAAAGAAAGTTCTTGCCATTTTATGTCTTGTAAAGAAAGTTCTTGCCATTTTTAACTTCGTAAACAAAGTTTTCACCAGTTTTAGCATTTCAAACCAAGTTTTCTCCTATTTCCTAAACCGGAAAAAGTATTTATAACCAAAAAATATACTTACAACGGCTCTAGTGTCGTTGAATGTTCCATTAAACACTTTATCAGTGACGAACCAGAGTTTTTTGCATAAGAGAGCTCCATGTTCCACTATGGTTTTTAATGGGCAGTTGGCGAAGTAAAGCGTACCATCTCGAAGCGCGATGATGTTGAAGGCTTGATTATGAATGTGCCAAGTTTTCCAGTCTAAAAAATTGCATATTATACGTTAAAATGGCATTTTTAGTTCATAATACTGACCTAACGTAATATTGTACATAAGTTAAAATAACATAATCTATATCCTAAGATAACATAGCTAATAAACTAACAACATAATATAACCCATAAAGTTCCCTAACAACATATTGCCGATAAGTAACCCTAAAACACGATATTGTCCATGATCTTGTCCATAAGCAAAACCTATGTTAATATACCAAAGTAAAAAACCCACCATACGCCAAAGCGCCTGTAAAATCCTTCAAGCCATATATAGGATACACAGCTCTTTGATAGTATTGAGATTCCCTCGTATCGTAACTGGCAAAATGGATTCTTCGATTAAACGGTCGCTCCAGAAGGTCGTGGTACCAGTAGACAAAGTACTCCGTTTTCAAGGATTCCTTTTCGTGAGAATGCTAAAACAAGCCGTAAAGAATACATAATCGTTAATTTTTAACACTAAACCTCTAGTTTTTACCACCTTAGTCAAAAAGTAGAAATAACATCCCAGTTTGGCTTTTCGATCAAGTTTTTGACCAAAAATGCCATTTTTAAACATAACAATAAAGGTTTTTGCACTTTCCAACTAAAGCATCATCTCTTTACCTGTTTGTTCAATAAATTTGTCAAAAATTCTAGAAAAAATAAGCAAAAATCCAGGCTAAACAAAGAATTATCTTCACCTTGGTCCCTTGTGTTAATTCTTCCATAAACTTTTTGACTATACCTAAAAACATAAACACAAGATAAAAAGACTTACATCACTAGAAACGTCAATCCAAAACATTTCCGTGTCACAGATTGAACTCACTGCTTCCTTTTGAGTGAATATCTCTTCCAATAACGTTATCGGTATATGAGCTTCGGCGATGCATTGCTGAAAGTAAAACCATTATAAAATTGAAAAAAGTTAGGTTTAGACTCAAAAACTAAATATAAACGTAATATTAGAAAACGTGCAAGTAAAAGGGAAATATTCATAAATTACGCCATGAAGTTATATTCCACTGAACACACCTAGACCTAAATCAAGTATAAAATTTTTTATACTTAAATTAAAAATACCAAAACTAGCAAAAACAACAACAACTTGTCTACTAAACTATGTAAAAAATTTTAGGTCAATGCATATTCCGTTTTACACAAAAAAATCATCAACAACGGCTAACTCAACAAGGTTAATATAAACTACTCATAAAATAAACGAATTCATAGCAAAATAAACGATGAATTACAGAAAACGTTTTAAAAGCTCTGAGCTTTGATATTTGAATAATTTTACCAATTGTTAGCCTTTCATCTACAAAAACACCTAGCTTTACATGGTTAATATAAATTACTCATAAGTAAAGATAACTCACACGATCTTTAACAAAATACAATAAAAAGATTAGCAATGCTCTAAACTTTAATATAAAATCAAAAATGCTTTGATAATTAGCTTTAACTCTTCAACCATACAATGCTTCCCGATATTATACTTGATTTATCAAGAAAAATTCATTAAAACAGAACGAATAAATGAAGAATTATAAGGAGAACAGATAAAATTAGAAAGAATGCATTCTTTTCAACATTATAAATCAAAAATTATTGCAAAAATTGGCTAGATACGACAATAGCACAGTGAAAAGACAGAGAAGGACATCAACAAAATGTTTTTGGAAAAAATAATTATTTGTGCACGTTGAGATCGGCCTGCGGGTTTATGTTATAAAAAGAAGTATTGTAAAGCTTTGAGATACGTAATAATATTATTACATTTGTAAAGTATATTTAAGACTGTCATTTATTAACCGGAAATACCAAAAGTTTAGGTTTTTTCGGTTAAACCCAACTCACCTCTTGACAACCTCTAACTGTGACAAGACAGCCTTGAATTAGGGTACAGAATAAGATAGATTTCAACAGCCACATACTCAAAATGTATAAAAAAGTGATAAAAATGAAAAAATATTAAAATTCAGCCTTTTTATATTCCTAGCTTTATAAATTTGAATAATAAAACCTATGAATAAAGTATAAAAATCATAATTTTAGGTAATTTTATGATTTTTCAGTGGTTTGCTACACAAACATTTTAAAACCTTGACCACTATGACCAGTATATTGTCATAGTCAAGAATTATATCTATAGTTTTAAATGTTTCAACGGTCTTAAATATGTTTCGTAAAGAAAGTTCTTGCCATTTTTTGCTTTTTTAAGAAAGTTCTCGTCATTTTAAGTTTTGTAAACAAAGTTCTTGCCATTCATTGTTTTGTAAAGAAAGTTCGTGCCATTTTCTGTTTTGTAAAGGAAGTTCTTGCCATTTTTGCTTCGTTACTCCTCTGCTACAATATCTTTGCTGTAAATTACAAATAAACAAATAATCGAATGTATTTTTGACATAGTATCTCTATAAAGTTAACCATCAGATGAGTCATAATTTCTTTTGACGTCACAGCCTATCCTTAATATTCCTGTAATATCAACTTTGTTTTCTTTTAGCACTGATAACATAATATTGAATTTTATTAACTTAAACTGACTGTGGGAGTAAGACGATTTGTTCAACAGGAAATTGAACTAAAATCTTTGATAATATTTAAGTTTGGTTCCTATATTATCATAGATTATCACTTTTTCTAGCTCTAAGATATGTAAACTTTTATTTGTAAGTTCTTTCTACTGATGTAAGTTTATTGATATAAGTTTTTATTACTAAAACAAACTATTGTAAATCAACTACCGATTGTAAGGTACAACATATACATCAGCTAATTAATACGTCCCTATCTTGTAAAAGTATCTTGTAAAAAGGCTAAAAAATGCAACGAATCGATATTAAAAAGTACCGTTTGTTTGATGTTATTCATGTTCATGTAAGTCAATTTTTGCAGTTTTTGAAAAAGTTCCTGTTATAACTAGACCAATAAAGGAGCCGGGCCAAAAAGGCCATGATTTGGGCCCCAGCCAGACTTGAACGTAGGGTGTTGCCCCCTGTGTCTGACCTTCAGATTCACGAGTGTCGGCCAGTTAGCTTTCGAATTTTGTTAGGCTTAGCCGGGCCTAATGGGTTCTTATCAGGTCTAGTTGCAAGCACTGCCATACGGAGTCGTAGGAAGGGCGGGGGGGGGGAGAGGACAGAGGGGGGGGTGAAGCTGTAAAGTAAGCGTGAGAAACGAGCCGTATAGGCCCAGACCATTCTCGGACCAAATCGGACCAGGCAGACCATGAGCTAAAGTTGAAACGGGCGGACTTTAAAAAGTGGACCCAGTCTCATCCGAACCAAATTTCAACCACACCCTCCCCTCGGAGCCAAACTTTCCCTTCTCTCACACCTACCCAAATTTTGCCCTTTCCCTACTTTTCCAAGTTATATTCCCCCTTCTCTTCCCTACCTAGTCAAAATTAACCTAAAGATTCATTTCAGGAGATAGTGCTAATCAACCTGGCAATAACCTTCCAACTCAACCTAATATTCGTTTTCTTTGCCGTAGCCTTAGAATATTATTATTTAATCATCCTCTTTGTAATACCAAACTTTCTAGGTTTCCTATTACTTTTGGGTAGTCGATTGGGCAAATTCCTCTTTTACGTTCCTTATGTATTACTGTTACTGTGTCAAATAGTCTGTTTTTGTATTTTCTTTGTCAAATTTTCATTTTTTCACAATGACCTAAAGGCTGAATTTGTTAACAGCCCACTGTTTCCAACCACAAATGGCGTATTTTACGCGTTTTCTGGAATTATATTTTTGACTTTTGTATTTTACATTTTCTTTTTGTATTGTCTTTGGAGAGACATCATGTATGTTAAGAATGAAATGAGGAATCGACCAGAAATTCAGAACTTTATGCCTACATGGTATGGAAATTTGGGCAACAGAGACAGTGTGATTGCACCGAGAAGTAACTTTGATACCTATGTTATTAATGATATGACTTCTAATGAAGATGATAGACGTAGGTCTCATGGTATGTCTGCCTTGCCTTACCTTACCTTACCTTACCTTACCTTACCTTACCTTACCTTACCTTACCTTACCTTACCTTACCTTACCTTACCTTACCTTACCTTACCTCACCTTACCTTACCTTACCTTACCTTACTTTACCGTACCCTAAAGTACTCTATTCTACCCTACTCTAAACCATCCTGCCTTACTTTACCCTATTCTATCTCACCCTAACTTATCCTATCATTCCTTTCCTTTTCCTAACCTATCTAACCTTACTCTACCCAAATCAAAGTGGCCAAGAAATGCTTATCAATTTTCAGATGACAACTCACACCATCACACCATAAGACCAATACACCTAGACACAAGCCACGACTCACATCATTATGACCATCAATTTGGAGATTACCATCATACACACGATCCTCCTTCATACCATGAAGCAAACCATGTATCGACAACATATGACGACTCATATATATAAAGATGTACATATAAATGCAATTAATAAATATGTAAATTTTATTACCCAAAATTTTACTGCAACTGTTACTTCCAAAAACTTTAAAATTTCAAAAAGTGTAAAACCCTAGAGTTTTGATGTTATTTTTTTCATTTCATTGCCGTACCTCGTGGTGATCGATGATGAATTCAGCAAATTCGTGGTTACGAAACCATGAATTGGTTATTTAAGTTTGGGAAAACTAGGGTAAACAACCCATAAGTCAATTTTCAAAATGCCCATCGGCTGGTTTTTAAACCCTACTTATATTTGTACGACTTCTCAGTTGCTATTTACTTTTGTCGGGTTTACTTGTTTATTAGTGGAAACAAATATACGGTTACCGGAAGCTATCTTACTTTTTATTAATGTATACGAAAATACCCTACTTTAACTTGTCTTACCTGATAATGTTATACTCTACATTATCCTGCCCTGCTTTACTTTGTGGTTCTTTACCCTGCCTTATTTTATCCTATCCTCCCCTATGAAACATGATTTTTTATCTCTTCCTACCCGCCATGCCCATCCTAATGTTTCTCTATGATGTTTTACCTTACTTTACCCTACCATATGCAACTCTATTATGCTTTAGCCAGCCTGCTTTGTCCTAACCTAACCTACCCTACATTACGTTACATTGTGATGCTTTACATCGCCGTGCTTTGCCCCATCCTACCCTACATTATTTTATACTATAATGTTTTACCCTGCCTTGCTTTATCCCACCCTACTCTACTTCGGCTTTGCTTTTTCCTACTCTACCGTTACTACTTATTATATTGTTATAGCTTTTTACAGTCTCCCTATTTTTCCTTACTCTAGCAGTTATATGGCGATATTTTACATATTGTAGTACTACTTTCCGCGGTAAAAACAAAGTTTAAAATTTTTTGCATAATTTTTTAACTTTCACCCCTTACAGTCCAAAATGTTATCAACGATAAAACTCCTGTTCATCGCACTGATTGGCCTAATTCTGGTCTCAGAATTCGCACATGCCAGTCCACACTACTCATGGTCATCTAGCCAAATGAAGTTTATGCGTCGATTTGGAGGCTACGGAGGGTATGGCGGCTACTACCCTGGCGGCTTCTATCAACCACCAGTCTATGCTTGGCCTTATGGAAAATAGAACTTACATCGTATTTTACATTGTATTGTACTATTGAAATTTAAAAAAATATCTATCTTACTACGCTTTTCTAATTTATAGTCAAAAAGTTACTTTGTACAGTGTATTCTTATATATAACTTTAATAAACCATGGTAAAAAAGTCTTCAGTGTTTGTATGAAAAAAATTTTCAATTGTACTTACTGGATCGTTCAATTAATTCTGCACCCCCTAACTCCAACAATTTGCTTTAAAAGAGGGCACAGCATTATTTGAACAACCTAATGGTACCTTTAGTGCAATATTAATAATAACTATAGTGCAATGTACTGTTGTACCTAAAGTACTATGTAAATCAGTTTTCAGTACGACAAGTTTACAATGTAAATTCAGTATCCTTCAATAGTATTTTACAATTCCTTCAACATCAAAGACTCAGATAACGCTAGCTTTTTCACAAGATAACGCGCGATGAAAGCAGCCAAGCTATGTTTTAATGTCAGTGATTTAATAGCGTTTACCACAAACCAAAAAAATCTTAGCGATTCTGGGTCAAACGCAATTTTTAAGACTACAGATGCAACGTTTAGTAATAATAGTCAAAGAACAGCAGAGTGATTGTAGTGTAGATTGTAGGACTTCATCTGATGACTGATAAAACTAATAAGTAGAGCTTACATATAAAAAATAGAAAAAACTCTACCTAACCTTCAATACACAAGCTTATTTTACCCTACCCTCTCTAGCAAAGGCCTTAATAAAACTAACAAATAGAAAACAAAACTCTAAGCTTTTAAAGCACATCCAAATTTGAAAATTGAACTCGCCTTGTTTACTATTAGGTGCCGACATAAAGAACTCACCATACTTCGCCTGTAAAATCCTGTAAAAAATGGCGGGTTCTTTATGTCGGCACCTAATACCTCTAGTACAGTACTCTCTCTATATCAGCAACTCAAAGAAACCGACATTTTGTGTTTATTATAAGGGGTGTTGTCTTTACAGAGTGGCTTTTTAGTGCAATATTGACTTGGCGGGGCTAAATTTCTTGTTTACTATAAAGAGAGTTGCTTATAAAGATGGTTTACTATATAGAGAGACCACTGTACAATCAAAGGCAATCACTAAAAAACACAAAGACAAGGCTGAATGCCAAAAAAAATATAGTAAAAAAACACCCCTGCTAGCCCAAAAAAATTGAAAAAACGAAGCAGTAGCCTTTTAAAATCCGATCTCACCACGCCATTACTAATTTCTCTCTCCCAGACTTTCAATGCCAGCAGACAAGTCCAAAAGTTTCTTAGCTTAACTATAATTAAATAGTTTTGCTTGTACCGGTTTTTAATAGAATTCCAACACTAAACATAAGATCAAATCAAAATCGATTTTAGCAACTGATAGAATTGATAAAAAGATCCGTAAAACTAATATTCTCTATAAGAGAGTTGACTGCATGAGGTACTACATGCAATGCAATTTCCTGATATTATCTTTGTGCAGAATACTACCATAAATAATAAATATTATATTAATCTTGTTATACCCAAGTGAGCAGTGTTTCTTAACAAAAGTCTTTGAACCTTTAGTTTTTTACTACAGAGCAACTTCTGCATAACGAACAGTTTTGTACCAAAATTCCTTCATAACACCCAAATTTTAAATCCTCAAGCAATTCGTTATACAGAAGTTCCACCGTATTTTAAAATTCAATTTGAAAATCTCGTTTTTTTAAAAACCAGATATTTTGCCAAAATATTAAAAGATTAATTTCTTTTTTTTATTTACTTATTTACTTAACCTTCTGTGCTTATTAATACAAAATTTGCTTAACCAAACTTTATACTCAATATTTCACACTACACGTCATACTGTATGTAACGCTAGATTCAAATCTACAAGCTCAATTGTAGGGTTGAAACTTAACGACCAGCATCTTTTTCTTGTTTTTTCTTATTCAATGGGACGGCGTATATTCTACATTACCTTACGCTAATAGAAGTAGAAGAAGGCCGTATACGACTGTTGCAGTGAGAAGAGGGTAGAAGAGAGATCGTACGAAGCGGAGAGACGGGGTCAACGAGGGAGGAGTGGACACGAGGAAAGGAGGAGTGGTCACTCGTCGCCCAGGCGCCTTAAATACCCAGTCCAGTGCTCGTCTCGGCTCAGTGTTGAAGCGATGGCAGTTGCCAAGTTGGACATTTCTTCTTTTTACATTGTGGTATCTATGTGGGGGTGAATGGTAGTGTTTTTGTGTGGTTAAATAGTCGTATTATCTATGCGGAATCAAATGTTAGTATCTATGTAGAGTCAAAAAGAAGTATCTGTGTGAGGTTAACTGGTAGTATCTTTGTAGAGTTAAAAGCATTATCTTTCAGTGCATACTTTCTAATCTAAGCCTAAAAGAACTATTGAATATGAGGTGCAAAACTTACAACAAAGACCCTTTAAAGGTAGAAAAATCTACTTATTTTCTTATAGTAACGCTTTGGCTATCTTAATATATTGATTAGAATAGGAACAGACTTTCTAACTAATATAGTATGTATAAAATGATATTTCTAGCTTATATTATAGGTAATATAGTAAAATTGAGCAGCTGTTCCTTGTATTATAGTACCTTTCTATGCAAAGAAACCTTTTTTTTCAATTATAAATTACCATATCTCGTTTGTTATAAGATAGCTGCCTAAATGATGTGTTCAACTAACTTATAATTCCTACCATCGTTATGTGAAACACCTCATATAAACACTTCTCCCATAGTAAACAAGAAATGGTCATTTTCCGTGTTTCCTACTTATCAATGTTAGTGTATTAAGTTGTTTCAAAAATAATTTTGGCAGACAAATTTTTGTTAATTTTTAAAATTTTTAAATTATTAACAATTTTTATTTAGAATCTGCCATTCTTTTTGGAACACCTAATACATAAAAAAATTTTAAAATCTGTAGCTGATGCAAAACTAATGCCATTTTAAGCCCTATTTTCTTAATTTGCCTATATCTTTACTTCAAACTTTCTACTAGAGCATAATCAAGCGCAGTCTTATCGTAATATTTAGAAAATCAATAGTTGTGTGACCATAAGTCAGAAAAAATCAATCACTTTTCTAACAAAGTTTGTCATTTAAAAAATTTTTCTTTGATCGACCAGTGAGCTTAATTATTATCACTGTAAAATCTTTCAAAAATCATTATCACTGTAAAATGTCTCAAAATGCCCAATCTAAATGTGCTCTAATTCACATTTTCTCCCATAAACATTACCCATGTTTAACGTATACAAGGCTCTTATACGACGCAGCCTTCGTCTTCTCTTTCTCTCGTGAAAAAACGAAAAAAATTGTTTTACGAGAGGCCACAGCAGTCGGATTTCGATTATTTTTAACCTGACTTTTATGCAGTTTTCGCTTTCACTACATTAATATCCCCACCCTTTAGTGTTACAGATTTAACCTGCTACAAAGTTGTATCTGGTCTAATATAATAAGTCCTTGAAAGCAATGTTACTATGTAATAGGCATAAGCAAGAGCAAACGGCGCTCACATGCTTTTCGCAAAATTTTTTCTATTGATTCGAAACCCGGAGTGGTTATAATATAATGTACATTTTGCGTAGACTCATCGATATTGACCATGTTTTTTTATCGATATTGACCATGTTTTTTGATGATGATTACGTTGGAGAAAATATTTGTTTATCAGAAATAGATAGTGTTATCAATTCTAGTGGTCATTTTTATGTCAAAACTGATTCAAAGGCCTCATTGATAGACATGAGGAACGAGCCGGGCCGGCCTTGACCCAAATTTAGGTTGGGTTGGGCCTGAGAAAAATTTAAATCGTGCCTGGCCTGACAAATAGACCAGTCCTGAAAATTAGGCCAACCTTGGTAAATAGACCCGGCCCGTTCCTCATGTCTACACTTTGAACTGCTGGGTTGTTCAACTAATTCTGTGCCCCCTAAGGTACGTAAATTTGCTTTGAGTGGGAGTACAGAATTATTTGAACAACCTAACAGCTTTGAAATAACTTTTTTGCCATAATTAAACCATGCTTATAATAATAAGAGTTTACAGTGTAAAATCACACAGTAAATTCTAAGATTGATCAGAATTTATATTATCCTTTACATAAAGCAAAAACCAAAGCTTAAAACCCAAGTTTACTGCATTTTTGAACTTTTTGAAGCAAAGCTGCCTTATAAGTACAATGTTGTTAATCCGCCTGCAACAATATGTCGTTTCGTATCACTCGTTTTTGTAACTTAACACGAGGTCAAGCCTCTGAACACATTTGACTTCTACTATTTTGTCTGCTAGTTCTGTCTACTATTATATTTCCATGAAGTTAAAAAAAAGTGAATCTGAATAATTTATTCAGTAATTAGTAGATAACAAACTACACTATCAAATGCCCTATATATAGCTTTACATTACCCTTAGAGACGCCAAAATTGAATACTTTGGCTCTAACTAACTGATTGTTATAGCGCGGTTAAGTTTCTAACAAACTGATTGCAATAGTATGCTATAGTATCTAACTAACTGATTGCAATAGTACGCTATATTATCTATCCAACTTATTGCTATCCAGACGATTGTACTTATCACTCATTGTAGAATAATTGAAATTGTTTATGTTTACTTCGCTTATAAGGTAAATAAGACTGCCTACAAGGAAAGTGACCGACCTGTCCCGCTCTGATTGACTTCAAGCTTTTTATATAGAAAGATCAAGTAAATGTAAGATCTTCAGGAAAGTACTAAACCGCTCTTTAGAGGAAATCTCGAAAAAACCAAGATCAAAAAATTACGTCTTGAATTTCCCGCTAAATTGACCTTGTATTTAGGGGTGAGAAACGGGCCGTCTAGGCCCGGCCCGGCCCTACGATCGGGCCGGGCCGGCCTTGAGCTATAATTGAAACGGGCCGGGCCCAAAGGTTAGGCCCGGCCCGCGGGCCGGGCTTGAAAATTGGGCCCGGGCCCGAAAAAAAAATTTTTTAATTTTTAAAAATTTTATATTTTACTCCCCGTTGATGTTTTTTGATTTTGTTGGGTACCATGATACATAAATGATCTAAAAGAACAATGCAAAGCCAAATTTCCGTTTATTTTTTAAGTTATAAAATTTTTTAAATTTTTTAAAACGGGCCGGGCCTAGAAATTTTCTGACCAGCCGGGCCGGCCTGAGAGAAAATTTAAAATGGGCCGGGCCTAAACGTTGGGCCCCGGGCCTGGGCCGGTCCCAAAAAGTGGCCCGTTTCTCACCCCTACTTGTATTTCAAGCTTATAGCTTTGTATTCAATATAACTTTGTCATTTTTTAATTTTAAACAATTTTTCTTTGATATACCAGTAAAAAACCTTTAGATAAACATTCATTTTTAAATTTGTAAGCGTAGCTTGTCTGGAAAATCGAAAAAAAGTGCTTTGAGAGGAAGCACAGAATTATTTGAACAACCTACTAGGTTTGACATAATATTTTTGTCAAACCTAGTAGGTTGTCAAGTCGAAATAAAACAAAGCGCGGACTTTGCTGTTTTTTAACACTTGGTCGCAATCAATAGTTGCGAATAGTTTCTTTCGAAAACAAAAACATTTTTTTCTCGAATAATTTTGAATAATTTTCTACTTTCCGGTCAAAAAGTAAGCAGAAAAGTCCAGGTGAAACAACCAAATTAAGAAATAAAAAAATTCTTTTTGTAATGCAATGCCAAATTTAACCCTAATATCCAAATTTGCGGAAGACCCAAATATTTTTTAAATTTAAAACTCAAAGCCGCGAGCTAAAATTTTTTATGGGTAATATTGGTGGTACAAAGGATTCATATAAAAATTTTGAGTTGATTTTGAGCGAAGCAGGTTCGGTATTAACAAAAAAAAATCATTTTTTGTTGTAGTAAAGCATGCCCCATTATATATGTTACCTATTATCTTGAATATTTTACATTCGCTTTCAAAGTAACGTTTTACATTTATATTCGCTATCAAAATAACATTTTACATTCGCTTCCTAAGTAAAATTCAAGTTTTTAATCCCACTTTTTTAGTAAAACTTACAACCAACTCTTTCAACAAAAAATGTTCTCCTATCACGTGATTTTGGACACCGGAGCTGGCAACAAGGTCGACCTGAACGGGTACACGTCTCATCAATACACGACGGTTCAAGAGATCGTGGATGGCTACTTGAAGAATTACGATTCACCAGCCCACTTTCAAATCGTCTCTTGTGTTGTGAAAGACCAACAGATTGGCCCTGAAACTTTCATCTTCAAGTGGAAGTCCCCAATTTTTGTGAAGCTTCAAACTGATGTGGTAAGTAATTTTGACAATGTTTTTGGGTCAATTTTTCAATATTTTACGGAAAACTAAAATCTAGACTTGAAAAAGGACCGGATCAAATTTTTCTGTTGGGCCCCTTTCAGAGTTGCCTATGGTTGTCTTCATATAAATTCGGGTTTGTGATATTAGGCTGAAACAAAAGTAGCGGGACACTTTTTAGCAGAAAAAATGATAATTGTCCCGCTACTTTTGGTTCAACTTAATATTTAAGAGCTTGGTTCTAAAGGACTCATTCACAAAAATCTTTTAAAAAATTAACAGTGCGTCTTCACTAGACTCGTAAACTTTGGGCTCACATGTACTAGTCCAGCCGGCTATTTTCGAATTTGCTTCGGCCCGGCCCCTAAAGAAATAAAGAAAGGTGAAGCCGGGCCTAATCGACCTTATTCCTAGCCTAGCCACAGCATAAAATTTATATTTTTTAAATTTAATTTTTTAACCGGTCGATTCCTTTCAAATTTGTTTCGGCCCACCTTTTTCAAATCTAACGTCATAATTAAAAAACATTTCCACCCTTAATCAGACTTTCTATAAACCTGCGCTTTCAGATCACGTTGAAGTACGCCATGAACGACAACGAATTCCTAACACAACAAGTCAAATGTGGACAAACGGACACAGTACGTCAGGCGTTGACAAGACTATTGCCTCCTCACGACAAACTGGAAATCATCACGTATTCAGAGACAGTGCCCACTCAATCGGACGATGAAAGCAAACTGCCCATCGACCGTTTGGTTTGGAGCGGAGCCGAATATACTATCAGATTCCAGTTGGCTTACGGAGTAAGGTTTTCTTTACTTAAATGCTAGCTTAGCTTAGTCTAGTTGGATGATTAAGAAAGTAAAAGCTTTGCTACTTAATGACTAAAGGGATAGTTAACTGATTAATTATGAACAATATAACCCGTTGTCATTGACATTATACATAATGAATTTGTGATTTCAGTACAACGTCCATTTCAATGAAACGACAACTTTCGACTACTTTACAGATGACACAACTGTGAGTGATGTGGTGAGAAAAACATTGCTGAAAAACAATCTGGAGCTGCTTTTGGAAGACTATGAAGTCCTAAAATATGTTGATGAAGGAGTAAGTTTCTAAAATCATTCAATTTTCTAAACTTAAATCTTTTATTATAATATCATGCACAAAACATACCGTAGACAATGATATCCGTTAAAAAAAAGAGGAAAACAGGGAGGGAATTTATAGACCAAAAATGTTTAACCTTCCCAGCTAGACCTGTAAAAAGACCTGCACAAGCTGCGGGACCTAAGCTGTGCCCTGGGACTTTGTTTTGACCTTCGGCATTCCAACGTGCCGGCTTGCCTTTTTTAAGTTTGCTACTCGGCTTAGGGTCCGGGCGTAGCCACCTTTCAAGTCTAGCAAACTAAAATCTCCCAACCTCCACAAACTGTGAAAAAAGTTAAAAATTTAAAACTTCAAATTGTAAAATACTAAAATTTTTTTTTCAGTTTACCGGAGAAAATACATTATGGCAAGAAATCGATATGGAAGAACTAGTCAGCAGACACAGCTGTTTGAAAATCACCTACAAAAAGGCTAAAAATTCGTCAACTGACGAGATTAAAGAGAAACTCGAACAGCTTGAACGAACAATTCTAGAACGTGCAGAAGCTGACCAACAGAACGTTGACAAGTTGAGAGAGTCCTTAAACTCTACAAACAGCCATATTCACACCGTTCGCCACGAAATCAACAGAAAACTGGAGGAGTATTTCGAGGAAGACGAAGATGATTCGGATGATGAAGAAGACAACGAGGACTCACAGAAAATCGAGGCCATTAAAGGGGATGTACTCAAACTGTCACAGAATGTCGACAACATCCTCAGCGTCCTCCAAACCAACCAAAAATTCGAACAGCTAACGCAGCAAAACGCCGAACTGGTCAAGAAACTTCAAGTAGCCACAAGCAGAGAACACGAAATCAAAAATTCCCAAGAATTCTTGGTTCAAGCCATGCACCAAGCCACCAGCGAAATGACCCTGAAGTTGGCTAATGAAGAAAAGGAAAAACAGGCCTTGGCAAAGGAGTTGGAAAAGACTAAGCAACAAGTTGAACTCAGTAAAAGGATCTTCGACGACATGACCAACCGTACCATTGACTATGACAGTCTGAAAACTCGCTTCGAAGCCGAAAGAGAAAAAGTCACGGAGCTGGAAGAAGCGCTGGCTCAAGCTCGAACTGGCCAAGAAGACTTCAAGACAGTGTGTCAAAGCCTGACCGAGGACTACACGGACCTACAGAAGAAGAGTTTGAAGTCCCAAAAAGACTACGAACTTGTTGTAGAAGAGCTCAAAAAGGAGAAAGCCAGAGCTTTTGAGACGGAAGAAACGCTCCAGAAGGAGCTGGACGAGCTGAGAATTGATCATGAAGCGTTCCTGAAGATGGCCGACGACCACGAGCTGTTGAAGGCCGAGGTGGACGAATTGTACTACCTGAGGGCTGAGATTGAACAATTGCACGACAAGCACGCGCATCAAATGATCGAAACCCAAAAACAAATAGACTTTGGTGCAATAAGATTCCGTGAGTCTGAACAGAGAAACCGTCAGTTGATGATGCTGGTTCGGGATTTGCAAAACAAGCTGAAGCAAGAAGAAGATGCTAAGTTGAAGACGTTCGTTGTTTCGCCCGAGGCGATGAAGAAGATGTTGCCAGAGAATTCGGAATCTCGTACAGACGCTTCAAATGTGTCTTCTGGTACTACTGAAGCTACTAAGACCTCCACTGAAGCTTCAACTAATGTTGCCCCCACTACTGTTGCTCCTACTACCCTTGTCGCTACTACTGAAGACCAAAAAGAATCGGTCACAGAGCTAAAAACCCAAATGACTGACTTGAAAATCGACGAGTCTAACGAATCCATGCCTAGACTATCACGCAACTCAAGCCTATCGAACCCAGAAGACTTCGAGGTTGTTGATGCCGACTTTTTGGATGAAGAGTGCCGTAGCACCTACTCCAGCGCCGAGGAATAACTTCATCTATAGTTGTTTTGTTTCCATGTTATACTCATATATTTATGCATATTCATACCTCACTTGTATATACCCACAATAAACCTTGTTATCACCTAATTTGGAAGTTTTGCGTTTAAAAGTTGTTGAATTCAACTTGATATCTGATATTTGAGACGATTTTCTTTTAATTTTAATATAACAGGTAGTCCGAATATGGATGAGCCACAATTTAGAGAGATTGGGCGCTTTGAATGGCTCATCCATATTCGGACAACCTGATAAAGAGCCCTACATATTAGGTTGTTCAACTAATTCTGAGCCCCCCTTTCAAAGCAAATTTTTGGGGTCAGGGAGCACAGAATTATTTGAACAGCCTAATATTATGATACTCTTGTTATAAGATATTAGTCTGTTCAAATAATTCTGAGCCCTAAGAATGGCTCATCCATATTCGGAAAACCTGACAATTCTACATATTAGGTTGTTCAAATAATTCTGAGCCCCCTCTCAAAGCAAGTTTTTAGGGCCTTTTGAGGCCAAGGGGCACATAATTATTTTAACAAACTAATAGTATGATACTCTTGTTATAAGTCTTGATATAAACAAAAGAACTACACTTTTGGACTAGACTTCTGAGTGTATACTGAAAGGGTTTGGCTCTATCTCTTTATCTTTTGTCATTTCTTGAAAACTTTATAATACCTCGTTTATAGTACTATATCACACGGTGCCACCATGAGTTCCTCCGGCTGGAAACACAATAGTGTAAGTAGCGTTTCACATATTATACCATAGCAATTGAAGAACAATTGATTATCATATCACACCAAAAAATGACAAAACTTGGCCCTCTATGCCCTTAAAACAACCCACAACTTCAAAAAACTACCATACAGTTAGCCCACAAACCAAATTAGATTAAAACCCCTCTATTTTCAGGTCACGGTGAACTACGAGATTTACAATGGAATGTCCGGTAGAAGCGTTATGCTTTGCGAAGACGGTGAAACCATCGAATCGACTATTAACAAACTGTTGAAAGGTACTGGCATTAAAGAGCCCAAATATATAGTTGATATGCTTGTCATCAAACAAGGTGAATTCGTTACATACTCAGGAAAGATGTCGGCTTATGACGTATCGAGAACATGTGTAATCGATGGTTATACTTACGACTTGAAAATTTCTTTGGTTATTCAGGTAAGACGTTTGCAAAATCTCAATTTTTGGTCACTATCTACATCAATATACCTCATTTTGCTATTAATAGTAGCGTATCGTCACATTGATTATTTCTATAAGACAACACACGTTATACGAGACTTAAAAGTGGCCCACTAGTCTCGGCTTGGCCTCAGGCCCGTCTAGGTCAAAGCAAATTTTAAAAAGGCCGGGCCAAACTGAAAAATTTGCCCAGCCTTTTTGCAGGTCTACGCTATATCTTTATAGTGAACAGAAGCTATCATTCAAGTCAACAAAAGTACAAAGCTAAAAAAAAACCTTCAGGTAAAAGTCACCGTGAAAACCTCCCATCATACCACGGATTGGATGTCTAACCCAACCTTTTACACAGTTACTATCAGTAACAAAGCCACGGTAAACGATCTGTTCCAAAAGGCGGTGAAGGAAGAAGCTATGCGCAAGTTCGGCTACCTTGCGTTCAGAGTTAAACACAATGTAAGCAATTTAATTTAAATACCCACAGTTCAAAAATATTGAACTTTATAAAAGTTTAAATTGAATTTTTTAAGACTATGGATTTAAAAAAATTGATTTTCTAACAAGCAAGGCTTTGCAATGTAAAATTAAAAGTTAAAGTATGATTTTGTAAAGTAAAAGACTAAAAAAGTAACTATCAATGTTATATCCTTCAATCAAAATTTCAGGTAGAACTGGGTCACAGTGAATTCTCTTCGGTTACCCCAGACGATCCTATTGATCCCAGCTACAACTATGGCTACATGATCAGAGTAGGTTTTCAACTTAAAAACGGGGAGGGGAAGGGTAAAGGAAATTTAAAAGGAGCCGTGCCGAGGCTGGGCATAGTGAGCCTCCTTTCAGGTCTACTGTAAATTTTAAAAATAGAAAAGACCCAGCAAAGAACAACAAATTTTGAACTTTCCTATCCTGTCCCATCAAAACGAACCCGCCCAAAACTAATGAAAATCATTATCTCAAAAAATAAACAATCATCTTATCATTCCAGAGCCTCCAAGACATGGTATTCGAGCACAAGCAGCTCGAGTTTTCCAAACGCTACGAATCGGTCTGTTTTCCAAAAAGAAGGTCAAAGTCTCCAGTTAAAGTGAAGAAGATGCAACTGAAGCGGCCAAAGAAGGTGAAATGCAATTACACAGCACTGCAAAACCAAATGAATGAAGCGTTCGCCAGGATTCGAGAGTTGGAAAAGCAAAGCAAGAAAATTGCGGAGTTGCAGGGGCGAGTTTCACATAGTTTAGATGATTTGGAGACCAAATCCTTGGCTCAACAGTTGGCCAAGGTCAATATTCAAAAGGGAGATGAGGTAAAGATGGGAAATTTAAATATTGAAAAGGAAATAGAGGCAGAGATGGATAAGTTGAGTATTCATAAGACTGAAGAGCCAGAAACGGCGAATGTGAAGATTGAGAAGAAGGAAGAACCACAGCCGACCAGGTATCGCTTTAAGAAGCGAGAACCACGAGCCATTTCTGATGATTATGTCTTCGTTGACCCTAACCTACATTTTTCGCTTTGTTAAAAGCTTTTTTATGATTTTTTTCAAAACCAGTTTTTATCATTATCAATCCTTTTTCAAACCTCAATTTCAAAACTTTTAAAAATTTTCAAATTTCAATTTTCAAAACTTTGAAGGCATTTTTTAAACCTGAAACGAAAAGAAATAGATTTTTTCAAATTCAAATGATGAAAGCCTAAAATTAAAAACGTTTAAAAACCGTTATCAGTTGTTAATCTCGTCTTTCATATTCATACCTCCATCTTCTACTATGAACTTTTAATTAATCTGTATCACTACTCAGACTGTAGACTAACCTGTACTCTTATAATCGCATCAAAAAGCTAGATTTATAACTGCGGTCTATATTGTATAAAATTAGCAAGTCCCCTAAATAAGTTGTACCTTTAATAAATTTTTTTAACTAACATGTAAAAGCGAAGTTAAAATTGGAATGCTTTCCAAAAAAAACGTAAAACATGTAATACTATATTAATATTCCATCCAAAAGAGAATTAAAGCCCCATCTCTTTGTAAACTCAAACGAACTGGGCCAAAGTGCCACTATAAGCAGGGTGTCACGCTATCCATGTACCTTTTGATAAGAGTTCTATCACAAAGGGCGGTCGGAAAGGTGTCATTATAAAGAGGATGTCATGCTAAAGGGGTTTCACTGTATCATGTCGCTAAAATACGAAAAATTGGTTGTTAGAAGACAAAGATCATTTGAAAAAATAACAAAGTAATGACAAGGTAACTACCCTTATAGAACAATTACGCTAATAGAACAAACCTAGGAGCAATTTTATAGTAATTACAAGCTTCGACTGTTATACGAGCTAAACTAGATTAAAACGGGTAGAGCAGAGTAAAGCGGGGTAAGATAGGGTACAGTCAGGGACGTCGCTACAATTTTTCTCTTGGGGGGGGGGCAGGGGGGGGGGTGGAGAACCCAAAAAAAAGGTCCACAGAGACACCTGTGGATTTTTTTTTCGGATGCAAATTTCCTCCAAAAAAAATAAATTTTCAAATCTCAACAAATTTTTTGAAACGAATTTGCAAAAAAGCGGTTCACTTGAATTTAAAACTTTGTCCGACTTTGGTCGTTCGAAAGCGGTCGGAAGGAGCGCCTCTAAAACAAGTACAGTAAACCAAAAACGTTAGTCATGCCAAACGGTCACAAGGATATGCAGTCAGCCTACAACGCGTCCAAATCGAATGCTGGTCTCTACAGTCAGGTAAGAAAGTTGGGTTTTTGATAAAAATTGAATGTGAGGGGGTGTAGTTTTGAAAAAAGTCGAAAAAAAGCGTGACTTGTAAAAAAATTGCTTTTTCGAATTTTCTGTGCTGGGCAGGGTATTTTAGGTTGGGAGGGTAAAAGTAAAAAATCAAAAAAAAAGTTTTTTTCAACTCACCAGAAGGGATCACATTAAGCTTAAAAAATTTTTTTTTGCCCCCCCTTCCTTAATTTACCCCTCCCACTGCCCACGCCTCCCCCTCTTACTCAGTTCACACCTTCCGCTATTCCACCCTATTTTCTTTTTTCAAAATTTCGACCGCCTTTACCTCACCCCTGCCACTTCAACTTCAAATTTCAGAATCCCCGAGCCAACGACTCCAGCTACGCGCTCTCGAAACACCTGTACAGCTATGGCAATATACATCACAACAATCAGCCCGCGAGCCTGCTAACCACCCCATCGACTAGTAGTAAAACCCATCGGTCCGCCGTTTCGTCCACTTACTTCCACCATCACAGCGACACCAGCAGCTATCCGCCAATGAACAGTGGCGGTTTGGGGGCGGCTTCTTCTCCGCCAATGGCGAGTAAAAATTTTTTTGTTCAAACACGGTTTTTTTAAATCGTAGTTATTTCTTTTAAATAAAAAAAAATTTTTTTGACCCCCCCCCCCCTCAAAAAAATTACCCCACCCCGAAAAATTACCCCCTTTGCCTCCTTCCAATAAAAATCTCATAAGTATGGCAATTTGTACCTCAACATGCCAATTCATGCCACCCATTTTTCAGTATGGAAACAACTACGAACTGATTGCCAGACGCGACGCATTGATTGAGAAAGCCGAGCGCGCCCGGCTCGAGTACGAGGAGGCCACTTTTCAGCTTCGTAACTTGGAATCTTCACAGACATTGACCCAACCAACTTACAAATCCCCAGTAGTACCCGGAGGCGATTATGTGACTCTCGAAAAGAATCACAAACAAAAGGTAAGGACATTGGTTTTGATCAAGATTAATATTACACTTGGCTGTATTGATCATGATTTATGAATGATTAAGGTCTAAGTATGGTTATGAATAGTACAGGGCGATTGGTATGAGAATACTGAAGTAATATATGAGAAAAGATGTTTTTTTTCACAATTTTTTTGAAAAATCCACGTTCACTTTTTTCAAAAAAAAATTTTCATTTTGATATCTAAAACTATGTACCAAGAATGAGCACATCTCTAACAAGAACCTCTTTTCCCTTATTTTTTAAATTTCAAAGGTTTTACCTCAATTTTTAAATTTTGAAATGAAAATCGACCAAATTTCAGCCAGACTCGGTCTACCTCGGCTTCCCTGGTCCACATCAACCCAACTTTTACCCTAGTTTCAATTCCAATCGACCCAATTACAAAGAACAGAACGTTTGCAAGCCCTCGGCTCGTAAGTTTGAAGATTTTACTACGTTAGTCTTTAGCTTTTTCATATTTTGCCAGTTTTTCTTAATAAAATTACATTTTTTGAACTTTAAGCCTATTTTTCAGCCTTTTTTCGGGCAAAAATGTCATTTTAAAGCACATTTTTACTCATAAAAACTAATTTTTGACTAATTTTTATCTTAAAAAAATATTTTTAACCACATTTATAATTAAAAACCCTATTTTTAGCCAAATTTTTATCCAAAAATGCCATTTTTTGTCAACATTGTGACCTACAATAGCCATATCAAACTAACACAACCCTTTTCGAACCAAAAAATCAAAACCAACCTGGATAACAGTCAAATTCTTCAGAAACTGTCATTTAATCCAATGTTAACCATGCTAATCCGTGCAATTTCAGCGATCCATTCCAGCGAGCTGTTTGGTGGCATCCCATGTACAACTGAATCATTCCGCTGCGATCTATCTGATGTAATCTATAATTCTTGATTAAACTTGATATTTACCTTGTCATGTCTGTAGATTGTAACATTAGTATCAGTTAAGTTTTGTTTCTTACTTATTATCAACATAAAATGATTTTTAAAGCTTGGTTCTTATGAATATTGGTCAAAAAGTGGATATGATGGTAAACACTTCGTTAAAAATTGATTTTACGGTCAAAAAGTAATGAGGAACATAAGAAAAAGATTAGAATTTCAATAAAAATATTCTTCCGACTAATTTATTACCTATTTTTCCATATAAAACACTTCCAAGTGACCTAGTACTTAACGTTATATTAAAAACACCTCTTTGACCAACCTTTTACCTATATTTATATAAAACACGTCACGATGATCAAAATAATAACCAAAATCTAAAAAATAAAGACCAGTAATTAAAAAATCAACTGTGAAATCAACTCCGATGTGTAACAACTTTATAATTGGCAATTTACTCTGTTATTCCTAATCCAAACATTCGAAAACAGAAAGATTTGGTCTCTAATTATCTAATTAGACCTTCAAGTTTTTGATCTGGGCGATGCAGTCGTCCAGGTACTTGCTCTTGATGTTGCCCTCGTTGGTGTCGATGGCCTTCTGAACGCCTTCGCTGATGGATCGTACGAAGATGTCGCGTTCGAAGCGTCGTTTGGTGGCTTCGACCTCCTTCAGGTAGTCGATGCGGCGTTTCAATTCGGTGGCTACAGTCTCGACGTTCTTACGGTAGGTGGCTTCGAGCTGGAGGGCCAAGTTCTCCTTGAAGATAGTTGGGAAGTCGCCCTTCACGGCTTCGTATGAAGCGGCTTCGGCGGCAGAAGTCTGGAAATGAAAACTTATTTTAAAAGTTCAAAAATGTTTAAAATGTTAGCTAAAAATTGAAAAAGTACTATATATGATTTTCGTTCTTTTGATGAAACTTTAATAAAAAACATTTTAAAAAATAGTGCTTTAGTTTTGATTGTCAAAAATCATGCCAACCAAAAATTTTACCTTGCGGAACTCAACGGCGTCCTTAAGATCATCAGCAATGATTTGCTTGTATCCATCCCACTCCTTGTGAAGCTCGTTGTGGGCCCAAACGTCAGCTTTGTAGCCAAGCGAGCGAGAGAAGATTAGGTACAAAGCAATCCATCCGGACAACATCATAGCTTGCTCTTCGAAGACGAACAACTCCTTGTTGATGTAGAAGGAGAAGACACCTCCGAAGAAGAGGTAAGGACCTGAGGTATTGAAAAATTTAAATTTTAAGGTATCAGTAGTTCACTTCTTATATTTTAATAGTGAACATAAGTCTTAGATTTTTAAAATTGTCCTAAAATCTCTCCAATTTGCTGCGCTAAAACTTTTTAGACCAGTTGACTGATGTTCCCGTATTTTACAAGAAATATGTTCAAACTCCAAAAAGACTTACCAGAAGTACCAGTAACCTTCTGGAAAGGTGTGCACCATGAGTCGGGAATCATGAGCATACGAGTCTTTGGTGGGTACAACGGTCTCTCTGGGTATGGGAAGTTTTTCTAAAATCAGCAATTTTAACTTCAAAAAGCAAATAATGTGTCATTATAATATAACGCTTTAAGACTAAAAATTCCTTAAAAAACTCTTGTCGCTCTAAGACGTGAAAACATACTCGAATTAATGGCAAGACTTTTTAAACGACCTACCATAAAAAGCCTTAAACTCAAAATTATAACAACTAATTAAAAAATGTTGTATTAACCGTAAAATTTATTACTTCCATAGCGAAGCACGTTAATATCTCCTAAAAGCCAAACGAATCAAAGACAAATACTCACCGTGTCACGTTCTGGTCCCTCCTTGTAGTTGGCAATGGATGGAATGGGCTTTCCAACAAACTCTTTTCCAATATCATCGAACATAGATTTTGGAACGGTAGTCTCTCCGGGCAGAGGAATTCCTATAATTTAATGATAAAAATAGTATTATACACCTTTGAAACATAAAATAATATCAGATCTTAAACAGGATATATTTAAAATCATATAACTCCTATTATTTTGAAGCTTCAAAAAGTTTTGACCAATAAACAGCAAAATTAATCTCCAGAAAGCTCAACCTACATAAAAATTATAACCTCGTTTTGTTTTTCAATGTAAAATAATAATAACCATGTTTTCCTTCTATTAACGCCATCTTAACCTTCCAAATAAACGTTTTTATCCAAAAACAGTCAACCCTAAACAAAACCAAATAAAAAAAAGAAAATCTACCTCTGAATCTGTAGCTGATCTTTTGGAAGAATCCTGGAGTCGAGTCTTCCTTAGTGACAGCTGGAGCTAAAACATAATAAAATTAACGTTAAACTTAACATGCTTTACTATAAATAAGTGCTGTGAAGTGACAGAAACCTTACTTTAACTACTAGGAAGAAAAAAAAACAGTTTAAAGTAGCAATTCTTAAGCATAACTTCAAGTTTTACAAAATAAAGACAGCAAAACAGTGCAACATCCTTAAAACAATATTTTAAAAACATTTCGTAACTTAAACCACCAAAAACTTACCAGCAGCATGAGCAGATCTTTGAGGAACAAAGACCAAGGTGCGTCCAGTTGGAGCACGAAGGGCTGGAGCAAATCGACTCAACGACATGTTGTGGTACCAAAACCCTAAAACAATATAAAAATGTTAACTTTTTATAATTTAAAATTTTGTAAACGATGATAACCCGCAAAAATAGAAACTTCAGCTGAAGACTTAAAAGCCTGAAGAAAACCCAAATTAAACTAGGTAAAAATAACCTAAAATACTAAAAATTAAAAAAATTAAACAAAGCTAAAGCAACAGAATTAATATATAAAAAATTAGTTAAAATTGCAATAAATTACTCTTGTAAATATATAAGACAACCAAAACTTCTAAAATTGTAGAATTAGTCGGACGATAATATTAATCATCCTGATTTGTCAGGGTTTCCGTGCCAAGACTATTTTGGGTCAAGTTCTTTCCTAAGGAAGAAAATCAATTGAGAGAAACTTGGCACGTTTTGCGAAATTCGCGCTTTGCCGGCTTTTCTGCGCTGAATTGATGTTAGCGTTTGTTTAGTAAAAAAGTTGTGACATTTTATTAACATAAACATTATTTAGTATTTTAGCTGCATTTGGAGCAAGTTGCACATCAAAAATTGTGAGTTTTTATTGTGTTTTAAGTTCAGTTGTTTCTTCTAAGAGCTAAGTATGTTATTGATAGTTTTGAAACTGTTTTTCGAGTTACATCTTCGCGATTTCGTAAAATATATGTTTTTAACATAATAATAAGTGTATTCATAATGTTTTTTAGGATAAATATTGAAAATGGCGGACGTTTATGCAGAACAAAAGCCGGATTTTGGTAGAAGACCTGATGATCGCGGAGATCGTCGACGAGGAGGTGGTCGGTCTAGAAGTCGTAGTCGGGAAAGAAGGAGATCGTAAGTTTTTAAATGTTTTTTCTTTGGTTTTTAGGTCTTCTGTCTTTCGTTTGAGCACATTGTATTAATGTAGGCTTTGAAAAATGAAATATCGCGGTTTTAATTGTATCTTTCTATTGAAAGGTTTTGGTTTGAAACTTTGTGAGAATTTGGCAAATATAACTAGCCAACTATTAAACTTTAAAAAGCGTTGGAACTTACATTTATCTCAAATTTAAAGTAGTTTTAATTTACCTTAGTTTTTTAAAAAAAGTTTTTCGAAATTAAAAAAAAAAAGTTGAAAAGTGCGCGTTCTGTCTTAAAATTTGCATAAAAAAGGGTTAGAAGTTGTAAAATGAATCATATTTTCAAAAATTCTTTTTTGGTTATATGTTTTGCGGTTGAAGTGAATACGGTTTTCTCGATGTATCGCTGGAGCAGAGGTTTTGCTCGAGATAATATTCGTTCTGGTAGACGATTCAGTCGATTTAATTGCGGTTACAATAGTCGCGGTGGTTACCAAGGGCGTTACAATGGTGTTTTTAGAAAAGATAGCGATTACGAGCCTGTTATCAAGTTGGTTTATCGCTTATTGATGTTTTAGGCTTTTTAATTTGATGAGTTTTGAAATTTAACGGGGAAATCTTAAGAGTTTTAAAATTTTTATAAAACTGTTGTTTATGTCTATATAGCTTTAATTGACTTCTTTTCATCAAATTTTATGTTGACTATGAATTAAATAAACAATTTTCAGAAGAGAACGCGGAGGCGGTGATCACCGTCGTTCTAGAAGTAGAGAAAGAGAACGTGCTCCAGGAGGTGACAGAGACTTTAAACGTCAATACGGTTTGAAGAAGTTCCAGTACTGGGATGTGCCTCCACTTGGTTATGAACATATGCAGCCTCGTGAATATAAAGAACTCCAGGCTTCGGGTCAGATTCCAAGAGCTACTCTACAGTCGTCAGTACCAGTTGTTGGACCTTCAGTCACTTGTCAGAGTCGTCGTTTATACGTGGGCAATATTCCATTTGGTTGTAATGAAGATGCTATGTTGGACTTCTTTAATCAACAGGTATGGTTTGAGGTTTTTGGTTTAAGTAAAAAAGGTGATAAATTGTGGGCGTACGGTTATGATATTGATATGGCAAGTCTAAATCTAAAATAAAATTCTTTTAAAGCTAAAAATGGCAAAATTAAAGTTTTTTTTTTAGTATAAAACTAATAAATAAATTTCAGATGCACCTATGTGGTCTAGCCCAGGCACAAGGAAACCCAGTCCTAGCCTGTCAGATCAACCTCGACAAGAACTTTGCTTTTATCGAGTTCCGGTCGATCGACGAAACCACAGCTGGTATGGCCTTTGATGGTATCACCTTCATGGGACAGCAACTCAAAATCAGAAGGCCACGTGATTATCAGCCAATCAGTACTAACTTAGACGCCATGGGTCGTATGCCAGTCTCGAATATTGTAGTAGACTCACCACACAAGATCTTCATCTCAGGCTTGCCCAACTACTTGACGGCCGAACAGGTCAAGGAGTTGTTGTCATCTTTTGGTCAGTTGAAGGCTTTCAACTTGGTTATTGATCAGAATACCGGATTGTCGAAGGGATACGCCTTTTGTGAATATTTGGACACAACTTTGACTGATCAGGTAAGAGTTTGGATTTTTGAAATTTTTTGTGATTTTAGGTAACATTTGTCTTATATCTTATTTATATTTTGAAAAATAATGTAAGATTATACTAAAAAGTAGATTTTTGTATCAATGTTAACTAAATTTATGTTATTGTAGGCTATTGCTGGCTTGAATGGTATGCAACTGGGCGAATCGAAGCTTCTAGTACAATTGGCTTGCGCTAGCAAGAAGGAAAATGGTGCATTCAACACGAATGCTGCTGGTATTGATCTAACACAAGCTGGAGCGGCCACAGAGGTCTTGTGTCTGCTGAACATGGTCACAGAGGACGAGTTGAGCAATGATGAGGAATATGAAGGTATTTTATTGGGTTTAATGGGTTTTGACTATGTTATATAGGTATATATAGTATTTTTGATAGGGCATGATAAACTACTATTCTCATTTTTCAGACATTCTCGAAGACATCAAGGACGAGTGTACCAAGTACGGAACAGTTAAATCCGTCGAAATCCCTCGCCCAGTGTCAGGAGTCGATGTTCGCGGTGTGGGCAAGGTCTTTGTCCACTTCTCCGACACGGCCGAATGCCAACGTGCTCAGGCCGCCCTAACCGGAAGAAAGTTCGCAAACAGAGTGGTTGTCACCTCCTACTACGATGTGGATGCCTACCTACGGCGAGAGTACTAAACATTTGATTTTTAATCCATTGATATTAATTATTCAATAAAAATTGAGCTGATGTTGGTTTTGAGCATTGATTTGTGGTAGTGAACGGCCAATCGTTATTGTTTTTGGCAGTGTCGGGGTGAAGCTTTTTGATCTAAAGTAAGGTGAAGTACGCTTGAGGAAGCTTTAGTAAGCTCTAACTTATTATTAACTAATCTATAAATGAAGGTTTTCTATATTTTTACTGCAAAAAAAGAGCAATATCCCAAGCAAACCGACCTTTTGAGACTAAAACAATATTGTTTTAAGCGCCATGTCAGGAAAGGAACGTCTAGATAACATAGCGCCGGTTATTCATGCCATAAAGCCTCGCGTTCAAAGAGAAATCGACTCGTTGGACGATGATAGTGAAGATCTGTTGGATTCGAGAGAAGTATTCGATTATATACGAGATATCACTGACCCAGAACATCCATACACATTGGAACAGTTGAATGTGGTTCAGGAGGAGCTTATTCAGGTGTGTGCGAGTGGATCGATTTTCTTTTGTTATACTGGATGTTGAAAGTGTAAAAAGAGCTGTTTGATGGGTAATAGGAGTGTGGAATTTATTTTTTTGTTCAAAAAATGTTATTTTAGCTATAATTCTATCCACATTCTATCTAAATAAAGCTAGAAAACCAATTTTTAAATAATAGTTACTTTAATATACCCCTAAAACCCAATTTCTTTTCCAGGTAGACCACGAAAGACCATCGATGCCCGTCGTGAGAATCCACTTTACCCCCACCATCCCTCATTGCTCTCTCGCAGCTCTAATTGGCCTAATGTTGGTGATAAAACTACAAAGATCGTTGGCAAAGAATGTCAAGATAGACGTGAAAATCACCGAAGGTACTCACAACACTGAACATGCTATAAATCGTCAATTGGCGGACAAAGAACGAGTGGCAGCGGCGTTGGAGAACGGCAGTCTAATGGAGACTGTTAATCGATGTTTGGCTCCACCTGAATGATGGTCTTTGTGATATTATCATAGCTCAAACATCTGAATGAATGTTATTATGGATGAGACTACTTTTACAGTAATTTAGGTTAATTTTGTTATTATTTTGCTAGTTTGGATTGTATTTGAACAATCTAATGTTTGATTTGATTGTTATTTGGCTCTTGTTTGACTTTATTTTTGAATTTAAACACTTATTTGTTGTAAAATAAGATGGATTATAGTTTTACAAAAAGAATATTTGTTATGATATTTTCTGATAGAAGTAGAGACATATCTTTTGCAATTATATTTGACTCTTTTTATAGGCAGAACTGTAGCATCAAGAAACTTCTATGTATATATAATAATCTACAACAATATTATACCCAGAGTCTACTATAATATAGTGAAACCTCTGTATACCGAATCACTAGGGGATTCAAGATTTGTTCGCTATGGAGAGGTTTTGTTATACAGAGGTTTTAAATGTACTGTGTAGTGTTAGCCGGGGATTTAAGAGTTGTTAGTAGTTGTTAGTTATACGGTGGAGTTTCTTATGCAGTGGTTCTACTGTAATATGTTTGGTCGTTATGTGAACCATTGTTGATATTTTCTTGCCATGAGAATATGTCATACTTTTTGTTATTATATTTGTTTTTCCAATAAATATTTTGAAATTTATAATGAAAAGGTAATGAATATTTTTTTACATTGCCCTATTTGGTTGTATACCAATGTTTTACTTTATTTTTTTATTCATTTTTTATCTTATGTTATTTTGCGTTTATTTCTTGTTTTTTATAAGGTTTGTCTTTAACTTAAAAGCACAATTTTCCATTTTAATTTGGTTAATTATTCAAAATCACCGCCGAAACTGGTCCTATTAAAATAAGACGTTCGGAAGAACGAGTTTCAAAAAGTCGAAAAAAGGTAATTCCAACTCTCATTTCACTGGTATTACTCAACAGTGTTTGTTTTGCTGTTTTGTAAAAGTGTTTTTATGGCTTCTGAAGGGTTTTTCTTACCTTTTGGATTCTTTTTAGGTATTAAATTTTTATGTTTTGGCATTTTTTGGCTTGATAAAATGATTTTTTAGAGTAAAAACGAAGGAAAAAACTGAATTTTTGTTCAAGTTTGACTCTAAAAATAAAATTTTTTTCAATTTTGAAAACATCTTCTCCTTGAAAAAGATGTCTGTTAGGCTAACATAGACCTTTCTTACCCTATCAAACTAAAAAAGTCTCAAAAAACTATCTTAAACTGTCTCAACTCATCGCAAAACTGGCTGTGACGCATTAGAAGAAGCGGCAAATTAGAAACGAAAAGATAACATTATCATTGAAACAAGGTGAATAACTTTTTGTTTGCCGTGCTTTTTTACTTCAATTATAACATTTAATCCGATGAGTATTCGAATATGTATAATATGTATTCAAATACTCATCGGATAAGGATTGTATTTGAATAATGCGTAATGGTGAACATGGTTTGGAGGTGGTTTTACTGGGTTTGGAGGGGATTTTAGGAGGTGGTTTTACTGGGTTTGGAGGTGATTTTAGTTGGTTTGGAGGGGGTTTTAGTTGGTTTGGAGGGGATTTTACATAGCTCGGATGTGGTTTAAGGGGGTTGATTTGTGATTTTTTGAAATTTTTTTGGAAATCTTTATATTTGTTTTGGATTGGCTAGGGTTTTTTAGTCCAATCCTAATTAGAAATGGCATTAGGGCATAAGGTTTCAACCAGAAATATGATTTTTGACAATTTTAGGTAACAAAAACACAAATTCATTTTAAATAAATATTTCATTTGGTTGTTCAAATATTTCTGTGCCCCATAACTTTAAAAATTTGCTTTGAGAGGGGCACAGAATTATATGAACAACCTTATTGTGAAAAGAATTTAGCTAGGCATGAGGAACGGGCCGGGTCGGCGTCGACCCAAATGTTGGGCTCGGCTTGAGCAAAATTTTGATTGGACCGGGCCAGAAAATTAGTATTGGCCCGTTCTTCATGTCTAAATTTAGCCTTATTCGTCCTATAAAACCCAAATTTTTTAAATTATTTTTTGTTGTTATTACCTCATATCTTTTGAAAAAACCATTTTCAATGTCATTTCCATGGTCTGACTGACTTTTTGGCTTCTATTCAAGTGTTGACAACAACACATTGTTTACCTTTTATTATAAAATAAATACCATTTTGGGATCGATTTTTAATCAGAAAATCACATTGAAACGTCTGCAAATTTGATTAAAATTTTATTGTACGAAATTTACGTGCGAACTGATTACTTTTGTAATTTTTGACATCTCTTGATGATTTTTATTGGAAATTTGGGGATGTAATGGTTTAGTAAACTGAAATTGTTATGACAAATAACTGATAGCTCCAGAAACTTGAAAAAATTTGAAATGAGGGTCAGGATATGGGTCTAACAGTTTATTATAAAAGTATTGTTAAGCCTAGAACTTTATAATTAAAGCTTTTTCTAGCCTAAAACTTGTCTATTTTAAAGCATTTTCTTGTCTAAAACGTCATTTTTAAAACGTTTTTAAGCCTAAAATCAGCCTGACAATACATTTTTAGCTTAAAATTAAAACAAAGTAGACACTAGGTATAAACAACACCAAGAGACAGGCATTTTGTGTTTACTATAACAAGAGTTTCCTTTATCGACCGTTTTTTTAATTATCTAGGGTTCCTGAGACTAGTTTGCTCCTTGACTATACAAAGAGTTTCTTTATGGCACAAGGCTGACTTTAACCATCGTTTCTTGTATTTTTTTTAAATTACAGTAAGGTCTCGTTATAGTCAACCTTGTGTCATAATGAAACTCCTTATAGTCAAAGAGCGATCTAGTCTTAGCAGACCTATTTGAATTTAAAAAACGGTTGATAAAGGAAACACTTATTATAGTAAACACAAAAAGTCTGTCTCTTGTTGTTGCTTATAACGAGAGGCTACTTTGTCTTGATTTTGAGCTATAAATGGGTTATCAGATTGATTTTAAGTTTGAAAATGCTTTACAAATGAAGTTTTAGGTCTGAGAAGGCTTAAAACTGAAACTTTAGGCTTAAAAAGCCTTTCAAAATGAAGTTTTTTGGCTTGAAAATTCTGTAAAAACAATTTGTGAGGTTTGCGATTAGGTTAAAAGCGAAGTTATGTACTTGAAATTGCTTTACAAATTAAGGTTTAGGCTTGAAAATGCTTTAAAAATGAAGTTTTAGGCAAATGTTTAAAATTTTCAAAAAGATTTCGAAATCGAACCTAATTCAATAATATTTGCATAAATATCACGCTGCAAGATAATTTAATTCCGAATTCAAATCTGCTGTTTCACCTGTCCCTTGTGGGTATTTTTTATTGATCTCACTTACACAATCACATAGACAAATAAATCGAGGCGAATAGAGAGGGTCGGGGGATGGTTATATACGAAGAGCAGGCTTTTGTATAGTAAAATAAATCTATTACGTGCAAAAAAGTTACTACTGCAGTTACTTTGACTGTATTTTGGGAGTGGAATGGCTTTTGGTTTGAGGTAAAACTGGTCTTTAGAGGTTGGTTTAGGGGGAGTTTTTTTGAATTTTTTAAGTTTTGGGTAGGACGAAATTTGAAATGTTTTAAAAATATAGCGTTAGTATATTGTAGAATCTATGTTTTGGCTTTTAGAAGTAATTTTAGTTACACAAGGAGTTTAAACTTTAATTTTTTAAAAAATTCTTTAACTTTTCGAAATTTTTCGAATTTTGAAAATTTTTGAACTTTTTTCAAAATACCAACCTAAAGTGAAGTTCAACTTACCTGACAAAGCTAGGCGAAACAGTTACTGAATTGTTATGTCGAGTGCGTCATGATTGTTTAAGTTTACGACTTTGTTTTGCGATAAACAAAAATTTTTGTGATTTTCACGCTCTTTGCCGCATAATATCGATTCTTCAACTTCTTAGTACAGTGGAACCCCTGGATAATATAATAAATCTTTTGGGGATTTGAAAGTGGTTTTTTATGAAGGAGTTTCGGTATACAGGAGTTTTAAATGCAATGTTTAGTTTTAGCCGTGGATTCAAAAGTTGTTCCTTATGAATGGGCTTAGGTATAGAAGAGGTCGTTATACAGGAGTTTTACTGTATTCAGTTTTTGGCTTCTAAACTTTACTTGTTGTTTTGTACTGTGAATGTCAAAATATAGCTTTTTATATTAGGTTGTTCACTTAATTCTGCGCCCCTCTCAAAGCAAGTTTATGTGGTAAGGGGCGCAGAATTATGTGAACAATCTAATAGTTATAAAATCATAAGTGAGATAAAAATAGACTTTTTACTTGTATTATGAGCAACAACAACCCTTGGGTAAACATAACTCAAAAATTTTATCAAAACTACTTCTACTCATTTTCGAAATTGTAAAACATAAAAAAGGAGCTTTGAAAAATTGATTTTAAAAACGTTTTTCGAAAAAAACTAGGCAGTCTGGTCATAATTCTTTAAAAAACAGGCTATTGGCCCCTATCGAACAGTACAATATTTTCTATTGAAGATCAACGTAAAAATTGGTCGATACCACAACTTATGATAAAAATGGTTAGATATTACAACTTATGGAAGCAATCAATCGATATTACAACTTATGATACACAGTACCATCGATTTATAAGCAACACCAAGTGACAAGCATTTCGTGTTTGCCATAGCAAAGGTTTTTTTTACCGACCGTTTTTTAAATTTTAATAGGGTTGTCGGGACTAGATCGAATGTTGACTGTGATTGGAGTTTATTCATAAAACTCTAGTTATAGTCAACAGGCGATCTAGTCCCAGCAACCTTATTAGAATATAAAAAAACGGGCGATAAAGGAATTCTTGCTATAGTAAACACAAAATGCTTGTCACTTGTTGTGGCGTATAAATTGCGGTTACTATGCTTCATAAGTTGTAATATCGATTATTTGTTTTCATAAGTTGTAATATCAACCAATTTTAAGCATTAGTTGTGATATAGATCAACTTTTTGCTTGATTTTCAGTAGAAAGTGTTGTACAAGCCTTTGATCGGGACCAACAGCCCGCTTTTTAAAAATTATGACTAGATTGACAATAGTTTATGTTATTTTCGTAAAACATTTTTAAAATCAATTTTTGAAGCTCTTTTTTTGTTTTACAACCTCGAAAATGAGTAGAAGAAGTTGTGATAAAAGTTATGTTTGATCGAACAATAGCCAAGTCGAGTGGGTCCGTTTTCATATTTACGATCATACTTGCTCAGCGATTCTTTTTTTCGAAAAAAAACAACGAAACAAAGTTATTTTATACTCGAGAATAATCAGCTGTAGTCAAGACTAAAGAATGATCAACATGTATAGTCAAGATGGCTGTTCTTGAGTATTATGTTTACTTCTTTTTAAAAAATTGAAATTTTTAAGTTTGAATTTTACTTTTTGGGAAAAAAGTGTGCGGTAGAAGTAGGTAGACATGAGAAATGGGACGGGCCCAATTTTTAAGCTCGTCCTGATAGAAATTTTGCTCAGGGCCTGCCCGGCGCGTTTCTCATTTTTAGAAGTAGGAAGAGGCAAGATTTCACTAATGTATGATAAGGCAAGGTAAAGATAATTTAATGTATAATAAGATAGAGTATGGTAAAGCAATGGCAACATAGGGCTAAGTAAGTTTGTCAATTAGGGTAGGGCGACGGGTAAGGTTAGGTAGAGTAGACAGGGTAGGGCACGGATTGGCGGGGCAAGGCAGGGAAGAGTAGGTATAGTAAAGTACAGGGCAAGGCAAGGACGGTTAGTAGGATAAGGTAAGGTAGGGAAGAGAAGGGTAGGGTAGGGTAGGGTAAGGAAAAGTGGAGTTGATTAGGGCAAATGACGGTTAATTTACTTTTACTATGTTCTTCTAGACTCCTCTGACTCCACTTTTTAAGCCTAAAATTTAAAAAAAAGTTTAAAACTCAACGAAATCGCGGAAACATTAATTAACATTATCCTCCCTGTTGTTTGCTTACAGGTTTTAGCTGAATTTCGAACCGCTTAGACATTAATTTTTCATTTTTAATCAAGGTCGCAACATTTTTTACACGAAAAATGTATCTTTTAGCAGTTGGATTTATGATAGGTGTATTTGTTGTTGCTTCTCTAGGTTTTGCTGCTTTTAAGAAGGCTTCTAAAGTTTTTTTAAAATTTTTTAAAAGAAATTTTAAAAATTTAGCGTTGTATGATATATTTTTTTCTTTTACGTGTATATTATCATAGATATTCTATCAGAACATCATCACCGTCGTATTTTACAGCAATCTCATCAGCTTCTCTCATATCTAACATGGTTGCCGAATCAGTGGGATTACCGGCCGAAGAGGCGGTAGAAAAGACCGAAGCCAATGCTACACAACAATCAGAAGCCGCCGAATCAGCAGCACCAGTGATAACCATGAGGAACAAACGCCAACCACCTCAAGTCGAGCCTCAAGTTGATAGTCTGTCATCGGCACAAGTAGCACTGGAAAGAGCCATGGGTACCATTAATAACGGGTTGGATGATGTTGAGGATGCTGATGGTAAGGGTTTTTGTTGTTATTGAAGGGTTGGTTATGAAAAGGTGGTTTATATGATTATGCATTGTCTTATTATGGTCTTGCTAGGTGTTATAGATGACTATTAGCTGATTTTTAAAAATAATTGTCAGTATTTCAATAAAAAATGGCGTTAAAATGCCAAAAAGGCATAAAAATGTATATTATAGTGGATTCTTTTAACTTTTTGCTCATTTTGCTATCGAAATTGTGAAAAAAAGTTGTCGTAACCGACAGAAGAGATTATAAACTTATCAAAAAAAGTATTTGACATATGTATTTTGGTCAAGAAGTTTATGGAAAAATCGAAAGTAAACTGAATTTCGCCCAAAACAGGCTATTCTGATCGTTTTCGATCAAATTCTATGAAGTTTTTGATCAACTAAACATCCAAAATGTATTGAAAAGTATTGTGTTATAGAGGTAGAAGATTATAAATTTACTTTAAAATGTATTGTAGTTTTATCTTGGTCAATAAGTTTCAAGAAAATTTGAACAGAAACTCAGTTTTGGCTCAAAAACAAAGATTTTGGCTTGTTTTCGGCAAATTTTAAAGCATTTTAGACAGTACTAGATCAGTATTTTAGAAAAAATGAATACAAAATCATAGATATGAATCTTCTTGATGTAACTCAATACTATTTTTAGAAATCCGCCGACTAGACTCCCAGCTAGATCACCTAAACGAGTACATGGACAAGGTGGAGGAGCGGCTGAAGGCACACAACGCGCGACTGGTCGAAACCTTAAATCAACAGAAACAGGAGCGGGAGAAGCGACGACAGAGCTTTCATGAGGTAATGATGCGGCTTATTTTTAAAAAATTTAAATTTAGTTTTGATTTTTGGGCCGGGAATGAAGTTTTGAAGGTATAACAAGCTCCATACACAGGGTCCGCAAAAAGTTCTGTTACACGGTTTTTTAAACAAATATTTATTTTAACAACAAACATAACTAAAACAACAACTAACAATAGTAACATATAGTACTATTTATAACATAGTCAATCGGTTTCGAAGTGTCCCTTGCGGCTTGTATAGACTTTGATGAGCTTTTTCTTGGTATATTGAGTTTATTATGGGCTATGGCTTTCTATTAACGGTAAACCCTAGAAAATTGGTTGGTATTAAGATAGGCATCTTGTTGGTACATAGATTTTACCAGAATAATGGATGATATTGTTTTAGAGACAACAAACCAGCCGCCAAGAAGACGACGAGTTCCAAAAACAGTTGGCCGAACTGCTTGGCCAAATCAGCATGTCCAAGAAGCGGACTTCAATCTTGGCTGATTTGGATCTGTCACCGCCTCAAGAATAAGCCTAAAAGCTAAGAGATTAGGCTTAAGAGCTTATCAATATAGGCCTAAGAAACTTATGTTTATAGGCCTAAAGTCTTATCATTCTAGGCCTTAAAACCTTTTAAATATAAGCCTAATTTTATCAGGCTAGCCAAACCCACCTTATTACGGAACTCACTTAACTGCGATATTACTATAAATTGTGGATTATGTCTTATCTTTTTGTAAAAATTTTTTTTGTTTTTATCAATGATATACTTTTTTTATTACTGTAAAAGATATATTGTTAAGAAGATATTTTCAAAATGGTTATTATAATATAATAAACATGATTTTTTTAACAGAAAAATGGTATGATAACGTAGCTTTTTGATTGTAAAAAAATTTTTTTTGGTATTATACAAACGCAGAATAAAATTAGTATTTGGCAGGAGAAAATAGAGTAAAGTTAAGGTAGAGTAATATAATGTAAGGTCAAATAAGTTGGGTGGTTAATATAGGTAAATTGTATAGCAGGTTGCTGTAGAATGGGTGTGAGGTACTGTAGGATAATATAGGGTAGAAGAAAGTATGAGTAGAAGAAGATAGAGAAAAAGGACAAGAAAGGGCAGTGTAGTGTAAGGTAGGGCGGTTATTATAAGACAGAGTATAGCTGTTTACTGTAGGATTGGTGAGGGTACTACAGGTTAATATAGGGTAGAATAAGGTAAGCTACAGCAGGACATGGTAAGTATGATAGGGTAGGGTACGGTAGAGTAAGGTAGGTTAGGGTAGGGTAGGGTAAAGTAAGGTAAGGCAACGTACGGTAAATTAAAGTAAGGTAGGGTACAAAAACGAGATATTCTAATGTTCTTTAAAACAAAGTTATGACACCTTTATGCCTAACCATCCAATTTTTATTTTTTGCCCAATTTTTTATATACGTTGTACTGTACAACACTTCCTTCCTTTTCACTGCTACTGTAACACACTTCCTTTTTACAACATTTTGTTGTTGTTCATCTCAAATCTGACGCAACTCCTTTCCTAACTACCGTGAAGCCTTCGACAAATCGTGACCCCATGGTATACTTTATGAGGAAATGGCTAAACTACAAACTCCAACAACACCCATTTGTTGCGAGCAAACACAAACGAGAAACTGTGAAAAGAAGAGAGAGCGGCCGAGAAAGCGTGAGATTTTCATTGTTGTGAAACGCAAAAACGAACCATAATTAATGGCTGGAGGTTGTAGTTGTTACTAGAGTAGTTATGACTACAAAGCTTATGAATAGTTTACAATGAACACAAAGCATTTGAGGATCTTGTGCTTTTAAACTCTCCAAACAAGATATTATACGTCATGGATTGTAGGTGCAAGTCACACGTGTAGTGCTATTTAGTTACAAAGTACATTTATTGCTAGTTATAATGTACGAAGATAGCATAATGTCATGTGGTTAAATTAGTATTAGGTTTGTATCTTGTAGGAAAAAACGTATTTTACCATATCATGAACCCAAAGGTTTATGTGACAACTTTTCTTTGTCATCTCATAACTATCGTATATTTGAACCGGAAAAGTCGAAAAAGCATACAAATATACTACATAAACTCTGCTTTACTATGGTATGTTTTGCTACAAGGAGACATTGCCTAAAGCAAAGTTATGATCATTTTAAACGGTGTTTACACAACATGTTTTATAAATAAAATATGGGAATAAGCGTGTACTTTACTGCGCAGTAACTACCGTATCTGAAAGTCAAAAGCTATGATGTGTTACTAATAAGATAGTACATGATCTTAGCTACACGCCCATATTCTTCCATGATAGGAGACTTTACTGTGAAGAAAGTTATGGCGCTTCAAAATACACAAACCCCTCTTTCATGGCCGAAAATAGAAGGAGTAAGTTATATACTATATAAATTATGATTTAGTAGTTCATTCTGCCCATAATGGTATGTTCCGTTATGAGGAGACGTTACTGTGAAGTAAATTACGACGCTTTAAATTATGCATAGTCAAAGATGTACATATAAACTTTACTACAGCAATTTACTATGTTAAACTAAAAATTTTAAAAATTCTTGGAATTGCTATCTGGAGAATATTCTGGAGTACGCTGACATGGTCGTATTTTACATTTTTATCATCATCGACCGGTCGAAAAGTACAGGTAAAGTCGTGACCGCCTGACTGTTGTGTCTTTGAAGCGTCGTATCTCTACTTTACCGTAGTAGATAAAACAAGTAATATAGCTCAAAATGTGCGCAAGATACCAAGCTTTACTATGGTAAATAAACCAAGGTTGAACTCCGCCATTAATGGTACTTCTAGAGTCAAAAACCTCGAATATTTGACCATTTTTTGACAAATTTCAAGCGTTTTTTCGCGATTTTTTGACGAGTTTGTTCATAAAGTATTGAGCCATTTTTGGCCTTTTCCACGCGATTCGGAAAAAAGACAGTGTAAAAGCGAGAGACGCTTGAGTCAGAAAAAGAAAAGTGAACGCAAAAAGAGGATGGAACCCGAAAAAAGAAATTTTGGAGAAACCCATTGTGTAAAATGAAGAGAGTGACAGAGGAATGAACCTCAATCAGACGAAAATCAGATAGTGAATAAACATGAGAGACGGTTTTTAAGGTTAGAGAATGATTTGATCAGACAAAAAATCGAAAAGTGAAAGAGAGAGCGCGTAAAAAGTGGAGAGCGGGTAGAGAGCGGCTTGATCAAAGGGATCGGCGAAAGAGAGAGCGCGCAAAAAGAAGAGAGGGGTTAGTAAGAGTGATAACGAAGAGAAGGAAATGCGAGAGAGAGAGAAAAGGAAAGAGGAGGCGCTAGTGAAGACAGGAGGAGTAAAATACAATGGTTTATATCTTTTGAACGGCTTGATGGATTTTTATGAAATTTTCAGGGATTGGTAAGTAGAACAAAAAAAAATCGTTTTAAATAACAATAATATAAAATTTATCAAAAAATGTTTTTAAAGTAAAAATTAAATAAGATTTATATATTTTAAGTTAAAATTTTTTGTTTTCAGTGTATGATGAATTTATTTTAATTCTTCAAGATATCTTAACCATAGCTTTATTGATTATAAACATAATTTAAAAATAATACATAAATAAAATATCATTAAAATTTTAAGGCAAAAGAGTTCCTTATGCAGGAATCGTAGTTCATTATAATGTGTTATACAAGAGTTTCATTATATCATAGTATACTGCTCATGTCCCTTGCAAATCATGTCCAATATCTTGCAAACTTCAATCAAAATCTAAAGTTTGCTCAAAACACAACAATATCATGCACTTTCAACTCTACATTTTCCATGTTTGTAGGCATAAGCACTGTGTTATCTGACGTTTCTACCTGTTTTTGACGAGAAACATCAGAAAAGACTCTTCACCTTGGTCACGCGAACTAGTCTCTTTCTCTGGGCGCTGTTTCCTCTGCTTCCACACTCTTTTCATTTGGTTTTTGTGCTGTTTTTAGAATTCCTCTCTCTGATATTAACCTTGTGTTTTGTTTCTGGTGATCAGTCTGTTTATTTAGTGTATTTTGGGGATGCTTATGATAAGGTTTCTGTTTTGTGAATCATAGTTTTGACATTGTTTTTGCAGGAAATGGGGGTATATTTGGGGTTTTTAGGGGATTCTGATGATTGTTGAGCTAAAATGTCATTTATGACATAATTTTTTAAAAATTTTGAAAATTTTTTTCTTTTTCAATCATTTTTTGGTCTAAAAATGTCCTTTTTATAAGTTTTAAGCTTTTTTTTGCACTTTTAAGGTTAAAACGTTACCTAAAATAAAATATTTTAAAAATTTTTAAAATATTTTTTTTTAAAATAAAAAAAATGTTTGTGCCATTTTTGATTAAAAAAGCCCTTTTTTGCTATATTAGACCTTATTTTAGTCCTCCTGATCTTAAAATATTACCTAAAATTTAAAAATATTTTTTTTAAATTTCAATTTTTTTATTTTTCAACATCAAATTCGATTATATTACCCTTGCCATTTCCTTAAACACTATCACCATGTTTCATGCCCTTTCCCTTCTCCACCTTTACCTTTCCCTTCAACCACCATTCTCTGCCTAACCACCCTCCCTATTCCACCTGCTCTCTAACCCCTTCTCTAACCGTCTCTCTCTGCACTGCACTATTTCGCGGCTAAATGGCGTTTTGAAGAAAATAGAAACGAGAAAACAGACCCGTTGTAGTTGTTAACGTTTGTTTCTCTCCATTTCTGCTTTCTGCTTTTTAGTTACAGCACCATTATGGCTGTGGTGGTAGGGGGGTTTTTGTGGCGTTTTTTCTCCAAAATGAATGTCGGCCTAATTTCGATATTAAATATTCGAAATGTGGGGCAGAAACTATAAACTCCAGCGGGTCGGGTCATCCACAACCGTGTGCTGACATTTTGGGTAAGAGGGGAGGTGGGATTAGGATGGTACTGTAAAGGCGTGATGACTTTGTTTTAGTTTGTGTTGTAGAGAGTTTGGTATAGGTAGCACAAAGTCTTTATGTGTAGATAACAAACAGTCTTTATGTATAGGTAACATAATAAAGAAGGAAGAGTGTTTGTAAAGCCAGAATTTGCAACATAATATGTCACATTTGGTCCATAGAAACATAATATTATAGATACTTGAAGTTTATAAAAATAGTACTGTAAATACTTGAAAGTTCTAATACAGTACTGTACAGAGAAGTCCCTAGTAGGAGAAGGGGGGTGATTAAGGATGCAAAATATCATTAGCGACGTCCCTAGTCCAGTAGGTACCAAAATTTTTTATTTGGTACGGTAGGTACATTAAAACATAAAACTAGTACCAGGTACCTAAAATTATAAAATTAGTATATCAGGCACTTTAAACTTCAAAAATAGTACTGTATATACCTAAAACTTTAAAACTAGTTCACTAGATAGCTCACATTTCAAAACATTAGGTTGTTCACTTAATTCTGCGCCCTCTCTCAAAGGAAATTTGTGAGATTAGAAGATGCAGAATTATGTAAACAACATAATAGTACAGTATGTGCCCAAAGTAAAAAATATTACCGTAGATGACCAACTTTATAGTTTAATTCAAAATTTGAATAAAAGTTTTTTGTTTTAAACTCAATGTCCCTAAAATCAAACCCTACTATAACTTTTCCCCTTACCAAACCCAAATTCAACCTTTTAATTCGATAAACTTCAAAAATAGAGCTAATTTTTGATGATTAACAACCTACCTAATTGTCATCAAAAAATTCCGCCGATGACGCTATATACCATATATTATCTAGAACATACTTTCATATCATCATAACTCGAAAAAACTAATTATATTAATGATAGAACACCAAAACAATGCCAGATTTAAATGGTGCTGATCCAGTAAAGTCCCTTAAGTTAGAATTACAAGTCGCACTCTAATCTTTTTTCATTTTATAAGACCCACAAGGTTTATACATTAATGTTTGGCTCAGGAAATGAATGTTATATTCAGAAATGGCATATGTATTGAAAGGCATTTTTTATGTATAAAAATTAAAAAAGAGCATTTTTAATTACTTCAAAACTTAAAACTTATAATTATTACAAACACTAGCCTCAACAACCCTACTTGGTAGAGATAGAATTAGAAGTAAGAATAAATAGGTAATGGTAGAGTAGGATAGAGTAGGGCAGGGCAGGCCAAAACAAGGCGCGACAGGGCAAAGCAAGGAAGGGAAAAGCAAGGCAGGGCAGTAAGCTAGTGAAGGGTATGATATGATAAGATAGAATAGAGTGGGACAGGGTAAGGTAGAGTAGGACAGGGTAGGGTAGGGTAGATACGGTGGGGTAGGGTAGGGTAGGGTACGGTGGGGTAGGGTAGGGTAGGGTAAGGTACGGTTAGGGGTAGAAAAACTATTTTAACTTATTATTAGTCATCAAAACAAATCATTTATATAATATGATTCGATTGTCTTATCTGTCACTACTTAACACAAACCATACGGCTTGTGTTAAGTAGTGATAGATAAAGCCGGGTTTCTGTAAGCACACTTTTGTATACAAAACATAAAAAGTTAATCTGCTACAAAGTTTTTTTTCTTTTATCAAAAATGTCACACATACCGTAGTCTCTTTTATAATAATATCCTGTCTTTTTCTACTCTACCGTACCCTAACACATCCTACTTTATCCTACACTACCCTACCCTACCCTACCATACCCTACCCTACCCTACTCCATCCCTCCTATACCGCATTACCTTACCTTATTCTGCCTTATCCTACCATAATCTACCCTCCGCCATCCTATTTTACTACTTCTGCCCTTCTTTATCCTACTATACCCTAGTCTACCTTAACCTATGATTTCTTCTCTGTTCCTACCATATTTAAACTCACTCTACTCAACAAGTAAGTAAAAAATACAGTAACTTCCTACTTTACTACAATATACCTTGTCCTTGTCAAAGCCTCTCACATCTTGCAGCTGAAGTACCCTATCTTATACATGTTTACCATACATGAAACATGCCTCTAAAAATAGCCCATTTCAAGAACCTTCCATCGTACATGCAAAAATACTGTCCGAAAACAAAACTTCAAAGAGCAGCATGATACTCGCGGAATTGTATGAGCAAAAACCATTTTTACAATTCCATTCAAAGTAAAGGGCATTGTGACACAGTCGTTGAGTATATGATTGTGAAACACGTTTACATAAGTCATTTACAATTGTCAACAGGTTATTTATGTTATTGTTTGTTTCGATTTCATTTCGAAGGTTTTAAGACATTAGTTTGGGTATGTTTATTGAAGAATGTTAAGGTAGGGTCATTAGTGGATGAGTTGTTCATTGAAATATAGTATCATAAGATAGAGATTGAACATATCAGTATTATGATATAGGATGAGCATATCTTTTCATCCCATATCATAATATAATAAGGTGAAAATATCAGTACTATGATAGAGGGTGAACATATCAGTACTATGATATAGGATGAGCATACCTCCTCATCCCATATCATAATACTGAATGTTAAGGCGTAAGCTCCATATCTCATTAAGATATAACATGAACATACCATCCTTAATATAAAAGGTGATGTATGTTCTGGTTAAGCTTTAATTAAGATGATCTACTGTAGGTTTATGGTATCTCGATTTATTATATTATTGTGAGGATTATCGTATCTTTGAATTCAAAGACTACGGTATAGATTTCGAGGTTTATAATATCTATTAATGCAAAGGCAATAACATCTTTCAATGTAAAAATCATCATACCTATGAATGTGAAGTAACAACATAGGCTTATCGTACTGCTTAGTACAACATAATGAGCAATAGGTTTGTAAATTGAGATGAAAGACGAAATTGTTATTATTGTAATCGTTATTTATATCATTGCAATAGTAAAAATAAGCATTGTAAAAGGTTTTAAGACCAATTTCAATGTAAAATGACTCAGAAATTTTACAATTTTATCCTGTTTTTGATAGGAACATATCAGAGATGGATCTATTTCAATTTTAATTCGTCTTATTATCTTATATGATAAATCAAAATTAAAGTTCGTGAGGTTATTGAGGATATATTTCATTTTTAATTCATCTTATTATCTGCTTCTTGAGGTTATTGGGGATGTATTTCATTGTTTAATCGTACCTTGATCTATTGTTTAATCTTATTGCTATATATTTCATTTTTAATTTGTCTTATCATCTTCTTCATTAAGTTATTAAGGATATATTTCATCGTTTAATCGTATCTTCATCTATTTTTTAATATTATTGATATATATTTCATTTTTAAATCGTATTTCTGTGTCTTCTGTGACATTATTTTTATTATTTATCTGGTTTCTAATATAGTTATTGCCTTGTTTTGACTATACTATATCTGTTTCATATAAATTTCACAATTTTAAATATATTTAGTTCTTTTTAGCATGGCTTTTAGAGCGCAGACCTGTGCTTTACAGTAGTAAAAACAGCGTATCAAAGTAGTAAACCCAGCGTACCAAGCTTAAAATTTACAGTAGTAAAAACTCTTGAGGAAATGTCATTATTTACAGTACTTAACTCGCCTTTCATTTCCAAATTTACAGTACTGGCAACTCGGAATGTCATTTCCCAATTTACAGTAGTAAAAATTACGTGTGAGATCTGTGATTTAGAGTAGTAGAAATTATGTAGAAATAAAATACAACTCTGGTTTACGACCGAAAAGCTTTTGTTTGTGTTGCACATATTTTCATTATTGTAGCATCATGTATTAGTAATGATGAAAATTTTGTTTATTGGGTTAGAAAGTATAACAATTTTGATTATTGTAGTAGAAATGATGACAAATTTCGGTTGTGAGTAGATAGAGGACTATACCAAATTAAATAGGATTTTTTATTCTTTCTTTGCAACTTTATAGAGTTATAATATTAATATTGTCTTTTATGTTAATTGGGAAGATAAGAATATAGATAGGTGTAAAACCTTAAATTTTTGAAATTGCCTTAACCTTAGAGACTAGAAATGTATGACTGATCCAGAACTTGAGAGCAATTAACTGGATTCCTATGGTAACATTTGTTACAGTTTGATACTATAATCCATAAATAATCTCAACCCATTCCCAACAGCCAATTAAGAATGGGTCGATAACTTTGTCCCCTTTACAAACTACACGCTTCTCAAAAGATTACATTCTTCTCAAAACTCAATCTTTGTAGTTTAAAAACAACCAAGTAACTTATCAGTGGAAATTAATTTCTTTTTGAACTTTACATAAAATTCTATCAAACTACGGCGGGGCGACGTCTTGTTCGTTTTGTCGCTTTCAACCTATATTCCGAACGATTCTACCTATGATTCCTTAGAGTTCAATCTATAAACTTCTAATTAAAAGGTTGTAGAAAAGCCTGCAAACTTTCTATTTTTAAAGTCTTGATTCTAAGCCTAAATTTCAATTTTTCTAAGAACTAAAGCCTAAGGCGTTTTCTAAATCCTCTACTGTTCTCTAGTACTTCCCTATAAACTTTAACTTCTAGCCTTAATACATACATTCTGTCTTTACGCGTGTTAAGATAGAGAAATTATTGCTCCGGCTTCTAGTTTGTAGTTTACGTCGGAGTGAGGCGGGTTCTTTGCAGTTCGAATATCGCTTCATTCTATAACAAACTACACTGTTTGGAATAACAAAGCGAGTAGTTTGACTTTAGTTATAATAACGACAACGTTTCGTATTTGTACGTGTTGTGGTACTATTGCGCTCCCGACTGGTGCTTATTCGACTTTCTTATTGAGCTTTGGTGCTAAGTGGACTAAGCTAGTACTAAGTCATTTTTACTTCATAAGATTGAATCCTACTGTATTTTTTTCTAAATTCTACTGTACAAACCCAAGCTCTACTGTATTAAAAATTATTTTTTGAAGTCCTAGATACTACTGTACTAACCATGACTTCCTGAAGCCATAGTTGCTACTGTACTTTAATCAACTTCCTATTACTCTACTGTATATAACCCACTGTAACTCCCAATTACCTCAGTAACTCCAAATTACTATGATTACATTGTAATATGTCGGATTTTGACAATTTGCGAGCAATCTTAAACTTTGCGCAACGAATAAATCCAAGTTCAAATTACAGTAACCTAATCGATTTGGTCGTTCCTACCGACCCGGTTCAACGTTCTACCGGTACTACTAGAAAACGACAAAGTAGTACCGCCCTATTCCCCGCAGAGTGTGAGTTTGAAGTACCGTATATACCAGCGGCTTCACGACCAATCAGTGTCGTGTTACCTACAGTAAGCCAGCTACAATTGCCTACTGTAAGCCAACCACAATTAACTACAGTAAACCGACTACAACAACCTACAGTAGGTCATTCACATATACCTACTGTAAGTCAATTACCTAAAACAACAAAGGTACCTTTCGGTTTCGCACATCCTATTGTTGTTCAAGCTGGACAGTCCTCAACGGCTACTGTAACACAGTCAGGTCTACAAGCCAGCTTATCAAACCAAAACCAATCTTTATCACAACGAACTCAAGGATCATCAACTAGACAACCAGTACCAGTCTTTTTTCAACAGAACCGTACTACACCAATACAGAAGAGCTTTGAGGTGATATCAGTGCCATCTCCTAATACAACAAGCCTAAGAGTACCATCTACTAATCCAACAAGCCTAGGTGTATCATCAACCAATCCATCAAGTTCAAGTGTATCATCGCCTAACCCGTCAAGCCTAAGAGTAACATCACCCAGCTCACAAAGCCTTCGATTACCGTCTCCTATCTTCTCAATACCTAACAACAAAACCTACAGTAACCCAGAGATGACTACCAATATCCTAATTAACGCTCATGATGATGAAGAAATGGATGCCGAACTATCGCTTCAACCAGGTGAAAGCGATGGTGTGCGACACTTTTGTGTAGTATGTGGAGACGAAAGTGATGGTTTACATTTTGGTCAATATACTTGCCGAGCTTGTGAGTTTGTTCTTTTCTTTTATATTTTTTTCTTTCCTTCTTTTAAATGAGTAGGTACTGTAACTTGATTCATTTTTTTTTATTCTTGGTTATATTTTTTTAATTTGATCTAACTTTTCGACTTTTTAGGTGCTGCCTTCTTCAGACGTACCGTATCGTTGCGCCTCGAATACGCTTGTAAACACAATAATATGTGTGATATTGAAAAAAGTAAGCTCTTTTCGAACAAAACATGTTCAAAATTCATGTTTCTGATCAGACAAGTCTACCTAGTAAGCCTTTCCGTAACGTTTCGGTAACGTAATGTAAACAGATTGTAATCTAGAAGTAAAATGAGTTGTCAACAACACCTTATATTACCTTGAAAATCCAAAACTACCCTGACATCCTACTTTCCAGCCAAAAAAAATTAAAATTTAAGCTCAAAAAAACTAAATTTCAAACTAAAAAACTAAAAAATAACTAATTTTGAACCCTCAAAACTCTCAAAAACCCTAGTTTCAAACCTTAAAACCCTCAAAAACCTCAACCTTCCCCCTATTCACTACAGTAAAACAGATTAAAACTGAACTTTTGATCTCAGATTAACGTATTCGTTTTCAGATGCGCGCAACATGTGTCGCTCTTGTCGCTTCCACAAGTGTTTGAACAAAGGAATGCAAACCTCAGGTAATTACCCCCCAACATAAATGTTCTAGTTAGTGTGGCATAGAATTTGGTGTTATTGAATTAGGTGGACATCACAACTCTTGACAAACTAGAAAACGCATGAGTGACTCGAAACTAGAAAGAAATAAAACATTAGGGGGTTTGCGATAAGAGTCGTATATTGTAGCTGTAAAAACATTTGTTTTTGTTGTTTATTGTAGTAATTTTTAATGGAGTTTGGTTTCGGTTTAACATTGACATATCATTTTAAAATGTAATGCTTTTGTTGTAAAAACCATCACAAAAGTTTACTTCCTCAAATACAATAACCCTAGTTGCATATAAAAAAACATTCGATAAAAAAGACCCTTGCTATCAGGGACGTTGCTACGGTTTTTTCTCTGGGGGGGGGGAGGTCGAAAAATTTTTTTTGGTCCACAGCTACCTGTGGACCGATTTAAAAAAAATTCGTTTTTCCGCGCACAGGTACCTCTGCCTGTGGAATTTTTTTCGGATCGGCTCTGGGGGGGGGGAACCCCCCCCAAACGACGTCCCTGCTTGCTATAACAAACACAAAATGCCCTGTGTTGGTTAAAATAAGAGTCAACTGTAATGAAAGTTTCTTAATTCGGAAATTACAGTAGATCAATTTATAAGCATCACCAAAAGAAGATAATTTACCGAATAGTCATTTTTTACATGAAAATAGTGCTGCTCGGATAAGATAGCTTGTTAAATATAACGAGAGTTTTCTTATGAGTCTTTACTTTTATTGTACTTGAACTAAAGTAAACTTCTGTGATAATTTTTACAGCAAAAGCAACAAATTTTAAAAGACATATCAAGGTAAACTCAAAGCAAACTCCATTAGAAATTACTACAATAAATACCAAAAAATGTTTTTACTGCTACTATATCCAAAGTCTTTTATCGCAAACCCCCTAATATTTTATTTCTTTCTAGTTTCGAGTCACTCATGCGTTTTCTAGTTTGTCAAGAGTTGTGATGCTCTTCTAATTCGAAAACATAAAATTATATATCCCAGTATATTTTTCTTATTATGCAGTTCTATAAAGAGGTCCTCTTCTGGAAAAATAAAATTTTAAAAAGCATTTTTCGAGCCAAATTAACAAATCTGATTACAGCGGTCCAACACGCCCGTGATGGCATAGGAAAACGTCGTGAACCTCAAAAACGCCCGAAAGAATCCTCTTTCACCGACTCCGGAATATCACAAACCTCACAATTATCAGGCCAAACTATCGTTGACAACTCGCCAACAACCTCGTCTCTCAACGGTTCATTAAGCTTCGCTTCGACGCCGACCTCCACCGACGGTGGAAAGTACACATTGTCTACTTATCAAACGAACAACAGTGTAACCGGTCTTGCCAATGCATTGTATCAGTATAACCAAGATAACACATCTTATGCCAGTCCACCGGATCAAAGAACCGTGTTGCAGTTGGGACAAACTATAAATGTTGACAATAATCCCGTTCCTTATGTAATGAATAGCTTGGCTAATGTGAATCTCCAACAACTGACACAAGTTGCATTTGCTCAACAACAGCAACAACAACATCAGCAGCAACCACCGCCAAGAGAATCGGATATGAAGCTACTTAATCGTATGATCGAAGGTTATCAGCACTTCAGAAGCTTGAGAAAAGCCTCGTACACACTTATTGACGACACTCCAAGACTTCAGAAGAATGTAGGTTTTTGATATCAATTATATTATAATATGATACCAACCTTAGTACTATGATATGAGATCAACCTAGCCACTATAATGTTATATCTTATACTGCAATATCAGTATTATTAACTTAACCATGGCTTCACAATGTCATTCATATACCCTAACATTCAAAGTTGAACTAACCTTACCAATATTATCAATTTCAGGGCGATTTATCCCAAAGCAACTACGACACATCGAAAAAGCATTGTAAGATCGAAGCCAGTTTGCTGATGGACACTGTAGACAAATTCTACCATCCATTCGAAAGCCTAAAACAAGACGACCGCAATGGCTTATTCGACCAATTTTTCTGCATGTTCACTAACGCTGAGCGCGCATTCCGCTCCTACAAACTGTTTCCAGTTGGCGACGATCGACTGATCATGCCTGATGGTGGTACTATCAAGCTACAAGAACTCACTAGATTCTACGAGAATAGTTCCAGCATCAGAGGCGATCCATCACAGCTAGCTGGCATTTTTGAGAATGCCATGAGCTATGTTGTGAATGTGATCATTAATAAGATGAGGAATTTGAATATGACAGAGACTGAATTGATTGCGCTGAGTGGAATTATGCTTTGGAAGGATAGTAAGTGACATTGTCGTCTATATATTACTATAAGTAATCATCTTTACTCAATTCTATAAGCTATTAGAAAGTGAATAGTATAAAAAAAGATCCTGATTGTGAACAAAAACCAATTCAAACCCATTTTCAGCAGTCAAAGACCTATCGCCTCAAGCCATCGCTATCGTACACAGCAGCCGCGAGCAAATCATGCGCGATCTACACTTGTACTACCGTTCTAACGGCGTGTATGACTGTGATATCACAATCAAAGTGGCAAACTTGTTGCTACTTTTGCCTGAAATGGAGCATGTCACCCGCTTGATGAGAGAGAACTATCACTTGGCCGCGGTTTTCAATATTATTGATCCGCCAATGTGTGGTAAAACCAAGTGTAGTGAATAAGAATCATATGCTTCAATAAGAAACTTATATAATACTCTGTAGTCCAAGATTATATGGATCAACATTGTAATAAATAGTGATAACATCATTATTTTCTATAATAAGATCATCCATTTCTACATTTTTGCTACATAAAGCACTTATTTTACGACATTTCCATCCTGGCTTTGTCTGTGAGTGTTTCAAATATTTATTTTATAAGTATTTTTCTATTTCGGTATGATTTATATTGTCATTTATTATCAAACACTTGTTATATCTTCAACAATATTGTGATTATTTCAATTATCTACACAGTATATTTTTATTTCACCTCATTTTTTATCAATACCAATAAACATGCCTCAAAAAAGATGTGTTACTAATAGAAGAGCTACTTCTACTCCGGCTACAGTTATAATAACGTTCTGACCTTTTGTGGCGATGCTACAAACTATGCTGCATGTCCATAACAAACCAACATAAACATTGTGTCAGAACAGACTATATTATGCACGCATAGCTTATTACCAAAATGTGTTTACTACCTTTATGCAAATAAAAACTAATATTAAATTTACACACACTTGTTATACTTCAGAAAGAGTTCTGATACTCATGTACTCGAAAAAGAGTTCTGATACTCGTATACTCGAGAAAGAGCTCTGATACTCATGCAAAGGGTTAAGAACTCATACAAAGAGCTAAGAAACTGTCGGAAGGGTTAAGTTATGCAGCACACGCTTTGGCCAAGAGTTTTAGAGCTTAGGTTACCTACATCTCATAATAACATCCCAGCAAGTAGCTTTTTGTTACGCACGACGAACAGATTTGTTATAGAGGATATCATTGTTAAAACGAAAAAATTAGTTTTAAAAATTCATAAAGTGGCTTTGCAATGAACAGTAAGTTAGATAGATGCCATTTCAATAATCAAAGGGTTTAATATTCCATTCTTTTTTGAAATTTGGCCTTTTACAATTCCTTCTTACAATTATTTTGCTATCAGTATTCTGAGTATCATACTCTTAATCCAAAAAGTTCGTACTCTAATTCAGATACTATAAACCCAGTCAAATGCATTAATTTACGATACCACACGCTTTTCCACAATAATGTCCCTTCATTTCCAGCTAAACACTCCAAGCATTGTCTGGAAAAGTACCTATGGAAGTACGAGCTACATGGTTTGTCTCAAGTTATTATTGGAAAGACACTGAGGTCCCGAATCATATGGATCAGCATTATATTCACCTGCACCTTCATAGCCCTATGTACCACCTACGAAGTTGTGACAGAATATATCGACTTGAAAACGACAACTTTGATTACGTTTAAGCGCGCGAAACGTCTCAAAATGCCAACTATTGTGGTAGGTTTTATGCTAATTTACCTTCTGTGTAAATCTTGCTGAACTCTTAACACCACCCCTTCAAGGTATACCACCAAAACTTTTAGGTATGCCCAAAAAACCCAGATGCAGTAGACATAGAACGTTTATCAGGCGAAATTAAATCCAAACTTCCATTCATTACCCCTAATGATACAAAAGCGCTTATTAGTTTTGCCATAGCTGGATCTGGTTTAGCGAATATGGAACGACTGGTTTATAGTTGGACGTCATTGCAAGGGCAACGGTACCACGCTATGCTGCAGAAATGGAAAGGACCCAGAAGTTACATTGAATTTTACAATGATATCTTCTTCAAATATGGGTATAAGTGCAAAGATGTGAGTGTTTTGCCTTGAATTTGTTTTACATTTGCATTTTGAATCAACTTTTGCGTTTTTTATTTCATTTTCTCTTTTTTACCTTTGTTTCATTGTCATTTACTTTGTTTTCCTAATATTATCCTTGTTTTTAAAGTTGTTTTATCGTTTTAACATACGTCTTCACGTTAAATTTTTTAGTTATTTTACTCCTGCTACATTGGCTACGATCGTTTTGATTGTTGTGAAAAGTTCACACCACAGTATGTCATGCTTCGTGGCAAATGCTATCGTATGGAGCAACACTATCAAGAAGCACCCGATATTCATGGTAGAATAGCATTGCTGATTCGACAACTACCTAGCCCTTTCGTAGAGGAGAATGGACGACAGGTAGGTTTAGGCAATAAGCTTTGTGATTGTTCAATTCGTTGTTATCGCTGTGATTGTTTGAGTCTTTGTTATAGTTGTGATTGATCAATTCTTTGTTATTCATGAGTGTTTTAGAAAACAAAAATGAGAAGGCACGTATTTTACATTACATAACTCTGTTTTAGCCTCAAGCGGTTGTTTTTGTATCCGATAACTACACGGATATATCAACATTTCCACGGTAAGTCAAAAAATCGAATTCGAATTTCACTTCCGTATACGAAGCTTCTGAAGAAGCTTAGAATTCATGAAACCTTAATATTTATGTGTCCCTACTCCAAGCTAGCCTAATTTCAAAAACTTTCTTAATCCAAGCAAACCTTTATTTAAAAAAAACTTCATTCTCTACCATTACCCTCTTTTTCAGCTACTACATAAACCTGAATGAAGCAATATTCGTACATTTTTCGGCACGTTTACTACGAATGTCTCCATTCGAATCCGAATGTTCAATGTTGGAAGAAGACAAAGGCCGCGCCACCTGTTATGTCAAGAAGTATCATGAATATAGGGTGCTTGGACCACTAAACTGTTCACTGTTTTACCTTAATCACCGTGTTGAAGGCTACCAAACTTGCGAACCTTTGGACATTGTTTACAATTACAACGTGGTTGTTAATGGTGCTATTGGTTTCATTGGTGAAAGGGTGAGTTTGCTATTGTTTGATAGATTGTTTTGTTAGTTGAGTCATCTCTTTTAGGTTATAATTGTGCTTATTATTTCTTGTATTAATCTTTTTTGATTCTTGAGGTTTTTATTGAATCTTTTTTATCATTTTTCGAGGTTTTCATTAAAGACATTATGTAACCTTGTTAATATCGTTCTTTTACCTTGTTTTACATCCATCTTGATCAATATTTTTATAATTTCCTTGTAATTCCTTGCGGTTTTTATTTATTTTTATATGACTTATCTTTCAATTTATCTTTTCTGAATACAATTTTTGAATTTTCAGTGTTTACCACACTGTAACCGCTGGTACTACGAGTTTGGAATTTACCGTTCTGAGATAAACGAACGATTCAAACCAAAAAACGAAACCGTTTTCCGATTTGAAAGTGGATTCACTAATTTAGAGGTAGGTATTCATAAACTGAAGTAAATTGTTATGGTAGGTTCTCCACCCACCTTATAGGGTTGTAGCCAGTCCTAGGGCGGTGTAACCACCCCAAAAGCCGTCTTTTATCATAGCCATAAAAAAATACCAGCCATATCTTTCTTAAGCCAATAAACACCTTTTAAGCCTAAAAATATGCTTTTTAAAGCCTTAACACCCGGCAAAACTCCATTTTTACCCTAAAGTACTACACATTAATCAATCCACAATGTTTTTTGTAAAAACAACGAACCAAACTTTCACAGTACTAACCTTGAAACCCTTTTTAGTACGAAGTGTACGAGCAAATACGCACTACGACATTACCCGGCTTTGTATCACAAATTGGAGGGCAAAGCGGCCTATTTTTAGGCTTTTCAGTTATGACACTGGTTCAATTCTCCCTATCTATGTTCAGGTTTGGCAAACATGGCATTTTAAGCTTCAAAAACAAATAGACTAAATTTCAAAAATAGCCTTTTCAATTCAAGTCTACATACAAATTTTATCAATAACAACATAGCCGTACAACAATATCTTTAAAAGTCTTCAACTTACTCGTATAAACTGTCTGATAAATTGCAAATTATTAAAATCCGTGAAAATTTAAATTCGAATTCGAAACTACGAAGGCTTGAGATTGACCATTCGAAGGTAATTTCGGCCAGAAGGGACGGCCAATCCTCTGATATCGCCAAATCTTTGTTGAGCTGCTTCATTGTCAAGGCTCGGAACAACCATACACGCGTCTCCTGGGTGCCAGTCAGCTGGAGTTGCTACTGGATGAGCTGCAGTCAACTGGAGTGAGCTGAGGGCTCGGAGGATTTCGCTGAAATTTATGTTGTTTTAGATTTTTGAACATTTTAACATAGGTAACAAGGTAATGTAGATATTTAATAGAGTAATTTAATTTTCTAAAAAACAAATTCTTAAGTCTTTTCATGCCTATTCTATAACTAAAAACTTAAAAAATAACCTTAAAACCACAAAAATTAGATCATCATTAGGTTTATCCTGAAGATTACCTAAAATAAGATAAAAATCAAGAAACCCACTCAAAATTCCGGCCAGTAGTCGCTGGATACAACAAAGACAACTTCAGTTTCCTATCAGGTCCAATGATAAATACAGCACGTGCAGCCAAAGGCATACCTGATCGGTTAAGCTCGTCCGGATCTTCCATACCCAATAAATCAATCAGCTTTCGTTTTGAGTCGTCTATGATCGGATATGGAAACTTTTCTGAAAGGAACATTATCATTAATGTTGACTTAAGTCAATTAGAAGATTTTATTAAAACAGAGTCAAAAATAACTGTGTAGCGATGAAAAAAAGATATTAAAGTAGAACGTTTAGCCGAGAATTATGAGTTCAAAATGTAAAATACAAAATTAACTTAAAAAACTCAAATTTGAGACTCTCAACTTGTAGAAAAACATCCGTCAGCTCTTTGAATACATAAAAACAAAGAAAAACGAAAGAAACCATTACCTTCCTCAATCTTCTTCACAATATCTCCATCAGCAGCGATATTGCCAAACGAAACAATGTCTTTAATCCAATGTCTATGCGACTCTGCAGAATCCACACTAACAGCAATCAGTTTAGTGTTTCTCCTGGCGAATTCTGGAGCCAATTGAGCTACACGAGCCAATTCTGTTGTGCATACCGGTGTGAAATCGGCTGGATGAGAGAAAAGAATGGCCCAGCTGAAACGATAAAGCTATATTAAATTAAACAACATCTTAGTAATGTTTTACTTGCTGTTCTCGGTATATACAGCTTCTATTCGAGCTCCACAAGGTCTTTTGACAATCCAAACCTTCATCCATGCCTAAAATTAATTTAAACAAACAAAAAACTCACTTATCACCAATCCATTCGTGAAAACTAGATATAAAACCAAGAGAAGTTTCACAGCTAAACTCCGGAAACGGTTTTCCAAGTCGAACAGACATTATTCAAGAGGTATAATGTCAATAGAAGTAATATAACTTCTGATATATAGTCGAATATCTAATATACAAGTAGTTCAATGTCTGAAGCTTTGAAAACGTTCTTCTTTGATTATACTACGTGAATAATTCCGATTCTACGCCTATATCAAAGTCTTTTTCTGAAAAAAGATCTGTGAATTTTATGAAAAACAAAAATAAACGTCAGCTCGCGTCCGAAAAGCTGCGAGCTGCGAGTTTATGGTTAGTTTTATTTACAGCCGGCTGCAAGGGCATGGATACCTTGCAGATTGTAGGTATTATAATTGTTTCTATACTAAAATAACATAAATTCAAAAAATTTTTCAAAATTTTTCATTTTCACATTTTAAAATTTGAAAAATCCATTTAAAAACCAAAAAAATATTCAAAATCTCACAAAATACTTTAAATTTATTGACATTACTCTGTCTATTCTACATTATTACCCTAGAGGAAGTGGCGATGGAACACCGAGAAATCAACATGTACAATAAACAGAAGAGAGGCAGGTGTGACACGATTCCTGGATTAGACTACAAAGTTTAGCAAGATGAAGTGTATGACAAGAACAATACCAAATTTTAAATTTCAAAGTTTGTTTTAAAAATTAAAAAAAATAATTTTTAAAACAAAAAAATTAAATTTAAGACTGTTATGACATAGTGGCACCCAATTGTTTCCGTACTGTCTCGTAGACCACGTAGGAGATGCTGACAGCTGGTATGACCTTCATGAAGTTTGGTGTTATGCCACGATATAAGCCCGTGGGGCCTTCGTTCTTTATAATGTACTTGAACTGGCCTATCATCGTGTCTGGTTGGTTTTTATCGTTGCTTATCGCTAAAATTAAGAAAATTATCGTGCTTGTAGTAGATCATATCCTACAATAATATATCTAAAAGCAAAATTTAAGGCACACAACCTACTACAATATAAACTACATCCAAAACAAAACTTTATACCACCAAAAAGCCAAATATTTCCCAATAAAACCCGGTAAAAACCTTACACCGTGCCTGTAGCCTTGTCCTGATCAATGCCAATGGATAACTGGCCAACTGTCCGCATGTACTGCTACATGTTCCACAAGCCAGCAGTGCCAGGACCCCCGGTTCACTGACCAAATTATGTTTAAGGTATTGTCCTTTTAGTGTTTCGTAGATCGCCAAGTCGATACCCGCATATGGAATTATACCTAATAGATTAGGAATGTAACCCTGAAAACGGTCGTACTAGTCAGAATTTTTAATTTGAAATCGATTTGAAATATAATTTTGAAAAAGATTTGAAAAATCAAAAAATATGTTCCTCCCCCCCACTTACCTTGTAAAAGCATAGAAATCCTTCGTGTTTGTACATATACCTCGCGAATGCCATTAGCCCTTTATCCATCTGACCACTCTTCCTCAACGCCAGCCTCGTCTTCAACACCTCTAGAGGATAGATCAGGGACTGTGCTATGGCACCAGCTGAAGCTCCGGCTACGAACCGCTCTTGAATCGTCAGTTCTTCTTTTCCTCGAACCCTCTGTATCACTCGCTTCATTTGCTCGTAGGCCATGAATTTGCACGCGGATTCTGGAGCTATTTTCACCACGTTGATTCCGTTGCCACGCCAAAAAGACTTGACACCGCCCTCACTGTGTAGGTATTTTATGGCTCCGATTACGCCGTAGGGGGTTTGTTTACTTGAGTGGACCTGGAAGGTAGGATAATATAGAAAATGTGTAATATGTGAACCCGCCCTTATAAAAAAATCAAAAATTTTTTGATCTTCATCCTCTCCCTTTCCTGACTCATATGAAACAAAAAATTTTTAAAAATCCACCCCCTCCCAAGAATAATTTTACCCCACCCGCCCCCAAAAATTAAAAAAGTAAAACCTAATACCCCTTAAATTCAAGAAAAACTTTTTCGAAAAAAACACCTCCCCCCCCTCAAAAAAACTTTTACCCCGCCCACCCCCTTCACCGAACAAAAAATACCCGCCTAGTAATAACTGCCATCTATAAAAAAATTTGCTCTATATCAATCGCCATATCTTCATATAACTTACCTGCAAAAAGACTTTTAGCCTATCCAACGGTGCCGTACAGGTCCTACTCATGCATCCAGCCACTCCTCCGGCCACTAGATGCCTCCACCAAACTCCGGTTTGAAGTTCGGCTGGAGTAAAGTCTTCTGGGATCTGACTGTCTTCTCCAATGTCTATCACCTTAACATTTAGCATTTTAGTTGTTTTTATGGATTTTAGTGGTTAATATCAAGATTTAAACTCTAAAAAAAGCAATTTCTTTTATTTTTAGGTATCAAATGACTTTTTCTACCTTTATATAAAGCTTTTTATATAAAATAACGACATAAAAAGTCATCTGTTGGCCAAACAATACCATAAAAACCTAAAATTTTGAAAAAATAGCTAAAAATCCCTTAAAAAATCATGTATTTATGCCATTTTGGTCTAAAAATCTCCCAAAAATGCTGAAAAACCCCACACACGCAAAAAAGTAACTTCTTGATCAATATATGTAACTGAAACTCATTTTACAGCCAAACCCTTACAAGATTATGCCTCCAAAACTTGGCAATTTCCAACGCATCCGAAGACGGATACAACAACATAAAGTCCTTGAATTCCTTCAAATCCACTGAACTTGATCCCGTTTGATCCATCTGATTAACGATATGTGAGGCTTTGGCATCGCTCAAAGGCATTCCGTGCTCATGGCAGTAGCTTTTAATCTCTTTTTCGTCTATCAGGCCTGAAATTAGGTTTTATATTAGGCTTTTTTCATTGCGATTTTGACAGTTTTATATAAATATTACCCTAAGGATTATAAAAATATAGTAAAATACTTAAATTTTAATCACTTCATTTCGAAAATGTCTTTAATCTTCAAAGTTTTAGGTATAAAACAGAACAATTTGCAAAAACTCTCAGTTCAATATTCATTAGTGTTAAGTATTGAATCAGCACCTCGTATTTTACACTATTCAACTACAAATAACGACAAAACTAACCGTCTTTGTTCCTGTCCAACTCCTGAAACACTTTCTCCAATTTCCTTTCATGTTCTACAATATATTCTATAAACTCAGGGTAATTAATCCAGTCCTTGTCTTCTTGTGATATCGTTTGTAATATTTTCTAAAAAGGTTCGGTTTTACATTCATAAAATCAAGTTTATTAATTTTAAAATGTAAAAAGCCTACTACAATATATAATAAATAATAGTTATTAGCTTTTACTTTCAGAGTTAATGAGGCTTTTTTTATAAATAAGCATTAATAAAAGTAATAAAATGCTTTTTGACGTATTTTAATAGCCATTTGACGCTAGTTTTAAGCAGTTTCTCGAACTTTTTCAAGCCTCAGAGGTAACAGCCCAGAAAGGTCAAAAAGAGCCAATAAGGCTGCCTATTTGGCCTAAAATTCAGCCCTCAATCCCTGAAAAATCGGCGCTAGGACAAATGCGGTTTTTGGACATTTGCGGATCTGCGGTTTTTAGACACTTGCGGATCTTCGGTTCTTGGACATTTGCGGATCTGCGGTTTTTAGACACTTGCGGATCTTCGGTTCTTGGACATTTGCGGATTTTTTAAAGGTTTTTTTTTTTTTTTTTTAGTTAATTTAGTTGTATTATGGTACTAAATTGTACTAAAGTTTGAATTGGTACGGTTTTAACATAACAGTACCTTTTTGGGCTTTTAGTACTATTTAGTACCAAAAATATAAGAACAGTACCGATTAAAAATTTAGTACTATTTAACATTAAGAAATATTAAGACAGTGCCAATTTAAACTTTAGTACCATTTAGTACCATACTACAACTAAATTAAATAAAAAATAAAAAAAACCCCTTTAAAAATCCGCAAATGTCCAAAATCCGCAAGTGTCCAAAAACCGAAGATTCGCAAGTGTCTAAAAACCGCAGATCCGCAAATGTCCAAAAACCGCATTTGTCCTAGCGCCGAAAAATCAGCTCAACAAACTTCTTAACGTCTACTATCTAAAGTACACTTCAAGCCATCTATTACCTCCAATAACCACCATTAATAACATACCTAAACTTCAAAAACCAAAAATAAACAAAAACACTCACCGGTGCCAAATTACTTGGAATATGCGGTACCTCTTTCTGCAATGCTACCGACAAGTCTCGTATATTAATCGTGCCATCATTGTCCATATCCAATCGATCATACAACTCTCGTATCTGCTCCTCCTTCTCCCTACTCAGCCCACTTAGGTTGACATGAGTCTTGACCGCCGCCTCCTTCGAGACGGAGCCCTGAATCAGCGGCGCCTGAGGCTGATGGCTGGCTAACGGATTTATCTTGTCAAATGGTACTCCTTCAAGGGATGAGGTTGCTACTGCACAAAAAATAACACATTTAATCAGGGTAAGGGCGAATATTTGTATAGCGTTTACATATTGCGTGATGGTGAAGGTAAACAACGTGAATTTGTAAACATTTTGAGAAATTTGGGTATAATTTTAAAGGGTATTGGCTTTGAAACCTCAGAGACGTTGTGTTTTAATCAGTTAGACATGAAACTGGCCAAAAATGACACAAAACCTCCAAAACTCAACATTTTAACCCCGTTTTAAACAAAAAAAACCTCATTCTAATGCTATAATCAACAATATATTTAAAAAATTTTGCAAAAAAACAAAGAAGCCATAAAACTACTTCAATATTATGCAAAAGTATCAAAGCCAAACTCCGTGAATTTCCCCAAAAACAGGACGAAACAACAAAGAAAGTCTGAGAAAAGAGTTATCGCCCAGCTACTCTCTCATCACTTTCTAAAAAAGCCCAAAATAAGGCAGTCTAAACAAACAAGACAACAAAAAATATTACACTACCTTCCGATCGTGGCCCCGAATTTGTCGCCGAAGGCTGTGATGAAGATGAAGCTTTGGAAGGTGATGATGAAGGTTGATTTTGTGACGTTGAAGGTTGATTTTGTGGCGTTGAAGGTGGATTTTTAGATGAAAAAGGTGCCGAAGAGGCCGATCCACCTTCGGTTGACTTTCTCCACGTTTCATCGCTTTCATGTGTCCTCAAGAGGGCTGGATCGGGGTGGAGTGGACTGCCCGCATTTTTGTGAGCACTGGCCATAATTTATGGTCCATCCACCCAAGTCGACACTATTTTGGTCTTCAAATAGGTTTAGTTTACTCTAAAAAATGAAAAGCTTAAAAATATATTTAAAGTCAGGTTATACAAGTTATATAATAAATAAGATAACCTAAAACAAGGTAAAACCATATTTACTGCCAAAAACGTTAAACTGCAAATTAAGAAGTCTGCCCGATCACACATCATTATACTTTTTGAACTTTATACGTAGCTCGTGATTTAAAAGTTCTTATCAAACAAAACATTTTATATTGTACTTGGACCTCTACTGTAATATCGAGAAAACACCTCCAATTTCATCTTTAGCTAAATAATAACATAAACAATATGTTTAGAAGTAGCTAAACAACAAGATCAATGTGAAAAAGTTAATCCAGACAAAAGCGCCAACGAAAAAGATCCGCGCAATCGAAAAAAAAGAAAAAAAAATGTGAACCTCGTATTGCTCAAAAAAGGTGAAGAAGTTTAAAAAACACAAAAAATTATTGAAATTGTAGCTTGAAATACACACTTGAAGGCAAAAGAACAAACTACAACAACTTCAATTAAAGAGCTGAAAAATATATTTTTCTGAAAAAATAAATTACTTTTTGTGGCGTTTCGTTGGCAAAAGCCGATAACGAAGACATCGGAGTGTCACAAAATGGTGAAAGGTTTTCTTGCGAATTTTGTTGAAGTTTAAATTGAAATATCCCAGTTTTTAGGTGTAAAAAAAGATGTGGTTAGAGGGATGATTAGGACTAAATCAAAGTTAAGCCTGAAAATTATGTGTTTTACCAATGATTTCGACTTCAGGCTTTGCCACTAGCGTTTAGTTGTCAATGTCTACTCCATCTTACGTCTTTGACTAGTTTTCATTTAAGAATTGACTTCGCAATATGTAAGAATTTACTTCATATTAATTTATACACATTTTTATTTAGATTCACATTAAAATAGCTTCAAAACATTATATTATCCATGTACAACAACTTCACAGCAAGCACGGATGAAACCCAGCCAATGTCACATAATTTGTCCGGACTTGGACCTGGATCTTGTTGTCATTGAATCTTCCGTAACCATTTCTTTTATTGCATTCTGCCATCTTGGATATTCTCTCACATAGCGAAAGTCGCGAAATACAATGTAGAAGAAGAAGGCATGTAAGACGATGAACATGTAGCAGACGAAGCCGGCCAGAAGGCGGCCACATGCCAGTTGATAGGCGTCCCAGATCTGTTCCTCATCTCCGACGAGTCGTGGGTTTCGTCTTAGGTAATATATTGTGTGTTTCATGTAGTGGTAGAGAGTTACTGTCAGGATGCATAAGGAGATGATCTGAAACAGTTGAATGATGTAGATGCTCAAGACTTTTAGGCCTAAAAATGTCTATAAAACGTAATGTTCAACACTTTTTTGCTTCAAAATGACCACACAACGTGTCATGTCCATTTAACTTTACCTTTCCCAACTTACCATTACAACCGCATACACATAGTACAAATTTTTGATTTGGTGCGATTCCCAACCAATAGTCAAGTAGGTTATGATCATCACGAAAAAGACGCTGAAGGTTATTTGATTCCGTATTTCGTAGTCTCCTCGGTTATAAATTTCGTAGGACCTTTCGTAGGCTGCGGCAATTAGCAATATGATGCATATGATTACGATTAACACGACCAAAAGCTGAAAGGTATGATGTTATCCTTGCACTATATATATTAGGTGCCGACATAAAGAACCCGCCATACTTTTTTTGTAATTTCCTGTAAAAAATGGCGGATTCTTTATGTCGGCACCTAATATGTAGCTATATTATGCTTCATAAACTATATATATATATGGCTATTATACTCCATAAAAAGCCATATATTAGGCTGTTTAAATAATTATGTGCCCCTAACATCAAAAATTTGCTTTGAAAGGAGGGGCGCAGAATTATTTAAACAACCTAATATATTGATTTGTGTAGTGGTAGACAGAGATTAATAGGTTGCTCTTTATAGAGGAGTTTGTTACAAATAAGTTTGACTGTAAAATAACCAAAAGATACTATACTATATTATAGTAGGTAATAAGAAAGTTACATGAACAGAAATGTATCCAAACCTGTACTGCGGATCCTGATCGGCAAACTTGAGCTTGCGAATGTACTTGCGCTTCTAAAAATGCTCTTATAGTAATATGGAGGGATACATTTTTTAAAAATCTTTGTTTAAAAAATTTTTTTTAGTTTTCTGTAACTACCATGAAAGTCGTCCGACCTGCCCCGCTCTCATTGACTTCAATCTTTTTATATAGAATGATAATGTAAATATGAGATCTTCAGCAACGTACTAAATCGCGCTTTCCAGGATATCTTGAGAAAATCGAGAGCAAAAAAGTACGTTTTGAATTTTCCGTCAAATTGGCATTGTGTTTCAAGCTTATAACTTTGTCATTTTTTGACTTTTAAGAAGTTTTCTTTGATATACTAGTAGAAAATCTTTAGATAAACCTACGTTTTTAAATTTGTAGGCATAGCTTGTCTGAAAAGTCGAAAAAAGTTCTTGAAACACAATGCCAAATTTGCCAAGTTGGCGGAAACTTCAAATAGTTTAACTTTAAAACTCAAAAGCGCGAGCTAAAATTTGTTATGGGTACTGCTGGGGGTACAATGAACTTATTTTAATAATTTTAAGTTGATTCTAAGTTGGGCAGGTTGGGTATTTTCCTTGTTAAAAATATATTTTTTTAAATTTTTTAAAATATTTTTTTGAAAAACTGCTAATTGACAAAAAAAAGCATTTTAATTTCCTCTTCCCCCCCCTCCAAACCCCCCCCTCAAAACCAAAAATACCCGCCCTTACATTTCCGGATCAAAACACAACATTACCTCTTTTAAAAGCTTAAAACCTACCTTTCTCTCAATAATATGTTGCTCATCTCTGACACTTTTCATAGCAATTCCGTTGCTGTTTGATAGATTAGGATTGGTACCATTTTTGTTCGCACTCGACGTGGGAGTACTTGAATCAGTCGGCGTGGAACTTTGTTATTTTCAGAAGGTTTTTGTTTCATTTTGCCGCGATGACCGACCAGGGCATGCGTAGTGTACAAAAATGGGTTGAGATTGCAACTTTCATCACAAGCTTGTTTTGAATCTGCTTTTCTCAACGATCATCGTGTTTTGCACAGAAAGTTCGAAAAGTTTGGGAAAAGAGCAATTTAAAAAAAAATTTTGAAAAATTTTGGTAAATTTTAATTTTTAAAAAATTTTGAAGATAGGATTGCTCACGTTTTAAAGCTTTTTAAATAAGTAACGTACATAAAATACGACTAAAGTATTTAAAGTACGATTATAGTACATAAAGTACGACTAGAGTACCCAAATTACAACTAGAGTATTTAAACTACGACTAGAGTACCTACAGTATGAATAGAGTATTCAAAGTAGGAATAGAGTCCCTAAAATACAAATAGTGTACTTAAAGTACAGTTTGAGTACATAGAGTACGAATAGAGAAACTGAATTACGACTAGGGTACTTAAAGCACGATTATAGTACCTAAAGTACGACTAGAGGATCTAAATTACGACTAGAGCAAGTGAAGTACGACAAGAGTACCTAAAATTTGACTAGAGTACCAGTACAGGTTGAATACCTAAACTACAGCTAAGTCCGTAAAGTACTATTATAGTAACTAAAGTACGACTATAGTATATAAGTTACGACTAAAGTACCTAAACTACTACTAGACTCACTAAAATACAACTATAGTACCTAAATTACGAGAACAGTACCTAAAATTTGACTAGAGTACCAGTACAAGTTGAGTACCTAAAGTACGACTAAATTACCTAAACTACTACTAAAGTTCGTAAACTACTATTACAGTACCTAACGTACGACTAGAGTATCTTAGTTACGATTAGAGTACCTATACTACTAATAGATTTACTAAAGTACAACTAGAGTACCTAAATTACGACAAGAGCACCTGAAATTTGACTAGAGTACAATCCTAGAGTACCAGTACATGTAGAGTATCTAAAGTACGAGTAGAGTATCTAAAGTACGACTAGGGTATCTAAAGCTCTATTAAAGTGCCTAAAATTTGACTAGAGTACCAGTACGAGTAAAGTACCTAAAGTCCAACCACAGTACGTGAAGTAGCACTCAAATCTTAATTTTTCCAAAATTTTTAATTTTCTGCGAGTTTTGTCCACCAACCGGTTGGTGTTTCTACTGAATTGAGGTTGTGTGCACGGTGGCTTCATTGTCGTATTCGCGAGATTGAAAAGTATGAAGAAACAATTGGACGGATCAAGGATTGTTTGCCTAGATGAACCCAAAGTCGGACCTTCAGATGGAGCGGATCTTAAGAGGAGAGGTGGAGGGAACGCTGAAGGTGGGCCAGGTGCACCATCAAGAGTCAAGGATAATGAGAAGGTTGAAAAGACAAAGTCAAGCTTTGGGACGGTTAGTACGGTGAGTTTTTGATATTCTTCTTGGATTATATTCTGGTTGTTCAAATAATTCTGTGCTCTTTTTTAAAACAAATTTTCGCAGTTAGAGGGCACAGAATTAATTGAACAACTTAATATTTTAGCACAGCGCAAAGTTGAGAAAACGTCGCTTCAATCCAGAAGAAGATCCAAAGAACTTGTGTTGTTATAACCACAAAATACATGTAAGTTTATTTATTTTACTTTGATTTATATGGTTAGAAATGACACGTAGAAGTATAGGGGCTATACTATGAGTCCTAAGGGGGACGATAAGTTTTAAATTTGTTACTTAAAATATTGACTTTCTTCATTTTAGCAAAAGGTGTGTAACACCACTACAGTCGGGTTTGGATTGGCCGGCAATAAGAATAAAAATCTAAACATGGTTTTTGGAAATGTAAGTTTTTTATTCTTTTTTAAATTCTGTTTTTTTTTTCTTAAAACAAGGTTCGTCCAAGAATCAGACATGGGGTGTCCAAAAATTTCAAACTATTTTGAAACCGTTCATTTTGTGTCATGAGGTAGTACTTAGACACAGTGTTTTGCCGGACCCGTCCGAAACTTTTTTTTCGGACCGGACCGGACCTCAGGAACCGCCGGACCGGACCTCTTAAAAACCTTCCGGACCGAAATTTTTTTAAATTTTTTTGCGGGTATTTACTTTTTGTTCCATTATAAAAAATGTTCCAAAAACACCACTAATGATACACCGCAGGGTGTCTCATGTATTTCTGCAAAAAGTAAAAGCTTACTAGTCCAAATTGGACTATTCTTTTTTTAGTACACTTGAAATTGCGGGCAGATTTGGTATTAGTACTTACATTTTGAATGTTCGGCGGACGGTCGGCGGAGGCCGGCGGAGGCTATTTTGTTGCTTTTTCCAATTCAAAACTTTGATTTTGGGTCCCTATGACACCTGCTATTTCTTCAAAACGTTTTGCAATCAAAGAATGTTTTTCTCTGCGTCGGCGAACCAACCGCGGAGAAAAAGTTTACCGCTAATTATTTTTTTTAAGTTTAAAATTCGATTAAAAAGGTTGCTAAACTCAAAAGACTTTTTAAAAATGAATGATACCATGTGAAAGAGCGTAAAAAGTTGACTAGAAATCTATTTTTAAAAACTGCTAATTTTGCCTTACAAGCCCGCTAGCGAGCTTTTAAAATTTTTACTATTAAAACGGCTTTTTTAAGTCCGCTTTCTTTTGGCTTCGTTGAAAAAGGAGAAGTAAACGTGTTCGAATGGCCGAATGGTCAAAGGCGCCGTGATTGCGCAAGCATGAGACTTCAGGTTCGATTCTCTTTTTGGGTAAATGAGTGGTATTCTTTTTTATTCAAAGGTTAATTAATTTTAATATACAAAAAAGAATTTTTTGTTGATAATTGCTTCTTACATATAATAAAACATAAAAAAAGCAAAAACTAAGGTTTTTAAAAATACAAGAATCCAAAAGAAAGAAAAACAAGTTATAACCTTTCACTAATGATTTGAAAATCTCGCTAGCGGGCTTGTAAGGCAAAATGAGCAGTTTTTGAAAATATATTTCTAGCCAACTTTTTACGCTCTTTCACATGGTACCATTCATTTTTAAAAAGCGAATGGGCAGCTTGTAACATTCCCTTGTTAGTTTAAAATTTTATTAAAATAGTTTAAAAGCTCAAAAGAATATCCCCAGTCTTTGTCCGGTGAAAAAATATTGAGTTTGAGCGGAGTTACGGCCTTCGCCAATTTTTTAAAAATCCGGACCGGACGTTTTTGGCACGGATGGGACCGGACCTGAGCGGAAAAAAATAGAGCCGGATCGGTCCGGCAAAACACTGCTTAGACATAGAAATGCAAAAATATTAAAAATTTTTCAAAATTCGGGTTACGGTAGGATTTAAACTTTTTTTTAAACTATTGTACTAAATGTCAGAATTGAATGGGACTTTTTTTAAATTGTTTGTCACTGTTTGTCACATTCATTTTATCTGTTGACAACTTTTTTTTATTATGCCCGGAAGGCATTGAAAAAAATTAAAATTTCCGAAAAAATCAACAAAATTTTACGAAATTAAAAATTTCTCAAACAAACCCCACATGTGATAAACTTTTTATACAATATGAAGTTACTTTGCTGTTTACACCATACAAAGTAGTTTTGTACGCTTTCGTCTTTTTAAAACCAAAATTTCTCAATTAGGATTAAAACCCCTGACTTTAACACCTCACATGTGAGTTACACCCTTTATATGATTCAACACTAAACAATCCAGTCTTGAATCATGAAACAGTACCCTCAGTCATCAAATTTGAATATATGTAATTAAAAATATTCTTTAAATTTACTTTAATCAACTAGTCAATTGTGTAAATTATAGGTTTGCAACAATATAATCAACTTGAATAATTGTCAGCACGTTTCACATGACCTACGGCTTGAGCATTTTCTAAAGCAATATGGGATTGTCCGAAGAGAAATTCCGGTAAGTTAGTTTCAAAACAGCAACACCTCTACTTGTGCAATTTTTTAAACCGGGCAGGGCATGCAAATCCGGAATTTTTGTCTAAATGCCTTTTAGACAAGAATTTGCTGTTTTTGACTGACTACGTTTCGGCGCTTTCTTCCAGAAGCCAAAGTGTTTTTGCCTTTTCCTTGTGAGACTTTAAAACGAAAGCTAAGGTTGTTTAGATAAAAAAATACTAATCCTACTGAGCTGAATCTATACCTTCATGAGCTTAGACTTAGTAAGTATAATAGATGAACGGTAAGTTAAATAACTAATTTTAAAATTTTGCAGATCAAAGCCAGTAAAAGGAGCCAACCACAACTAATTCGGTATCAAATCAAGTACAAAAGAGCCTGTCAAACAATCTACTCTGCGCTCCCGCCGAGAAAACAACAGACTGCCAAACAGAAGAGGGAGGGTAAACGTTTATGGCATTTGTTGAACATACCGGACGATGAATACCTGACCGCCTATCAGTTCTATGTAGTGTGCGGATACACTTTCTACCGCGAACGGTTCAATCCACTAAAGTCTGTAGACTTCCACTGCCATTAGTTCATCGATGAAAACAATCCGAAGAGCAACTAGAAAATAATTTTTAGCTTATTTTATAAGAATAAACTTACTAACTTGATTTTTTAGCAGTTTATGTGCGTTGTATAAGAGATTTCTCCAAATAAGATATTAAAAAACAATTAAAAACGTTTTTAAACTGTTTTACAAACCGTTTTACCTTTTGCTTGCAGTTAAAAGCGTACCGAATACACGCAAGAAAATAAATAGAGTTCGCGAATAGACCCTACCCTACCCTACCCTACTTTACCCTACCCTACCCTACCCTACCCTACCCTATCCTACCCTACCCTACCCTACCCTACCCTACTCTACCCTACCCTACCCTACTTTACCCTACCCTACCCTGCCCTACTTTACCCTACCCTACCCTACCCTACCCTACCCTACCCTACCCTACCCTACCCTACCCTACCCTACCCTACTCTACCCTACCCTACCCTACCCTACCCTACCCTACCCTACCCTACCCTACCCTACCCTACTCTACCCTACCCTACCCTACCCTACTCTACCCTACCCTGCCCTACCCTACCCTACCCTACTCTACCCTACCCTGCCCTACCCTACCCTACCCTACTCTACCCTACCCTACCCTACCCTACCCTACCCTACTCTACCCTACCCTGCCCTACCCTACCCTACCCTACTCTACCCTACCCTACTCTGCCCTACTTTACCCTACCCTACCCCTACCCTACCCTACCCTACCCTACCCTACCCTACCCTACCCTACCGTACCCTACCCTACCCTACCCTACCCTACCCTACTTTACCCTACCCTACCCTGCCCTACTTTACCCTACCCTACCCTACCCTACCCTGCCCTACTTTACCCTACCCTACCCTACCCTACCCTACCCTACCCTACCCTACCCTACTCTACCCTACCCTACCCTGCCCTACCCTACCCTACCCTACCCTACCCTACCCTACTCTACCCTACCCTACCCTACTTTACCCTACCCTACTCTGCCCTACTTTACCCTACCCTACCCTACCCTACCCTACCCTACCCTACCCTACCCTACTCTACCCTACCCTACCCTACCCTACCCTATTCTACCCTACCCTACCCTACCCTACCCTTGTGAATCTAAATAAAATCTTTATAAATTAATACAAAATGAATTCTTACATATTGCGAATTCGATCCTTACATTAAAATTCAATCAGCGGCATAAGATGGAGTAGGTATTGCCATCTAAACTATAGCGGCAAAGCCTGAGGTCGAAACCATTAGCAAAACACATGATTATTGGGCTTAACTGTGATTTAGTTCTAATCATCTCACGAATTACAGCTTTTTTTACTCCTAAAAACTGGGATTTTCCAATTCGAACACGTTCGGTCCTCATCTAAAGAAAAGGATTTTTAAAACGGCAGGGAGCTGCGTCCTACAGTTGCGACCCGCGCATTTTTCTATAAGACATCTTATACGATGTTTGTTGTATGAAAAATTAATAAATTACTGTAACTTTCTACAAAGTACAAAAAAATACAAATCCGTATTACAGAATTGAAGAAATTTATAGTTTAAAAAATCACGCGTAAAATAAAACTTATACTTTACTTCGTTCGGTCAATACTCATTGAAACAACTAAATTCGCACAGTATCAAAAAATTTAAAATACTAACAATTTTTTAAAGAAACAATATAATAAATTGTTTTACTAAGTTTATGTATTTTATAGGAACAACGTTTGTACAAAATATTAAGTTAATATTTTGCATTGTTAACTCGGTATCTATTAAAGTGCTATGTGAAGTACCGTAAAAAACGTTAAAGTACTGTAACTTTTTTTAAAAGTCAAAATCTAAAAATTTGTCTTGCAGAATAAAAGTAAACTACTAAATAACTGTCCTTATAAAATCTGAAGCTAAGCTAATTTAAACTTTAGTACCATTAAGTACCATAATACAACTAAATTAACTAAAAAATTGTAAAAAAACTCTTTAAAAAACCGCAAATGTCCAAAAACCGCATTTGTTCTAGCGCCGTTATACTACATGTATCATGATCCAGTACATCAATAAAAGCGTTTTATCATTGTTTTTATCAACCAATGATAATATTATAGTAGATTGTTCACATAATTCTGTGCTTCCTAAACCCAAAAATTTGCTTAAAAAAGAGGCACAAGATTATTTGAACAAGTTAATAACATATTCGTTTTTAACTCTGCGACCTTCGTAACAATATGGTTTTAGCTGCTTGTCCTAATCATGGCCATCGTTGACGCTTGTTTGCTCACGATCCTGACTGCAGAAAGAGTATATTCATATTTCATACGGCATATAGGAAGCATCGAAGTAGTATATGTCATTATTATGTTACTTTTCTGCATCACAGCAAATTTCATATTGATTGTGGCAAATCGAATGAGGTATAAGAGGTTGTACTACGTCTACTATGTGATTATGGTGTGTTTGGTTTTGGTTTTTTAGGTTCTTGTTGTAGGGTTTTGAAGGTTATGTTGTGTTAGAAGTTGTGGTGATTACGGAAAGTGTCCTAACATGTTATAATACAAGTTATGATGTAAAGCCAGTCAATAATAACCTTCTTAAGACTAAAACATCTTTTTAGATCCTCTGCATATTGGCGTTAACATTCCAAACAGCTGACTATGTCGAAGAAACAGTCGATTCCTTACTGACCGATCCACGACAACTTGGCTCCGAATACGACATCTGGCAAACGTACGATGAAGGGGTACGCAGAGTGATCAAGATTGGCGTTATGTACTTTATGATGCTGGTCCATTTGATGATCTTCTACGTTTACCGCGACTATTGCTTCGTTTGTGATTATCCAAAAGGCTATGAACATAGTTAATGTGGTTGGATACTGTAGGATGACGATTTATGGACTGATATATTGATTTACTTACTGGTCAAGACACCTTTAGAATAATTCTATGGCGTTTTCAAATAAATTTATTAGATTGATGAAGTTACAGTGGTCTCCCTATATAGTGAACCATCTGTATAAGCAACTCTGCTTATAGTAAACAAAAAATTTGGCCCTGCCAAGTCAATTTGCACTAAAAAGCCTCTCTGTAAAGACAACACCTCTTATAGTAAACACAAAATGTCGATCCCTCCGGGTTGCTTATATAGAGAGAGTACTGTAGTTGATTGATAAGGCAATGACAGTTTATATAAAGCAAAGAAAGTTCATTTGTGCACGCGGACTATGGCAACTCGGCTGCTTGGCCTACACATGTTTCCAACTACGGCCTCAAGTCTTCAGGACCACCTTATCACGACTTGATACCTCGAGAAACAAGTTCAATTAGATGAGGTCCTATTGGGAACCGTTACAGTGAGTTGCTTTGACGGTCTTCACCAACTCCTTACCATCCGCGCCCCTCCCCCGCACGTCATCATGATCTTGCTTTGAGTAAAAAAATTATGAAAAAAAATTTTGAAATTTGAAAAAATTCATTTTTATAGTTTAAAATGTATTTTCTGTTTACAAAACTTGGAGGTTGGTGTGTTATTTTGTTGCTAGAGCTCTTAATCGTTATATTTGTACTAAATTGCGTAACGCACACCTAGGGGCGATTTTTTTATGGGCGATTTTTTTTTTGGGCGATTTCTTCAAGGGCGATTTCTTTATGGGCGATCCAAAATATTTTTAAAAAAATACCCTTTTGGTCCAACCTGACCCTACCCCTGACCCTTTTGGCCCTACCCAACCCTACCCCTGACCTTTTTGGCCCTACCTGACCCAACCCCTGACCTTTTTGGCTTTACCCAACCCTACCCCTGACCCTCTTGGCCCTACCCAAGCCAACCCCTGACCCTTTTGGCCCTACCTGACCCTACCCCTGACCTTTTTGGCCTTACCCAACCCTACCCCTGACCTTTTAGGCCCTACCTGACCCAACCCCTGACCTTTTTGGCCTTACTTGACCCAACCCCTGACCCTTTTGGCCCTACCCAACCCTACCCCTGACCCTTTTGGCCCTACCCAAGCCTACCCCTGACCCTTTTGGCCCTACCCAAGCCTACCCCTGACCCTTTTGGCTCTACCCAACCCTTCCCCTGACCCTATTAGCCCTACCTGACCCCATTCCTGACCTTTTAGGCCCTACCCAACCTCACCCCTGACCCTTTTGGCCCTACCCAACCCTACCCCTGACCCTTTTGGCCCTACCCAACCCTACCCCTGACCCTTTTGGCCCTACCCAACCCTACCCCTGACCCTTTTGGCCCTACCCAACCCTACCCCTGACCCTTTTGGCCCTACCCAACCCTACCCCTGACCTTTGTGGTCCAACCTGACCCTACCCCTGACCTTTTTGGCCTTACTTGACCCAACCCCTGACCCTTTTGGCCCTACTTGACCCAACCCCTGACCCTTTTGGCCCTACCTGACCCCATTCCTGACCTTTTAGGCCCTACCCAACCTCACCCCTGACCCTTTTGGCCCTACCTGACCCTACCCCTGACCTTTGTGGTCCAACCTGACCCTACCCCTGACCTTTGTGGTCCAACCTGACCCTACCCCTGACCTTTGTGGTCCAACCTGACCCTACCCCTGACCTTTTTGGCCCTACCCAACCTCACCCCTTACCCTTTTACCCTTACCTGACCTTATCTCTGATCCTTTTACCCCTACTTGACTCTACCCCTGACCCTTTTGGCCCTACCCAAGCCTACCCCTGACCCTTTTGGCTCTACCCAACCCTACCCCTGACCTTTTTGGTCCAACCTGACCCTACCCCTGACCCTTTTGGCCCTACCCAAGCCTACCCCTGACCCTTTTGGCTCTATCCAACCCTTCCCCTGACCCTATTAGCCCTACCTGACCCCATTCCTGACCTTTTAGGCCCTACCCAACCTCACCCCTGACCCTATTAGTCCTACCCAACCTCACCCCTGATCCTATTAGCCCTACCCAACCTCACCCCAGACCCTATTTGCCCTACCCAACAATACCCCTGACCTTTCTAGCCCTACCCAACCTTACCCCTGACCCTATTAGCCCTACCTGACCCTACCCCTGACCTTTTTGGCCTTAGTTGACCCAACCCCTGACCCTTTTGGCACTACCTGACCCTACCCCTGATCTTTTAGGCCCTACCTGACCCCATTCCTGACCCTTTTGGTCCAACCTGACCCTACCCCTGACCCTTTTGGCCCTACCCAAGCCTACCCCTGGCCCTTTTGGCTCTACCCAACCCTTCCGCTGACCCTATTAGCCCTACCTGACCCCATTCCTGACCTTTTAGGCCCTACCCAACCTCACCCCTGATCCTATTAGCCCTACTCAACCTCACCCCTGACTCTTTTACCCCTATCTGACCCTACCCCTGACCCTATTAGCCCTACCTGACCCCATTCCTGACCTTTTAGGCGCTACCCAACCTCACCCCTGACCCTTTTGGCCCTACCTGACCCTACCCCTGACCTTTCTAGCCCTACCCAACCTCACCCCTTACCCTTTTACCCTTACCTGACCTTATCTCTGATCCTTTTACCCCTACTTGACTCTACCCCTGACCCTTTTGGCCCTACCGAACACTACCCCTGGCTATTTTAACCCTACCCTATCATACTCTATGCTACCTACTATACCATACCTCACTTACCTAGTACACCATAGTGTCTCAGACCATACCATATCATACTATATCGTACGTTCTCTACTATTCTCTACCTTACCTACCATATCGTATTCTATACTACCTACCGTACAATACCCTACCGTATCCTGCACTGTCATACCCTATATATATAGCTATATTAACATACTCTGCACTATCTTATATACCATACTATACTACCTCATACCATACCAAACCCTATACTACTTAGTATACCATACCTAACTTACCTACTATACCATAGTATCTCATACCATTGGAACGGACAATTCGCGGGTGGTCACTTCGCGGGTGAAGATATATAGTAACTACTATGAAGTTGGCAATATTTATGTAAACTGTCAATATTACTAGGGTCTATTTAAGCCTAAAGTAAAATCAAAGTAATAGAAAAAAATGTTTTTGTTAAATTTGGTTTTTTTTTAACTTTTACATTTTTATGGTTAAAAAAGAGGGTATTTTTCGAAAACCGTGCCAAATACTATAGGAAACTGACGTCGACTTATAAAAATTATAATTTTGACAAAAATCAACTAATTTTAAAATTTTAAAATGATTTTATATGCATTTCAACCTGAAAACTCCAAATCTAAAAACCGTTTTGTTCTATCATCGCTTTAAATGGTAGGAAAACGCAATGCCAAGATTTGCCAATTTGGCGGGAATTTAAATTTTTGTCAAAATTTAGTTGAAATGTTAATTGTGTTGGTTTTTGTATCGTATAAGTACTTTAACTTCAAATTTTAGTAGAATTTTACCAACCGATAACAAAGTTACTGCATCACAAGTCAAAAGATACCACAGTAACCCAGTAAATAAACATGATAAAATAAGTAAAAATCAGAAATACGAGGTTTGTTAGTGTTTATTTGTTAAGTTTTACAATTCTGCAAAGTTTGAAGTAATTTGGATAAGTCGTTTTATAGTTATAAGTTTTTGGTTCGAAAAATGAGGTCAAATTCTATAGGAAAGTGATTAGGGCTTGTAAAAATAGTAATTTTAGTAAAAGTTGACCAATTTAAAAATTTTAAAATGCTATCATATGCAGTTTGGCTCAAACAAGCTAAATTTATACTTAATTTTGTTTTAGCTTCATTGTAAATGGCCGAAAAACACAATGCCAAGATTTGCCAATTTGGCGGGAATTCAAATTTTTGACAAAATTTTGGTTAATTGTTAATTTTATTGGTTTTTGTATTTTATAAGTACTTTAACTTCAAACTTTTATAAAATGCAATTAACTTATAACACAGTTACTGCATTTAAAGCGAAATGATACCAACTCTCTAACACAACTAGTCTAAACTGAAACCTCTCACTTCTGCTTCTAGCAGTACGTTGCTCACACATGTATCTAGCCTACTGTTAACCTACAACGACGTTTATTTACGTTTTATGGTGAAAAAAATCTAAGTTAATAGAGTTACTTTTGTATCTTTCGATTTTACATGCAGTAACTTTGTTTTTAGTTGATAAAACTGTATAAAAATTTGAAGTCAAAGTACTTATACAACACAAAAAACAATACCATCAACATTCAAACAAAATTTTGTCAAAAATTTAAATTCCCGCCAAATTGGCAAATTTTGGCATTGCGTTTTTCTATCATTTAGATTTAGGATCGAGAAAAACTAATTTTAGATTCGGCGTTTTCAATTCAAAATGCCTTTGATAGCATTTTAAAATTTTAAAATTGATCAATGTTTACCAAAATTACTATTTTTTACAAGCCCAAATCACTTTCCTATAAAATTTTAACTCATTTTTTGAATCTAAAACTCGTAACTATAAAACGACTTATCCAAATTACTTCCAACTTTGCAGAATTGTAAAACGTGACACATAAACACAAACAAACACAATTTTTTAATTTTTACTTTTGTTATCATCCGTATATACTCAGTTACTGTGGTATCTTTTGACTTTACATACAATAACTTTGTTATCGGTTGTTAAAATTTCATTAAAATTTGAAGTTAAAGTACTTATTCAATACTTAAAACAATAGTATTAACATATAAACAAAATTTTGTCAAAAATTTAAATTCCCGCCAAATTGGCAAATCTTGGCATTCTGTTTTTCGGGATTTTACAGTAAAGATAAAACAAAATTTATTTTAAATTTAGCTTTGTTAGATTAAACTGCATATTATAGCATTTTAAAATTTTTAAATTGGTCAACTTTTACCAAAATTACTTTTTTTTTACAAGCCCAAATCACTTTCTTATAGAATTTTACCTCATTTTTTAACCTAAGACTTGTAACTTTAAAACGACTTATCCAAATTACTTCAAACTTTGCTGAATTGTAAAATGTGACACATAAACACAAACAAACACAATTTTTTAATTTTTACTTTTGTTATCATACGTATATACTCAGTTACTGTGGTATCTTTTGAATCTACAGGCAGTAACTTTGTTACCAGGTAATGAAAATTCACCAAACTTTGTATGTATACTACTGATACACTCTAAAAAACAGTAGTGACAGCATTTTGGTTAAACTTTAACAAAAATTTGAATTCCCGCCAAATTGGCAAATCTTGGCATTGTGTTTTCCTACCATTTAAAGCGATGATAGAACAAAACGGTTTTTAGATTTGGAGTTTTCAGGTTGAAATGCATATAAAATCATTTTAAAATTTTAAAATTAGTTGATTTTTGTCAAAATTATAATTTTTATAAGTCGACGTCAGTTTCCTATAGTATTTGGCACGGTTTTCGAAAAATACCCTCTTTTTTAACCATAAAAATGTAAAAGTTAAAAAAAAACCAAATTTAACAAAAACATTTTTTTCTATTACTTTGATTTTACTTTAGGCTTAAATAGACCCTAGTAATATTGACAGTTTACATAAATATTGCCAACTTCATAGTAGTTACTATATATCTTCACCCGCGAAGTGACCACCCGCGAATTGTCCGTTCCAATGGTATGAGATACTATGGTATAGTAGGTAAGTTAGGTATGGTATACTAAGTAGTATAGGGTTTGGTATGGTATGAGGTAGTATAGTATGGTATATAAGATAGTGCAGAGTATGTTAATATAGCTATATATATAGGGTATGACAGTGCAGGATACGGTAGGGTATTGTACGGTAGGTAGTATAGAATACGATATGGTAGGTAAGGTAGAGAATAGTAGAGAACGTACGATATAGTATGATATGGTATGGTCTGAGACACTATGGTGTACTAGGTAAGTGAGGTATGGTATAGTAGGTAGCATAGAGTATGATAGGGTAGGGTTAAAATAGCCAGGGGTAGTGTTCGGTAGGGCCAAAAGGGTCAGGGGTAGAGTCAAGTAGGGGTAAAAGGATCAGAGATAAAGTCAGGTAAGGGTAAAAGGGTAAGGGGTGAGGTTGGGTAGGGCTAGAAAGGTCAGGGGTAGGGTCAGGTAGGGCCAAAAGGGTCAGGGGTGAGGTTGGGTAGCGCCTAAAAGGTCAGGAATGGGGTCAGGTAGGGCTAATAGGGTCAGGGGTAGGGTCAGATAGGGGTAAAAGAGTCAGGGGTGAGGTTGGGTAGAGCTAATAGGATCAGGGGTGAGGTTGGGTAGGGCCTAAAAGGTCAGGAATGGGGTCAGGTAGGGCTAATAGGGTCAGCGGAAGGGTTGGGTAGAGCCAAAAGGGTCAGGGGTAGGCTTGGGTAGGGCCAAAAGGGTCAGGGGTAGGGTCAGGTTGGACCAAAAGGGTCAGGAATGGGGTCAGGTAGGGCCTAAAAGATCAGGGGTAGGGTCAGGTAGGGCTAATAGGGTCAGGGGTAAGGTTGGGTAGGGCTAGAAAGGTCAGGGGTATTGTTGGGTAGGGCAAATAATGTCTGGGGTGAGGTTGGGTAGGGCTAATAGGGTCAGGGGTGAGGTTGGGTAGGGCCTAAAAGGTCAGGAATGGGGTCAGGTAGGGCTAATAGGGTCAGGGGAAGGGTTGGATAGAGCCAAAAGGGTCAGGGGTAGGGTCAGGTTGGACCAAAAAGGTCAGGGGGTAGGGGTTGGGTAGAGCCAAAAGGGTCAGGGGTAGGCTTGGGTAGGGCCAAAAGGGTCAGGGGGTAGGGTCAGGTTGGACCAAAAAGGTCAGGGGCAGGGTTGGGTAGGGCCAAAAGGGTCAGGGGGTTGGGTCAAGTAAGGCCAAAAAGGTCAGGGGGTTGGGTCAGGTAGGGCCTAAAAGGTCAGGGGTAGGGTTGGGTAAGGCCAAAAAAGGTCAGGGGTAGGGTCAGGTAGGGCCAAAAGGGTCAGGGGTTGGCTTGGGTAGGGCCAAGAGGGTCAGGGGGTAGGGGTTGGGTAAAGCCAAAAAAGGTCAGGGGTAGGGTCAACTAAAGCCAAAAAGGTCAGGGGTAGGGTTGGGTAGGGCCAAAAGGGTCAGGGGTAGGGTCAGGTTGGACCAAAAGGGTATTTTTTTAAAAATATTTTGGATCGCCCATAAAGAAATCGCCCTTGAGGAAACCGCCCAAAAAAAATCGCCCATAAAAAAAATCGCCCCTAGGTATGGGCAGCCCTAAATTGAGGTTGTAATCAAGGTGATAGAACTAATTTATACCTTCATCTTACTGCCTCTATCACTTTTATTTTCATTTAGTGGAGCTAAATTCAGTTTGACGGTTCTGATCTTGTCAAAAAGTTAAATTACTCTTTATGGTGCTATATTGCACCACCTGTATTGCACCAAAAAAGACAAGATATTGGCTTATTTTGACGTGGATAAGATATTGGCTAAGCTAACGGCCTTATAACGGTCCTATTCTTATATTAACATACGTCAAATATGCGGAAACGAAAATCAACTGAAGAAGAATCGAAAGACGAGGCCAAACAATCGTTGTTGAGTTCTGGATCAAAAGCTGAAGATGAATCAAATGAGCTGAGCCCAGAGGTAAAACGCGAAAAGAACTCGGAAAAACAAGTCTCAGATAAAGAAGAAAATTACCATGAAACGAAGAAGCGTAAGGTAGGGTAATATTGTTTTTTTTTGTAGTTCACGTTATTTATTGGAATAATTTTTTTTATTTTTGAGTTTTCAACGGAATTTTTGGTGTTTTACAGTTTTTTTAACCTTGCTTTACATTGTTTTATTGGGTAAATGGAACGGAATTATGTTTTTTTTAATGTTAAAACGTGAGATTTATATAATATAAATGTTATTCTGCATAATATATATGTCGGTTTATATTACTTTAGGTATTTTTGCTTGCTTTCTCTCAGTTTTTTGCTTCATTTTCGAAATACTTTATATTATTCATGATGTCAAACGTTTCAGAAGCGGTTTGGAGCTCTGTTGGGCGATAAACATGGCCATAGTCCTGAAGATGATCCAGAGTATTTGTGTTGTTACAACTTTAGGATTCATGTAAGTTTAATTTGAGGTTATTGCTTTTTTATTCTAGGCAGAAAGTAGCTGGAAAAGACGAGTTAAGACCAACTTTGTTCATGTTAGCTAAACACGCGTTATGTCTTTTGTATTTCGGTCAAATTATGTCTTTTGTATTTCTGTCAAAAAGTTCTCAGAAAACATAGAAGCTCTTATTTATGATAAGTAAAGTTATTACCTAAAATTTTGATTTTTTCAGTTTGTGGTATTCATAATGGCGTGCATATTCGGAGCGATCGCGTTCTGTGGCTTTGTGGAGCGATTTTGCACTTATCTTTCGGATCCAGATGACAGTAGAAAGACGGTGGAGTTATTGTTTATCGTACTGGTTGTTTCGTTGGCAAATGGATGCTTGATCCTTGGCAATCGATTCAGGTTTAAACAGTTGTACCACATGTACTTTCTTTTACTGGTAAGTTTTTGTTGTTTCTTTCGCTTGTAAATTTAGTTTTGGGACAGCACGCTCTTGCTAATACAATGCTGTTGATTTGTTAGTCTTGCTAAAGCAATGTTATGCATCGACTAGTGGTCTAACAAATTTCATTTTGAGTTTAATATAGCAAGAGTTTCCTTTGCCAAGTCATACAATAACATTACGTTACAGATGGGCAGTGTCATCGGCATATTGGTATTCATGGACCAATACCTCAAGGTTACCATCGACGCCCTAATTCAAGACCCACGTTACCTACAGACTGAAAAAGAACTGTGGGAAGCGTTTTATTGGGCGTTGCCACGACTATTCAAGGCCTTCTTCACTTCTCTGGTGCTGATATTACATGTGATGATCACATTCTATGTATATCGCGATTACTGCTTTGTCGTCGCTTATCCCAACGAATATAAACATAATTATTAAAATGTGGTTCTGGTTTTATAATACAGTTGATCTAAATATTACCTTGCATTATACAAGGTCAATTTTTGAAGTATATAGGAGGTTATATAGGGTCCGAAATGTTGAAAGTCATTTTCTTTTTTATTCAAGTTATTTACCGGTCGGGTTTATTAATTTGTCTAGTTTTAGTTAGACCTACATACGTCAACAATTGTTACTATCCTCTTCCACTGCCTTATATTGGTGTCTACGAACTGAAGTATGTTGAAACGAAGACCAGGAGGAGCAGATGCCAATGCATTGGCCAATGCTCCAGCGAACAGTGAGGTAAAACCTAAAGAACCTGGGGTTCAACAAGCAGAAAAATCGACCAAAGTTGAAGCTCCAGTGTCGACCTATCGAACTGTCATCAAAGCACTCGATTTGGAAACTGACAAACGTAGGGTAGGGTTGTTTGATCAATTTTTTGGTTTTTAGGTTTAGAATGAAGGTATAGAAAGAAGGTGTAGAATGAACGTGTAAAAGAAAGGTATAGAAAGAAGGTCTAAAGCGAACTGATTTTGAAGTTTTGATGATATTTTTAAAGAGAATTGAAAGATTTTTTGGACGAAACAGGTGTTTATCATGCTGATGACAAAGAAAATTATAAAATATATTTTCAGAGTAGATTTGGAGGTCTCTTGGTCGATAAAAACAGTCGCAATCCCGAAGATGATCCCGAGTATATATGTTGTCATAATCTTAAAGTACATGTAAGTCTGATTACTAACAGCTGAGAGGGGTTGCCAGAAGAGAGAAGGTCTTTAGGGAGATGGGGCCATTTCTCTCTCATCCCTTGTTTTAAACCAAAATGACCCGCCAGGTACTGTTTATACCTTTATTGTATCATTATATATCATTTAACTTTACGATTCCAGTTCGTCGTACTAATCATGGCTGTGTTCTTCGCTGTGACTGCCTTTGGGGGTGGAATCGAACGAATCTACACGTTTTGTGTACAAAAGAAAACACCCAACTCAGGATACCAAATTCTTGTGTTCGCTTCAATGTTGTTTTTGATTTCGGTTGCCAATGGAGTACTATTTGTGGGGAATCGGTTGAGAATGAAGACGTTGTACTATGTTTATTTTGGGCTACTTGTAGGTTTTTTTGATATATCAGTGATTTTTGGTCTACTTTTTGATGTTTTTGGTATAACTTTATGTTTTTGTACATTTTTTTTAGTTTTGGTTTTCTGCTTTTTGTCTTTCTGGTCCTTTTGGTACGCTTTTTTTTACTTTTGGTTCTTTTGGTACGCTTTGTTTACCTTACGGCTTGTTGGTACGCTTTTTGTTTAGTCAATAATTTTTTGGTACAATTTTACTCTCTTAGTACCAAAAGCACCGAAAAGATCATTTTTTTGCGTTTTTGGCACTAATTTTACAAATTTAAATTAAATTTTTTTAAAACATTGTTTCAGGTCTCGAGCTTACTGGTCATAATGTATTACCTAGTAGAACATATGCAACATACTGTCCACGTCCTACTACTAGATCCACGAGAAATTGGCACCGAAAAGCAGATCTGGAAAGCCTACAAATGGGCATTACCACGACTAGTGAAGGCCGGTTTCACAATAATGATGGTCATATTCCATGTGATGATCACCTTCTACGTTTATCGCGATTATTGCTTTGTCCTCGCTTATCCGCGAAGGTTTCAGTTCAAAAAGAACAATAAATATTAGGGTAGATGGACTTGTTTAAGAAAATAGAAAAATTTGGTGTTCATGGTGCAATTTTGTTTTGGTACTTTGGTCTACAATTTTGCTGTTTTTAGGGGTTCCGGTACTTTTGGTACATGTCGAGTGACACCGAAAAATTTTTGGTACCGTTGGTACATATTTAGGGATTTTAAAAAATTTTGGTACACATTTACTTAATTTTAAATATTTTTGACACTTTTTTCGTAATTAGTGTTTTTTTAAAGATTTTGGTATTTTTGGTACATGTTGAGTGACCGCAAAAAATTTTTGTTACTTTTGGTACACATTTTTTAGTGATTTTAAAATATTTTGGTACACATTTACTGATTTTTAAACATTTATGGTACTTTTTTATCATTAGTGATTTTTAAAAATTTTTGATACTTTTGCAATTGTAAAAGTTTTTAGTATTTTTAGTCTACATTTTGTAATTTTAAAAAATTTTTCATATTTTTGGTACTTATTTAGTGATTTTTTTAAATTTATTTTATTATTGGTCCAGTTTTAGTAATTTTCTAAAGTTTTTTGTACTTTTTGTACGCTTTTGAACGCCTACAAATTTTTAATACAATTTTTAAAAAACAAAAAATTATGAAACAGTTCCAAACGTCTTCATTTCCAAGAAATTTCAAAAATCCACCATTTTTCAATTTACTCTCATTGGTCGGCGGTAGGTCCGACCTCGTCGTATGTTCGCCGTGTTGAATTGAGGTTGTGTGCCGTAATAAATTGAGGTTGTGTGCACGAAAATGGCAAAAGCTGGAAGCCAGGAGAACCCACGAACTTACGAAAACGAGGCCTCGTTGAAGTTGAGCGAAGAGTTTAAGCCTAAATCACAAGTTGCCAATCCTGATGGGAGTCCGAATCCTGAAGCGAGTCCCAATCCAGAACAGAATGGAGAGAAGAGCAAGGATTCCAACTTCAAAACTGTTCGAAAAACTGTGGATTTTGAGGAAAGCAATAAGGCAAAGGTAAGTTACAGTTCCCGCGAATTTTCAAAAAAACATTTTTCTCAAGTATACTGTAACTTTTCTTTGGGTACAAGACAAGTTTAAGGTACAACAAGTAGTAAGGTAGGGTAGGGTAGGGTAGGTGAGGGTAGAGGAGGTAAAAGTAAAGCATTTTGGTTTAGGTACAGTAATGTAAAACTAACTTTATATGATTCTAGAAAAAAGTAATGGCAGCTATTATGGCCGACAAAAACAGCCACAATCCTGAAGACGATCCGGAATATGTGTGTTGTTGGAATTTCAAGATTCATGTAAGTTTTTGCTTATTTTTTGTTACTTTTTGCTTTGTAAAGAAAGTTATTGCAATTTTAATGTTTCTAAAGAAAGTTCTTGCCATTTCCATAATAAAAATGACATTTTCCAGTTTATTGTCCTAATCATGGCCATTTTCTTTGGCTTGTGCTCGTTTATCAGTGCTGTGGAGCGGATCTACACCAGCAAAGTGAAACAAAGGGAAAGATCGAATGAAATGTTGTATATAGGCATAATGCTGTTTGTTACCGCTGTTGCAAACGCATTTCTAATTGTTGGCAACCGGCTGCGAGTGAAACAACTGTATTGGGTCTACTTTTTCTTACTGGTACCTTTTTTTAAAATTTTTAAAAATTTTGAAATTTTTTTAAAATCAAAATTTTTTGTTTTGTAACTTAGAAAACACTAATGTAAAACTGTGAATACTTACATTTTCAGATGACCAGCATACTTTTCATAATCATATTCATGGATGGGTACGTCAAGGATACTATTGATGCACTAGTTCAGGATCCACGCAAATTTAAAACAGAACAACAAGCATGGGCAGTCTACGATTGGGCCGTACCAAGGGTTTTGAAGGCAGCATTTACGTACTTTGTCCTAATACTTCACGTCATGATCAGCTTCTACGTCTACCGCGACTACTGCTTCGTCGACGCTTATCCGAGGAATTTGAAAATTAAAAAGTGAAAGCTTTGAAATTTAAATAAAGGTTTTGGATAATGAGCTAAAATTTTAATTCTTTAGTTTGTAAAATTTAGTTTACGGTTTCTTAAAGTTAGTACAACAGCGTGCACGGTACTTTTTACCAGGTCCCGACACGAAAATAATGACTTGGCATTCCGTTATTCTGTGTAGAAAATTTGCGCAAAATCCGATCGGCCGATATTATCCATGGCCATCGAGCACAAGCTGTGTTTGAGGACTTTTGTTTTCTTTATGTTTTTTTAACAATTAGAAATTTTATATTGTTTTAGGTAGCAACTTTCATATTTATGTTTAATGTTGCTTTTATTGTCGATTTTGTTGGTGTTCAGACTAGTCTCTGCAGACTATTTATTGTTGTTTTAGGTTCTAGGTTAACAAATTGTGTCTTCCTTGCTCTTCTTAAAGGTATTAAACTTGGTTCTATTGAAAATATTACTCAAGCTTTTGTCTTGAGCGAGATTTCCGCGTCTTGAGGCCAATATTTAGCCGTTTTCTTCGACATTCTACATTTACCTATGCGTGATTGAACCATATTTTGATATTATATCACATATCTGTCAATGTTACATTACGATTATTAAATTATAGATGTAAACAAGCCGCAGCAAAGAAGCAGCAAATCAGGCTCTGTCTTTACCTGTTCAGCAAAATTTGTTTCAAAGGATCTCAGCGACGTTCTTGATCTTCTTAGTAAGTCCTTTTCTTATAATTTTTGAAATTTAGGTATGAAAAAGGAAAGAATATTTTTGAAATAGAAGCTAGGAAGAAAAATAGGGGGTTTAAATCTATTTTTTGAACAAAGTTATCAAGTTTGGAAGCATTCTCCTTTCAAACCAGCTGTACTTGTTGCTGAAGGACCTATATTAGCTAAAATTAAGTAAATTAACAAGAAAACCTGTTAGAAAAGATTAAAAACCAAAAATAATATTATCATTTTGATTTATTATGTACATACTTAAAACCAGCATTGAAAACAATAATAATACACAATACAAACAAAGAGTAAAACAGCAATAATTATGGCAAATGTAAAGTTGTAGCAGTGAGATATAAGACATTGTGCGTTATGTAGACTAGAATACAATACGATTTATTTGCCCGTATGACCGTGTAGATAACAAGGTGACAGTACTTTTCGCACTCAAAACAAAATTATACATTAGGGTGAAAAATAAATATATTAAGGGTTATATTAAGGTAAATCTACATAAAATGGGAGATTTCAAAACTAAAATTCTTCTTTAGAACTGTTTTTTAAAACTAATGACGTTTTGGGTTGAAATTTGACTTTGAAATAAGGAATAAATCATTGTTTACCGGACTGTAAACTGTACTACTTAGGAATTTGTATTATAATAGACATATGATGGTTCCACTAAGATTTAGAAGGCTATAATAATTTAATTTTATCCTAATGATGTAAAATCAGTTTCAAATAACCAAGCTGTAGAAAAATGGCTTTAGACTGCAAGATGACCAATGAAGCTTTGCTTATCAAGACTATCTAGTACTGTAAAATCTCAAATTACCTCGCAGAACTTAAGACATATACACTAGTCAATAAAAGATGTCAGTAAAGATATCCTTGTTTCAAGAAGTATTGCACATTTGCTCTTGAGCTTTTTTCGTCAATTCATGACAGAGTTTTGACTAATATAACGGTCATAGCTTGACAAATTGACAAAGATATAGCCTAATTTTCAATCTAGTTCTTTCCTGGCCAATAACGAGCACTGCGAAAGCCATGTTCGATCAGTTTTGACCTTATCCGGTGACGAGGCTTCGAAACTGACATGTTTCACATAGCCATTGTTATTCATGCCATTCTCGTTGATTAACGTTGAAGTATTGCTGCGGTATGATGAGGGTCGACCGATCTCTTTCCCACACGGACAAAAGACTTGTCTTACTGTCTTCCAGTTGAATATAATGTATATGTAGGGGTTTACACATGAGTTTAGGTTTCCAAATAGTGCCATTAGGGTTATTGTGAATGGACCTGAAAATGGGAAGTTTTAAAAATTAAACAAATAGAGTTCAATTGCTGGTAGAGTAGGGTATGATAAGGTAGGTTATAAAGGGCCACAAGTATACTATATATATACGGAAGCTTAGGCTAGGGGTAGGCTACTGATAGTGAAGGTCACAGAAGAGCTTGGCAATTGATAGGGTAGGCCATAGGTGGAGCTAGGATACTAATTTTCAAGGCAGGGCTATATGGCTAAAGAAAGGCTAGCACGCGATTATGATAACACTATACGTTATATAATAACTTACTGAGCCACTGTGGGAACCAAATCTGAGCGAAGTTGGCAAACACAAAGGGTGCCCATAGCATCAGGTTCAATACTACAATAATTAACGTCAGGAGCACAGTACGGTTTCGTTTCCTGTCGAATTCACTCCGTTGTGTCTTAAATCCTTGTGATTTTTTCCTCAATTTCTCGACATAGTCTTTGGTACCATTACTCATTTGTGACATGGAATCTGAATGACGATAATTGGTTGTTCTGTCCGCACATTCAATCAGTTTTTTGGATTTACAAACTGCAAATCCAATCTGAATGTAATAGTAGCCACTCATGAAGGTTGGGATCAGCCAAGCGAGAAAGGTGAAGTATATTACGTAAGCTGTGCGGAGCGAGGAGCCAGGGCCGTAGATTGTGCTACAGCGGTTGTTACCTCTGAAAATTGAAATTTTATATTTTGAATGGCATGATAGTTAAAATTTTGCTCTTTTGAGAGGCTCCTTTATCCACATTTTGATATTGTGATAGGTATCTAAGTGCAAAGTTTGGATTGTATTGGCATAGAAGCAAAAATAGGATATTGTAATAAGTATAGATTGTTGGTGCGAGCTTATTTTACTTCAAAATCACTGTTTTCGTTCAGCGGCTCTGGAAAATGCAAAGATTAAAAGTTACAAAAAGCTTGTTTGTCCACACTCAAATCCGCCAGTATGGTGGAAAATGTTGTGTCAGACGCCGGAAATACAGACATTATTTCAATTTGAGCGCAAAATGATTTGGACTTTACAAATTTCACTGTAACATACGAACATTTTAAAAGGGGTTTTAGAAAAATAGCATGACGCGAAGTATAGTAAATAAAGAGGTGTGTTAAAGAGAAAATTTGACTTACCCCCTCCAAATAATATATTGAGGTAGAGCAAATGCGATGGCCAACGCCCATGAGATTGTACCATAGAATTTTGGGCTTTTGTTTCGTCGGTAATTAGCCAAAGGCTTGCAAATTGCCTAAAAAAGACTTTATTGTAAAATACGGTTCGTAAAACGACGGATTTTTATTTTTGTCACAAAATTTAATATTTTTGATAGCTCACAAACTTAAGTTATCAAAAATATCGCCGCTTTTAAACTAAGTTTTTATTCTTGTCGCTTTTGACAGACGAAACGACGAAACGTTATAGGTACAATAAATTTCATAAAAATGCTTACCTGGTATCGATCAGCGCTAATAGCAACCAATAAGAATGGTGACGCATATAACGGCACGGCCTGAATGTATCGTACAAATTTGCACGCAATTGGTGGACCCGGGAAGGTTGGGTACTGTAAGAGAATGTAGATTTCGGTACCGAGTGAGATCAACGCAAACCAGAGGTCGGCTATACATGTGTGAATAAGTAAACGCTAAAATACGAGGTTTTAAAAATTAAAAAAAATTAAAATAAATAGAAAAATCTAGTTTTTAAAAACCTGTAGCAGATTTAAAAAATTAAAATTAAATAAAAAATAAAAAATGATTTTCAACTTACCTGCACTGGCGATAACCGCCTTCGTTGAATAACTTTACCACGCCATAACACAAAGAGAAAAAACAAGTTGCCAATAATGGAGAACAACATAACAATGGATAAGTGAAATATGGGAGTGTAGCTGATCTCCATTTTTACTGAAAAAATAATATTATTAATAAACGATAGCAAGAACACGTACATGTAGTTCAGCTCGCAAAAAATATGACTTAGCATACAATACTCTTGGTACAGTAAACTCGAACTTTGCTAAATCGAAATAGTTGTAAATCCAGGTCGAAATATACTTGATATCTAGTAAAAATGTAAGGTCACAAGACATATGTCGTTTATATATCAATGGTAGTATGTAGCCAGATAGACAATAACGTCATTTACCAGAACAACACATAATACCAAGAAGTTAATACTTTATATATACTATTAAATAACAGCTATTTTGACAATATATTAGTAAAATTTATTGTGAGAGCTCGTTTTACATAATAATATGTACCTACCTATTCAACAATACAAGTATGTATAATAATTCGACAATAAAAACAAATAATTAAATTAAATTTTACTAAATAATGTAAAGTAAATAAATTAATGTGAACAAATGTGTTATGCAGACGTTTTGTACAATACCTATACAATAATTGAAATACCACAGTGGAAAGTAACGGATATGACACGGCAAATCCATGTGTAAAAGAAATGCTATGACATATAATATCAATGTTATATAGACTCAATGTAAGCTCTGTAACTTGTTGACTATAACAGAGTATTAAAATTTATTATAACTGGTTTCTACTATAGACAATACCAAAACATTGCGCTGTAAATAATAAAGATAAAATAAATATCAACTAGAGTATTCAAATGTACAAACGACATGTTGTGAAAACAGGAAATACGATAAGCGAACATAACCATACGCGGAATAAACGGTGCCATAAGAGCATTACAGCAAAAAATCCTTTCTTTACAGCCAAAAAGTTTTACTCAGGGCTTTAAATGAGTTGACGTAGTTTTTTAGACAAAAGAACATGGTTATATTAAATGAAGTTATGGTAGATTTTCGTTATAAGCATCACGTGATATGGTTTTTAAAACATATCATGTGGTGCTTATAATTCGTATAAAAACGCTCGATATAGGAATGAATATCTTGTTATAATAAACAAAATTCCTGCCATTTTATGTTTCTTATGCGGAGAGCCGTATTATAATAAGTAACACACAAGTTTGTTTATATGTTTCAAAAAAGATGTTTTAAAACAACTATTAGCCCCTAAAGCCTAGTACATAACGTGACCATCAGTTTTTGTCGTTTCAACTTTATTTCAAACTATCATTTTCCTCGACAAAATCCCCGAAAAAAAGTTTTAGAACTCTCTCAAACTGATCAAAACTCTTCCGAAATTTATGCAAACCCGTATTACATAACATTTTGAAGGGTTCGTCTGAAAACATCAAGGCAACCGAAAAAAAGGGATGAGATTGTGAAGATGGAAAACATTGACTTATTAGATAATTAGAGTCTGTAAAATTATTTTGTCATATGATTTATTATAATAAAAGAAGAAGGAAGGGGAAGGAGGATGGGATAAATAGATATAGATGCTAGGCTACTAAATTGAACCCTTATGAACAAGTTAATGTAAATGATAAACGTCCGAAAACGTCATAATCAAGGACAACAAACCGTAAACGGATAAAAATTCCAAGCAAAAACAGTTGTAAACTAAGGAGAACGAACGTATGTGACGGAAATGTCACATCGAACGTTTCTAAATTACGACTTTTCTTTGTAACTTGTTATTTTATGCGTTCTAAAAGCCTAAATACGGTACTATGATTGCAAAAGAACAAAATACTTTGATGTAAATTATATGAGGATAAAGTTCAAAGAGTTATCAAAGGGAAAAATTTTAGAATATTAAAGTATTTTCATTGCCCTTGTAAGTTAGTGAAAGTGAACTTTAGTCTTCAATTTTGTCATATATCCTTGTTTTATAACTGAATTTGAGCTTTGCATAAACAAGTACTTTTATTGTCACTTCCACGAATTTTCATTACGAAATGATTTTTTTTTCAAAAAACCTCAAACCTAACTCTTATCAAAAATATAAATTCACAATTTTCGAAAAAAAGTCTTTTTGTAAATTTAATTTTCACAAACTTAATTAAAAACGAGATAAACGGCCTAAAGATGCAATTCCGGAACATTATTAACGCGTTCAAGTATCCTTAGACAATTCGCTTCATATCAACGTCAAAACAAAGAATTATTTGCGTTACAAGCTCTTCAAGAAAATAAAAGAAGAATGCTTTGAAATTTGGAGGAAACAACGACGTAATAACAACTTGAGGGAATTTTGGTAAATTTTTGAGACATTTTTGTACAGATTGAAACTTTGTAGGTACAAATAGGCATAATTCGTTTTATGTTTGAAAATTGACATCGATCAGGTAAAAATTTTTATAAAGAAATTGTGATTACAAGGGCAAAGTGTAACCAGGAAAGAAAAATGGGTGTTGGGTAATATGAATACAAAAAGTGGCGTCTGACGCAAAAATTTCATGTGAATTAAACAAAATTGTTACACGCGACGAAAAACTACTTTCCAACAATTATACTACAATATAGTACTATTATACGGTGTATCTTCACGGTATATAATTTTATAGTTACTACGAAAAAAATAAAAAACTATAAAAAGAATTCAACTACTACAATATATGATGTGATTTAATTACAGACTGCAATGGCTAAACTAATTTATACATGAACCATTACTTATCTCACAGTAAAATAAAAAAGCTCATAAACTTTACAGTATAATATTGTAGCTTTTTTACGTTTCTTATTCCATGCGCACCCATACTATAATAGGTATAAGGTGCACAATACTTAGAAAAAACAGTACACTAAAAATAATTATAAAAACACGTGTTGTAATACTAATATTAAATACTAAAAGAAATACTTTTGTTGTGTCTTATAATGCGTGTCTACCGTAACGATAAACTAATAATATAATAGGAATAATAATGTTATAGTACGATACTATATAAAAATAGCTTTACTACTGTAACAAGATATTAATAAAAATAACTACAGTTCTATAGAAAGAAAAATCCCAAAAGCACGTGCTATGGTATTATACTATAACAGTAAAACTCGATAATACGATAACAATACAAAACGCCGTAATACGATAATAGAAGAAAACCAGATTGTAACACTCTAAAGCTAAACAACACCACTTTAATACATCATGTATTATTGCCCTTTTTAAGCTTATTATATTACGTGTGTCTTTTCCAGACACTCGTTATTTACTTGTACGTCCTTCTCTTCCTAGATAATAGTTGTCATAACATTCAGGAAGTGTTATGCGAAACGTTTTTTATTTGGATAAAGTATAAAATTTGGTGTTTTTGCTACAAATTAGCAAAATTTTAATGGAATTTTGAGGTTTATGACAAAAATGATGGCATACTTTACTTATTTAACAAATATAATAAAATAAATGCAAGCAAAACTACTTGCAAAGGAAAAACGCTCGTTAAAGGAAACCTCAGCTACAGTAAAGACACCGTTACTTGTCGTTTATTACAACAAAGCTAACGTCAATTTTAAGAGTTGAAGGTCACATTTGTAAATGTAATTGAAACAGTTTTTTCTTGGAAAATAATTAACATAAAACAGCTACAAATATTTATAATTATTTATGTAAAACATTCACGCAATATTTCCAGAAACTAATATAATTTTGAACTCGAAAAGGAACTATAATTAGGAAAAACAGCAAATTTGCCAAAATTATGTTATTCTGTAAAATGTTATTAAACTGTAATATTGCTTTTGTATACGACGGCTCAGGCTATCGTTAGTCATATCTTCACGTTTAAAACGCTTGACAAAGAAGCTTACTATAGTAAACACAAAATGCCATCTAAAAAGTAGGCTGAATTTTAACTCTAAGTACATAAAGCTTTGCTTTAACTACTGTATTAAAGTTTGCAAAATATTTTTTAAAACTCGCAAAAATTGAGTTTTGAAAAACATTGCAAGTGCAATTGGAGGAGAACAGCTCTTTTTTCAAAAACAAACAACACGTTTTATTAAGAATGTAGTATTTAATTTGGCGTGTTGTGCACTAAACTGACTGACGTTTACTATTCGTTTCACGTGTTCACCAAAGACTGTTTTTTGAAAAATAATTTGGTTTCTGAAACTTTTAAACACTACTTATGTGTAGTTTTAAAAAGAGTTATTTCACAATTAGGTTTGGTAGTGCAGGCAAGAAAATGGGCAGTTATACTGTTATCTGCCTTAAGGCAAAAAATGCATCCGGCTATAATCCGTAATTTTTTTACAAGGCAGTACATGGCATCAACCATGACCAGGGCAGATTAAAATACCAGGCAAGGTATTGTTTTCTGACCTGGTCACTATAAGCCCAGCGACTGGTTAGAAATGATGTCAAAAAGTTACAGTATGCCGTATGAATCCAATAGATATAAAACCCAACTGTTTCAGGATGTTCCGCACGTTCGCACTGACTTGAATTTAAAGTTTTTTGTAACGAAAGTAGTAAAAACTTTAATTCCGTCTAATCGACACTTTTAGGGCGCCTCCGGGCATTTCCAAAAGTTTTACGAGGTTTGGCTTGAACTCGAGTGAATTATGACACAAAATCGGATTTTAGGGTCTAGAAGGGTCAAAATGAAAAAAGTGAAATCATAAATTTTGCTTGGGATTATCTAAAACTAAATTTATTATCCAATGCGCGCGAAAAATTGATTTTAGAACTTAAAAGCTTTAAGTCAGTGGAAAAACACAAGATATCACAAATTACCACGAATTTGATCACACAAACATAAGTCGCAGTTCCTCAAAATATGGTATCTACTATGATATTGACCGTGTTACGGACGAAGTAAACATATACGCGTGTTTACGTTGTTTCTTGGAAAAATTTAAAAAACATTTTTATTTCCTTTTTATACTCTTTTTGAAAATGAAGTATTCTAGGAGTATTAGTTCAATTATTTTACTTTCAAAAGCGCTTCCTGAATAATATATTCGACATATATTAAGGGCGCAGTAAACACTTACTGGTTAGATAGACTAC